ACCTGGGCTCTTCTGGCAACAAAAGAACTCCGCACAGCGAGAAAATGGAGGCACGTCCGCGTACTCGACGCTTGGTGACAAGTGCCGCGTTTGCCAGGTCACCGGTGACGGTGCTCACACTGCATGGGAAACGCCTTGACTGAATTTCAGACAAGTACTGTTACTTACGTTATCTTCTCTTAAGTAGACTTGCCACACGATCCTAGATGCAGAGTAACTGTTTCGATAGTATTATGCAATGTGAGGGTACATTAGTGATATTGAGCGTACAAAAAATGCGTAAATGAGGAGGGATGAATCTAGAAATGTAATCAGACAAGGACACGATGATGATGATATATAGAGTAGGGTCTAAAATCTGCGTGAACTAGACGGACGATTACTAGATGTACCGGGCCTTGAGTTATAGGCTGACCCAACACCGTACGCAGTGGAGAACCTAGACCTGGGTTCAAAGGGGGGAAACCGTGTAGGGGAGGGGCTGGGAGAAGCCATAGGAGTCGCAGCGCGAGGTTTGGACCAGGATTGATATGCAATGCGCTCGTCACTGTAGCGGTTGAGCATGCGCACTATATCTGTTGTCATGAAATCTAATTCTTTGATCTCTGTGGTAGAGAGGGTGTAGTCTTTGTTGAGTGTACCTTCATCCTCAGACTCGCTCTCGCTCTCCTCCGAGGATAAAATCTGGGGAATCGGTGCTTGACGTCTGTCCCGTCGAGCCATCACAATACCCTCGAATACTCGAAGCATACAAGACTCCATGACGGTCTTCAAACGTTGTATGTCATCCAATACATCAACATTTCCAACGATTGGCAGCCAACCATCACACTCCAGCCCTCGTTCAGTGACTTGGATCTCGTAAGCGCCAAAGAGCATGTAGGTCATAGGGTCCAGGCGAGTCGTGGTAATCAAATACGTTTGAGGACTGGAGCCGACCGTCGACAAATTCTGTCGTTTTTCAGAAAAAGCGTAAAGCTGTTTTTCCATGGCCTGGTCATTCTCAACGGCGTGCTTGCGATGGTTTACGCTGCCTGGATGTATAAAGGTCGCCTACATATAATTAGCTTATGGAGTGGGGTGAATGTATCGCACGAAACTCACCTTGTCCAACTGAGTACGGTAAGTCATCTCACCAGTCCTAACGGCATATTTTGGCTGGGAAGCTATTGCTATCAGAGCGGCCAGGAGAGGAAGGGATTTGCCATTAACGTTCAGGTCGGGTGGTACGGTCAAGTCCCGACTTCTAGGCTCAGTTGATGCGACGTTCCCACCCGCAGAAACATCAATGACTCCTGCTTGGTACAGAGACTGCAATAAGTGCCCGCGGATCTTGGTAATCAAGAGTAGCGTTGGCTTCGAGAGGAAGTTGTCGTTACAGAAGCGATTGGCTGACATATACTCGCCGCGACGCTGCATCTCGTACCACGCGTTATAAGCATTCAATATGGTAAGCGGATCTGACCTGAACCCGCTGGGCGACCATTTGATCTTAGCAGAAGCAGCTTGAGCCTTGAGATGCATAGGGGAGAAAAACGGATCCCGATTGGTCAGAATGGCGGCGAGAGTAAGAGCCTGGTCGAGACACCGGAAAAAGCTCCCGTAAAGGACGAGCCTTCCCATTTGGACCTCTACGGGTAGTTGTAGTAGGACCCTTCCCAGTGACGTGAGGTTCTTGCCATGATCCAGCGCACCTACCATCTGTAAATTCTTCATGGCGGCGGCGACGCGGTCAGGCTCAGGGGGTTCGATAGCGGCAGCGAGAACTTCTTCGGTGTCCATCCCGGGGAACCTGAGAGCCTTAACGTGCATGACGACATTGCTTAGGTCGACGCGTTTCATTTCCACGGTTGGATGAGGATGAAGGTTGGCTGCGCGAGTCTTACTGAGAATACCAAAATATTCTCCAGGCCGATGTCTACCCGCCCGCCCTGCTCTTTGGTTCAAGTTGGAAGTACCAACCCAGGCGGAGATGAGAGACGACATGTGGCGGTCAGGATCGTATCGCTGCTCCTTGACCCTCGCAGTATCAACGACATAAACAACGTCGGGAATCGTTATGGAGGTCTCGGCAATATTAGTAGCCAGAATGATTCTACGGACGCCCTCTGGAGGAGGCTCAAAAACGACTTGCTGTTCGGCCAGAGGAATGGTAGAATGGAGAAGGTGAATACTGTACTTTGAGGGGTTGTTGAAGTTGACGTCCATACTTCCACCAAGGAGAATCTTCTGTACTGCAGATATCTCGTCCCACCCAGGCAGGAAAACCAAAACATGACCCGAGTCAGACTGTTGCAAGACATGTGAAATGCTAGCTGCGACCAAGGGACATGGCAGATCCAGCTCTTCATCCCCACCGCTCAGCACGCGGGAGTCTCCCTCTGTCATTGAGGGCCCACAAGACCGCACATAAGCTTCCTCACGAGCGAGGTATTTAGAGACCAGGTCGTCTTGGAACACCCAGTTTAGCGCGCGATGGTTTCTCAACGCAGGGATGAAATCCTCCATGAAGTGTTTTGTGACGGGGTACGTGCGGCCTGGGATCTCGATTACTTTTGCCGGTTCGCCCCGCTCGTCGGGAAAGTACTCTTGGAACAGCGTGGGATCAATAGTGGCACTCATGAGGACGATCTTCAATGGAATATTCCGAGCCTTGCGATCATCCATGAGACGCTTGAGAACAACGAGGAGGAGGTCGGTATCAACATCCCGCTCGTGGACTTCATCGACAACGATGTGCGTCACCTCGTCCATCCTGGCAGCCGATAGTCCACCTTCAGCCATTGCAGACTGAAGTTTTTTGAGTAGCACTCCCGTAGTGCAGAAAGTGATAGAGCCATGCTCTTCTGGCAATTTCGACTCAAAACGGACACTGTAGCCAATTGATCCTTCACCGACAACTTCCCCTCTCTCCTTGGCGACACGGTCAGCTACACTGAGTGCAGCCAGCCGACGTGGCTGAGTGCAAATGAGGTTGCAGCGGGCACCCTCACCCTCGTCAATATAGTCATCCAGGAGTAGCTGTGGTATCTGCGTGGTTTTGCCTGAACCCGTCGCAGCCATACAAATCGTGACATCATTCTCACGTATGTGCGACACAAGCTCCTCCGATCGAGTATAGATGGGCAACGCAGCTCTTGTGTTCCGCATCTTTTCCATCACTGGATCCGTAAGGTATGCTTTTCTCCGTTCCTTGAGTTCTTCCGACCTTTGTGCCAAGAAATCCCGAGGAAACCTGCGGGCATAGGATGGTCGTGGGGCAGGAACAGAGACAGGTTGAGATCTCGGACTGTCTGACCCAGACCCAATAGTGGGTCTGTTCCTGTATAGAGTGCTCTTTTTGATATCACCGCTTAACTTGTGTATCTCATCCTCAAGTTTTGTGCTAATCTGGAAGTAAACCTTCGGGGCTAGACCAAGGTCCTTTCCAGTCTTGGACGCCTCCACAAAAGTTGTCCATAGACTAGGATCACATTGCTGCAGATACTGCGCAACGTCCAAGTAGCACTGAATTTGGGCTGCTTTCTTGGTTGTGCTGGAGCCCATGCCGATCTTTTTGTCACCCACGGTCATAACGGCTTCCCAGGTCGACTTCGCGCGCCCCTGACGCTGTTCTTCCAGTTCGATGTCCGGCTTGCCAAATCCATATCTGCGACAGTAGTAATCCATAAAGCTTCGTGCGCGCTCGTAGTCAACGACTGAACCATCGCTCAGTTCGATGACTTGTGGAGCAGAGCTCGAGGATGCTGAATGCTTAGGCTTGTCGAGCTAACCACATTCATTAGAACTATTTGGGTGGTTTGCAATTTGTGACACGCACCTGACCTGTATCATGAAGTTGGTAGAGAGCTGAAAGCGCTGCGAGCCTCTCAGCATCTCTCCTGACTCTGTGGTCACCAATACCAAACACTGGAGGAGTCGTATCGAGGGCAACAGTCACCCTTCGTAAGGCTATAAGCACAAGCCAAATAGCATCGCTAAGAAATCGTCACCAACCTAGATACCCGTTCAGATGTACCAAAAACAATGCCCTCAACCGATTCATACACCGGTTGCTTGTCCAAGTGATTAATGGCAAAATTAGCGACTGGGGATTTTGGGTTATCTACAAACACGGGTTTTATGTCAGGGCGGGAACCAAGATTCTTCCTGTGCTCCTGTTCAATAAAAGCCGCGTCACGGATAGGGCCGTCAAGGTCCGGAGGTCTCGATTTCGAGAGCTGTCCTTTATTCTTGCCCTTACTCCATCCCATTCTACGCTTCGATGAATCTTTCTGGGACGACAAACCATAGATACGCGACCCGGGCGAGCCACGGCTTTTGGATGAAGACGGCATCTCGAATGGAGGTGATACAGTAGGGTTCCGTTGCGTCCCTTTTGAGGATGCGGACATCGTAGTACCAGCCGTGAAAGCTCCCGCTAACTTTGGAACTTTAACCGGCCGTTGCTCTGAGGATTGAGGTGGGCTAGGTGACCGAGGATGATTGACATCTGCAGTATGGTGCTTCTGCACGGTCGCTGTCGCGTGACTGGCAAAGGGTCGTTTGAGAGAGGCTGCAACAGAAGGAGAACGCTTGAATGTATCTAATGGCATGAGGCGACGCCCGAATTCTCGAACAGTGAAGGCCCAACTCATAACTTGAGGGACTGCAACGATGAAAAGCCATGAGAATCTCATTTAGCATATCAACTGAAATCTGCCTGAATCACTCACATCCTCAGGATCTCTAAACCTTCCTCTGTATTTTTTGTTCCGCACAGACGTTCAAAACGACGGCGACCTTGACGGTAAGGAAACTTCTTCACTGAGTTCTTAATGAAAATATGGCTTCGGCATTCGCCGAATATTTACTTTCGCGTTGACTTACTCACCGGAGCCTCAAGCTCTCAGATCTTTCAAGTTCAAACGTTCACCACTGACCAGTCCTCTTGAACGCTGTAAATGTGCACTCGTATTACAAAAATCAACAAGGATATGATGTATAATCTATTCATCTATTTACATGTTATCTAATCGTTGCTTGATAGCGTCTGCGATTCCAGTCAAGTATTTCAGTCGCACTGCGGCAACTTTAGTTTCCTCCCAGTTCTTTTCAGCTACGGATTTTGTGACTGCGCTCACAACTTCACGAATTTTGTCTTTGACCAGAAGTGTTATTGCCTGCCAGACATTCGCATATGACAAGACTTACTATCATTATCTTCTTTTAAAGTACGAATCCGCTCGATGTCCCCATCTTCAATCTCCTCCCGGACTTCCATGATTTCGCTAATGAGTTCCAGATCATCTAAGGGATCTGCTTCTGCAGTCACGAGGCCATTCCGCTGTAAAACATATTCTATACGGTGCAAGGGTGACGACAGTGCTTTATACGCAGCATTCAGCGTATTCGACACGTCAAGTGCGATATCTTGTTGGAACTGCTGGATAAATCTCTGCTGATACTGTAAATATAATCACTCACTTCACTCTTAGTTGCCCAAGCGTCCGGGTGTGATACTCTTTGTGCTTCAATGAAGCGGCGTTTAAGGAGTGCAGCATCCACTACAAACGGGTTCGGCTCGTAAGGAAGACCCAGTATATCATGATATGATATTGAGTCGTGAATCCTTGCAATATAATTGCAGTTTGGACAGACAGGTAACGCAGTTGGAAGAATAGTCCCGCATGATGGACACGTCTTGGTTAATGAAGTAACCACCGAGTGCCTTGAGGAAGATGGATTGGCTTTGTCGGTGAATGCTCTTGCATAATATCCGTTCGACAGTGCCAACGGTCGATGAGTTGTTTGAGCCACACGGACAAGGAAAGGGAGGAACATTAAATTATTATTGTTCGGATGAGGGGTCACTCGTTTACTAAGCACATGAACCGGAAATGAAATGCATGTAAATTTCCTTTTTTGAACAATATCGTCATTGTTTATATAGGACTAGAAGATTGACCATGACAGCGACCAGCACCACGTACAGCGTCAAGGCATGCTGGGCGAGCCTTGCACAACATAATCACAATGTCGAGCAGTACTAGTAGTACTAGTGGTGCCGGTGAGCTCCGAATCCAAGACTCGTGCTCGCTGGCCGGTCCTCAGTGGCCTGCTCCTCCCCAGGCAATATTAACGCTTGATGATCCCTCAGCCGTAGAACCAGCACGCCGTCGGTTGGCTCCAAAGACTCGTTTTCGTATATTTTCTTTTCTTCCAAACATTTTCTCCTGCTGTGGCTCTAGGCACCACAAACCACAACCAGCGGATTCAGAATCCAAGGCAGACAGCTCAAACAAGTCCATAGAGCAACTACCTCCCCTCGAACAAACCAATGATAATACCACCATAATCACTTTGGACATCTCAAGTATCTCAGAAATCCCTGGTATGAATAAGGACGAGTATCGTTGGGCTATTGTGTACGAGAATCAAAGAGGGTACGCACACCATTTACTCCCCTATGTGTGGCAGACCTCAACTGTTCTCTCAAGCCTCACCGTACTCTCGTCCCCGTATTATTCACACCTATCACTGCTTCCCATCGATCCTCCACAATTTACTATCCCGTCCGATTCACTAAAACAATCTCGGCAACCAAACATCTCTCTCTCCAATTATCCCCTTCCCGATGGCACTTGGCGCTGGGTCTCCAGATCATGGATGACTGACATGCGTACAGACTCAGGAGAAGTTCAATATGATGGTTTTGAGTACAACTGGTTTTTTCGGGAGAAACACTGGCACGCGGAGATAGGCAAACTAAGCACTGGTGCCTGGGTACGGAGAAGACGATGGGTAAGGCTGATGATGCGTCCGGCACAGCATACAATAGCACACTTGGATGGAAGTCCAAGTCCATCCACTAGCAAGAGCAGGCTATCTGACCGGCCTTTGGACACAAGTTTGCTCTCTCTCGTTCACCCCAAATCAGAGATCGCGCTTGACGAGCTCGCTCGCTGGACCGACCTGAAATGGGAAGGAAGTGAACAAGACTGGGTGCACTGTCACCGCCTGATGCGAAGGCTCGGCCGAGATGGTCGCAAACTTGAACTTTGGCGCATGTGGCTTTTTCCATACCTCTCTGATGTTTCTAATACCGACCTGGTGGACAAAGGAAAGCTTCCCGAGTCTAATTCCCCTGCATTCATGAGAGTGGAAGATGATGGCTCGACCATCCAAATTCCACCTCTGGAATACTTGGGAGCAATTATCCAGAACCACGTATGCATTTCCGTTGACAAGTGTATCATCATTTGATATCACTTTTGTAGGGAGATGCCGTACTCCGGTCATTTGTCTTCCCAGATTCAAGAGCACAATTTATCAATCTTGTAAAACGTGCCGGTCTGGCTCGTGAATTAGGACGGAGTCTCGGAGATGGGTTCTCTTCCACTGAGGTTGACTTCTGGAGCTATTCGAAGGGTCTGGGCAAAGTACTTGACAAAGATGATCAAGCAGAGCGGGGTCGGAGAGCCGAGGACTAGAAGGGAAAGCTCTCTGATGAAGATGTCGTGGCAATTTATTTGGGCTTAAACAACAGGGTACAGAGTCATCGCAAGACTTTTCCATGGAGATCACTATACGGATCATATCATTATGCTAATAGTAATATGTACAATTTATGTAAATACTGTACAGCAGTGAGGCTGCATGTGATTGCAACACCTTTCGTTTCGAACAAGTTTCGAATCCGAGCTCTTTTGCAGAGCTTTGATGTCAGCGCCGTTTCCTCGGGTCATTGAGCATACTGAACCAGATTCGGACCATAGCAAGATATCATGGAGAAATATTGCTAATCCGAAGAATCTCTGGCCAGATGACCCAAGTCATCCGGCGAAGGTCGCCATTCGCACATATTCTCTCAGCTTATCTCTCTCTCTCGGTCCAGTGCTACTTCCAGTTGCTCTTACCCTCGTCAATCGTTCGTCCAGTCTGGAGACTCGTTTGGGTTCATTCAGACGCGTATTGAGGCGCGAAGTAGGCCTTACAGGATTTCCGTTCGCCATCACAGTAGCCGTTTGTGGCGGAATTGCATTGAAGCACTTCTGGGAAGCAGTAGGTGTCCGCCATGTCACGGTCGATAAACAAGACAGTCCAGAAGTTCGACGACAGCCAGTGGTGGCTTCCACATTCCAACGACGTACAACAGTCCTCTCGCTCGCAGCTCAGATATGCTCACGCATGTCCAACTCAACACCCTCAGGCTCCCAGAAAGCGTTCCTGTCAAATATTCTATCCTCGACAATCGCGTTGTTCTTACTCCAAAGGGCTCGACCGTCCAAAGCGGGGTCGCATCGACCATTCACAACCTTTGGATTTACGCTCTTATTTTTCTGTCGTGCAACGGACGCAATTATGCAGCATTTCCTGTCTGTGGAATCAGCCCGGAAAGCTAACCTATTCAACACTTCCACAAATCGATCGAACCCAAACAAACCATCCGCTGATGTACCGATGCCTGCTAAAGGCGATAGCAAAGCCAAGAAGTGGCATCAAAGTACAGTTGCATGGTTGGACGCTGTCGTATTTTGGGCCTGCAGTGCTAGGTGCGTGATATTTAGCATGCTTGGTGTCAATTTAAATATACTCAAACCCTTCGTGCACTACCAGAATTATGTGGTGTTTCTTCTACCAGCCGCATAGGTGCTTAACAATAAAATAAATTGGATTGATGTCTAAATCCAGTTTTTCACAGACTTCCCCCTTCTTATGTGAAATGGTTGGATACAATTCAATCGTCATGTTAGGAAACTCTCGCTCATCATCATTTACTTGTCAGGATATCATCCCTGGCCAACCTAGACAAACGGCTGTTGGACGCTTTGCGTGTCATGCGTTCTAAAGAATGGGTTTATGGGCACAGTTCCACCCATTCTCACCTCCTGACATCTTATGCCAATGATCGTGGATACCCTTCATCTTGGGGCGATCCACAGGTCTTGCCTGCGTGTGGTGGTACAGATGCAGACGTGGTCTGGAAGGCGCTTGGTGTGCCTGACCGGGGTGGTGTGGGTGGATTGCCCTGTGAGCTTCTGCATTCCGGCATCACAACGCGGTGGGGTCTCGACAACAGCTGCCTAACAAATGTGGGCGTGAGATTTTGCCTAGCATTCATTGAGGCTATGGCTCTATATCTGCCTGTAAGTGTATGGCTTGGAGTGCACTGCACTGCACCGCTAATCATGTTTGAAGGTCCACTTCCTTCCTCTCCTTTTTACTCGCCCTAGCTCCATCCTCCAGCGTCATCGCGCCATTCCTGCGCTACTAGCTGCGATCCGCAGTGCGACATTCCTCTCCACTTTCCTGTCGTCATATTTCTCCGCTGTTTGTCTCACACGTACCTTAGTGCTGGCAAAACTGTTCCCATGGATCCCTCATGATGTGTGGGATGGACCACACGGCTGTGTTCTCGCGGGATCACTCACATGTGGTTGGAGTATACTTATCGAGAACACGCGGAGAAGGGGAGAGATGGCCTTGTATGTGTTGCCCAGAGCCGTTAAAGCATCTTTACCGGCCAAGTGGATTGCGGGTAATCATGCTGGTGCGAGGCTGGCCGAGCGGTTAGTATTTTTAAAGAGTATTTTCTTTGCGATACTGACAGAATCTAATAGAATCGTGTTTGTTCTGTCGCTGGCTTCACTGCTCACTTTTGCAGTCCATGAGCCAGAATCTCTGAGAGGTCTGTCGCGATGGACCCTTGCTTTCGTCATGAAGGGGCCAAATACTGCGTTCTGGAAGAAACGCAAAGAACAGATTGAGACTTGCAATTGTCCTCAGACGCCTATTTCTCCATCCTCCAACTCGATCTCCACGCAGGGCATCGATCATTTGTGAGACGCTCTACAATGCTAACTTTACCCGCGATACTCCGGCTCTGGGATTGGAGTATTTTGGCAGAGTTCGCGCACGTTGTGGTCAATGCTCCGATCTAGATCATGCTCTTGTTTCTGCGTACTTTATGATCTTCACCCAGATATACTACTGGATGTACCATTAAACATTCCCAGTCGATATCCTTGCGTATTTAACATGTCTCACTTACATTCCGCTAACTAGCCGCTCCAGAGGTGTAACGTGTGATCATAGAATGAGCAACTCGCGATCAGGGTCTCCCCGTCTACACCTGGAGGAGCGAATGACCAGTCTGCGCCGTATGCTAGCGACTTGTGGTCATCAAATCGCTTTACAATTTCCCATGTTACATCTTCTCCGTGGTGGGCCTTCGCCACCTTGAAACCGTCGTGCATGCTTGCGACGAGGAGATCCTCCTTACGACTGGGTGACGGATGCCACTTGACACGCCACGCACCCCCTCCAACGTCTCCTTGAACGAGCGGGACTAGCGGCTTCCGAGTGTCAAAAATGCAAACGTTATTATCGTAGCTGTGCGCGACTTCAAAAGCCGTGATGTTGATAGCGAAGCAAAGACCTACCTTCCGACGGCTATGAGATATTCGATGTGTGGATGGCTTTGGATAGTCGTGACACCTGCATTAAATCTTCGAGGGTATGAGAAATAAACAAAATATGTGGGGATAGTTACATGCCGCTTATTTGTAAAGATGGGCTGGCTAAAATTTTGTCGGACATCCCAGCCCTTCATGGTTAAGTCGTCTCCACCCGAATAAACGATCGAGGTATCCCAATAGTTCCAGGCAGCAATCCAAGGTTCGTAATCGTGTGCGTGCCACCGGTTGACGATAGTCAAATTGCCAGTTGAATCAGCATTCAGGACACATAGCGAGCCATTTGACAGGGAAACCACCAGAGAACCATATTTGCTGTCTCAGAATCTTGGGTCAGATTTGCCTGCAGACTCTTGGGCTAGCGTACTTTGTGGGGTATCTTCGGGTAGACCAGTCCAAGGAAAGGCATAGAACATCTGAGGGTGCGCAGGATATGCTCTGAAATGCCTTGAGCCGGCGCTAAAATCATTGAGTCACGATTTATGCGATTACCGTAGAACACATTCAGGGTCACCTCTTCTTTGTGCCACTCGTGAAGTGTGATGTTCCCTTCCGAGTCTGCAATTCCGAGTACTGGATAGGCCGTTTGAGACGTATGACACCTACGGTTATCCAGATATCATCATTTAGTACGACTGCGAGTTTGCGACGCGGATCTCACCATTTCTGGTCCAGAACGGCTGGAAGACTGATTTCCTGAATCTGGGAACTTGATAATAGAGATTGAACCAGTGATTCGCAGGAAAATTTGCTTGCTTACACTCCTCTGTTCTCTGTCACTTGCAACACAAGACACTTGCCACGACGGACTTGCTTTTTGGTGTGTTCGAAATCTACTTTACCGTCATCCAATGCGGTATGCACCTGAGCATCCGAGTCGGCGGGGGGCTGTTCTAATCGATAGGTCCCGCAAACAAAGATATCAGAAGCATTCTCATGAGGGCAGAACTCGATCGAATCTGCAGGCCAGACGGTGTTCAATGCGACCATTGGAGCAGAGGAAATGATGCTAGTCCGTGCACCAGAATCAGCCAGATGAGGCTGTCGGGACCCAGGTCGGTTCCATTGCACTGCCACGTGCGATGATATCACCAGCAAGTTCTGCAATGTTCGATAAAGGAGTGAACTCCTCTCCATACTTCTGGATCATACTACGACTAGCCAAGGTCGATAAAAAGGTAGTCCAGGAGGAATCGTTCTTACCGACTAAGCTCATTTTCTGCAAGTTCGCTTTTCCCGTTCACCATGAACTTTGACTTCACAGACAAAACTCAACAATCTTTCTTGGCTGCCATTCAACTTGCAAAGGATTATTCTAATGCCCAACGTATGTGTTCACACTCTACTGATAATTAATCGTCGTTCATATGTTCTCAAAGTTCACCCTGCCCATATCGCTGCAGCTCTTCTGAATGAGAGTGCGGGAGATGATTCACTAGGTGGTCTGTCAAACCACGGTGGAAGCTCCCTGTTCTCTTCTGTTATACAGAGGGCTGGTGGTGATCCAGTGCGTATCTACGTATGCTGGTATCGTGTGCAACACTCACCCGGCACATGACAGGTTATTGTAAAGCGTGGACTTTTGAAGATCATTGTCAGAGTACCCTCACAATCTCCACCTCCAGATGAGATTTCCATGAGCGCCGGTGCGTTGAAGGTTTTGCGCGAGGCCCAGTCACTCCAGAAAACCATGCACGACTCCTACATCGCGCAGGACCATATACTTCTCGCACTTTTGAAGGACCCATCGGTATCCTCTGTCATCAAGGACGCTGGCCTCACCGAGGCTGCCTTGAAGACAGCTATCGAGCAGACCAGAGGAAATCGTAGAGTGGAAAGCAAGAACGCAGAGGCAGGATTCGATGCCCTGCAGAGATATGCGGTCGACTTGACTGCTCTCGCCGAAGAAGGGAAGATCGACCCCGTTATTGGTAGAGATAATGAGATCAGGAGAATCATTCGTATTCTTTGCAGAAGGTAGGATTCATTTTTCTTGTTGGTAGTCTTCTTAAGCTCACCTTGTGCAGAACAAAGAATAATCCTGTGCTCATTGGCGAGCCCGGAGTTGGAAAGACATCAATAGCAGAAGGTCTTGCTCAGCGCATTGTCAACCGGGATGTGCCAGCCAGCCTCATTGGGCGCCTGTTCTCGCTTGATATGGGCGCGCTAATGGCTGGTGCGAAGTACAAAGGCGAGTACGAGGAACGCATCAAGTCGGTTTTGAGCGAAGTGGAGAAATCATCCGAGGATGGCAAAACTATTATCCTATTTGTGGATGAGCTTCACCTCATCATGGCTGGTCGAGGTGCCGAAGGCGGTGGCATGGATGCAGGCAACCTCTTCAAGCCGCTTCTGGCTAGAGGCAAGCTGCGTTGTATTGGAGCTACCACGCTTAGCGAGTACCGGAAGTATATCGAGACAGACGCTGCTCTGGAACGAAGATTCGCACAAGTTTTGGTGAACGAACCCACTGTTCCTGAGACGATTAGCATTCTTAGAGGCATTCGAGAGAAGTACGAGGTTCATCATGGTGTTCGAATTTTGGATGGTGCCCTGATCTCTGCTGCAACTCTGGCTCATCGTTATTTAACTTCGAGACGTCTTCCCGATGCCGCTATTGATCTCGTCGACGAAGCTTGTGCAAGGTATGTTTTCTTAATATCTTCCATGAAACCATCTTACGATTTGTGTTAGCGTCCGTGTTACTCGAGAGACAGCACCCGAAGCTATTGACAAGCTTCAACGTCGTAAGCTCGAACTGGAGGTTGAAATTCATGCTTTGGAACGCGAGAAGGATCAGGCCAGTCAGGAGCGTCTAAGCGTGGCTCGCAAGGCTATCGCCGATGTTGACGACGAATTACAACCTCTTCGGGCTGCCTATGAGGCTGAAAAGCGCAAAGGCGACGAAATCAACGAAGTGCGGAGGAAGATCGACGATCTACGCGCTAAGGCCGATGAGGCAGAGAGAAGGTACGCCTGCCATTCCATATTAATCGAGCATTTCCTAACCACAGCACATATTAGATATGATCTTGCAACTGCATCTGACCTTCGCTATTATGCTCTGCCAGATCTCCAGAATCGCCTAGAGGCCCTTCAAGCCAAAAAGGTCGAAGAGGACGCCAAGATCGGTGGAGGTGCAGATACCGTCACTCCTGAAGAGATCGCGGAAATCGTCGGACGGTGGACGGCTATTCCAGTTACACGTTTGATGTCAACCGAGAAGGAGAAACTCCTTCGCATGGAACGTATCCTCGCCGATCACGTTGTCGGTCAGCCGGAAGCTGTGAAAGCTGTCGCCAACGCTATCCGGCTCTCGAGGAGCGGACTGGCTAATGCTCAGCGGCCCATTGCCAGCTTCTTGATGGCCGGTCCTTCTGGCACAGGGAAAACGTTGCTTAGCAAGACAGTAAGTTGGTGTAACTTCATCGTAAATAGTCACTAACCGAAATCTTTACAGCTCGCTACTATTCTCTTTGACACCCCTGATGCTATGATTCGCATCGATGGTTCTGAATATTCTGAGAAGCATTCTATCGCACGTCTTATCGGCGCCCCACCTGGCTATGTTGGTCATGACGCTGGAGGACAACTCACCGAATATGTTCGGCGCAAACCCTATTCCATCGTCCTCATCGACGAGATTGAGAAGGCTTCGCGAGAATTTGTCACACTCTTCCTTCAGGTTCTCGATGACGGCCGACTCACTGATGGACAGGGTCGCTTTGTCGACTTCCGGAACACTGTTATCATCATGACGTCAAATCTAGGTGCTGCATACTTGAACGACGTAGGCCAGGGTCCAGTAACTCCGCAGACCAAGCAGCTAGTCATGGGGGCAATAGTGGGCCACTTCCCACCCGAGTTCATCAACCGTATAGATGAGATCGTTGTCTTTGTAAGTTACCACATGGCATGCATTTTAGGTTCTAATTTTTTACACTATGGTGCAGCGCGCGCTTTCCAGAAGCAATATGCTCAAGATCGTGGACCTGAGGCTCAAGGAGGTCCAAGACCGCCTAGCTGAGAAGAAGATAGTACTTGACATCGATGGCGAGTCAAAAAGATACTTGGTGTCTATCGGGTACTCGACGACATACGGAGCAAGACCATTGAACCGCGCTATCCAGAGCGAGCTCCTGAATCCTTTGTCGGTGATGTTGCTTTCCGACCGCATTCGTGACGGGAGAGACTGTGAATATTCGGTTCGACGGCCCCCGCAACAAACTTGTTATCATGCCCAATCATGAAGGCCAGGCTGATGTTGATGCAATGGATGAAGATTGGAATGAAGCTGATGACATTGAGATAGAGGAGATGGATTAAGGTCTTCATTTAAGACGTATAAATAACTGCAAAACACCTCGCGTGTACGTTTCTGTATTATCGTACCAAAACACTGTATCATAATTTGCATGACGGGCTACAGTAAGGAAGGAGTCTGGAGAATAACCGGCTTTCCTTTTTTGGCGAAAGTTCCGCAACATTTCTCGCTTTCGGGCTCGACCGTCTCGATGTCCGCAACCATGCTTAGCCGTCGTCTGGTGCATCGCGCCTCTCAGCTGAAGGTGCTCAGCCGCTCTTCTTCGACTTCTGCAAATGCTGTAACACCTATTCCCGCGTCTCCATCACCCGTCGCGAGTCAAGCACCAAATTATCCAACGACATGGTCAACCAACCAGAGACCACGCGCGGTCGCCCAGTCAGGTCCACGTTTTGAGCAAACTATTCTCGAACTCCAGCCCAGCCCATTGAGCGCAATGGAAATGATCAACAATGAGCCTATCCGTGTTGTGCATGGGCGGAAAGCTGTTTGTGATGGTGGTCAGTGATGCTTTTTCTTAACTTGAGCATTGGCGTGACGATTTGTTACAGGAGGAGGACCTCTTGGTCATCCCAAGATATTTATCAACCTGGTTTGTATCGGTACATCTGGACGCTGTGCCATAATTGACATCCTTTTGCAGGACAAGCCTGGTGCTCGGCCATGCGGGTAAGTATCGTCATGGCTTGATGTGTCGCTACTAACCAATTTATTGTTTGTACTTTACCTTCAGCTACTGGTATGTAATTACTTTTTTTCTGGCCAGACTTTGAGCTCACACGTACGGCTTCCAGTGGTCTCCGCTTTGAACAAGCTCCGCATGACCACTAAGTAGGATATGAAACTATTAACAGGCTTTCCACCGGGGTTCCGTAGAAGACTATTCAATATTTTCATCCCCCATCAAACAATGCTTTGCATGTTTCTGATTGCCGCCTATTGCAAATGTGGGTAAAAGTACAGCGGCGCTCTACAACGCCCAATCAAACTAAATATGCTACTAGAATGGGGTAAGTATGGTAAGATAAACCAGGAGGAAATACTAGAGTCACAGTGAATCTGGGCGATGTGCCCGATCGACCTCCTGGATTCGGTGAGATACGGGCGAGTAAGAACGAACAGATGTAGCAATGAATGATTTGTATGTCAACTGGTTGAACGTTCCTAATCTCACAAGACCTAATAAATAAAACCAAAAGGAGAGTGGTGATGCCAGCAGCGTCAGTCATCTTCCGGCGAATGGAAGGACATGGGCGATAATGGAGGATATTCCCCTTCTGCAACTGCCTCCAGTTGAGAAAATGGGGGGAGAGAATGTGGTGATGATAAATGATCACTGGGCGATGTTGGTAATGGAGTCTAAGATGGAAGTCAGCTCTACTTGAGGCGCAGAACTAGAGCTTGGCTTACCACTTTGAATATCGGATTTATGACAGATTGAGGGTCTATCCCTGGACTTGGAGGGTGACCATACAACTGCCCGTTACATTCATATGACTTATGAGAAGACGAAGGATATCTTATCATCGGAGGAACCATATATGACGAGTGTTGTGGACTGGTAGAATCAGTACGGATCCACGGCCGTGGTGATGGTGATAGAGAAAGGAGATTTAGAGGCGGAGGTGAGGAAGCTCCTGATGCAGAAGATGTGGTATCAACAGAGGCACGTATGCAGAAGTCGTTGAACTGGTGGTCCAGAGAGATTGAGTTCGATGACCGAGCAGAAGTGGGGAAATCATCAAAGGACGTCGTGCCCGTGCGTAGTGAGGAAGCGGACGTCATTCGGTTGATTCCATACAGCGTTGGTCTTCGTGTCCGTGACGGGCCAGGGTCACTATCGACTGTAGCGAACGAGATGGCAGACATTCGGCTTAAGCTGTGAACGTCTGATGAAGACATGGAATGATCGTCATCAAAGTCTCTTCGTCGAACTTTGGACAAACGCTCATCACGTAACCCCCATCGGTCATTGGGAGCCAGCGTGCCGTCAATAGGGTTGATATATCGACCTGAAGCAGCGTTCAACGTCGGAGATGACACCTTCGCACTCCCTTGGGTCTCCTTCTGTCGAATAGGACCAGAAGCAGACACCTTGCTCTTCTCCATCTCGTCGAAGGGCGTTCCTCGCTGATGGGAATTTAGCAAACTGGCATGCGTTTGCCACATCCACTCCAACTCGTTCCGCGAAGTAGTTTGCATATACATCTGGCTGCGCTTTTGCATGACCGCACGAGCCTGCTCCCTCTGCGTCCGTTCTGCCATTGCGCGGCGCTGCTTTTCCGCTTCGCGCAATTGTCGCTCGGCCTCCTTCTTGATAGCTTTGGCATTTTTACGAGCTGAGCCGTTCATAGGCTGTAACTCTGCCAATGACGGACTATCCGAGCTCGTAGATTGTGTACGCTTGAGCGACGGCGTTGAGTTGGAAGACGCACCCGGTACTTCGTCGACGGGAGGAAGTTGCTGATGGACCTTCTCTCCGTGTCCAAACATGGAAAGACCCCATTTAGAGGGCTTCTTGCCAAGGCTGAAGTGCAGCTTGCTGCTGAGTTTGATGCTCGGCGATTGAGTGGCATCGTGGGCAGGCATCGGATGGTCGGGTTCGACGCGGGGACGAGTCTGGTACTCCGGTACCATCGGTGAAGATTGTACTTCCATCGGATAGCCAGCGTGGTAAGCATCGAGAAGGGTCTCTGCCTGTGGAGAGGATACCTCCATCTGATCGGAGTCACTCCGTGCGTGACTAGCCCATGGAGAGGACGCGCCTCCTTGAGCGCGTACTTCTTCTGGAATGTCCGAGTAATGCGAATGCGAATGTATGCGTGGATCAACGGCATATTCTGCCGTTTTATGTGAGGTAGGTGTGTGAATAGTTGACGTAACGAAGGAAGGGACGAATGCGGAGCGATGGGAGGAGGAAGCATCGGGTATATGTGACGGGTGCAGGCTTGGGGGTTGATGGTAGGGTGATTTCGGGACGGAGTGATGTGAATGTGATGGAGGAATGCTGCGTGGTGAAGCAGAGGGAGTAATATGATATATGCCGTTCGAAACTGATCTCGATGGCGTTGGTGGCAGAGTCTGTGTGTGAAGAGCAGGAGGCATTGGGGGGACATTCCCTGGTAGAGCCTCAATAAGGTATGGGTGTTCGAGACACTGTCGACTCGTAAGACGACTATCAGGATCATACTTTAGTAAGTCCGATATACAATCAATAAGTTTGCGAGGGATACTGCGGTCGAAATATGAAGAGAAGTCCCGAGGAGTGCTCTGACATGTCATATTAGCAATGTTTAGTAAGTACATAATATTGCAGCAACCGACCTTTGGAAAAGTGAAATTAAATTGTTTCGCCATCTTGAGTCCTCTGCTCCATTTGCCACCACCGAGGGATCTACCGCGGACATCTGTTCCATGGTCTGCAGGATCCCCGAGAACCTCGCATATGCGATGTATTTGGTCTATTTGGCCGGATCCTGGAAATAACGGTCGAAGGTTGACTAACTCAGCCATGATCGTACCAAGAGCCCACATATCCACTGGATTCGAGTAATCTCGACTGAGAAGCAACACCTCTGGAGCTCGATACCAACGGGTTGAGACGTATTCCGTGTATGGCGGTGGACTGAGCGTCTCCCTCGCAAGCCCAAAATCGGCTAACTTGATGATCGCGACGACATCCTTCTCCGTAGGTGCATTGGGAGGGACTACCGGAGATAGTGAACGATATTCGAAGAGACCCGTTGTTGTAACGAGAACATTCTCGGGCTTCATATCACGATGGAAATAACCCGAAGAATGAATGTGGTGTAAACCCGAAACGATCTGGCGAAAAATAGAAGCAACAAGGCCACCAGCAAGAGTACGGCCTTTTCGCGCCTTTATCAGATGATATAAATTCCCTTCCATGGATTCGAAGACGAAATAGAGCTCCTTAGTATCGGGGAGGAGAAAGAAATCATAGAGTGGAATAATGCAAGGGTGAAATGGTATTGCGCGTAATGACTGAAAGACTTGGTGAGAATGGGAGGTGGTGAGTAAATGTCAATTGACGTACTTCAAGCTCCTTTAGCCTTTTACATTCATCCCAACCCCCTTCCCACTTCTTTTTCATCCTCTTGACGGCGACAAGACGCTTTCCGGCCCATTCTGGTCTAGCGCCGCCACCGCATTGCATAGGAGAGAGTGGTGTATTGGGCGGTAGCGTCCCATGCCAATCACACAGCAAGACTGTTCCAAAAGAACCGTCGCCCAGGGTCTTGATTGGTGTATACGAGCGATGTGAACCTTTAGGTCAAATTGTGAATATGAGAGACAAGGAAAGAGATTAAGATGCTCGAGAGGACTGACTGGAACGAGAGTCTCCGACTTGGAGTTTTCCATTCTGTATAGAAACAGAGGGTATACCAATGACAGAAACTGTCTCCTTTGGTTGAGAGGAAGCTGCCGATTTATGAGATTGGGAAGGTGGTGGTGGGTGAAAGTGACCATTTGTCTGGTGGATAGTATGTCCGTTTGTCTGGTGATTGTTGTGAGAGTCGTTGTGCATATTTGAGTGACCATTGCTCTGGTGGGCATGATTCGAGGATGTGAACATGATACGCAGAGCATTGCCTGGCGATGAGAAGTGGGAAGGAGAGTTTAACGAGAGGGCCAGCACGGATGCCGAGGCTAAGGGAACATACGACGAAAGAGATAATAAGTGATGATAAGAAATGTACCGAATGCTCGCAATTAGCTAGACGACGACTACGGCGACGACGAACTCGAAACAACAGACAAGTGTTGAAGACAAGAAAGCGGAAAAAGGTAAAGCGAGGAGGTTTAGTGGAAAGAAGCATCTTCATCGCCAGACTAGGGAACACTACTAAAGCTGTGCTACAACAACCGAGAACTTGAACTCATCATACTACCGGCTCTCTCTCAACATTGATGGTGAGTACATTAAATTATTTCATCCCGTGGGCTACAGACTATACGACCAGTACGGTACGTTCAATAACTCTAGTACTCACGCTACAAACTTTCTACTGACTGTATAGTGTAGGAATTTTCAGTGAGTCTGAGAGTCTCAGTCTACTCAGTCCATGTCTTCCCATGGGTACAACCGGATTCCGCCCAAATATTCGGTCCCGTTCCTCCATCCAAGCACTACTCAGTGAGGCTGTCTGACCGGCTAGCCTTGGACCCTACGCAATCACCTTCTCGTTATGTACTCCAGAACTTCTCAGAACCACACCGTGGCAATTTTTTCTCAACACCCCAACGGCACCATAATCATCTCTCATCAACCGCTTGGCCTCTCCTTCTTCATCCTATCCATGATCGATAATGATGTACCAGCCACTGCCTTGTGCATGCCTCAATCTCCACTCCGGCGACGCCCACGGCGTAGAAAAACCGCTTCAACCCTTGTAATAAGCGACCCGCGATACTACGATCTCACACTTTTCACCTCTTAATTTGGAATTCAATTTTTCTGTCATATCGTCATAAACTCACCTGCTAACCGTGATAGATTGAGTTTGGTTTGAAAACTTTGTCTCACGAATTTGATCTTACAGTCACCTACCTATATTTAGCTGAATACTTGATGATTGACATGCTTTTTCATCTGATGCTCTGATATTGATCCGAGTACCATGGCCAGGTCTAGACACAAGTCTATCCTCTACGTATCCTTCTCGCAGATCGGTTACATGATGTTCGGATACGCCGTGCGCCGTGCACAAATACACTCGTACAATAATATCCCCTCTCGTTTATTCCTTCTAGTAGGGAACCTCGTGGAAGAGCTTCGACACGCTCTCCCCATAATGGCTTCGCCGGATAACCTCCCCGAGGACAGGTCCGATGTCGATAACTTCGATCTTAGAACACTTCGCCTGGTTCTCTTTCTGAGGTAACGTATTTGTCACGATCAGTTTCTCCAGCACGCTTTTCTCAATATTTTCTAGAGCGTCGCCGCTCAATATTCCATGTGTCACGATTGCGTAAACCTTGGCTACACCTGCTTCGGTGAGATGATGTGCTGCAAGGCATAGCGTTCCGCAAGTGTCGGCCATATCATCGATGAGGATGGCAACTTTGTCCTTGACATGCCCAACGAGAACCATCCGGGATACGGAATTGGCCTTTTTGCGCTCCTTGTGAAAAAGAGCGAAATCGACGCCCAGGCGATCTGCAATGGAAGTAGCCCTGAGACATAATGATGAGGGCCTATCATGAACCTCTCCTATCAGTAAACTGTTACCTCTTGGCGCCGCCCGCATCGGGGGAAACGATTACGACATTTTGAAGATCGAAATGGGTGCGTATGTACAGGATTGATGATGGCTCAGCAAAAAGCTGGAGTGGTTACGTGTCAAATTATTGCCCGATCTATGAACGCCACAGCACTTACACTGCGCACGACGAAAGTGGACGAACATGAGTGACCCACACTTGGAAACAGGATCAAACGTTAGACTCACTTATCTACTGGCACATCAAAGAATCCTTGAATTTGTGATGCATGGAGGTCCATGGTCTATATCCAAGCTATCAGCATTGGGTTGACAAAGGGCCCAAGTAAAAACAGTGCAAACACCGGAACGGTGCCCCGGTGTTCCTTGGAGCAGGACAGACACTTACAATGACGTGATCACAACCTGCTTTTTGTATCATGTTCGCTACGAGCTTCGCCGTGATTGGGGCGCGGCTCTTATCCTTCTTGTCTTGTCGTGCGTATGGGAAAAGAGGGACGACGGCCGTTATGCGTTTAGCACTTGCAATCTTGCAGGCATGGATCATGATACACAACTCCATGAGGGATGTGTTGACTGCCCCGCAGCCAGTATTGATAATATACACATCGTTCTCGCGAACGCTCTCTGCAATGCGGACGCTTGTCTCGCCGATGCCGCTCTTGGTCACATCAGCTTTTGCAAGAGGTAGACCAAGGCTAGAGAGTGCATGGGTGAACAGCGCGCTCGCGAGTTCATTTGTATTTACCGTCGAGCAATGATCTCCGCCAGCTCAGGATGGCTGGTACCTGTCAGAGCAAGTGTCACTCAGTAAGACAAGGTCGCAAAAGTCAGGATCTAAAGACGAACCAGTAAAGATTTTAACTCCAGTTCCGTTCAGCATGATATTAATTTACAAGAGAGATATATTGTAAGAAAGAAATAAAAAAGGAAAGACAAAAAAATAGCCACAGTTATCACGTGTCACAGGTGTTACAGTGTAACGGATCGTGTGACCGCGTGACGATAAGGTGATGGAAAGGCGGAGGCACAGGTGGCTGAGAGGCAACTGAGAGAGAGGATTTCTTTACTTATATACTGCAACAAATCACTAAAACTGTTAAGACACAGTGCCTTGTGGGCTGTCCTGCAGGTTAATGTGCCAAATATAAGCTAAGGGATAATACGAATAGCCAAATTAAAGGGGTCCGCGTTTGTGAGAGAGGCAACTGGAATAGATGGGCAACTTTGTGTGCAATTCTTCGGAGTCTGCTGAGGGATCACAAAAATAGGATTTCTTGTATAATAACATCACATATTACAACTTTGATCAAAGTGATCCAGGGCTGTGCGTGACATGGGAGACGGGCTTCACTAGATTACATGCATGACGTCCCATTGGGATAAACATATTTACCTCATACAAACGGGGGAGGGCTCTGTGACTCGTTTACGCACGCTTTTTGCAGAATGTCTTGTGGCGAGCACGCCAATCCTTTGCCTAGGCATTGTTAGATAGCGTTATCATTAAGCGTTAGTAGACGACACTAATTTCGCAACTCACCTGACAGGTTCTTCCACAGTAGAAGGCGGACTGTGGAACAAAGTCACTCAGTTCTCCCGTGCGTCTATTCAACCTGAAGCTGCCTGTGATTACGTACCTTGCATCCAGAACAAGCTAAAAGCTGACTCCGATCAAACGTCTCACCAGGACACTGATAGTGCGATTAGCAAGTGTTATGAAGAGGTCACGAAGCTACCATACGTCATAGTTTCCACAGACCATGATGTCTGCAGGATGAGACAGTCTAACTCTCTTCGCTTCTTCAAGGTCACCTTTCACTTCATGCACTCGACCAAGATTCTCGACAGAAACTGCCGCTTCATATGCAGGACCATTCCCCATGCGGACAGAAATAGCCTTCTTGAGCTGCTCTTCAGCATCCGTGATTTTGCCCATTTTGAGATAAAGTTCTCCGAGTGCATTACGAGTTATGGCAGTAGTCAGGTTATTCTCACCAACTGCAGCGAGTTTAAGATGGAGTGCTTGCAGGTGGAGATCCTCTGCACCGGCATAATTGCCTTGACTAGAGAGGCTGAGGGCCTGGTTATTTATTCTAGCCGCCTGTGAAACGGCCATCCCAGAAGCCTGGTTGGAATGCAAGTGCATTGTGAAGCCAGACATTTGAAAGCGATACAGTAAGTGCGATGAGATGGTAAAGTACTGAGATGAGGTCTTTTTGATATTGATTGTTTCAGCTTGCTTTGTCGGAAAGTGCCGACCTCCGAATCCTGCCTCTGTCTGACCAGCGCTGAGCGCAGTGTACACGATTGATGCACAAACGATCCACAGATGGCGGCCTGTTTTTATTGAAAGAAACAAAGATCTTCAGTTGTCGAAGAACAAGAATATTGCAGGCAAGATATATCAGAACCTACTATAAGCCATTAACTTTGGCATCAGCCTTGATCGAAGTGAATAACATGTTATGCTGGGCCTAGTTAACACGAACACCCGAGCCAGCAATACTTGTATGATTTGCTAGACTGCATTACATGCCTGCCGTGCCGTTGCGACAACAGTGCAGGAACATATTTTACTTCATCCAGACAACGCAAAACTATCAAGTCTTGAGGAAGATCAGCGGTCGGTACTTGGGTACGCTTTGCAGAACCTTTTGTGGCACATGCACCCGTCCTTCGCCTAAGATATGTCAAGTATCATGGTAGACGATATTAATTTCGTTCACAAGCTCACCTGACAGGCTTCTCCACAGTAGAAGGCGGACCGATAAGCTCAAAAATGCTCAATCATCCGTTCATATATTCAGCCTGAAGTTGGGCACCTTGCATCCAAAACAACGGGTGCCATAACGATGTACCGAAGTGGTACATAGCAATTGTAGTTTCCGCAGACCAAAATGTTTCCAGGGTGGTACCGTCTTACCTTCCTCACTTCCTCCGAGTCAAAGTCACCCTTTGCTTCGTGCACCTGATCGAAGTTCTCGAGAGACTGCAGCATCATGCGTAGTCCCTATCCTCGTGTAGACAGAGGCAGCTTTCTTGAGCTGCTCTTCCGCATCTGCAAATCTGCCAGAGTTCTCCAAGGTCATTGCGGGTTGTAAAAGTGAATATACTGAGTGCACGCAGTTGAAGATGCTTTGAACCGGTATGATTGCCTTTTCTTTTTTTTAAATTCAGAGGCGAACTTATAAGTGATCGGGTCGCGGATGAGCTCGTTTGTCTTATTCAGCGTGACAAAGGATATGTGTTGTGTCGTGTTTGTTACGTGGCTAAAGTGGAATCATACGCTATCACTCACCGCTAACAACAAGTCCATCAATCGTCTTTCCATCCAACTGTGTATACAACGATCAACTCCAAGACTGGCTTCCTGAACTCTCTTTACTTATTTCTTTTCTTTCTCTCTCTCTCTCACTTAAACATGACTTCTTCCTCGTCCTCATCACCAGAAATGCACCCTGCTCCTCCAGCAGACTCCGCTGAACGCTTTTCCTACAAACTTGCAACACATGAGGAGGTCCTTGAAGATCTGTCTAGGTATGTTCACTTCACCTATGTTCAATCTTCTTCTTACGCCAAAAAGTCGCTTTCTTTTAAATCTCCCAGAGGAAGAACTATCGTCTCTTGAGCGGATATGTTTCCAGGTGGAGCAAGCGTAAGCCACCCGCAGTGCTTGCGATTCCCTTCCGGCTCACGTTTTCCATACAGGCATTGGTTCTATGAAGACTTCATTCGGGAACAAAATCCCAAATTTCCATCGCTACCGCTGAAGAAATTCTCCGCAATGCTTTTCCAAGCTTGTCCTCTGCTACACCAGTGGAGTCACGATCATGAACAAGCCTTTAATACCTTCATGCAATACAAGACTAGAGTCCCTGTATGTGGTGCAATTATGTTAAATGACACCTGGGAAAAGGTATGGCGCTCTTGGTGCTCAGGAACGAACAGAACTTACTTGGATTTCTCTAGTGTATCCTTGTCAAGGGGTGGAAATCATCTTCTGGTTGGGGTTTTCCAAAGGGTAAGATAAATGAGAGTGAGCCTACCCATGAGTGTGCTATTCGAGAAGTGCGTCGCGTTGTCCACATTTCTGTCTGGCGACCTGAGATTCTCCGCTAGGTGCTTGAGGAGACTGGTTATAATCTGGCGGGTCAGCTGGACCCTGCAAACGTAATTGAAATGTCGATCAAAGAGCAATGGATCTCTCTCTTTGTGGTACCCGGAGTCCCGGAAGACTTTCCTTTTAAAACTCGGACCCGCAAGGAGATAAGTGTACGTTCATTTGATTGCACTTCTCTTTTCTTGTCGTAATTTTTTCTCGCAGCGGATCGAGTGGTTCAAGTTAACTGATCTTCCAACCTGGAGGCGGAACAAAGCCGCCCCGGGAAAGTTTTATTTAATTTCTCCCTTCATCGCGTGAGTCTCCTTTTATTATGTGTATATCAGTTGTTGTCAACTTCGAGTAGATCGCTGAAGGCATTCGTCACCGCCAACAAGCCTCGAGCAATGGAAGGGCGAGCTCGGAAGATCGGAGGGTACACAAGTACGGATAACGGCACACATGAGTCCAGTTCATCCTCCGCAGATAATGGCGAACCCCAGACGCCATCTCCTCAGTATAGCGAGGCACTTCCTGCGACCAGCCGCCGCATAGCTACTCACGAATCCGACGACGAGCAAGTTGTCGATCCTGAACACATGGATCCGCATTTTGCTCGTCTGCTTAGTTCTCTGACGCTTTCGGCTGTCAAGCAAGACGATTCAAAGCCTCAGCTCGGTCTTCCGCCAGTTAAATCGCCTCTCTCGGTACTCGCTCACAACGCGACACCACTAGCTAAACAGAATATCGTTGATTGGTCTTCTCATGTTTCTGCCCAGTCAGAAACGCCTGGTGTTATGTCTTCTCCGCCTCCGAAACAAAGGCTTTCAAACGTATCATCATCCTCCACTCATCCCCTTCAGCTTCCCCAATCTTTGACCATGCAGGCTTCCTTTGTCGAATCATACACACTACCAACTTCACCTTCTCATGTTCCCGGAACTCCTTCATCAGGAGCCCTTTCGACCGCCTCATTATCTGCTGCGTCTGCCGCATTGTCCACTTCATCCTTGACTTCCTCTCGAAAGGTCCCATTATCGTCAAGACGCACGTCGAGCACTGCCGATATATCACCCTACCTTCCGCGCCTTACTGAGGTGCCTGCGTCAGGCAAGATGTTGAGGCAGCTTGCCCTACTGGAATCAGTGGCTGATGAGTCTTCACGCATGACCCCTACTCTGCCCAGTAGGGAGTTGCCCTCTGTGACTAATATTGGCAATATATCCGGCGCTCGTCATTCAGGATCGTCGGCTTCCGTTCCACCACCTACGCACTATCCGCAAGCTGACTTACGCCCGCTATTTGGACATATGCCATCGATGCCAGCTGGATATCATCTCCCGCCTACTTCTCAGCATACTAGCATCGGCTACTCTCAGCCGCCACTTGTTGATGACATTTTTCAAGTGCGACCACGTTCCAGTCAGTTTGTTGCCCATGACTATCCCCCTCGGAATGCCCGGCAAAATCAGTTGTTGTCACTGCTGACGGGTCCCCTACCAATTCCTGTCGGAATGTCTCACACTTCTCACCCACATCCCTCCTACTTGCAAGGCTACCCTCCAGTTCATAATTATCAAGCAAATCTTTCCGCACATTTCCCCCCCACTCGTCAGGCTGGGGGTCCTCATATGGTAACTGGTTTCTCTACTGCGATGCCCCCAGTCAGTGCTCAAATCCCACCCGCTCGATTCTCTGCTATCCCACCATCAGCCCATACTTTACAGCCAACTTTCCCCCCACCGCCAATCACTTCGCGGACCCCTGTTACCAACAGCGCTCAGCTACTTTCACTCCTAAACGGTAATAAACATGCACCGGCACCAGCCCCCGTTAATGCTGGCTATAGATGATTACACCACTATATCTCTGCTATAACCCCACTCTGCATCATATATATTGCTTGTCATCAACGCCATAGTGTATATGCTACGCACACTCCTCTTTTTGGAATGCCTTCGCCTTTTCTCCTGCATTTATTCCTTACCTTCTTTTCTTCTGCACCTATTCCTTGTCTTCGGTCCTCTACTTTCGAGACAGAGACATCTTTTTTCTGTCTGTCTTTTTTGACTGCGGGTTTCAATGAGTTTGACGTGAACCATTGTCATTCTCATCGTTCATTACGTCTTGCTGCCGCACTACAATAATTGCTATCATCCGTTTGCCCACTCTCGACATCTTTCTCTTCGTCACTCTCTCATACTCGAATCTACAGTACTAGTTCCGGTGTCATCCTTGGTCTCGTCGCAATACCCCCTGTAGTTTTGTACATCCTAACCAGATATATCGCTGGCCTAGTCCGTGCTCATACGTTTGTACTTGTTTTTTGACTGTCGAATTCAAGCCAAGTTTCGTCGCACTCGTTTGTTTTGCCACCGAAGCAAGGAAATAAATAAGCTGCACGAAATCAAGGATATGACATACATGCATCTTAAAAAGAAGAGAAAAATATTAATTCAGGTCAAGACGCGTGCTTGGTAAATCCCATGCGACGGGCATACTCTCGCTCCTCTTCAACCGTCAGTCTGTCCGAGCCTGACCAATTCGCTGAACTCGTCCGTGCTCTAAACCGGCTCTGCCTCGTCCTGAACAACTCCTCCATTCGCAGCGGCCGGATCGCTCCGAATATGTCATCCGGATCAACTGTGCTCTGCATTTGCAACGCCTGTCGGAGCTCCGGCGACTGAGCCCAATCAGGAGGATCAAATGTCCGTGGCCGATCTTCATCTTCCGAGTCAGAGTATTCGCTGTTGATGTCAGGAAGTTCAATACTCTCGCTGGGAACTTCAGGTGGCTGCTGCTTAGCTGCCCGTATCTGAGCCATTGCACGCGCTGCCATCTGATTCTGCACCATGGCGGAGGGAAGCTTATCCTCGTTCTCCTGCGGTACAGCCTTAGCTTTTCCCTTGGGAGGACCTACTTTGGTGGATTTCGCTTCGGTAGCTGTAGATTTAACCGCAGATGACCCAGCGGCATTCTGTGAGGCATTGTAGGTCGCAGAAGACACAAGCGCAGATGATGCGGGGACTTTGATGTTCTTGGAAGTAGAAGCAACTTTTGCTGCAGGAGTAACCAAACTGGATTTCGCCAACTTGGACAGAAGAAGAGTATCCTTCTTGTCTTTTGAAGGCGGCTTTTTAACATCGGGTTTCTTATCGTCCATAGTAACCTTCCGCTTCTTCGTCGCGTCTTCCTCCGTCTTCTTAAGCACAGCGGGGGTCTTGAGAGGTCGCTTTTCCGTGGTTTCGTCGCGCTCACGTTTGCGCTTCTCAGATTCCTCCTTGATCTTCTTGTCTTCCTCAACAGCGCGTGACTTCTCTTCATCAGCCTTGCGAGCAAGCGCTGCTTGGCGCCTCGCCTCCATCTCCTTGAGACGAGTGGCCTTTTTGTTAGCTTCTTCTTCTTGCTATACAATACTCTGAGTCCCGCGAAACACTCAAGGTAAGGGTAAATGAAATACCTTCTTCGCCTGCAGCAGCTGCAAGCTGAAGGCTCTTGACCTCTGGTTTGGCCTTTTTGCCTGTGCCAAGCATACTATTGACCAGTTTTGTGGCTTGACCGAAGAACCCACCCTGTGACTGCTGCGAAGACGAAGATGTCGAAGCCATGGATAATTGGCTTTCGCTCCGCGGAATGCCACCAGACTTCGGTCCCCACGGTGAGTATTAAGAATACTGACGATCAATATTATACATACCTCAATAGGAGTAACAGTGGGCTGGCCGGCCTTGAGGACATCACCCAGATCGCTTGTATACATAACTGACTCGTGGTCGGCTTCTGGTTCGGAGACGCTGGATTCATTGTCCTGAACCTGAGCGATGTCACCATCTATATCCATGGCGGAGGTGCTGGAGATTACGTGTCCCTCATCTTGCTGCACCGCATTCTTCGCTGAATTACCGGTCAGGTCACTTCTGGTTCCGGTGAGTCCCTGAGATTCAGTAGGAAGTGTACTCCATGTCATGCTATCCTCCTTGTTATTGAAGTTGAAAGGAGTCCATCCCTGTTCGCTTGCGGCCAACTTCTCCTCAAGGGGCCAACTATCATCATCGTCATCTTCAAGTGTAGCGAATTTTGCCCGATGAATCTGGGACTCTGAACCGTCTGTGCATTCGGTATCTTGTATAGAAGGCATCCAGGCTGGAGTATCCTCCACTTCATCAAAGACAGCATCCGACAGTGTGCTTGCTTGTGAGGATTGCTGTGTACCGCATGCCTGTGGAAAGGGACGCGAAGAAGGAGGAGATGTAAGTCTTGCCGGTAGACCCAGGGATATTGGCGGAGGAAGCGTAAAGGTTGCTGTTGGCAAATTGAAAGAGAATTCTTTGGTGAGTGGTGCAATCTGCTTCGGGATGGGAGGCATGAATACAGGAGGAGGTTGCCTGTTGAACACTGGACCAGGAGGAGGAACGAAGCTGGAGCCAGAAGTACGAGTGGGAGGTGGGGAGTTGGGTGGGGTTGTTGAAACGCTCTCGTCCGCTGCAGAGGAAGACTGAAGGGCTACCGGGCTTTCATTAGTAGAGACCACGCCAGAGATACTGAGTCTGCGTTCCGATTCTCTTGAGTGAACATCTTCAGTTGCTAGTTGGGGTTCTTCAACGTCTGGTGCGGAAGAGCCCCCTGACTCCGTGACCTGTTCTTCATTAACTTTATTCCTCTCCGCTACTCTTGCTTCTGCGGCAGCACGAGCTTCAGCAAGTGCAACAGCTGCTGCACCACCACCAAGGGACTTCCCCATGCTTTTACCCGCGCGGGCACCAAGACCTTCAACCGTACGTTTAAACACCCCAATGAAACTAGCCTCTTCCTCTTTGTCGTTCAGTGGTTCCCACTGCTCCTCGGGGAGATGCACAGCTCTAATCGGCACCAGAATGGATGGAGTCTGGGTCGGCATAGCTGTCCCCTGGTTCAGAGGTGGGTCCTCCGAATTTTGCGGAGCAGAATCGGACTTGGAGGCCTTGGCCACCTTCGCTCTACGCCCCTCGTCGGTCTTATCTGAAGCCAAAGGTGCAGTAGCAAGCATATCGCTACTTTTCCGCTTTAAAGGAGCGGCAGTGTTGCCAGAGGGACCCATTGTGCCAACACCAGGGCCGAGAATGCTTATCTTGTTATGAACGATGCCTTCTAAGGCTTTCACCTCTCTGGCCTTCATTAGCCATGATGTACGTTTGCCCAGTGCGGAAGGTTGCGCTGGTGCTGGAGCAGCTAAAGCAAGAATCCCAGCACCCGCAGATGGTTCCACTACGACACGCATCGACTTACGTAGCGGAGATGGAGCCCGAAGTGTTGGAAATTGCAGTGCGCTGCTCTTGTGCGCAAGAATCCGAGACGGCGAGTCATTAAGTGGTACTACCATAGTAGTCAACGCAGGAGTGGAACTGGATGCAGGTAGAATGGGCAGCGGAGCAGTCAATGCATCCCTAACATGCATGATAGGAGAGCTGGCTATTGGTATCTGAGGAAGTGGTTGAGTGTGATTGCCAGTGCGTGCCTCTCGAGCGCGGGCATGTTTCTGGGACTCAAAGGGAACAGAATGTAAGGGGTCGAGTGGTGATACCATCGTGTCCTCTACCTCTGGGGCCAGATCATCATCTACTAGATCCGGATCATGACTGACATGCTCGCCCACAGTCGTGCCCGCGGGCTTAGACTGCAGAAGGATTTGCTCAGCACAATCGATGTCTGCATGAGAACGCGTGGACTCCGTATTCTGTTTGGCGTGAAGAAGGGCTTTATGAAAGTTATTGACAGGTGGCTGGTTCTCCTTGCTGATATCCTCCTCCTAGAGACCAGACATGATTCTCAATTTATCAGTCTTGAAAGAGATAAAATACCTCGAGAGACAAAAGAATGGAGTTTTGCGCCTTCGCAGCTGCCGAAGTGGTTACTTTGGTTCGCTTGGGCGCGGTCTTCTTTCGAGCAGGTGTCTTGACGAGGTCGATAATGGCTCTACTGATGCTCAGAATAGAGAAAAAGATGTATCAGTTCACGCACTCTTGCTTTGGACCAGCCAAGATGTTCTCGAGGTAGTCGTCTAAGAAGATGAAGCCGTGTGTTTGGACTTGGTCCTCGAATAATTGCCGACATGGATCCTTCGCCATGGAGGTGCGAATAGAAGTTGTCCATGCTACGATTCCGGGCGCTGGGTGCGCCATAATTACCCTCGTGTCACTGGTGTAAACTATGAGCAATTGAAGGGGTACTTGCCGTTTCGCACTGTGGTTGTACGGCTAGCTAGCACCAAACAATGCATCAACAACGCGTACGTCACATGACTGCAACAATTTCGCGTCCACAGCTTGGTCAGGCCCACTAGTAAACGCACCAAAAGACCGGCTATCTTACAATTATACAAATCGATGCAATAAACGAATTATATTATGACTATCAGTACGGCTAAGGATGAATGTCATAACAGTCCCAGTCTGGTAGATCATCATAGTGATCGTCTAAAATTTCAAGGTCCTCCATGACTTCCTGTAACCCCTCGAGAAACTCCGCCCTTCTTTCTGCTTTTTTTCGATCAAACAACCACGGGCAGTCAATGTTAATGCACTCGATTGGCTCGGCATTTGCAGTCGACGCACACGATGCGCACACCCGTTGTGCGTCCAGGAGCCGGGCTTCTCCTTCTCGTATTTGATCAAGGAGAATGGGCATTGTTTCCCAGGGCGTTTTCCGACACCTATTACATATTCCTGTCGTGAATTCATTAGCCTTAAAAGAGACGAAAAGATACGAGTGCCTACCGTCTGAAGACAAGCCACCGCATGCAAGACACTGGGAACTCTGAAAATGTTCATCTATCTTTAACCTGTTTGCTGTGATCCTCCTTTTTTGGGGAGATATTGCAAGAGGATTTGGATGATTGATTCGGATAGCCTTCGGCATATCGTCAAACCAAGTTCTAACGTCAGCACCTACCAAGTTGAAGATACGTTCGAGTGGTGGGATCAGAACGCGAGATATGTAATACGAAGCGTCTAATTGCATGTGCCTAGATCGTAGATAGTAGAGGTTCGGATGCATGGCAAGAGCAAGACAAAGGGCGCACTTGTTTTGCAATAATTCTTCTGGAGACACCGCCCTGTCCACAAGCCGTGTCTGGGAATCACCGCTTATGATCACGTATGGAATTCGGTCACCATATTGAACCTCGTCGTTCTCGTCCTCCATCATTCTTCGAGCGGCAACAGCTACACCAGGCGGAGGTGGTGCCTTTTCACTGATGTAACCTTGTTCCAGTACATATAACGCATCAATATACTTTCACGCACGAATAGGTCCCCATTTTGACTTCCTTTGCAAATACGAAATCTTGTATTGACGTTTTGTTTTGAAAAATTTTAGTCCATGACTGGTAGCAATAGTCCTTTACTTGACTAAGATCTTGGGTACGGAATAAAATTCTTGCCGCGAATTTAGGCAAAGATTCATGTCACGAGAATACGAAAACCTACTCACTTTAAACACGTTTCTGTCATTTTTGACTGAGCAGGCACCCCGTCACGGCGGACAGTTTCTATTCCTTTTGCATCGAATGCGGGGACAGTCTCATCCGGATTCTCAAATTTGAATCCAACATATCTTTTCTTCGCCATTAACAGACATGGCAAATACACCTAGTCCAAACATGAGTAGTCGACTCGTTCATCTCGGAATGTATAAACCTTTTCGAATTTCAATTTGATGGGTGCCGGATTCATTGCCGTAACCGTATCCGCAATATCGTAGCCGATGTGGAAAGCCTGCTCCTTTGTCTTTCCTCGAAGGTATATGAAAAGGGAGTCTGTGTCCCCGTAAACAACTTTGGCTCCCCATCTAGCATTGCTGTCGATGACTTCTATAGCCTGACTCCATTGTCAGGCTCATGTGAAACTACATAGCTAAAATACTGACCTTTTCCAAGGTTTCTCTGCCGCTTTGTACAATACTGTCTGCAATTTCAACAGCAGGCATGCGACCAGAGTATGTTGCGCTTGTATATCCATAGGTGACATTAGCGATGTATTTTAGGCTGAGCTGGCGCGCGTCCAGAACTCGACTGAGTGCCTGTGTAACCGTGGTTATTGAAGTCAGAATTGACGACATACGCGTTACCTTGTCAGCTTTCGAATCCTTCATCGCCTGTTTGACCATTACTCGGGTGTCCAACAACTCCGTGAGCATGCGTGCAAGTAAACCCTTCCTCACCTCGGGCTTCACGTACATGATGCCATTCGGCGCAACTACAGCCAAGAGCTCAAAACAAGCATCAAGCCTACAAAAGAGATAACCAACCTGTTATGTGGTCTTGCAATTTTTCCAAGAGTCCACGTGGTCTTTGGAGATCCACCACACCAAACTTGTTACGACCCTGGAAGTCGACCATTCTCCCGAGGCAGGTTGAGTAGCAATAATTGTAAGCGATCATAATTGACGGATAAAGCGATTGGAAGTCGAGCACGACGAGGGGTCCATTGTAAAAGGCGGAGAGGGGTTCCATAATGAGAGGCATGCATTCTGCAGCATTTTGTTTTCCAACCTAGGAGACGGTGTCAACTGATTTCGAATGGATGATTCAAGCTCACATCCTGTTTGCTAGGAGACAGGAGAACAAAACTCTCCGGCTTCGCGATGCGGAACATGAATGACTCCACTTTAAACTGTGAGCCTCGACTGATTACGGAGTAAAAGTCGACTCCAAAGACGCGCGCAAACTCTCTGTCGGCGCCGTATGTGAGGACTTGAATTGGATCTGACTGACGACTCACGCATTTTTTGTGGTTGTTTCGGCTACTTGGAGGATTTCCAGTGTCATGATCGTCCGTTCAAGGAAGTAGCGAAGGGCACGGGAGGTGCGCACGGGATCTGTACTATTATACCAAGTTGTTAGGACCGAGGGAGTATAACGAGGAACCCTGTGCAGATGAGTGGAGAATCAGTGGTGATGGATTGGTTGGCGTACCTTCTACGCAGTAACTGGAAGGCCACATTCTCGAAAGAATACATGGTAAGTGTCTGCTCAACTCGCATGATTCTCCAGACGTTGAACACATGCCGACCAGTGACCTTGAATGTGGTGGTTGTCTTCTGACTCCATTGATTGTTTTCTGCAGCACCATTCTTGCTAGGGGCTCGAGATATCAGCTCGCCAATGTCAAAACCTTCACATGTATTAACTACCAAAAACTGGAAAAGACCTTGCACGAACCATAGTGATTTCCTCGAGCATTGAGATAGCCCCAAGATGCTGATTGAACATCCCAGCCAACAATGATATCCGGATCAAACTCGACTACTATGTCAACCATCCGATTGAGTAACTCCAGTTCGTCGACAACAATCTCCAACGGGAAATCGCGTATTCGACGAGGATCCAGTTGCGCATTCTTAACCGCCAGGGTGCCTCGTTCGTGATACACTGAATGAATATTATCATCCCCGAGAGCAAAGAAGATTGCAACAATCCCGTCAACATTTGCGTCAGGCACTTTATTACCACGTGAAGGAGCTAGCAACGAAAGTGAGAGCATGGCAAACGGTCATTTGAGGGCTCACCAAAAATTTCCAGGGAAAACAAGGACATGTGCTGGGCTGCTCTAGTGCTGGAGTCAGATCGAACATGCGGCGTTGACTTCACGCCATAGGGATTCATTTGGGTACTGCCCTCGATCTATATACGCTTTCATGAGACGTAGCTTAAGCATAGTAAACTCAACTTACCTGAGAGTACATCTTGGCCTTCGTGGTCAGCTGAACTGGGTTTTCCTTCAGCCACTTTTTCACTTGAGTTTTACTCGGAGGTAGGGCTGCATACTCCCATCCCCATGACAGATATGTGCCTTTCAAACGACGCGCATTTCTTCCCGTATGAAGCTGACTTCCACAAGACTTCCACTGGTCTAGGGTGTCCAGCCCCTCCCCGCCTTTAAGGTGATACAGGAGACCAGCATATTCTCTCGGGTGCTCTGGAGCATCTACGCGCTTGGAGTAATAAGGGTTACGGTAAACCCTTCGGGGGATACCATACGTCTCAATGGTACTGAGAAGTTCAGAGGAGGATGGCGGTGGTACAGCGAACATGAATGCCGTGGTTGGGCTTGATAAAGGTGGCATATATCTCGAAAATGAGGCTCTTGGTAAGGTCGGCTGCAAAATACTTTCACTCCGTTCAACGGAGCCGTCTCGTCGTCCTTCTCTTGTTTGTATTGGCGTTGAGCTATTTGTGAGGCCCTGTGAACCCTTCGGCGTTCCCCAGACATCAATCAACTGTTCATCTCGAAGTAGGAATGGATTTTCTTCGTTATCGCATCCAGCACTATTATCAGATGAACCAGATGAGTCAGGGGATAATTCCAGCTGTGTTAAGGGCTCTGTAGGAACCATCAATGGCAATTCATTCCTGTTTGCAACCTTTCAATACTGATCGATATGTGATAACTTTCAACAATTACATTGTGGGTGTAGTCGCATCGTAGGAGGCCCCATCAGTCACATACCGCATTCTCCTAAATATGTATACGAATGAAAAACCCTTCCATGAAAGTAAGTGTGCTCACTTAGTAGGAGTTGCTGGCAGCTCTGAAGATGTTGAAAGACTCCTCGCACGTTTGCGGCTGTTCTTACTTCAATTATGGCTTTCAAAAAGAAGGGGTTGCCTACATTTCCAGATCACGCCATGAGTGTCGGAACGAATTTGTTCGGAAAAGGTCTCGCGTAGGAGAGACGAGTCTGTTGAGGCAAGCATGAGTACAAGAGCCAGGGAAAATAAGTGACTGAACCTTTCGCTCCCATCAGTGACAGCTTCAGCCTCGCCAGAGGGACTGGACACATCCATCCCAAAGTCTGGAGGAGGCTCTTCTTCAGCCAACTGATCGTCAGCAGCAGTATCAGGTTCTGCAATGGTGTCCCCCGCCTGCAAGTCCGCCCACTCTTGGTCTTCGCGGTCCATCATCTGACTCATCTCCTGTGTGGAAAGCAACATCTCGTCGACATCGACATCCTTACTTTGCGGTGGTCCTTTCGAAGACCCATCCTGCGTCGCTTGTGCAAAAGGATTTTCCTTGTTCTCGGCTTCCGAAGTATGAGCGCTTTGTCCATTGTGACCACTAGCCTCTCTACGAACTGGTTTCCAAGTTCTCCACTCAGCCTCCCAGAGGGCTTCCACGCTCTCAAACGTGGTCATCACCCATTTCTCCCAAAGTTCCACACTGTCTGTGAAAGTAGGCTCGGGGTCTCTTTCTTTTTCAATGCGTTTTCTGACTTCCTCCCACCACCTCGCTTCCGCGACCCACTCGCCTCCATGGCCTCTAGACATCTTGCTTGAATCAATAGGAAGCGCAGGGGTCGGAGAGAGGCCCTTGGCAAGCCTTCGACGTCTTTCGTCATCCCACAGTTCACGGACACTCGGAACAAATGGCTCAGAAGGTAAAGATGGTGAGGTTATTGCCAATTTGTGGTGGATGTTGCGTGCGGACAGGAGATGGCGGTTTAGGATTTGATGAGCAGCGGCATCAACTTCAAGCGGCATGCGGGATTGACGAAAGTATGGTGATACCTTGAATGTTGTTGGCTCCGGCATTTCAGTATCGTTTTCTTCATGTCCTCGCTGCCAGACCTCCGCGAGATTGATCCAGCCACATCCATAGAGCCCAAAATCGCACATGAACTGTAGAATGTAGCTCAAATGGCTTTCGTACACGCGAAAGCGTGTACGCATGACAGTCCCAGATTGCAATATAGCGACAGCACGATTGACAAATGTGGGGTCTGCGATAAGAATCTTCAAGAACGGCGTATATGACGAGTGGAATCCATAGAAGTGAATGCCTTTCACGAGAAGTACACCCCGAACAAACTGTGATTTACACGAATGTGGATTGCGCTTCATCGAGATGGCGATAGCATGGTTCAAAGAACAAGATAACTTTGCAATGTACTGGTTCACTGACTGGAGTCAGCAAGAAGACATCCTGCCAAACTGAATACACACACCATTTTCAGGACTCAATTTGCCCCCATACCCGACAAAAAAATAAGGGTACACTTGATGCACATGTACACATGCTTTCGTTCCTGTGGACGAGGCTCCATAAATTCGGATCACAGGTACTCGAGGGAGAGATGTGTTGTCGAGAGCGCCAGGGGAGGCCACAGTATAGTCAATTTGGTTAATGAGTACTCGAAGCGTAACCTCCCGCTCCATGAATCTAGTTGTTATACAGTATGAACAATGTGGAAGAATTAATATCACTCAGCGCATGCACCGAATGCGACTACTAGCGAAAGGCCCTATTAGTGACTCGAGTTGGACGTGAACGCGCTCGTCAGTTTCACATGGAAGTCAAGTCACATGTTCGAGTTTTAATGCTGCCGCTTAAGCTTGTCAGAGCAAACAATGCTCGAACTACAAAATCTACTAATCCAACGGTATTGAGTAAGTGCGTGATTCAGAAGGACTTATCACAACTGATTGATCCTCCTTTCGTGATGAATGACAGATATAACTTGCTGTCCAATCCACGTCTTGCCTGGCTCTATCTTCGCAAATCCCCTCACATAACCTGGCTCAACACAAACATACCTTTCCCTACCGAGTGTTAGCATCCAAGTTCATGATCGAGTGTAAATGCTCACCATCCTCCATCTTCCATATCTCCCATTTTCGCACCTGCAGCCTGCTGAGGGTTCCAGACGACAACGTCCTTTAGCTCCCGAACCATGATCTCTACACCACCTCCCGGCCATGTGACTTCATATTTCCCCCCTGCATCTTCGTACACAGAGTCGGTGAACTGACGAACATCGACTCCTGCTCTAGTTTCAACTTTCGGTTTGTTTCTGGCTTCTTCGAATGCCTCTGTTTTGTCAAAATAACTTTTGTTTTGCAATGGGAAAACAAGGACGTCGTTTGCAGGAGCCCTAATATAGTTGTGGAACAAAGCCTGGAATTCGAGGTTGTCTGGTGGGTAAGCCGTGGAGGTCGACGTATTCGTGACGTGCAGATCAGTACTAATATGATGCTCAGCCAGGGTAACAACATAAGCTAGATGGAATGGTTTGTCATATTTCGCTGTAATACCCGCGGTTGGCTCGAGCGCTGGGAGAAAATATATCAAACGACACAACTACAGTGAGGTGGCACTTACTGAGCCTCACCGATACGCCCTCATCGTTGTCCATCACAATGCTATCGAATTTCCACACTTCATTTCTAGCAAAACCATGCTGGGCAAGTTTCATGTGCTCTGGGTGGCTGGGAGGTCCGAAGCAAGGAAATATAACTGGGATACCTCCCCGCACGGGCTTTGAGCCATCGACAGCGGCTTTAGATGAGACGAATAGCCGCTCAATTGGTTGAGGTTCGGTGATGGTTCCAGCCTTCCATGAAATTACTGTCGCACCGTATAGAAGTAGTTCTACAGTGGAACCCTGATTCAAGAATCAGTAATAAGTGGCTGTCTGCTTTTGGTCTAGTCTATCACGGACCTTTGCATGAGTCAAATTGATTCGCCCAGAAGCCTGTTTGACTGGCATCTTCGAAGTAGATGATAAGCTTGAGGTGCTGAGTTGGCAACTATGAGATATACGGATACCCCCTGGGATTACCTTGGAGGGCTAGCGGCCCGATCCCCCGGACTGAGTAAAAGCCTGCCCTTAGCTGTAATCGCCACTATGTACGCCTACACTCTGTCACGAGTGACATACATCTCTCCCACTACCGACACTTCTCTCACACTTCCTGACTCCTGGACGGGGTCGTGTTTATGGTCAGCCTCGAGTCGAAAGTACGAGGGAGCGGCAAAGAAGCCCTCTTATCGGCTTCCTCTGCGATCCTTTCGCAGCGTGGCAGTGATTCAAATAGGCAGATGCATATGCCGTTCCGTTCACTGCAGGCCAAGATTGTCCTGAATCGCTACTGACTTTTCGTTTGTTCAGCGTCCCTACATTCCAGGCGATAATTTTTTGATATTCCACTTGCTATCGGTGCAACCACATCTTCTGAACTTTTGTCGTTGCGCACGAGGACTCTTCGCTTCGACACCTCGGACGTGGCTGGTTGGTGCACTCGTGCGGTCGTACGCAGCATTATCGTCCTTGCCCGCTTGACGAATTGCGCTATCACAAAACTCGTGATCAAAGGATCAAGCCACTTTGTTTCGTTGTACGCAAGGTCTCCTTGTTTCGACACCTCGGGTGCCTATCGGTGCATCCGTGCGTTCGTGTGCAGCGTTGCTCTCGTTGACCATGCACAAAAGTGCGATATGCGCATATTGTGCTATACTATAGTCTATGCACACCTGCACAGAAAGGCGTATCACGCAACCATACCACAGGCATTGCCTACCCCGCATGGACAAGGAACACTCATACTACAACTTTGGTGTTACACCGCAAAAGTCACATGAAGCGTCGCTCACGGGGCAAGTCATGGTCGAGGACGATCTAACAGGGTTTATCGGTGCTTCCGTGCTTTGTGCGGTGTGACTCAGTCTCGCTGGAAGGACATGGATTTATGGTCTCACAAACTTGTCATACCCAGACCTCTGTCTTGATGTCAAAATGTTGCTACATACTGTCGGTCCAATGAGGCTAGCTTCGAGCCAGATCTCGCTTTTCACTGAGTTGTCTCGGGTGTATGTGGACCTCCGTGTGCAGGCACGCAGCGAAGTGGAAGCCCGTTGGGAATAATCCGCCGAGATTAGTACCAGTTATGGCACTTATCAAAGATTTCGGATGCCTTCCGTTGGGAGTGCTATGGAACTGGTTGAGATTTTATACATTTATGTGCAGCCCTTGCAGATGGTGACTCGTGGTTTTCTGGATTGTGAGTTGTTATATATGATTGTCTGACAGTCTGATGGTAACGATGAGATTTTATAGGGACTTGCGACCTGGACAAAAGTGCCCCTCCGTCATCGCGAGATAGACCTCGTGGCTTGCGCCAGGGTCTGTCGTCTTAAACTGAGCCATCGGGCACGCTGTTGATGATTATTGCATAATTTTTTGCTATTTCTCTTCTTCGTGAAGAGGTTTCCACGGTGGTCGAATATCTTTTGGTCGGAGGTTACTTGCTTTACCTTCTATATGTACAATACATTATTCATCGTAGTGATGTCGCTCATGCCATCCAAAAGGTTGTTCTCGGATAACTGATTGATTTGTCTATTATTCCTTGTGACCGGCTTTGGGGCTGGGCTTGTCGGAGTCTCGATGATCTACTAACCAGTGATCCTTGTTCCGCCACGGCTGGCGGGAAGGAACTACTATCTTCGTCTATAAAGGTCTGGTTAGGGGAAGGCCAGCAGTACTAGTACTAGTTGGTCAGTACTGACAACTTCCAGTTCCGAAATATCTCACGAATTTTGGCATCAGTCAAGGTGCTTCAGTACTTCAGTACTTGCTTCAGCGACAATCCGTATTGATAGCATGGAGTGCGCGATCATCATGTTTCTGCGCTGTGTAGTTATAGTTGCAAACTTGAGCGATAACTTGAATATTGGCTTGGGGATTAAATCGAATGCACCTCAGACTAAACAAAGATACCCTTCATCTTAATCAAGCTTAATCAAGAACAGATCACTTGCCCTCAACGTTTAATCGCTAGACACCACACCTTCCACCACAACCATCTCCAGCCTTGCAGCCCTTGTAAAGGTATTGCAGCTAGTATCTGACTTGTTAAATAGTAAGAAGCCCCCGCGTAATTTCTCAACTGGGACTGAACGTCTCTTGATACAGCGCCACTTGCGATGGAACCCGGATACACCATGGAGGACGTGAGTCTCATCAGAATTCCATGGTGAATAGCATGAAAGTAACACAATATCGTTGCAGATTGCACCTATTGCCGTTCTAATGGACGAGCTGCGCTCGGAAGACGTTCAACTACGCCTCAACGCTATTCATAGCATACCCACGATTGCACTTGCTTTGGGGCCAGATCGCGCTCGTGACGAGCTTGTCCCGTTCTTGCAAGATTCCGTCGATGACGAGGATGAGGTGCTACTGGCTTTGGCCAAAGAGCTTGGGAGGAATTTTGAGGAGTACATTGGCGGAAAGCAATTCGCTCATGTGCTGCTAGGCCCCCTGGAGAATTTATCTGCAGTGGAGGAAACCCTGGTACGGGACAAGGTGCGCGTCCTTGAGAAACGTTACTTGGTTAATTGGTTGATAACCTATGCTTCTGCCACCAGGCTGCAGAATCTATCGCCAAAATAGCTGAAGTTCTATCTACTCCGCAAATCGAAGAGTTTTACATTCCACTCCTGAAGCGGCTCTCACAGGGCGAATGGTTTACATCGCGCACCTCTTCTGCTGCCCTGTATCCTCCAGTTTATCACAAAGTATCGTGGTCAATCCAAGAAGATCTCCGGAAGGGCTTCGCCGCTCTCGGTGCAGATGATACACCTATGGTCAGACGTGCTGCAGCTAAGTGGCTCGGGGTGCGTAGTATATATTACGTCTCTGCGCCGATTGAAACGTCAGCTTTTTGGCAGCCATTTGTTAAGAACCTGTCAAAGCAACATGTCTTGTCGGATGGGTTACCTATCTATCGCAGACTCCAATCCGATGATCAGGATTCTGTGCGCTTACTCACAGTAGAAGATCTTATTGTTATCGCGAAGCAACTTACGCCACCTGAGGTGAAGGAGCAGTTGCTGAAGCAAATCAGACACAGTATCGCTGATAAGAGCTGGCGAGTGCGATATATGGCCGCAACGCATTTCAATGAGGTGCGCCCCCGATGCTGGGTTCTACGTTTATTGGGCAACACAGTTTATATTGGCGTTTAGCTCGCAGAAGCCGTCGGTACAGAACTTGTCAGGGAGGAGTTAATAGGGCAATATGTGCAACTTCTAAAAGATAACGAGGCAGAAGTACGCACAGCGGCTGCAGGCCAAATCCCAGGTATGGTAATAAATGCCATTATAGAACACCGCTTGATTCCGCCCTTGACTTTCAGGGTTTTCGAAACTGCTCGAGAAGGAAGTCATCCTTGCACGCATCGTGCCTTGCGTGCGTGACCTCTCGCACGACGCGTCTCAGCATGTGCGAGCCGCTCTTGCAAATCATATCAGTGGCCTTGCACCGCTCCTGGGCAGAGATGCTACTATCGAGCATCTCTTACCCCTGTTCCTTCATCTATTAAAGGACGAATTTCCCGACGTTCGGCTCAATGTCATCAGTAAGCTCGAGACTGTAAATGGCGGTAAGCGCACTGCCCGTTTACCCGCGAATGGCTCTCTGAAATGCTATTGCCAGTCATTGATATCGAACTCCTCTCTGATAGTCTTCTCCCCGCTATCATTGAGCTTGCAGAGGATAAGTCATGGCGCGTCAGACAGGCTATCATAGAATATATCCCCCTTCTCGCAACACAGCTCGGCAAACCTTTCTTCGACGAACAGCTCGGCAACCTGTGCATGTCATGGTTGGGTGACACAGTCTTCAGTATACGCGAATCTGCAACCATCAACCTCAAGAAACTGACGGAAGTCTTCGGCGTGGATTGGGCGAAGGTTCAGATTGTCCCTAAGGTCATGGGTATGGGGCAACATCCAAATTACCTCTACAGGATGACTACCGTGCAAGCGATCACAGTACGTGTTCATCTTTATTAGGCCGCAGCGACCTGAGCGGATCTTCAAATTGTAGACCATTGCACCTTCCCTGAATCTTGCAATCGTTCAAGCTGAGATTATCGGGCCGCTCCTGCAGCTTGCTGAAGACCCCATCCCGAACATCCGCTTCAACGTCGCCAAGTCTCTAGAAATTCTTGCCACTACATATGGAAATACTACGGAGGGTCGCGAATTTGTCCGCAAAAGCATTGTTCCGGTGCTAGAGCAACAGAAAACAGATTCCGACGCAGATGTGCGTTACTTCGCCGCGCGGGCCCTTCAAAAAGCGTCAGCGGACATGTTAGGCAAGTATTGAAAGCACGAAAAAATCATCCGTGGCGTTGACCTATGTAGCACAGGTTGACTAGGCGGTCTTTGCAGTCTGCACATACCCGTCCCCCTTTGAGTCTTTTTCTCGCACTCACGAACATTCCAAGAGAATAAATAGTACCGTACCTTCTTTTGTGCTCAATGAATCATGAACTGCAGACAAAACACTGCCTATTATGCTCCCCATACCAACGCGCAGCGCATCTGATTATATCGGCAAAGAATTTCTTGACAGATTCTGTCGTCGGTCTACCGCACACAACGCATGCCGAACCTCTCTTAAACTACATAGAAATTGTAATGCATTTGGTACCGCATGATCGGGCTCGCGGTAAGAAAATATTTTGTGTATTGATATTGTGCGACTTTCAGAAGCTTGCTCACAGTTCTACAGATCAAGTGGTATTGTATTTCTTAGATCAATAATGGCCATCAGGCGTTGTAAAATTCCTTGCAGTATCATGACCTGCCCCTAGATCTCTCATTAGCTCATTTGAAAGGTCCGAGAGGACGCATGCCATCTCGTGGTGAATTGCTTTTTATCACGTGATACGGGCGCGAGGTGGGGGGAGCCAATCAGAAACCAGGCTTGATTAATAAGGTTTGGCGAGCTAAATGTTAGGGTATAAGAATGCGTCTCACTAGATGAGTTGCACTTTTGCCTTCTACCACAACCATCGCAAGTCTGGGAACTTGTTGGCTACGTATTTGTTCTATATCTCTTATAACTTCAGCGCGAGTCGCTTGTCTTAATATCTACAACCTTCTTCACGCTCCTTTTAATCCCACTCCTTTTCGATATGCCGGTCATGCGCTCTCTCCTTATCTTCCTGCCCGCCGCCGCCGTGACGTTGATGCTTAGCACGCCCCTCACAGTGCAGCATGCTCTGGCCAAACCAATTGCAATGCCGTCTTCACCCAGGGCCTTCGGCGGGTTCACGAATATCGCTGACAGAACAGACAGGTTATCCACATCTAAGCATCCAGCTTCTCATGCTACAGCCATGCCAGCTAAGTCTCCGAAGGCGCCATCACGGATAACTGCGGGGCATGCGGAACGTAAAGCCGCCAGGAGTGTTCCACACGTGCCGCGTGAACCGTCTGCTAGTGCTCATGGAAGCTCGAACACATCGAGCGGCAAGCTTGCTCGTCTACGTAGATATCACCGTCAGGCCTTGCAGCACGCTGCAAACTATCGTACGTCGGTAAAATGGGGGTTGTTTGTGACCTTTACTTATTGTTCTTGCATAGACAACCTGGCCTCAAATGCAACGTCTGAGTCCGCTTCTGACCCCGCATTCCAACAGCAAGCGTCAACAGAGCTCTCTGGATTCAACACGAACTTTGCAGGTTTCACTTCTGTTCTGGCAGAGCTTGGCGGTGACAACGGCGTCGCAAACCTGGATCCCACCAACAACATAGAGACCTTGCTAGAGAGCATCATCAACGCCAACAAAGACATCCTCACGGTCACTTACAACCTTGTTGTCTCATTGCCCATCGTTGGTCCGATCTTGGGTCCCAGTAAGTCTCGGTCATTTCTTGCGTGCGTAGCGGCAATGAATTGTCTTTGTAGTCGTGTACGATCTCAAATGTACTCTGGACGATCTACTGGACATCGTCGAGAATCTAACCGATGCTATCGTCAACGCGATCCAACCCCTTCTTCAGGCTGTTCTCGGCAAGGCTGTTACGGCGACGTGCGCATCTGGCGTCCAGGTTGCAGGTCTTTGCATATAACATCGGGTTAGACTCGATTTCTTCTATAACCACAGACTATATTTATAGAACCCACGCGCTGGCGCTTCTATTAGAGCGCGCGTACGAATTTGTTTTGTACTTACCTTGCCACTGTATTATCACGGACTTCCTCATGCTTTTTAAACTATCTATGCTGTTCGCTCGACTATCTCAAAAAAAACGAAACAGTCCATTATCGTGGACTTCGATTCGAGTATGCAAGGATGTTTTAAATCCGTATGATGCTCTATGAAATATGAGTTGGTGCTAAGGGGCACCCGACTGAAAGTAAGCCCGAATCTACACATCTACAGTATATAACCGGCCGCTCGGTCGCTATTGCGTCCACATCATGTTATGTTGCTGCGCATTTTCTTGCCGTTAGTCTGTCCTGTTTTGCACCCATCTTTCACACATATGCATGAATAGTATTAGGAAATTCGATCCAGCCCTGTAATTGTGGTGTGCCCGGGAGGTTTGGCGTGGTCCTCCGTGCATTATCAATCTTGATGCTTCAAATCGGACCAGCATTTTTTCTGTCCTTCACAAAATTGTTGACCTGCAATGCGCGTGCTTGAGTGCGCTCGGAACCAACCAGCTTTGATTGCGTGAACATAGAAAGTATGCACATAGTAGCTTCACCCACTGCGTACTGCGGCCCCGCCGGAAGGGGATCGCTTGTTACTATTGTTCATGTATTCATTGCTACATAGATAGAGGGTGTAATTCCAGTGCACGTTGATATGGGATAATGACGTCGTGGAGGAGAACAGCTCATTCCTCAAACACCCATCTCTCAGCAAGCGGTCCAATTCTTGGGAGATGATAACGTGTGAGACCTTCGCGCGACGCTCCGAGGTATGCTCGTACGCTGAAATGTGTGAACTCGGGACTCATGTCAACTTTACGGATCACTCACGCCATGAAAAGTGCGGAAAGTGCGAATGTAATAGTAAGGAATGACCGCATCCACGAAGGAAAACCAAGTAGTGATGCAAATATGCGCACCAATAACAGAGGTGTCATTAGCAAGGCAGATTGGTAAGCTGTTAACGATGAGCTCAGCGGTCACAAGTCAGTAAGGAAGCGGAGAAGGTCACCGTGAAAGCGAACATAATCGTTATGAGTTTCCAGCACAAGTAATATCAAAGCTGAAGCAAATCATGACAAAACAAAATAACCGCTCATATTTGTATAACTTACCTGAGATTGGACCCAATATATATGCGAAGGCTGATAAAACGTCCACACGCAGCCCATAACTCGTTTCCCACAGATCCTGCTGAACATCCTCATGCCCGCTTATCGAATTGTTAAATGTAGGGAGACCGCCAGATTGATAAGATATCTCTGTTCCTCGTGAGGATGAGTGAACTGGAAACCATGGCCGAGCTTTGGAGTTTGAAGATATCGCTGATCGGTAGGAAGAGTCATCTGGTGGAGGGGTCTGCACCTATGGGTACAATTTATTCATGAATGCTAGAGAATACTTACATAGGGCGCGAACGAAGAGGCAAAGCTGGACGACATAGTTCTATGATATCACAAGCCCGAGGGAGTTCAAGGCTAAGGAGCTATCCAACCCTTTTTGGGCAATTACAGGTGGCTGTGTCCGGACTCTGCCGAACGGACTTCGATCTCCTTGCGCCTGCACACACTATCTCGTCAAGACCCCGGGAAGAAAAGGTCGCAAAACGTCAAGGACGACAAAAATCATGGTGAGAGTTCCCGTCGAATGCTGCAGGTTGCTGCACCATGTCGAATCGTCGAAACCGAGCGAGATTTGCGATCGGGAGGCGATGGATGGTGCCAATGCAGATTGGATGTACTAAGCTTACGGTCTGCGACTTTAGGCTGATAACGCAGCACCCGTCACCCTCCGCGCCCGTAAATTCATCACCAACCGCCTTTTGGCGCGCCGTCAGTTCGTTCTCGATGTCCTCCACCCATCGCGGCCGAACGTACCGAAATCTGAGCTCGCGGAGAAGTTGGCTACCATGTACAAGACGGAAAAAGCACGTGTAGTCTGTTTTGGTTTCCGAACACAGTTCGGTGGTGGACGTAGCACCGGATTTGCACTGATTTACGATGATGAGGCATCACAGAAGAGGTTCGAGCCAAAGCACAGACTGGTCCAGGTAAGCTCATGTTCTCCTTACCACACGACTACTGTCTTATTCTCTATTCAATTAGTCTGGCCTTGAGACCAAGGTTGATAAGCCTTCACGTAAACTGCGACACGAGAGGAAGAACCGCGCGAAGAAGGTATGACAACTCCTTCAATCATTGTCGTATAATGCACTGATGTACTTCGTCTGCAGTTCCGTGGTACCAAGAAGACTAAGGCTGCTGAACCTGCCAAGAAGGGCAAGTAAACACTGCTCTCTCGCATTAGTCTAGATCTCTTTCTTGCTCGGGTGCTCCCCTTATTATCGAGAACCAGTCGAGCGAGCTGTACCTATGGCGTATGTCATACTCACAACCACATTCATGAATCATATGCACATGCGGCTCACGAGCATTTTCATTGGAATTTGCGCGCTTTCTAAGAGTATTACAAGACCAGTTGATTATGTTGGGTATCGATGCAGTGGTAATATGGTTGAGCAAAGTTCTACAAGGAAAGGATAAAACACAAAGTAATGCTGAAGCTTTAGAAGCCGAGCTTCTTGTGGATAATATCTGGATCTTCTTGATATTCTTCTGCTGATACCCACATCTGTGGATATGTTTCAGGACCGCCCACATAGAACAGTTTGAGACCAACCTTCTTGAAAGTCCCAAGACCTGCAAGAATAGAACCACCTATCCACGTCGAGTATTTGCGCTCCGGAGGGGCATAAATCTTGATCTTGACATCTTTCAAAGCCAACTTCTTGATTTCGTTGAGAAGACGATCGCCAAAGCCTTCAAGCAGGTGCTATCAATGCGAGTGACTTGCCTACTAAAGCTTACGGACCTTTGCATAACGTGCTGCCTCCACTAAGCACAATATTTGAAAAGAGACTCTTCCGCAGATCCAAATCAACTCGATTGATGGAGTCTACAACAACCTGATGAACACCGGCGTATTCCTGTCCAATAAGCTCTGGATTAAACAATATTTCGGGAGCGCGGAACCGCTCAGGTCCCAACTGCAAGAAAGATGTGATTTGGCATCTTCGGACTAGAAGCTGGGAACTCGCCTGAACTACGTTTCCATCCGGGAGACGGAACTCTTCAGTCCGACCCACCGTGTCCTTCTCCTCTTTGGAAGGATTTAGTGCGATATAACAGCACTTTTCTTTTATTATCCGAACAACTTCTCTTTCTGCAGTCGTGTGCAGATGATGGCCAGATTTTCTTAGCAGCAGCTGTAGATGGTCAGTTACATCTCTGTGTAATGCGACATGTGAGTATTTTATTCGATGGGAAGATGGACATCATACCTTCCGGCGACATCCACTCTTCGAATCGCGTGAGGCATGGAGAAACCCTCAAATACTGGGACAGCGTGTGTAACACCATCCCCAGAGTCGAGTACTATGCCAGTCGTCCGCCCTGAAGAATATCTATAGATAGTTCGAAGGGGCTAAAATGAATATGACGAGCGTATAGCTTACAACGAAAGAACGGCCTGTACGGACAGGAAGAGGGCCGGAACATTGAATGTGTCGAAGAATATCTGAGCGGCTACATCACGATTACTCCTTGGATTTAGCGGCGCTTCGGTCAAGAGGACTGGGTGCTTTCAGGCATTCTGATCGGAACATCCTGGCACCTATATTAGATAAAGGGACATACCTCTTCACTGAGGGTTCCAAGCTCTTCAGCATATATCCAACTCCATATCCGTTCCATGTCATCCCAATCAGTTACAATGCCATGTTCCATAGGGTATTTGATCTTGAGAAGACCGCGGAACTCTTGTGCGCGACGACCGATGAAGACGTCACCTTCGAGAGCACCGGCCATGACGCGCACATGCTTTGGTCTCCCAACGCTAGAAATTCATGTGATTAGAACTACACGTTGATCAACATTGCGCTGTAAAAACGTACAATGACGGGAAAAAACATTTCGGATGATCTTGACCCGCAAAACCTGCTTTGATAGTTCCTGAGCCCTGTCAAAACCAAGCTGAGCCAACACACGCCGTAGTCGGAAGATGCGCGTTACATTGTCTATCACGACAGGTTGATTTGTGAGGACATCCTCAAATTCTGCCGACATCCCTGCAGTGATAATGAACAGAAAAAGTTTTGGGTAAGAAAGGCTAGAGATTCGGTTTGGCGATCCAAATGTGCTTGTTGACGCGTTTGATCGTTTGAGCGTGTTTCTCACATAATGTCACGTCCACCAGCTGGCTCCTGGCTACAACGCTCGTCATGGTGCGACATGGTCCCACACGATTTATTAGCTTTCTCTTTATTACGCTCATACTCAGCATCGTATGTCGAGTCAATCTTTATCTAACCCTTTAATTAACAATTTTGGCAGGCGCCAGTCGAAGCTGCCACGAATAAGTGGGAGGTGACAAACTTCTGCAAATGTGAGTCCCTTGAACTTGATCATCCATGCTGCAGGAACTAATCGCAATTTAGGCATCTGCTTCTCTGCAAACTATACGATTCTATCCCTGAACACGCCCGACAACCCCTCCAAACCTTGTCTATCGTGCACTAAGCAGTGGTGCTTGAATCAGAACCTACCTATCTGCACCGGTGCATCTCTTGGCGATACAGATCCAGACACCGCAACCGGTCTAGAGGGAGATGTCGAAGCGCGATGTTTTCGTGTGTCCTCAATTTCCTTGTGTTTGCCAACGTTAATTTGTTCCTACCAGAACGAGATTCTCCTAGGGACCAGCTTGTGGTCACCCTCTTTTTGTTGATTATCCTCGGACTGTTACTTGGCGTCAGCATTAAAAACCGCATGCTCAAGGCAGGTTTGGATTCTAGTACGGCATGGTCTGCCAGCAGGCGCTGGTGGGAAGTTCGTATAGTTTCTTTTCAATTTGAATGATACTCAGTCACAATTGCAGGAATGGTTGCCGCGTAGGTATTCTGAAGACTACAACCTTCGTGAGCGTTCTGTTCGTCCCACTGGCAACAACAGTGGGGGAAATTACAGAGAGATACCGAATACGCTTCCCATGTAGTTCTTTGATATTGATGTCATGTACAGTAGATTTGCAGTAGATCCGTGATGCCTTGCCTCCACATGTTTCCCTTATAGAGCACGTTCAGGTGCCACGCTAGGCTGCGCTTCTTGAATTCATACCACAACGTAATAATACCCGTCCTCAGTCCTTTTCGCACTTGAGGGGATAACGAACTTGTGTAGCGTTATACCAATCGCTTATTCTGCCAACTGCTGGCACTTCATGGGCTCATTGTGCTCCAAGGCCAGGGCGCATTCCGGGAGACATCAGGTATCGGGAAGCACTGCTGCCCAGTCAAATGATGGCACCACCGCGACACCGCCTTCTGATCCTCGCGCCGCAGCTGCAAAGGCCGCTGAGAGAAGGTTGAAAACGGTAAGCCTCTGAATTAGTATCCATTTACAGGATTCACCAGGCAGCATAGGCACATGCACGAGGTACTAATCCCTCGAATCCGAATCGGGGACGACTTGCCGAGCAGGTCGTGACTGCGAAAGCGGCGAAACCAGTACCTACGTCAAGAGATGAAGAACGCTTAGTGGTAATGTCAAGCTCTATGACTGATTATTTACCGTTCCTCACTGTCGCTACTTCTAGTGGGATTGAATAATACTTTGTGCGTGTGTATTGCCTCACCGCCAGTACAACATGCGGGTCATCCTTCGCTCCGGACTTCTTATTCTGACCTTCAGGTTTTCTCGTGCTGTTTAATACATGATCGCCGATCCCTCCCATAATTTTCAATTTACCTCGGACCCGCTCAATCATGAAATGATCCCTCAAGGCTTCACGGGCATGTTTCTTCTTGTACTTCATGCCCCACTGTTATCTGACACGTCGTCAAACTCAGCGGGCCGTCGGTGAGACAGCATGATGTTCGGACACGTTGTTTTCATGTTCTTTATATGTGGAGCATGACCATAAACGAAATCTCTTCTGTTCCCATGATCGAGGAAAGTGACGCCGTCTTGTCTCGTCTTGTCCATGTACTCCCTGGAATCTGAGATACGAATGGGTAAATGATGATTGCTCGAGGATATGATATAAGTTGTGTGAATCCCCCGGTTCGGTTCATTGCAAGGCGGATATTCGATACCACGTGGCTGTGATCGTCACAACGTCTACCAAATACATATAGTAGCCCTTGAGAACTGTTTCTACGATCATCGAACGCATGAATGTCATCCGAAGCTGAAGGATGGAACAAAGTGTTGTGGGAAAGGCAGCCTTTTCCTGATAATTACATTCATCCTCACTCTTTCCTCTCTTCCTTGAGGCGGAACCGTTGGTAAGCATAATTTATCTCCAAAACGTGGTACTTAATATTCTCTAAAGCTAACTTCAAGCCGTACACCTATTGGCCACTGGTACTGCTATGCTGTGCGATCACGCAGCACTTAGCGACAATCTTCACATTCCTCGCAGTTTTTGTGAGGCTCAAGGAACGCTGGTTTGATGCCCGTGTCCTGCTATGGGTCTCGATAGCTAGTTTTTTTGGAGGATATGCTCTGTATGAGATCCTTAGCTGTTCTAATCCTGTTCGCGGCGCCTTCACCCGTACGCCCTGCACATCCACCCCCTGGACCCTTCATTGATTGGTTGCATCATCCAGGCTCCAATACGATCAAATCGTCCCTTCTTGTTTTCCTCGCTTTGATGGGATTGTCACCTGTTTTGCGAACTTTGACCGCAGCAACGTCCTCGGACTCCATTTGGGCGCTCTCAGCATGTCTCTTCCTTCTCAACGCGTTGCTCGCCGATTATAGCTCCATGAAACCGGTCCCACAGGAAAGGTGAGTTAGCGCCACATTGACCCTGCTGTCAATTCTCATCTTCCGTGTAGACTAACATCTGTACTATCCATGAATGCCGCGATCTCGTCATCGGTTGTTTTGGCCTCACGACTGCCTGACGATTTGGCCGTCTTTGTTCTTGTCTTGTTTGCTGTGCAATTGTTCGCTCTTTTCCCGATCCTGCGTCATCGGCTTCAGGTGGGGTCGGCAATTTTACCTGGTTACATTATCGTGTAAACTCTGATTACAGGTCACACCACAAGTCGCACAGATCCTCTTCACACTGACCCTGTGTATACTGTCGTTCGCTCTAACGGTACCTTTGTCCGTTTCGGTTGCCTACATCTACGCGGGCATTTCGATCACGGTGACGTTCGTTGCTCCGGGAGTCCTAGTCTGGGCAGCAGAAATACAAAAAGCACGTCATTTCGTCAAGTTTTTTCCTTCCCTGCTAACATGTCTTTCCGCAGTGAGATAAGAGGACCGTGGGATGTTGCAGTTCCGAGACTTAATTGATAATTGGATACTGTTTAACACGTGGAACACACAACGTAGAACCTTACTTCCTAATAATTATCTTTGTCCTCTGCCGAACCTTCCGTCTGCCCGCAGGCGAATGCCACGAGCCAATAGATCCAGGCTAGTATAACGATAGTGAGCCGCCGGCGAGTTAGCGACTTCCCCAAAGGACGCGCGGTATTACGTATGCACAGCCATCAGATAGAGTGTTTTAATCATAAATGTATTGTGCAACGAAGGTACATAAGATATTACATGCGACACTATGCAGCAGACCTTTATGGAGTAAGCGCAATACAGTAAGTAACTGGGATCTTAAATTGCTGTACAAATAATCGTGGTTACATAGTCCACTGGTGACGAGAGAAGAATGATACAACCCCTAGGGATCAAATGAGTGAACTGGTAATCAGTTGCGGAGTATATTTATATGTGCATCATGTCTGCATGTCGGAATCGTCGTGGTGAAGGCGGGGACGCTTCGAGCCGGCCACTACGCCCATTCCGATGCCCCTGGCCTCGAGAACTTCCATAGCAACCTTAGCCGCCCCTTCAGAAGTTTTTTTGGTCCTGGTACGAGTCCGACGGAGTGCTCCAAAAGCTTGAGCTTTGATGACCGCTAGCGTACCCGAGATCGGAGGTGCACCGGGGGAAGGTGACCTCGACTCTCGAGAACGTCCTCTACGGGGTCGGAGTTTTGAATAGGGGGTGGCTTCACCTTCGCTACTCCCCCGTTCGTGATGAGAGCCATTCTCGCTTCCAGAGAACTGAGGAAGGGAGGGTAGTAGTGGACTCGGACCAGAGTTCGCGCGGCGGGCCCCGAGCCTGTAGCGCACGCCATCACCGCCCGCGCTTGGAAGCGAAATATCTGCAGTGCCACCGTGTAAGGTTAAATCAGCACCGTGGGTATTGGAGTGCCTGCGATAATCAAATTCTGCGCGATCTTGTGTGATCGAGCCATCAGCAGGGAATGTGAATTGGAAGGGAGACGTCAAGGACGTGCTAGATGAAGATGGGGGAGTGGATGACGTGGGGGAGATGGAGCGGCTACTGGGAAAGAGATATGGGGTTGTTTCTAAGTGATTGAGCTGAGTCTTCTGCTCTTCAAAAGGGCGGTTTGCATATACATCAGGAGATGTCAAAGTAGGAGAACCTACAAACACTATCAGAAGTCATGAGATTAGCAGCGGAACCATTAACTGACCATTAGCAGACGCAGTCTGGGCCACGTTGTGAGTCCATGGACCGTCCCGGTTGATCGGTTGCATCGGATACTGGTAAGAACCATATCTTGACACTCGGGCGTTTATATGGTGCCCAGCTCCACCAGAGGGTACCTGCTCAGTCTCCACGCCAGTATAAGAAAGTGCAGGAGACTGAGTCGCATATGAGTGATTGGGCGCGCTAGTATACGAGCTGCTGCACAGGGAATTGGACGTCTCGTCGCTGGTCTGATATCCCATACTATCGTCACTATAGTGACCATGCGACGAGGGGGTACGATTGTTGATATTGGTTGGTTGAGAATGAGAAGCAAAAGATGAAGGGAGCGGGGGCAAGTCGTCAGATTCAGGAGCCTGTCCTGTCTTCCTCGCCTGCCAAAGGGCTCTCCAGAACTTTTCGCGTTCACGCGATTCATGTCTAAGGCGTGCATTGTCTTGTCGTAGATCCCCAGCTTCAGATCGCGCTTCACGACATGAATCCTGAAGCTGGAGGACGACAGACTCAAGACTGGTGACTGCCGAAAATGACAAGGATGAGCGATGAAGGTACAATAAGATAGAGACCACCCAACCTGTCTCTTCTAGGGTCGCTATGTAGTTTGCTCGCCTCAAAAACATAACATTTAAAACATGGTCAAGGGAGGGGTATGAGGGGTATGGCTCACCTCTGGCGAAAAGCAGCTTGGGCATCCGCGTTTTTCTTTTTTCGGAGAGCAATATCAGACATGGGGGCAGTAGGATCGTCGTCAACGTCTGCTTTGAAGTCGGATTTATCGCCTGAGGGTGAATGGCCGACGTCGGCTCTATTAGGCATGTGAGTTGAAGGGTTCTACAAGACGAGCTTGGGATGTAAAGGAGGGACTTTGAGACGATCCACAGAAGAGACGACGGTTTAAAATGGCATGGAAAAAAAGAATTCGAATCAAGGGCACGAGGAGAGGGCCGCGGTGTGATCACGTTAAGCGAAACTGTTTACAATTTCAGACTGTCCGTGGGGGAAGTTATTGCAATTCGGAATCATAATATGTTTGTAAATGTCCAGAATCGTAGATGCTGGCAGACGTTTGACCTTCAGGTGATGGGCCGGCTCTTTTACAATCATCCACCTGACTGTGATCCCTTGTGTGATCTGCATTCATTCCCGAATCAACGTACCCGGTAGCAACCCTCTCAGGAACTGGCGTATGTGCGGTCGAACACCCGATCCAATCCTTCATAGGCCGCGTTGTGACGGCCGATTGCACTCTATAGATCTAACTCTTCTCCACTCTTCTCTCACTCCAACTCACCGCAGTGACCGCGATCAACGCACTAATGGAGATTCACGACCCTAAAGGGGCACACCAAGGACATAGTCATCCATCTTTTCGGCTTAGACACGCCGTGTCCCATGAAAATGAGGCCGCGAATGCAAAATCTACGGACCGAATCACCCACCCTCTCGTTACGGTGGTGCCCCCATCTCGGATTCATCCTCAGCTTCCATATCTTCCTCTCCTTCCATATCCAGTATATCCATTGTCGTCCCATCACCGTCAAGTATACAAACAACTCTCCTTCCAACTCTTCCGTTGACCGCGAGGGATACTGATCCGTCTCTGCACGCGGTCAATTGGCGGCGTCTCTTGATCGGGATGGGTTTCAACGAGAGCTGTATCATGCCGTTAGTAAAAGCACCGGTCACAAGGTCTCGACAAAAACATGGTGGTGCACGATACTTACATGCCCCTCGTTCAACCTTTGAAGCACGTTGGCTATCATATCTTTTCGCGCGGGGCCATTTACGTGTCCTTCTGATTGTGTTTGATACTCTAGGGCGCTGTAGTGAACCGTAGCTGCGAACATCGGGCCTTTGACCGTGTTTAATGGAGAGCCAAATGGACATAAATAAGGGCTTGCCTTCCGCTCCTCTGACTTTGTATACGATGACGAGGATTTCGTCGTCGAAAAACTCGGCGTTGCAAAGATGAACATCGGTAACACCGCCGGGGTCATGTCCAACTATGGAACACTCCATAACAGTGACATCAATATGCAGCGGAACCCCAGCGGCACATTTTGCGTAAGGCGTCCGGGTCAAGCAGACTAATTTGTACACATTGAATTACAAAAAAGGCGAAGGAGCCAAAGGCGTAACTCACAAAGGGGCCGCATTTCCGAGGCCAAATAGATCGCGAGATGCTGCAGGTGGTTGTCAAGCTAAAAGATCCAAATTTGGTTGAATTCACTGCACTGTAAAGAGCATGACTCACCTCATTTCGTCGAACAATTCTTTCGCAGATAAATTGACAAGCACCGCTTGAAACTGTTTCACTCGCCTCTACCTGAAATGGCGTAGCACCACCACCTGACACGATGGCTGATCGAGCGGTAGCTTTCGAAACATGCGCGAATACCCGCTGACACCGGACAGCCAAATCATGAACGAGTACCCACAGATTCCTGTCTAGATGTGATTTGTCGGCCGTGGAGACTTTCTAAAACACATACAAACTAATGTCGTAGAGCATACATTACAATTAAGTGAGAAACCTACCGGCTGCCATGATGTTTGGGAAGGATCCTGCAACGCGGTGTGGGCTTGTTCCAGTGCTTCTTCAAGAACTTTGTTAGTATCCGTGTTGTGTCGAGGCAAGCCAAGATCTCCGGGATCAAATTGGGGAGCTGGTCCTGTGAACCACCGGTCTATTTGACTTGTTTTCAGCCCGGACATTAAATAGTGATTGACTTCAAGGATATCATGTTCAGGGGGTGAGCGGGTCTCGGGGGAGTTACCTGCCAAGGCGATTTCTAACATGGGAAATGCGTTACGGGCCTATGCAGCTCAGTAACGCGCTCACCATACCGAAGAAAACTCAGGAAGTGTTTGAATGACCCGAGTTCCCCTCTTGCTTGAAATGCCAACAAATTGGCAATGAAGATGCCTTGCTTCAGCGAAGACAGACAATGAGTAATGTCGTCAGTGTTGAATCCAAACAAGGCGAATTGAGGACTGGAAAGGTGTCAGCACAAAGGTAGGCAACCCAGCAAAATCCTGCTTGACATAAGTGACCAGCCTCGAACTTCTTCAAAAATGATATGTAACCGTTGAAGCGCAGGAACAAGTCGCAACGTAGAGAAGTCGCGCAGTTTAATGAGTGCGTCAGTCACCGTGGACTCCCATTTCTGGAGAGACTGAACGCGAAATTAGCTTTGAACAACAAATCAGTGGATAAATCAACCCTTTCACTCATTTGTTCGCTGGACGATAAGAAATCCGAAAGTCCCTCAGAACACAAACCAGCGACTAGGAGGCCAGTGAGCTCGAGAATCGCACTAGGCTCCTTCTCTGTTGAAGAGCCATGAGAATAGTAAAAATTCAGCAAGGGACAGCATTACTAACGGCCAAATTGGTCACGAAGTCTGGTTTCTAGCAGCTGAATCCATTTTGGGCCAGCTTCTCGTGCTCCAGTAAGTGAACCAGAACCAAACCAGACTTCGCGCAGGTCCTCAATGACCCGCATGACATACCACATCAACTCCCGTGCGGCGGAGGATAGCCTGGCGAAATCTCTAATTCTATGGGAGGCAAGCAACGGTAAGTCGACCGATAGAGGCGCAAACGTGGCAGACAAGAGGTCGGAGGCTGAAACCCGAGGATGAAGTAGAAGTAGCGGTTGCTTCGGATCCTTGAATACTGCCATTGGCACAGTCGATGGAAGTGTACTGATTGGCCCTAGGTAATAGCTCCCGTCCAAGAAACAGTGAAGCTTGCCATTGTCATCGCCTATCACGAGGAGACTGTTCTCGTCTTCTGCAGAAACATAAATCTGTGTCTCTTTTGCCGTCTTGCCTTGTTCATCAATCAAGATCGGAGGACATAGAGAAGCAATAGATGGGTCTGGTAGCAACGATGGCCAATTGCTGATGACTTCAGGTATGGATGACTTCAGCGCGGCTCCCGTCTGCGTTCCTTGGAAAGCAAAGAGGTCGGTGGCACTGAACAAGTGTTAATGAGTCCAGAGTTTGTGGCCTCGGAAGACTCACGTGAACTTGTGATCTTCTCCTCGAAGGGGATCTAGGAGTGGAAGAACTTTCAATATGGAGAGAGCAGATCCTGTCTTCAGTATGATAAGAATGGAGGCAGTGTTAGCATAAACGAATCCACAGACATTGATTTCATTTCTCTTGAAGATATCTGGGATCGTGCTTCTTGGTAAATCGCGGCAGCCCGGGAACCACCAAGCTCCGGTTATTCGATGCTGTTGCTCAGAATTGCGCGACGATGCCGGGATAGTGAGGGAACGCTCAATGCGACCATCTTGCACAGAATGAAGTGTAACGCGGGAGAACCCATGAGAGACAGCGATTGTCTGGCCTGCAGTAAATAATGTTAGATATGACGGCGCATGACCTGCGGCATCTAACCGTACCACAAGGACTCCACGCTAAAGCTGATACACTTTCAATGGAGCTTTCGTCACACTCTACCTCAACGTCCCACTTTTTGGTTCCTTGCATTTTCCATAGAGTCAACCTATCCCTTCCACCAAGGCGGGACACCAGGACGACAAGGTCCTTGTCTGGGCAGCAAGCCGGTCGCAACAGACGACATGGAGATGAGAGCTGCAAGACAGCCAGTGACGCAAACGCGTCGTGCTCCATGTGTTCTGCCTCTGACGGTACGAAAGCAGTCCCCAACTCCATGAAGTGGGGAGGATTCTGTAAACGTCCAGGCACCTGTATTTTCATGTCCGCGTGAAACGGTTGCCTTTTTCTGTCAAAGTTCAGGCCTAGTATATATTGGAAGTAGTCTCCCGACAGCCCTTTATAGATAGTCGTTCCTTCTGTACTGTGTCCTCTACACTTTGCGGTTGTATATTCCTTGGCCAGTTTCCCTTCTCTTCTGGTATCCGTTGTGCTTCCTACGATGCAGATGCCTTCTGTGTGCTGGATATCTGCTTTGGGCACTGTTCTGGCAGTCTACGAAGTCCCGTACGCCGTCTTTTTTTCAGGTTGGACCAATTCCATTGTTCCAAGCTTCTGCCAAGGACGAGTCATCATCCCATTTAAATGTTCTGTATTACACAGTTTTACATTCTTTCGAAGATACTTTCCCCGCCCGTGTTGGTTGTTCAGCTCAAGCTGCAGTTTCCAGTTTCAACACCGGTTGTTCAGGGTGCGTTGCAGCAAGTCACACGATAACACCTCACTTACAACACAATTGCAGCTGTATCATGGTAATGAAGACATCACCTTTTCATGGAGGAGTAACCTTTCCACTCGTTGATTGCGCGAGAGGCATTGGACACGCTCAATGACACTCGTCATGATTATGCACCTCCAATCGTCGCGTATGATTGCGCCGGTGAAATTATCTCACCCCACGCGTATCAGGAATATCTCCAAGACGCACTTGCACAGATCTGGTTCCGCCTCAGTCTGAGTCAATCACCACATATTTGGAGAGAAAAGCACATACATTGCAGATACTATTGACACAATCCAGGTACTGCGGCCCCAAAACAAGTGTGGCCGAAGTTGGCAGAGCGTGTCCGTTGACAATGACGCCTGCCATGGGAGCCGTCGACAGATGGGCCCTGTGTTTCGTGTCCAAAATGAGCGTTTTAAAGGGAGTGTAGCAAGCCAAAGGGAAAAGGTAGGATACAATGTTTCTGTATGAAAACTGCGCACGTAGAGGACTAGTGAATTCAGACTCCCATGCAAACTCTGCATAAGCAGACTGTTTAGAAAAAAAGATCAGAGGAAGTCTGGAATTGGCGCCCCTACGATGAAGTCGGACGAGTAACGAAAAGCGTCTGAGAAACTTCAACGTTTCAACAGCACTCTTGGTCGATCTTACATTCTACACATGACTACGTAGTCTAGTCTATATGATAGTATCGAAGGCTGCAACGTCAACCATTACAGTTGCCCTCTGTACGATTAAAAAAAAAATGCTATTTGTCCCTCCGTTTTCCCCCCTTGCGCTTGCCCATCCCGCCGATTGTGTCTCCCTTCTTGGCACGCACCCCTTCACCCCTTGCTGCCTTCGATGATAAATCCCTGTCAAATGTATTACCACCAGTTCTTGATGCCCCTTTTCTTGCCTTCGTTCTTTTTGAAGCGGGTACGTTTCGGTGGTCTGGAATCCCAATTTTGGCGGAACGAGCAGCCTTCTTTGCGGAACGAATGGCAGCGTTCACAGCACCTGTCTCACCTAATTCCTTGTCGGCTTCTAATGCCATCTTCCGTCGCTTTGCCTTCCTGGTCAGACCAGCAAACTTGTCTCTTTTTGGCTAAAGGGACAGTTCAAAGGGGAGTCGTGGATAATGCACCAAACCTACCTTGGGCTCGTCAATAGCCTTGGGTCTCCCCTTTGGCGTGAGTGCCATTCCACTCTCGTGCTGCTGTTTGCTCGTGGCTAGAAAAACGATGTGAAGCCCTTGTTGATCGCAAACCTCATAAACCTTCACCCACCAACTGCCTTTGCCTTCTCCTTTTCGCTCTGAAACCAAGTTCGAGCAGGCCGAGAGAAAATCTCATCTTGATGCTCGATCATATTTTGTCCTTTCTTAAGTTCCATTTCCGCCTGCCGAATCTATGTTGATGTGTAAATAAAAGCGGTTGCACGACGTCCAACAACCCAAGTTACCTGCTTTTCCTCCTTCTCTTCTTGAAGAATTGTTGCGACCTCGTCTCTCAGAGCCTCTACCCTCTTGACCCATTTGGGAAAAATATCAGCAGGGACAACCCGGTGACGAACGTTATCTTCGCCCGCACTGTGCTTGATGGCTGCTTTGAGCATTTTCCTGTCTCCTTCTCCTACTAGAGTAACTGAGCTACAATGATGATCAAAACACAAACAACGGGAATGGATTAAAGATTGAAGCTTACCGACCAGACTTGCCTGCGCGGGCCGTCCGACCCACTCGGTGAAGGTATTGCGACAACGTGTTAGGCATGTCGTAATTGATAACGGTCTCGATGCCCTTGATATCTAAGCCACGAGAAGCAAGATCAGTCGCCATTAAATAATCTACTTGTGAATCGCGAAATAGCTGCAAAGCTCTGAGACGCTATCCCAGAATCAACGTCTGACATGTAGGAGAGTGGACAAGTGTTGTCTAACCTGTTCTTGAGTGAGGTCGCCATGCAACTCCTCGGCCTTCATATCAAGAAGACCAAAAACAATGCGCATCTGGTGTGCTAGCTTCTTGCTCTTGTAGAATATGATAACGCGCTGTCTGAACGTTCTCTTGCATAGAGATACAAGCAGGGCAGTCCGATCTGCTTCTTTCTCCGTTCGCACACGAACGAATTCTTGGATAAGGCTTCGAGCCGTGGTTCGCTTTGGGTCTACGAACAGGCGTACTGGCTTGTTCAAAGACATCTTCACCAGTTCATCAATAGTGTCAGTCATTGTAGCGGAAAACAGCATTGTCTGACGGGAAACAGGACATGCTTTGATGATTTCGGCTAACTCGTCTGCAAATCCATCGGAAAGCATGCGGTCCGCTTCGTCAAGAACAAGAACATCCAGTGCATCGAGCGCGAAGGAAGGGGAATTGCGCAAGTGATCGATAAGCCGTCCAGGAGTTGCGATGATGACGTCTGGGCGAGTCCTTAAAGTTGCTTCTTGCGATTTGAGGGAAAGTCCACCTAGATATTTTGCATGAGAACTAGCCGCTGTGGAGTTTGAAGGGAACAAACCAACGATGAGGCAAAAGCGGATGTCGGTGTGTGCTGCAAGTTTAGAACCAACCTCATAACACTGCACAGCTAATTCTCTTGTCGGGACCAGCACCAGACACCGAGTCGCTGCTGCATGCTTCCCCTTTTCTCGATATAGCAGCCGTTCCAGCATAGGGATAGTAAACGCAGCCGTCTTTCCAGAACCCGTGACAGCATTTCCGACAACATCTTTGCCCAGCAAAGCAACAGGGATGGTCGCGGCTTGAATAGGTGTTGGCGAAGTAAATCCGAGATTGGCCAACGCCTTGTGAATTGGGCGAGAAAGGTTCATGGTTAGAAAAGATGCATGATGCTCCGTAGGTGCTGCCTCCGAATCAAAGAATGCTTCTTTGCGATCCTTTTCGACTTGAGTCTCTTCCTCTGATTCATCCGAGGAATTCAATTCCACATCAACATTATCACTCTGCTCCTCGTCCTCCTCGACTACGGACTCGGCGCTTTCGTAATTTTCATCGCCGGAACTGGCAAGGGGGTCATCTTCGTCACCCGAACCATCCGTTTCAGGGAAGTCCTCCGCACCGCTGGCATCACTTTCCTCCATACCGTCCTCAGCTTCATCCTCGCTCTCTGGCTCGCGTTTTCTTTTTGACAGTGTCTTGAGTTTGTGTCTTTCGATGATTTCATCTACTGAGACAGGATCCTATGCGCCGATTCAGTGACCAACTACCGCGTGTAGCAGTGATGCTCACTGGCTTAGAAACCTTCTTCACAATATCCTCCTGCTGCGTTCCAAACTCCAAAAAATCGGTGTAGGGATCGCCAGCTACATCAAACTGGAAATCGGGGTCCAGGTGGGCGGCATCATCCACTTGCTGCTTCTTGCTACTTCTGCGTTGAGGCGGTGATTCATCGTCAGATTCGATGGTCATTACGAAGTCCATGACTGAATATAGTGTAGTGCGACCAACCGACAGAGTCCGACAGTGTTTTAGCAGACTATGAAGTCCCTCGGGGAACGATGCTACGAGCAGTTGTGTTATAAAGATCTGGCCTACCGTTGGTGTAACACACTGGCATTGACTTCAAAACTTACACAAAAATGTCACGTGCTCGATCTGAAATTTCTTTTCAGAACTCAAGAGAAGCTAACAAGTTTGACTACAGAGCGTATGTTACACACATTGGCTATAGGTGCAACACGTTCTTCAACTGGTTCAATGGATGCTAAGATTTGCTACTGTGCCTATGGGATGAGTGCGAGGTAGCGACGTAACTTGAACATGAAAGGGTACATTTGCCGAATAACAAATATGATACGTACAGGACGGGGTATCAAATAAATGGGATCAGAGTGACAGATGAATAGAAACAAACTGCAGATACATAAAGGAAAATCCTGATACATGCTGGGGCTGTCTTCACCGTTGCAGTATTCTGCGAAGAATTGTTGCGTCTCTTTGGGAGGATGTTGAATGTTCGCGTGACATTGTTCGAGGCAGCGTAGAGCGGAAGGGTTCTTCAACTAAATCTGAGTCCGGAAGGGGCGCCATTCGAGATGTTTGCATCTGTGTAGAGTTAATTAAAGGAGGGTAGGAGTTTTCGGATGAAGACGCACATCTTCCGACATGACATATTCGTTGAATATGACCTTCAGTATTCGATCTCGTGACGGCAGGCAATAATCTGGATTTGTTTGACACTGTATCTGGCAGTGGGAGGTGGTTTGAATAAACCGGCCAAACATATTAAATTTGCCCCAGTGGATTTTTGTAGGATCTTCCAGATTGACATTGGGGTTCCCTTCATGGGCACGAATAAGGTCAGACATATGGACCTCCCTAATAAGAGGCAAAGATCAAGCTATTTGTCATGAAAGTCACCGCACTTACAGCGCTGGTATACAAGCGCCTTTAGTGTTTTTGAGCGCCATACGATAAGCCTGATGAGCTCCGCGATGTTGAAGAAGAACATCCCAAGACAAGAGATTCTTGTAGTGATCCGGAGTCTTGTTTTTGAAAATCTCCATGGTTTCATCGCCCTGGAAAGTAGAGTTGTTGATTCCAGCGACAAAAGCACGCAGTGCTGAGTAATTGTTTAATGCGCGGAGCTCATGCGCGATATCCACGAATCGTTCTATCTGCCTTGCGCGGTGCCTCGGTTTGTCGTGACATAGTATGAGGGATACCACCCTGGAGAAACCATTAACCATCTTTATCATTGGCGCCACTCACCCACGGCGACTTACCAATCGGCAAGGTGATTGGAGATAGCATTGAATCGAGATATCGAGTCCAACTCAGGGTCTTTGCGTCCGGGCATGAGGGTATATTGCAACCAGTGCCGTGGCTGCAAAAGGTCGTCATGATCACGGCAATCGCAATAGTGGTCGATGCTAACCTCGATATCCATGAATAACTTCGCTTCCACTCGCGTGATCTCCTCCGCAATCGCGGAGCAATCAAAAGTAGCCAGAGTCTGGGCATTACTCCTTAGCTTGTTCAGGAGATCCTTTGGAGACATATCTTGAGCATCTCCTTGGTTGTGACTCGAATTCACCGGTATAAATATCTTCGCGCTAAGCGGCAAGCTTGACTTGCGTTCCCTGACGCTCGCTGCACTAGGAAGGTTGTCATTCGAGCGAGCCACCGACGAATGGCTCGTAGAGGGTGATTCGATCTCAACAACCAGTGCTTCCTCCTCTCCGTCTGATATGCTGTATGGGTCCTCGCTCTCGTCCACAGGATTTTCGGATTTTAGCGCCCAGGCCGCATCCGTGTCTGTGATGTTGGGAAGGTGTGAAAGGAACGGGAGGAAATCGGAACCATAATGTAGGAGGTATGTTTTCCCGACGATCGACCTGACCAGGGCGTGTAAGGCGCCAGGGGCTCCCGGAACGGCGAAGTCTTGTGGATACGTCCGGATCCAGGTTTCAAGTAGGTGGCATATCCTTCAAATCAACCGGCATGTTAGGACGATAGCTTTTCATATCGCAAAATTATGATACCTCATCTGTGCGTAGCTCGCAAACATCGGATCCCCAGTCAAATTGTCGAGCTCTCGCATTCGCTTCTGCATAGCCAACAAAATACTGCGAGGGCTTGCAAATCTTCGGTATGTGAGAAGGAAATGCGAGATAAATGTTGGATCTACGATCAATGCTGTGAATCTTGTAGTGCCAACAAGTCAAAAAGGGCAAGCTTACCATCACCGCTGACAGCAAGGAATAGTAATTTATCAAGTAACTCCTCCAGGGTTGCATATTGTCCTGAGCGACTAAGTAAATATGATGTTAGCAGCACTAGTTCGAATGATTGCAAACGACCCACGGTTCCTTGTCTTTGCTCACGGGATGATCAAAATGGCCGTTCTCAGTAACATTCAAGGAAGTATCTCTCCCAGAAATAAAGGAGCTGAACGACGAGGCATTTACGCTTGACGACCCAACAAAGCTTGTGACACTGCGAGCATTCGATAACTTTCGCTCAGATGATTCTCGTAATTTCGACATCTCGTGTGTCGAGAGGAGATCTGGAGTTGACCGGGCACGCGTTGGAGAGATGGCGATTGGCGGCGGAGATGATGGGAGTGTAGAAGTGGGCGAGTGTCGCAACGAGCTACCCTGGTCTTGGGACATGATCTGTGTAAAAGTTGTGGAAGAAAAGACGGTGGATGTGGCTGCTGATGCTGATGCTCGGGCTTCCCAAGTAAACGGTGAGTGGCGAACATCTGGTGATGCGGGATTTCGAAGATCAGCATCTGGAAGTCAATGACAGGGTTTAACACCACACTCAGATACCACTCTGTAGACTCACGAGGACCTGGCAAGATAGATACTATCAACCAATTGAATACTTTCTTTATCCTAGCTCTCCCTGCTTCTCCCAAGTGATCAACCTGCACCAGGCCAACATCGTAGTTTTTCAACAGGTTCGAAGACTGTCCAGGATCGACAACGATATCCAGGTCTGTCTTCAAGGCCACCACTATGGTCGAAAGCTTCAACGGTCGTATCCGCCCTTTCGGAAATGATTGATAAAAAAACCAGGAATACGAGAAATGCAACATACCGAGGAACTCTTCCACAGGAGAAAACGAAGTCTTGTTGGCAGCATCATAACACACGACAACCCCACTGACGGGTGGAAGGTTTTCGTGCAGGACCTTTGCAATGTCTAACTCATAGATTACCACGGGGAAATCGCGTGGTATCGCCCAGTCAAAGTGGCGCGTGTCTTGAGAGATTGCAGTCAGATAAAACAAGATGGGTACTGAATATGAACGTACAACGGAAAGGAGCAGGAGAAAAAGTTCCACTCGACGACGCAAATAGTGCCTCAATGTCCGATGCTCCATGTGCTTTAGCATCCTCCGAGATGAATGTCGACTTGCCACAACCGGATAAACCGACTACTGCGATGGCTATTTCTTTGGACAAAAGCTGGACACTCAACATCAGAAATTGAGCTCAACAGGTGTGGCGAGTGCTCACAGAGGGTTGTAGGGTATCAATCGATAGATTTCTACCTGAAATTGTAGTGGTTTGCAAGCCAAGGCTGTCACTCCTTGCGCGTCCTGACGTAAGATTGGCCAGCGCAGGGTTACATACAGGTAGTGAAATAAGCGATGTTGTTGAATGCAAGCGGCGGGTATCATCAACAACCTGAACGGGCATGCGTGGAGGGAGATTGAGATCGCCTGGACGGGGAGCTGTTCGGAGGTGATCTTTGCCCTTCACAGAGCCCCGTCTGCCTTCACTTGGTCGCTTCAGCCGTTGGAAAAGCTCGGCCTCCCGCTCGTGCTCTATGCCGGAATCACGACTCTGATACACCGCACTCACACTCGCACCGCGACTGCGAATAGACGGTTGAGAAAGAGTGGGTTCGCTACGCAATAGGCCATCCTGTTTATGTGTCCTAGGCACCTCGAAAGTGGAGTAAGTGTTGCCTCTATCAGCTCGCGAACTGCTTGTTCTCTGTGACGTTTCCCTATCATAACCAGCAAATGAATCAACAGAGACTGATTTGCGCAAGGACTGGGACGAGGGGTCGGTTGAAATCGAGGATGAGAATCCGGAGCAGCCCGTGTCGAAAGGAGTGCCACGAGGAACAACAAGAGTAGATGAAGTAGAGGAGAAAGAAGCCTGGGGGGATGTGGACGATGCAGACACAGGTGCGATTGGATCATGTCCCAGGTCGAGGTAAGTGTTTTTATCGGTGTCGCCGGGCATCTGAATTGGTGGGAGGGATGGTATGGCGGGTAGACAATGGCTTGTGTTGGTCGTTGGTGTAGTCATGTCTGGTAGTCGTTGAGAGGTATGGAATTACCAGTGGATCATGAACACAGCGGCTCGAGCAGCCTCAGTAGAGCCAACGTCTAAGTAGAAATAACGATAGCTTAGCCTAGCCCTTGAAGAATTAGCCTCGATTAAAGGTGTTGCCTGATATCGCTGTGGGCAACGTCGAAGAAGGGCTAGCGAGAGCAGAAGCGAAAACGAAGGCACAGAAAAAGTTTCGTGGTTCAAGATGGGGGACGGTTTTTAATTATGGGAATCGATGATCTTACACACAGGCGCTCGTCACTATCGCCGTCGCTGGTGACAACAAGGGTCATTTCATTATCATTCCTGATATACTACTACATAGCTCATGTCTCCCAGAGTTCTACTCGTCGCAAGTACTTATTCTTCCTTCTCAAGTTTTTTCACTGACTATAACCAATGTCAATCCAAAGAATGATGACGGCCCCCCAGGTCCCCAATCTCCATACATATATGGGCTTTATCGTCATCTCACCACAAATCTCAGTAAGCTTTCAGTGAAATCCACATGCATGAAGACGCTTGCGTCCAACTTAGTGACATTAAACCAGGGTGGGATGTAAAAGTAGTCGTGCCAAGCTCCCAGAAATCGTGGATCGGTGAACCTGAACAATCCTATTCAAGCTCTCGTGCTGATACACCTCTTGCAGGGAAAGCGTTTCACATTAAGGAAATCACGAAAGGAAAGTATTACTACCCGACGGAACCCGGTGAGTGATATTGTTTGATGAGAATTACACCGTAATTGAGAGGTTGTTGGAGACGGGATGGGAGAGGTGTCATCAGCTTCGCGTCCTTTAAATGAGGGTGAAGTTGCCGAGTGGGTACTGCTGGACGGTGTATGTAAGATTTCTACTCTTGACGCAAGCTCATGACGTATGCTCCGTAGACCCCCGCAACCTGCACCAATATCGCACTTCATAACCTATATCCCGGAAAAATCGACCTTGTGGTCAGTACTTTCAGCTGCTCTCTGTGATAACTCTTGAAGTCTAATCCATATCGGTATGTAAGATCTCGGGGCCAAACCTTGGCAGAAATTCCTCTGGTCTGTACTTTCTCTTCGCCATGTTTGAACCTTCTGTGAACAAATCATGATTATCCAGCCGCTTTCGCCATGTCGTCTGGAACCATCGGTGCTGCAATGTCGTCGGCGCTATCTCAGATCCGTTCCATTGCAATTTCATACGGCACTGTTCTCCATCCCACCCCAAACGAACTTTTTGAACCCGCAGATATCCTCTCTGGGCGGATCATTCAGTACCTATGGGATAATTGGGGTAAAGACGCTGATGGAATACGCAACGGAGAAATCGACATGTACAACGTGAATGTTCCCATGATAATGGAACTTCTTAATCCCGAGGGCATAGATGTCCATTGGACGCACATGTGGCGTAACTCATACGGGCGACTTTTTAAAGCAGTATCAGCTCGTGACGCTACGAGCACAACGAGAGACGTCCCCGAAAAGGCCCCGGACGTGGCGGGACAGTATCTCACACAAGAAAGCGAACCTGGAGGCGATGTATCCAAAGATGAACCTGCAATGCTAGTGTTCAAATTCTCCCCTGATTTCCAACCCCTCATTACACCTTCGGTCGGTTCTCTCCCAGTTGGCTCGGATGGTTGGGCCATCGCTAAAGGCCACGCGAGCATTACTCCGCTACGGGCATGTTTTGCACATGTAGATCATGACCCTGCGGCAATAGGGACAGAATCTCTGAGGATCTTGAAACTTTAGAGTACTCCAATTCTTTGATATCATTTATATCATCAATGCAAGCGAGTCATGAGGAGAACTTTAGGGGTGCAAGGTCTATCAACAGGTCCCCGTGTCACTGGCCTCTGATCGTCCACAATAGCTCGTCTAATAGTTTGTTACGTCTCTGCTTGGACAGCCAGCATCTTAAAGCAAGACATGCACGATGTGTAAGAATACTACTGTAGAGATAATCCAACCAGTCATCAAGTTCATGATTGGATGTGTTCGGATTGTGCTCGACGTGCCGCCGTTTTCTATCCAAGCCTGTTTGTAGACACTGAGCGAGTTGATGATCCAAGAGGCATTCTATGGGGCCAGTTGAGACAAAGAAATGCAAGAAAGCAATAGGATCTCACAACAAAATTAGCCGGATCCATCAGTATGCTCTCGCAGGTGCCAGGACAATCTGTTGTAGCGTATGAGTTGCCGGCCCAGTCACCTGGTTGGTCCTGATAAATCGCTTCAATCTGCACCTCAGTAATGAAGCCTCACCACAAAACGTGATGTCTGCATTGTCGGTGAGCAATGAGGATCTGAATCTTATCAAAATACTCACCAAATATGATCGAGTGATTTACGAAGTAGTTAGTGATATCACACGACTGGGTGGACAATTCAGCGACAGGTTCACCCCAGTTGGATGGGTTTGGTTCTCCCTGTGAAATATCCAGAGGAATAGCTGCACGGTAAAATGACCCTGTGGGGTGAACCGGTTTAGAGTCTCACAGTACTGTGAGGTTCACGAACGTACAAACTGCGATGCCGTTTTCATCCCATTTCATAGCAAAGACACCGCCATTAGCCTCGTCAAATAATGGGCCATATGATGCGTGGCTCCATTCTGTTACACCGCACCCTGCGTTGTAGTTGATGAACGCATTGCATTGAAGGTTATCCGTGCCATTTGTTTGCTTTAACAATTATCCCACCACCTCTCGTTCATGGTAAGACAGGACGCACCACAATCGTCCCAGTGAAGTTGGTATTCTGGGTTAAGTTGCAACCTAGAGTTACGTGAGTTGTGGAGCAAGTAGCTAGCGAACTCGTTCGCTTACCAGGAGCAGTGTGCCAGGTGACTTGGTTGTGTTCGTTGTCGTGCACACCCTCGATGATGTCTATTTCACCAGTCTTTGATAGAGATTATTGAGTGAGAACGCAAAGGTATTTCAGGCTTACATATGGCCATGGCCCATCCCCAACCGTCCTGGCTATATCGTCAGACTCATCATCCAACCTTCGCGTAGCATTACTTGCCAAAATGCAGGCCAAACACCTTGATTAGAATAATTAAATGACATCACTGCATTGAAAGAAAGTTGTCGCACCACAACCCCATGGAGCCATGTCCAGATCCAGTATGAAGAGACCCATATTGTACTGAGCCTGACTTGCTATGCGGACACTAAGAGATCAGATTAGTCTCGGCGTACTCACCGCACTGATGTTTTTTTGACCTGCTTCTGTTGACCCCATATGCTAGCTGAGTTGTATTGTCGCCCCGCATGATGACCTGGTTGGAGGAGGTTACATATGCTAAGCCGTCGTTGAATGCCGTCTGTTGGTCAACAAAACTATTTCGAATTTTAAGAATGAAAGAATCCCGTGCGACAGATAGACACGCACGTCACCAAACCACTGAACAATTCTCACTGAGTGTTGAGTACCCCGAAAATTAAACCAAACATTACTTTGTAGGATCTGGACCAGTGTAGAAGTCAAATGTACTGCAGCACGTCAGCTACCAGCACCGATTGAGTGATCTGGTGGAGAAACTTACTCGAAAAAAGTACTGCCCTCATAGGTATCTTGAATAACCCACAGTATAGTGGATCCGTTGGGCGCAGTTTCTCTCTTCGTCGGTATTGTGGTCTTTGACCATTCAAAGCTGCCTAGCGACTCAACTCCAGACTTCCAATTAATGTTGTTGAGAATGCTTGGGAAGGCCATAGTCTCCGAAAGATGTCCGTATAATAGGCAAATGATTGCATGACGAAGTTTCAGCATGCTCGGGAAGAGGAATGTAATTCAAAGAAGACAAACGGGGATTTAAGGTGCGGCGTACGAACACAATAACATTGGCAGTTGCCACTAGCGTAGCTCCAATAAATTTATAGATGTGACTTGGATGTGGCCAAATGAATTACCGCAGCAATCATAAGCCTCTCACAGTGCCATCATGCTGGACACGAGGCGAATGTCTGTCACATCACTAATTTAAAAAATTGTTCTGCATCAATGATGACGCGAACGGTTGGCTGACCGTCTGCAGTTACGTGCCGTGATATGCCAGTTTGCAACTGCGGATTGGCAGCATGATGGCCTTAAGGTTAATTATGTAGAGTTCACAGCCCAAAATTTCCCTTATAAGATCATCACTGAAAGTCTTGTACAACTGGTACGATACACGTGAATTCTGTAGTTCATCAATGCCCCACTCATTCTCTACCCCAATCTCATTGTCAACAACGTCTGCAACAATAACAGACAGGCAACTACGACGGATACTGTGAGTGCCGTAGCGGTGGCTTGACACCACTATTTTCGTATGCGGGGACTTGCACTGTGCATCGTGGGCTTGGATGAAGTACAGCGGTATGTGATCGAGTTTGACAATACTATAGGATACAACGGGAATGAGTTCGGCCATATTGTCAAAGACCAGTCTTCCTTAGACAGAAACTTAGACCACGACGAGATATGTCTTGTTGCAAAACCATATGGTACAGCGCAACTTTCTGGACGAGGACTTGTCGAGAAACTTGAAGGAAGCAACGTTAACGAGCGATTGGATGCAGAGTAAGCACTAATGGGAGTTGTAAAGAAAGTCAGAATCGAATCCTTACTTATCAATGACCAGAAGATATGCTTGACGAGCGGCGATCGAGGTCTTGACCTCTGCCAAGGGAGTTCAGTGTACCTCATTCGTTTTGAGATCCGGTCGTCAGACTGTTTCGAAATAGGAACAGGGAGATGGAGCAGGGTCGGAGCCAGGGCTGTGAGTTTCGGTGTCAGTCGCGGACAATAAAAGCCAATAGAGAACTGATACTATCCAGTTTGGACGTTGGTTCAGAATGACCGTCAAGGGCCGCCAATGACCAACGACCGTATCAGTTGACTTTGAAGAAAAGCCAAATGCAGAATAGGCTTTTACCACACACTACTCGAAACTTGAATGGGATCGATTCCGAGCCGCTGGTGCAGCTGCTAAATTGAGGATAGTCCTAAACCTTGGAGGAAATGTACCTGAAAATGGTAGGCTACACGTAGAACTGTACTGTGCAACACGAGTCAGCAGTCCAGTGATATTTAGCAAAAGTTCAAGTCATTGTGTGCCTCACGATGCAGAGTCCCAGACCCTCGTACTCACAGGGAAATGATAGCATAGGCGCAGATCGCCGTTCCCGCCTGCACTGAGACACTTTGCAGTAGGCTCGAGGTTGGGTTCAGGCTGGGTGTTATTTCCTTTTTTTTCTTTTCGCCCGGGCCCAGTAATGTTGACGGAAGACTGTCATGGTAGGTGTAAAACATTAGCTTGGAATTTGACATGGGGTGATAATGGTTCATCAACAAGAAGCTAATTCAAAATGACCAACACACAATCATTTTATTCGTGCCTCCGAGGCAATGTAGAACTTGGAACAGCTTGACGGTTGATCTGGCTCAGGGTTTACATCGATTCATCAAAACAAAAGACAAATTACTATTGCCTACCACCAGTTCGTGCATCCCTATATCTCATGCATCGCATATGAAGGGGGTCAGATTTCGCCAGACTTATGAGGTAAACATTGTCAAATCATGCTTGTTGGCCGTCAGTGGTGATGTAGGGGCACATGTATCCTTTTGGCGAAGCTTCATGGTCATACAAAGCATAGCGAGTATGAAGTAACATAGTGGCAGAACAACAGAAAATACGCAAGTGAATCAGCGGTAACGACGAAGAGAGAGTGTGTTGTGCTTTTTCCAGGTTGAGCGAGCAGGAGCGTGGTTGTGACGATGGCCCTTGCCCAATCCCCTGTTCTGCAACGAGCATCAGAAAAACCCTGAGGACCTTGAGTGATGAACGGACCTGTTTCCCAACGCTGGTGAGACCACGGGCTTCGCGGCGTTTGTGCACTGGCTTGGTAATCCAGTTGATACGGGGATCCCGGCGAATCTACACCATAATTCGTCCTTGTAAATATAATAGACGGAGTAAACCTCGGGCTTACAGCTTTGTGGTTGGGATCCACAAGGATAACTTCGAAATACTTGTAAACGCCGTCCTGGTTTACCCAGTATGAGTTCAGGACTCGCAGGTTTCCACAACGCCTTCCAACACGTTCCTCAGCGGTACTCCTGAGACTGCGCTGGGGCTTCAAGTGGTTGACACCCTGACGAACAGGCTTGCCGTTGGTGGCACCTGAAAGATGAATTGTGTGTATATCGAACGGACGTGTCGGTCAGTAGCTTACCCTTTGGAACTGGCTTTTTGCGGTTACCACGACGGACGCGGATACGGTAGATAACGTAGCCCTGCTTGGCCTTGTATCCCAAACGACGGGCCTTGTCAGGGCGAGAAGGGCGAGATGCACGATGAACGACTTTCAATTGGCGGTATTCCCAGCATCTAGAGTACGAATTCAGCAACTTTCGTCATTAATGTATCACCAGCATCAGGACTCACCGGACACGGAGGAGAAAACGCAGTACATCGGACTGCTTTTTTCTGTACAACTCGCTGATGTATTTGTATGCGCCCATGTTGCACGCTGCAATGCAAGATGGTTAGTGACTCGGTAAGTCAACATACATCCAGTCAAGACAAAAGCATCCATCAATTTCCATTCGGATTTCTCCAAACTAGAGTTTCTGACAGCGATGCAGATCTCTTCCAGCATAGCTGCATACGACAACAACACGGAAACATACCTCTTGAAAATCTTGACTCGGGGACGACAACGACGTCTTGTTTGACGACTGGAGGAGTGTATTCGGGTATTGCCGTTGTACGTCGGATTATGCCAGCAGCCTGCCTCATTTAGGCGACCCTTTGTGATTTGCCAATTGGCGATTCCTTGTTTCCTCATGTGCTTCTTGTTGTTGTCAATCGTTGTATTATACTCTAGCCTGTATCAAGGTTTTTCGGCAACGTGTTGATATATAATGATTGCTATCCTCAGAGGGCCGTCCCAACATCCCCCCCACGTATATTTGCTGCGAGGTCAATATGTCTTACAGAGCTACAGACGACTTGCAAGGCTACCTTAAGGACGCTGTTCTACCCCGACTGAAGCTCATGCACAAACCAGAGTTGACGTTTCAACAGGGACATAAGAGCCGCAAAAGAACGCTTACTATTCGTCGACGACATCGAAATCTTGCTAACATAGTTTTCCTGGATTCTGCGTTTGATAAACTTGTTAATGATTGTAGGTTTGCTGTTAACAATAAGCTTCGCGAGCTAAACCCTTACCATCTGCAGGGATCGAGGAGCATGTGCCAAATCGCTCGCTCTGTCTGTACGATGAGGACCGGCAAACAGGCGAGCGGTTTACAGTACGCTCCTCGCATAGATTCAATGTTCCAAAACTGCTGCTTCCTGCAGCATCGGATATCAATCGGTATGTAAACGATTACCTGGAACATGAGGTTCATTTAACCTTGCTATCATCAGAGTGTGTGATTGGTTGGACAATTTCCCCTTGCAAACAGTTCAACGAGTTTTTCATATCATGTTTCCTGCAACGAAAGATTGGGGGTTTGTCACGCTTGATGATCATAGCTGCGATGACGACAATTTCAAGAAATTTCACTGGACAGATGTCAACCAACATCACCCCGATATATATGATTTATCTGTAGTTGTTGCCTGCCAACCTCCTTGGATATTGTCCGACGAATTCATGTGGCAATTCACTCAACTCAAATCGGTACGTACTTGGAACACCTGAGCCGTGAATACGGAACATATTTGGTAGCTTCCTGAAGGCACTGCGCGCCCGTTACGTGGGAAGGAACGCCTTTGGGGGAAGGTAAGTGCACATAATGCACATTTCCCAGACTCTGAAGAGATCCTTTAGTTATGGGACACCTGCGTCCACAGTCAAACCCCCTTCTTCATTCTGACTTCATACCAACAGTGGGCTTTTGGTATGTTTTCACGCGGTAAGATCTGCCCCAAGCGAGATCAGAGAAAGGAATTCATCATGGCTTGATAGGTTGGACGACAGCATTCATTTCTCCTGTTATAGACGCCCAATCACGTTCTCCGACCGTTATGCATGCGTTGCTATATTGGCTCGGCTCGGCTCTCCGTGCCCCTGGTGGTTTTGTACAACCGGTGGAGGTTGGCGTTGAAATATCCTCATTAGGAATGACTGAGCTAAGTCAGTCAACAGGTTGCGGAACCTGTTCATAACATCTTCTCGGATGATGAATCCGAGCTACCAATCGCTGAACCGGAAAAAGAGCTAGAAATCGCTCCTTCTTTATCGAGCTGGAGCGGCACGAGTGATGGTGAAATATATGATACGTCGTGCCTTCATCATTTGAACTCACATGTTGAGCAGAACCGGCATCCTCGGCTGGAGCTGCAGGTGCGGTAGCGCTCGATGTTTCAGATAGGGGAGTGGACGAGCCATACGGCCCAGATCTTCTCTTTAAAAAGCCAAAGGATCCAGCCCTCATCTGGGAAATGATCGAATCATGGAGGAAGAAATTACCCGCCAAGCGTACCGAAAACGAGAGTTTCCCATCTCCAACTTTCGCAACGTCTGTCACACTACTCCCTGATTTGCTTGACGTTTCTGCGACATCAGACACCTCGGATGAAACTGTCGGGGTGCCTTGTGGACACTGGTTAATGAGTGCGCGTAGATAGTGGCCCAGGACGCTGGGAGAATCTTACATCTGGAAACAAGTATCTAAACACTAGCCATATGGACTCTTATATATCTCTTTGCTGTTTCGACCGGAGCCTCAACCACGCAGTGCTCAAAAACAATACCCAAGCACTGCCAACAAGCATGGCGCAAAGACACACAAAAATCCGGCCCCTCCTTATCTCCGAGTGTCCACGAACCCCTTGAGGAGGACAAGAAGAAGGGAAATAACTGGCCCTAGAATTTGCTCTGGGCCGGCGACCGAGTAGAGGCTTTCTTGGGTCTGGAGAAGACAATGGTCCGATTTCAGAAGCCAGTATATCTCCTTCGCCCCCGGTGAAGGTCGACTCTTCTTCTGATTCACGTTCGGCATCTTCTTCATCCCCGACCACGTTCGCAAGAGTCTCTGCTGCTTGCCTCCGCCGGTGATCAAGATGCGATAGACCGATGATACCTAGCAGTTGCAAAAAATTGAAACCGAAAAACACATTCAACAACTGCTGGGTCGTGTACTGATAGCTTTTTGGGGCTCGTTGATGGGGCGATGCACCGTCCAAAACAAGGCCAGCTATGGTTTGGAAAATCGTCGCGCCTGTTTGTTCCATCTGAAATGTCAAGTCCATAGCTCAGATAAGGACACTGAACTGAATAAACGATTTACGCTTTTGTGGACACCCAGAGTAGTTGATACAAACTTAAACGGGACCAACTGAGGGACCAAGACCACAAGGAGTACTAGAACACGTCGCATGAATGATGGTTAAAAAGTGCGATGCTAACTCACAAGGGGAGAAGCCAATGCCAGTGGCAAAGGCAGCAATTGCAGGGGAAGGCGTTCCCGTCCATGATGGCGGCAGAACAAGCCATGCGTATCCAAGCAACGTCAATACAGATGACAGCATGAACATGCGAAGTACAGCCTGTGGATGCTTCATCCGGTCCACTATGAATCCGGTCTAACGTGGTGTCGGTCAAGATTATGGAGCAATATGAGATCCGCTTACGGTGGGATACAATAGTATGCTCCCAACCAGAAGGTAGGAAGCTTGTGTACTTGCATCGTTCTCCGTCAATCCATATCTCTTTTCAAAGATGTTGCTAAAGAAAAGTCGCACAGAACGTTATGAGTCACGAAAGATGTCCTGGTATGCAGACTCACGCTGCCAGATGGGTGAAAGGGGCCCATATAGTGCCACAGAGGATGTTTAGCCCTATGTAGCTGCGAAAGGTCAGCATAAGTCATGAGTTCTAATCTCGTCACGCACGCCCAGAAGATATCCCCAAGCTTTGGAATATCTTTGAACCTGATGTGGCGTTTTTGTGCAACTTTTTCCAGCGCCTGAGCCTCGGAGATATCATACAGGGAGCGGCGCCTAGCCTCGCTTCTTATCTCGGAAGCCTCTAGCAAAACAGTGCCAGAACCTCGTATAAGCCACTTTGAGGATGCCATGTAGACCAAGTTGATGAAAAGGGAAAGAGCAGCTAGAAATGTGGACGCGTAGAATGGTGCATGACGCCCAAAACGTTCCGCAAGAGGGAGTGAAGTTCGCGCCGAAATAAATGACGCCAATTTTCCAGCTACAAGACCCAGTGCCATTGAGACACCGAGCCCGTGCGATTTAAAGAATCGCACGATAATGGACTCTTGCACAACCGCAAGAGGACTAACTCCAAATCCGAACACGAACAGGCCGAATGCCATCAATCGAACATCTCCTTTTATGTCACCCGCCAGTAGCAAAACTTGACCTAGAAAGGGATGAGAAAGTGCATAGCATGAACATAGCATGAACAAATACTACTTGCCAAAAAATATGACACCAGTAGCAACGATACTAGTGAGCGTTGTACCAAGTTTACTCGCCATCAGGCCCCCGACCAGAGGTGTCCATGTACTGTTTAAACTGAATGCAGAAATCAACAGACTAAATTCCGTGTTGGATGTGTTAATCTCTCGCGCCAGTCGAGATTTCAGTGGCCCTAGTGTGTATGACGCACTGTAAGATGGGGTACAGTAGATATTAGGAAAATATGGAGGGAATGTACGAATGGAAGGAAAACGCACTAGTGGCTACCGACGCTGAGAGAACACGCACACAGTAGAGCCAACATCCGAACAATGGATGCCCTCGTTGGAGAGATAGCACCCCCACTCTCTATAAGCTCCTCATCACGCGGTCTGGTAGAGGCAGAGTTTATATGTGATTCCGTGTAGCTGTGATTTGGAATCGAGATGTCAAGTCCAGGACGGTGGCCAGTCATTGTGTTGAAGTTGTGCATTAGATCGCCAACGCTCTTATCTGATAAGCTTGGATGACGTAACCTTGACTCCACAACTTTCGACCCCAATTCGACTCAGACCCTAGTTCTGAATTGCAAATGGTCGCGTCTTCTATACTATCACTATCTGGTTTATCTGCAAGTATTGGTTTGCAAGCATACACGCCTGAAGTCACAGAAAGAACCGGGACTGTGGTTCGGCCAACTATACACCCGGGCCGTAATTTGACACTGCCATACGTAATCGTAATCGCTTAGATTGACTCGATGAACTAGACGCACGGACGTAAGTAGATTCAATTAAAACCACATCGCACACTACTTCCAAAGTCCAGTCCCTGTTTTATAAGCAATTTCTTAGACATAAAAGCTTGAGTTCTGGTAAGGGCGGCACCCATTATCAACTTGTCACATCCCCGGCTTATACTCTGCACTCACATATCCTCGCTTGCTCGTTCGTACCCACATGCATGTCGCAAAGAGCGTGAGGACGCAAAGTCCGAACAGTACCCAGCCGACTGCTTCGACTGTTAGCGTTTCTCGACAGCTGGACACACTTAGCTCCTGTGGTGCATCGCATGGCAAGACCCCGTTAACGGACGCGGAGCTATTGGCTATCCAATTACAATCGCCCCCACTCCGCGTGTTGTGCATCATGCCAGCTGCGGCGCCCTATCCACCCGGGTTAAACTGTTGGTTTTTATACCGTAAGATGTCTTACCCAAAGTGCCGAAGTGATAGCAAGCCAAACGATGGAACTTGCTATGCTGGCAAGAAGGTGCACAGCACCATCAACAATCCACAGCATATAAGCTGCCCCGAATAATGTGGTCCACACGGCGTTGAACTCGAAGAGTATTAAGCTGAATGCATCCTATATTAGCAGGACTTCCTTTCGAGGTAGAAAGCAGGCTTGCAGTGAATGATAACGAGCGCTAGGCCAATTACGACTCTCGTTTCCAACGCTAATAAGGTAGGCAGTGAGGCCCAGCTCAGCCATAGCACACATAGTGATGAGAATGAAAAGGAAAGGGTGGTAATGGGCTTTGATGTAAGCCATCGTTCAACGGTGTCAAAAGAAATGAAAGAGAGTCAAAGCTTCCGAATGGTAAGATACGGGTTAGAAGTAAGAAGGGTAGACCAAACTAATAGTAGCCATCCTGGACCTTTGCGCGCGTTCCATTCGTGGCCCCCATGCAGCTGCGAGACATGCGAAGAACACGAGGGTGAGTATTGCCGGATGTGTTCAAGTACCGCACATCTTATTCGGGCAGGCTGTAGATCAAAACGTGTCTGCAGCAAGTTAAATGTCACATGGAGAGGAATACTCACCAGTGCACCGACGGCAACTCAAATTACGTAGGTCAGATGCAGTATCAAACATCAAATAGTCTCCGCTCTTTTCACCAAAGAACATTTCATCTGGTCTACATATCAACTGCCATGTATAACGGCAATTTAAACTCGCGGGGCGTGTAAAACTGGGCTACCGAGATGGGGATTCCTTGAAAGCGAGATCTCGATTACATCTTAAGTGCCAATTTTGCTAGGTTCAAAGCGCCTTCTTTCGTCTTGTTCCCTGAAACACATACCAGAGATCAGCTCCGATGCAACTGCACCATTGATGCTTCACCTACCTCCAATGAACCCTGATGCGTGCACGAATATACATCCGTCAACACCGCTTACTTCTGACAGCTCATCATCACGCATGCCTCTCCACTTCTCCGGCAGCGCCTTTCGACTGTCAAAGCTCTCAGGAGAGGCAGGGACTGCCTGAATACGCCAGTTTCCCCCAGTCTCGTCAGGGTATATCACATAGAATGGAAGTTCATCTTCGGAGATACCCTGCTCAGCCTCAAGTTCAAACAAATGCTCCTGTCAGATGTTTCAGAATCCAGTGAAAGGTCGTGATCGACAACAATATAACCTTCCATGGAGCAAATTGCTCAAATAATATGATCTTTCCGCTGGCATCGACATTCTGGCGCGATGAGAGCCCAGCCAATACCAAATCACGCGCAGGCAACCATGCATTAGCATAGTAGTCAAGCCTGCCGAGGAACTCATCCCCGGTCAGCTGCGAAGCTTTCAAGAACAGAACCTAGACAGTTCAGCGAGTTGTGTCACAAGCAAAGACGCAGACACCCACATCCACTTTCTGAGACTCTGTAGACTCATTCCAGCGAGGATTAAGCCATCCAACTCTACTCGAGAGATCGGTCCGGTTGCGATATTTTGATTGTTCTTGAGAGGAGTATTGCGAGATTCCATTGTCAATTGCATCCAAGGCCTCAATAAACTCCTGCAAATGGTTAGGAAGACGCAAGTCTCTTTGAGCGACTGCATACCTTATATAATTTCAACCACAGTATGTCAACTTTCTTGTCACTCGGCTCTAGCCCTGTCGCACTGGCAACAACCTCCTTCCCAAAATGCCTTTATGGAGCTGTAAGTTACCTCTAGAAGAATCCAGAAATTCCATACTTGTAGACAAGACCTGCAGATGACAGTTTGGTGCTAAAGCCATGACCGAACACCTCCGTAAAACCACGTTGATGGTGATCAAATCTGCATTTGCTTTCGTCGTACACAGCTCCCACATCAACTACTATGTCGCAATCATCGAGGACAGCTGGATCCCTACTGCGTTTTAGGCCTTGATAATCACTTGTGAAGGTAAGCACCGATGAAAAATTTGACACTCACTTGCGTCTTTATAGGTGTTCGTCTGACGCAGAAGAAAGACTGCCAGTGCTTCATCGCAATGGAATGTGCCATTATGAGTGCCTATGGTCTATCCAGGCGCTGGAAATAAAGATACATCCTCTGTGAGTGATTGAGCGAACCTTGACATCCATTCTCTGCTTTTTAGTAGCGGGCCCTGTCTGTGACATAACTGTCCTGCTACTCAGCTTGCGATTCAGGCGAAATAGATAGGTCGAGGTAATGGTCGGCGAACGTAGACTACAGATGACCTTGTTTGCCAAGGTCATAAAAGTGTCTCTTTGAGATGGGCAATAAGTAGACACTCCGATCGGTTATCGACATGCTTACGTAAAATCAAGCGCTTGTCGAGGTCTTGTTGGAGTTCTCACTTAGCTTGATTATCAGAGTATATACACTAGCAATATCTGGTCATCGAAGCGGTACAGAAACCAGCCCGGTCTCAGTAAGATGCATGATAACTTGTTTGACCTGGCCCAGCTCATAATATTGAAGTGGGCAGAGAGAGTATACGTAACTCGATTTCGGCACCATATCATGGAATTAGTCAAAAGACCAGGTCTTATTACAGTATACTAGTACTGTACTCGGTCCAAGACGGTCTAGATATAATAAAGTGTCAATGAGCGGTAGGCATGCGAGGATATATGCGAAAGTACAGTTCCATTAGCAAACCCTAAAAGCAAACTGGTTTGTCCATGTCCAATAAAGAGAGCTAAACGGAATATCCTAAGTATGTTTGGCAGTGTGCCAGCGTCACGTCATGCGGGTCTATAAACATACGAACAGTGTACAGTTTTGGAACCGTTTTAAAGTAAAACCAATGCCCCTCCGACGAGTAAGACGACAGCTCCGAGAATGTTCGCACTGCGCAAGGCTTGGGCACCTGCAATATAGCCATCCGGAGGGCCATATATGCCACCTGATGCTGATGCTCCTGGACTGGGGGCACCGTTGGGACCGCCATCCGCTCCAGCAACGGTAGATGCTGCAGTGGGTAGATTGCTAGAGGCGATTGATGTGGTGGTCCCGTTGTTGGCACCGCTAGTTATTGCTGAGGAAGAGTTGCCGGAGGCAGAACCTGTGGCAGACGCTGTGGGAGCGGGAGTGATGGTGAACACCGTTATTTGTGTTACTGTGCTAGTTTGGCGATTCGAGCCAAGTGTCTCTTCCACGATAGTAGACGTTGAGAGCTGAACACTCTGTGATGATGTCTGATGTGGGGTGTGAGCTTGACAGGGAAAACGAAAAGTAATTACGAACCTGGGCAAGTGCAAGCAGAGGTAAAACCAGAAGAAAAGAAAGTAGATACATCGCTGAAGGACGAAGATTGGTAGGAGCGACGATAATGCAAGACGGTGAGAGAAATTTAGAGACTGTGAGTGACCGTCGGACACTACCAGTATAGTACCGCCCTGGTGGTTTAGCTGAGTAAGTTTGATCAAAGGGGGGTCGAGGGGGGTCGTTTTTCATGTCCTTTGTTATAATGAGATCAGAAACAAATTTGTGATTTCCATCTTACCATCGACGGCCATCATCAATTCATCGATTGAGCATTAAGATCATGTTCCCAATTCAATCGCATACCGTACACCTCGTTCTGCAATACATATCTCCCCCCTCTGAGTTGACTCAACCCCTACCACCCCATTTGTTGTCTAGATCATTGCTTCAACGACACCATTTCCTTCAGATCTCACCTGATGATCCTGTAGAGTATCTATGTTGGCCTGCTACTCAAAGTGCCCGTGTTGTCGAGCTCCTCAATATTTTCTCATCCCCCGGAGATCAGCCAGGCCAATATTACGTTCGGTACACCTCAGATCCAGAACACACTTATGCTCATGTCCAGGTCGTCACTCATGAGCAGGGTGTCCGCTTGCTCTTCGAGTGGGATGATGAAGACGGATGGAAGTATCATGATAGTCAGCTGATGCCTTTCCCATCCACATCACGCTCTGCGTTACATCCACCAAAAACTCCAGCGGAACAGGCGCGTGAACGTTACCCCTCCGTGGCCCGTGGTTTTCTAGATGATGAAGATCGCTACTGGAACGCATACAATGCCCCGCTCTATGAATCAATTTCCGCTTTTTCCGCTTTAGCACCGCGCAATACACTTCGGGAAGGTTCGGCTGATAGAGCAGAAGATGCTTATTGGGCACAGTATTCATCAGTACAAGGTGGTTGCTCTTCCTTCCCAAGCTTGGTATTTTTATCTTGCCTGACCTCTTCCCTATCCTAGGATCTGCTGATTCCACGGTGCCTTCGCCTCTACCGAACCACCGGAAACTAGAAACTGCGTTTCCGGCGTATTATACACAGCAAGAAGAGGCTATACCCATACCAGCTGACACTATACATTCTTTGCCACCGCCCGACAGTAAGTTTGGGCCGCCATCGCCTACTGTATTGGCACATCTCCTTAATATTATCTCCCCACGCAAAGACATACACACACCCACGTCAAACGAACCGTCCTCAACTTTCGCCCGTGATACTCCGTCACCACTCTCAACTTTGGATAATTCGGACCTAGAGACCCCCGCGTCTGGGAATCCGGGTCAATATGCGCACCTTGCTCAACCCGTGAAAGTCACGTTAAATGACATGTCATATTCTAACGGGCGGCATGCAGGGAACGGACACGCAAACGAAGAGGACGACGAATTTGCTGTCGAAGAGGACAAGGCAGTAACTGAAAGTATAAAGGGCATATACTACCTGTGGAAGGCGAGGAAGTCGAACCAACCAGACGAAGAGAGCAGTGATGTATTCCTACGCATCGTCCGAGAGGCTGTAACTCAGTCATGATTAATCTCATAGTGGTTTAGTGTTCTTGATCTACATGTTTATATGCTGGCATTATTGACAGGAGCATGATGTACATCATTGCACTACTAAATCCCACCTGTATCTGTCAAAATATTTTATGCAAGAAACAACACGGTACGTATTTAAAGAGTGTTTTAAGAAAGGGATAGACGTCTATGATTCTGAAGACAATGCCGCACAAGCTTGGAGAAGTGAACCGAGCTCAATCAGCCCAAGGTTGACTTGTGTGAGGATTTGAGGATTGTTGGGACTAGATGTAGGGAGGGGAGATGTGGTGGACGAAATCGTAGTTGATAGGAGAGTTGAGGTGGTAGTTGGCATAGATGTGGTTGTGGCTGCGAGGGTGCTCGTAGTTGTGAAGGTAGGTGTGGGAGTACTTGATGAGGTAGTAGTGGGTGGCGTCCAGGTACTAGTGGAAGACTGCTTGGTCGTTGTAGACGGTAGAGGTGTGGACGAGGTGGAAGCACTGCCATAACTCCACGATCCAGATAATTCCCCAACGCTGGTTGGTGCGAAGAACTCAAAAAGACCCTGACTCAGGTCAAGTCCCCCGCAAGGACATCCAAGGCACTGAATAACTGTGTTAATCACACGCCCCGTAAAGCAGTAATTGGCAAAAATACCTCGTCCGTAACCTGAGCCTGCGTCGACACGCCATTCACGGTGATAGTCATCATTTGAAAGCAATGGCTACCTCCATCATAGTCCTTCGTTGGATGTAAGTTTCAAGTTCTGGAGTCACAAGACAGTAGAACTTACACATGTGCTGAGCGCAACAATCTGAGTAGATGTCAAGGGATAATCAACAGTAACCAGAGAATAGAGGACATACAAAGTCGGTAGGTGTATTGAAAGCTCCGCAAGCACCACTGGTTGTACTATAAGCAAAGGTCTTCAATGGCTTACAGGACCTACTAACCTGCCATCTTGAAAATAGGTAAAAGAATCTCTCTTCGAGATTTTCGTGTCTCTCGACTGATTGACAGAGATCTCGAGGACCCGGGGCTGGTGGTTACCACTTGGAGCGCGTACGTGCGCCAACCTGCGCGAACGGTCATGTGCGGAAGACTGGACCCCACTAAAGCCGACTACTTGGGAGAATAAAAACGAAAGAGCACACAAAGCGACAGACAGGTAATGAAAGGAGTGCATTTTATCAATGAATGTTTAGTTTACTACCGCAAAACACGAAAACATGAAGGTGGAAGAGCTACGATCTTGAAATTCAAAAACCCTGTTAACCTGTTAACTAAATTTTTGATTTAAAGTCACACACTAGCGTTCCAGGCCTTTAAGTTCAGGAACGAAGATTGCCGACTTCGTGCGGTGCCTTTTTACATCAGAAGATGCCTGTAACGCAAGATGTGTGTGCCATTGGTGAGTTGACGAGACAATGCAGGCAGTAAGTACAATATAGTTTATCTACATCAGATGTGAGTATTATACTTGTGAAGAGGTCATTAGATGGTTGGGGTATATTCATTCATCAGATTCATCATCACCACCGTCGTTCACAGGGATAGCTTCTTGTTCTGGCATTCGCTAGTATGAATTGCTATCAGGTATGGACTGATAACTGAAACTGCAGAAGACTTACCACGAACGCAAACTTACACACGAGGAAACTCCCTTTATTGAGCCCTTTTTCAATCCACGCCTACGAAATTAATAATAAGGAAACAAGGGCTATCGACCAGCAACGCACTTTTTTGACAAGGTATAGGCCATCATAGCGATACCTATGAATAGAGTTGCAATTAACGGAGAAGTTGGCGAGATATAAATCAAACAGACCCCTCTGACGGTGCGTACTTCGACCTGGCCTTCCCTTTGAAGCCCCGGATCACACGGACAGGTTTTTGAGTGTCAACAGATCTCTGTTAAGAATGAGTCAAAAAAGATTCGGGCGCCATCTTCCCAATGTACCTGGAGGGCTGCGTTGTTTCTATCCTCGAAGCTCTGATCACTGCTTTGGGGAGCCGTTCGAAGCTTTTCGAAGATTAGCCTGATCACACTGATTGGTGATTATACCTACATTCTTGGGTGCTGTCTTTGTTCCCTTCAAGTCCCTGCCGCCTAATAAGGGTGAGGACCTCTCCATTGCTCCACCGCAACACACGTACCAGAGCCGGTGAATGTACTGAATTATTGTGAGTCACTGTTTTTTGCACGCTTGCATCACGACTCACAATGCGTATCCATCGTCTACATCATCATCATATCCTCCTGAAAGTGCGATTGAGTATGCACCATTTGGACCTGGTGCAATACCCGAGACCCAAGGGCTATAAGTTTGATTAGCTCGAGGGTCCCACTCGAAAAGAAGGGGGAAGTGTCTTACCCGTGGACAGATGCGTTTGAACAATCTTCCCTAGTACACCAAGTCAATGATATATTAGTGGCAAGAACTACCAATTCATCCTCACCTCGTTGCCCACCACGTCCCCACTTCTACGTCGGGTATGTGACCGTACATATGACTATACAAAGTTACACGGCTAGCATGAAGAAAAAGAACAGAGCTACTGACGGATCATATGTCCTCTTTGATTTCACCTGACCAACTTTGAGCTTTTGGGACCGTTTGAATGTCATCGGTTCCGGGACCCCGCGATCTTGTTCCTGCTTGTAGTCGACTGTCTTACCAGCAAGACGAGAGCTTCTTCGCGTGCCCCCTTGTTCATTACTGTCATCTGCTATACGAGAAGCTTTCTTGGGCGGCTCAAGCTCGTCGCTTTCGGGCAAGGGTGACTTCCGTTTCTTGGCCGCCACTTTTTTCCTTAAGTTCTCTCTCGGCTCGCATTTGGGTCTGAGGGGATTGATTCCCAAGTCGGCAAGGATAGCTCTGTTGCGTGCAATGTTCTGTTCTCGCTCTTCTGCGTAGGACATCGTGGTTGGCTGAACAGAGACGAAAATGGGCGGAAGCAAATATGCTACTTATTGCACTTCGAATAAAATCGTGTCACTCACGTGACCGCGTTTCATATGCATGCTAAGTTACATGCGGTATCATTGAATTTATAGACATACTACAATTCAGCGTAGTGGAATCTACATATGAATCACCTAGTGCCTTGTGGCACAAAGGGAGATATGCCAGCGAAATTACTGATGTCAACCGGGCTCATCGGAGGAGTCGGAGTGCCATCTGTCTGCCCGCTGACGTTGCTGCTCTGGGCTCTAGATGGAGGTCGTCCACTTATGCTTATGCGGTCATTCAGGGGAGTATGCATCTCTCCTACATGTCGTGCATTGCGTCAATAGCGTAATCGGCAAATGATACAGAGAGCTCACTCCCGATGAATTTGCATTTGCCTTGTTTCCTGTAGCCACATTTAGACCCTCTGGGGCAGTAGTGTCCAGAAGGGCAACTTTCGCCGAATGGACAAAGTTGGTCTAGATGTACAGAGGACTGAGATTGCCATCCATGAAGAACAACCACCGTGACGCACTCTTGTTAAAGACGGGGCAAGGAGATTTCTTCGCATTGGCACGAAGCTCGGCGTAATTGTCTGCTGTAAGAAAGTAATCGTGGCCATAGGTGCACTTATCACCTTGCTTGCACACGGACAGATAGAAAAATGTGCATGGTCGTGGATTTTCTGTGAAAAGATCGACATCACGCTCGATGAACAATGATGAGCGACCTACGCTTGTTGAGTGGCTGGTCGCAACAAACAATCGTTATCAACACTGAACGAAGTAGGTAACAAGGCCCTACCAAAGAAGGATCAAGATATCTGCAGAATTGTGTGCTCGTAGAGATGACTGGACTCTGCGTTCCAACGAGGAAATTTTTCGGGTTTATCCTCTGTCTGTCATATTCTTGAGGAGTGACCCCTGTTGGAGGCGTCGACCTCCTATGCGTATAACACGAGGGAAGTTTCTTTGTCATGAAGACACCCCCAATATCGAGGTGGGGCAAATCGAAGTGTTGAAGCTCAGCGGCGAGAGTCTTGTATCCACGGAGTAGGACAATTTTTTCCAGCAAGCCCTCGTTTTCAAGGGTACTTAATATGGAAGTATATCCATTGTCGTGCCCGCCTTGGAATCGCATCAGCATTAGCCGAACAATAACTTTCCTTGAAAATTCACCTCCGAAGAATACACGTGAAGTCTGGGGAAAGCGGGTGAAAACACGAAGACATTCTACCGGAAAGTTAGAGGAAATTACACAATACTAAACGTTATCGCATCACCTTTAATCTTCGCATCAGCTGCCTCTTTCCCCCCACCCACATCCACAATAGAGAATAACGGTGAAGCTGAGTTGAAACCCAGCACAAATGCTTCAAATTCCGAAGCACTGCATATACCGTTGTTCACCAGTGTATCCATCAAGCCAGTTTTATTGCAGTACACAGTCAGCCAAACTTGTCCACGGCCGGAAGATCCAGCGTCAACATCCACCATATAGTCTGTTAACCCTTTGGTTAGTAGCATAGCTGCTTGCCGGCCTCCTGTATGGCCTGACGCGAGTAAGTCTTGGGAGAAAATGTTGCCATCACCATCAATGAGGCAGAGGAGAAGCGGGTTATCATCCTGGATCCAACATCATTTCGGACCGAATGTTAAGGCATATATATTAGATGACCAACCTTTAATGAGCCAATGTTTTTCTCCAGCTTGAGCATATGTTTTTGTAGATTGCATTTTTCATCTTCGGCAGCCTTGAAAGCCAGCTTCCACACCGATAGTTCTCGTTCCAGTTCGTCGACCCGTAGGTGTAGCGTTTGATTGTCAGTGAGCGTAAGACGAAAGAGGCCTTATGACAGGTGAGTCTTCTCTGCCATGGGATAAGATGCCACGTACTTGACTGTTCTTCGACCAGGCGTTCCCTTGGCACAAAATTAGTATAAATAGGTCTCTGTGACAGCAGAAGCCGAAGGACGCAGCCTCTCACCATTTCTGAAGGTCATTTAAGGTCGCGCATTCTTCCATAGCGTTGGCTCTGGGAGTGCTGACTCCCTTTTTTTGTCAATTTGTCCTAAGAAGTCCAGTGCAAGATGCTGCACAGCATGAGAGATGTGCAAAGCAAGTTCCGAATATTATGCCAAGGAACAAGCCTGCATGTAGGACGACGTAAGAGGCGGAGCGTCAAAATCCCTTCGTCAGACTTTATGTAAATGCCAACTCGATATATAACGTGTACAAGGTATAGGTCCGCCACAGCATTTACGAAAATGTCCATGAATTAAATACAGAGGAGCAGTGAAAGACACCATCTTGTTGCCAACATAAAGCACAATTTCTATTTGATGCGTTTGAGCTATTGTTCGAAAATCAGACAAATGATGTTGCGACGTGCAAAATATGACAACACACCCTTTCAGTGTTCCTGAACACGCTGTTGTCCAAGGTCGTCGTCTTTTGTTCGATGGTGACAAGTCTTGAGTTTTGTTGATCAAGCTCCTGTCCCATAGCGGTACCCAGTGCCCTCAAGTTTTTGGTGATAGCCGAGATCTCGTTCAGGTTGTCGTCCAACTCATCTTCCATCTCGTCATCAGAAGCACCCGCCTCAAATTGGTATCTCTTCCGCTGCTCCTTTCTAGTGGCCAGCTGTTCCTCAGTGCGTAATCTACCTGACCCTCCAGATGTCAGACTTTCTTCATCTTGACGGCCATATGTAGTGGCACGTCCCAAGCGGTTCTGAGTATCTCTGATGTCTTGCATAGCCTTTTCGCGATCTAGCCTTTCGTCTTCATATCGCTGCTGAATTTTTTCTTCCTGAGCGGCGCGTTTTGCATCCTTGTTCCAAGTAATGACAGGGCGGAAGATTGACCGATTAAGCTGCTTCAGTTCGCCGATCTGATCTTCGGCGCGCAAGGTGTGACCCTTTGAAACATCAAGATGACGCTCGGTGTTGGCGAGTTTCTCTATCACAAGCCGATCAACGAGAAAAAAACTACAAATTCAGCCAAATCTCACCAGATTGATCCCCGAGTCTTGTGATGGTGTTCCCCGCAGTTTCTTCGGCTTCCCGAGCAAGCCTCAGTGCATTCCTGGTAGAGTTAACGCTCTCTTGCTTCATGAATCTGGTTTGCTGTTTGATGCCTTCTACATCCTCTTCATTCTCCTCTCCAGGAGAGGGTTCTTTGCCTAGCGTAGGGCCATCGAAGTATCGACCAGAACCTGTCTTTCCCTGGGGTTTATATCCAGCGAACAGTTCATCGCGGTTCCGATCTCCCTCAACATCAGGAGTTTTACCCGCAGTGGTATTATAAGTGTCATAGTTGTCGTACGAATTCTGTGACTGAGTCCTGGTACTCATGACATTATAAGGATCAGGCCCATCGCGGCTGGCAACGTAGGTACTGGCGGTAGACTTATAACTGGGGAGGGAAGACGTGCTTCGAGACGAACCCCGCAAACCATCTGGTGGGGAAATTGCTGGCTGAGTAGGAGGGATCAAGTTTTTCTCCTTGCGCTTGAAGAACGACATTTCCTGAAATGTGAGGACAATGGACTCGATCGGATGGAGGGAATCAGAGGTTGAGCAGGCCAAATGACTACATACGTAACCAAATCGTACACTAAAGGAACTGCGGCAGGGCCACGTGACCTTGCTCATATGCAATATCGCGCTAGTAACTCTTCCCCTTGACGTTTTTGCTCTTCAAAACGTCCCTGGTTTTCTTGCCAACCACCGTAACACCTTTACCTGACTTGACCACGCTCTTCAGAGCTGCATCCTTTTGTTTTTTTATGCCTCTCATTTTGGCATGTTTATCAACGCTCTTGTCGAGGGCGTCCCGCGTCTTCTTCCTTGCCTTTCTTTCCTTTGCACGTAGTGTTCGCTTTTCCACGGGTGTAAGCTCGCTACGGGCGCGGGGATCAGAAGATGCTGTTTTGAAAACCTCTTCTGGAGCAAGCATAGAAGACACGGTTTTGCTGGTAGGAAGTGCTGATTCCAAAGTAACTGCGGAAACGTTGGAGATTGTCGATATACTAGCTTTCGGCTGTAGGAATTTTAACGTTATGTCTACATGATAATACAGTTCAAAACACGTACCGCTTTTGGAGTGTAATGGGCGTTGCAAAGTGCATCCAGCTTGCTGCATATGCTATCCCAAAGTTTTGTAATTTCGTCATGCTCCTTCTTGAGCCGACCATCTCTGTCGTCACCTCCCGTACCACCGTTCTGTGCTACGATGTACTCATCCTCGTAGATTTGAGCAAGTGACTGGGAAGACTTGGTGTCCTGGAGCTCAAAGAATCGCGACGGAAGGAAAGGCTTATCGTCCACAGCGCGAATCCGCACAACGTCGTCGAATCGGTCATCCTTTATACGAGCTTTTATTCGCTCTTCGAGACCTTGAACCACAGCTTCAGTGATGACAGGCACTGCTTTCATTGTTCGCTCAAACTCTAGATCTTCTTGCAGCAAAGAATCTTGAGGTCGGGATCTCGAGGTGGCTTCTCCCGTCAACACCCAGTCCTTTTTAGCGACATTCTCCGCTTCGAGCTCCTTGATCTGTGTTTGCAGTGCTGCCATACGTTTTTCATAAGTGGTCATATCTATAAACAGGTTGTGAATGAATGATACTCCAACAAGAATATGACTGGCCTTACTGGAATCTGATGCATCTTCCTCCGCAAATAAGTCATCCTTCAGTCTTTCAATGATAACGCGACCTTCGTCGTCTCCATCGCCGTCGCCGTCTTCATCTTCATACTCGTCTACAAATGACTCTTCAACCTCAGCGTCCATCATGACCTCATCTGGATCTTCTAAGTACATGTGCAGTCCGTTCTCGTCGTCGGAATCATCTTCCTCCATTAAGCTAGACACCGGTAGGCCCTTGCCCTTTGCCTTGATACTTTTCACTCTGACCTGCTCACTGAACCGTACTTTCGACTTCGAGGAAGAAGTATTCATAGTAGCTTTCGAGCTGGAGCCTCTGGGAGCATCGAAGAAATCTTTGTAGAGCGGTTCTGCGTGTTATGTGAGTTAGGCGTGATAAAAAGAATACAACACTGCATACCTGCGCCGTCTTCCGAAGCATCGTCATCAAGGTCATGGGCATCATCTATTGGCCTGAAGAGATCAATACTGTCACCTTCGTCGTCAAACTCATCCTCGTCCGATTCTCGTCCTAGTCGGCCACGGGAAAGAGTAGTCGCTTCGGCCTCTTCCGTTTCACGATTGAATGCGTCAAGACTGAAGAAATCGTCGTCAAGGTCTGAATTGGGTTGCTTTGCGGCTGCACGTTTTAGAGAGGGTTTTGCTTTGACGACGTCGAGAAGAGATGGATGATGATCTGAACAGTCCTCCTCGTCTTCTGACAGCTCCTCGCGAAGGTCAGTCATTTCTTCTGCCCCACCAGTGTCCTCTCCAGAATCCTCCATGTACTCTATTTCTTCAGAATCTTCGCTTTCTTCCGATACCTCGTCACCTCCTTCATCTTCCGCATCATCGTACATCCCGTCTGACAATTCCATGTCGTCTTCAGTCTCGCCCTCCAACAGCAGGAGATTACTGCAAAGAGGTGCGGCCCTAAGGTCCAACTGCTGCCAAATTTGATCTTCATTCATTTCCTCGATGAAAAGTGAGGGCAATGGTGTATTTTTTATGGTGACCTTCTTTGGGGATTCCAGGACAGGACTTGGACTCCTCTTCCGTTTGGCATTAGCGCGAGTCTGTGATCTCGTTTGTGGTGCTTGAGACTGTCTGAGTGAAGACAAAAGGTTCTCGATATGAGGCAGAGAGGCAGGTTCCGACTGCAAAGCTATAGACTACTCAGCACAGTGTAGGTATTGAATTGGGTCTGGTCTGCTCACCAAGATCGAATATGAATTTGGTCGCGCGGAGAGCTATGGCTTGTAGCTCAGCAGTGGCAGCTGCTAACGATTCGGGCTTTTCTTGAATGAAAGACGAAAGATCATCGAGTTCTCTCGGCAGATTGACCTTTGATTCGATTTCCATTGCATGCACTGGCAGACCAGGCCTGCAGCTGAAAGCGGTGAAATTTCTGAGTTTCCAAATGCGTTTGTTTGCGATTATTTGTTTGATAGTTCAGCGCTCAACTTCACGTGTACAAAGAACTTGAACACCATGATAAGTATTACATCAGATGATCGAATTCTGCGGCATATGTGCCGTCCATCACGGTAACAACGGTATCGACCTTGCGACGATGTCTTCATTCTTTTCGCTCTGTTTCCGAGTCAACAAAAGGCGGATGCCTAAACGAGTACAAGGCGACAATTTATAATTCCGTTGCACTGAGCGCGATCTTTTTGTTCTTGCACATTGTCCTACCGAACCGACGCGTACCTGCTACAGTACATAAGGTCGACCTCCAAACAATGGAAAGTACGCTCCAACCCCCTTCTCTCATAGGTCCAGCTAGTTTCTATCGCGCACGGTCTCGCGACATTCAACTGACGAGCAGGCTCTCGCTACATTCATTTTTTGAACCAATACCTTTACACAATCAATTCAATCATGCTAGCCGATATTTCAAAAGGCACCATCCTGTATTTCACCCCTGTGCTCATGCTCACAGCACTCCTGCTCTCGTTGTTTTCGTACCTTGCCCCGACCGTTATGTTGCATAGCCAAGTCGCGCTGCTTACAGTCACGCCTTCCTCTGCCTTGACGCAGCCCGGATCTACCAAATCGGTGGATGGTCCCAGCATTTTCCTTGGACCTTTAGGGTCGTGCTCTCGACCAAACAATGAAGCTGGTCTGACGTGTATGCCATCTTCCATATCTCCCATCTATAGTAAGTTAAAACTGTCTGACTGCTAGTGTCAGTGATGCTCACATGAAATCAAGACACTTCGGTGTTCACATCTAATACCCCCAGCTCCGTTATATCGGCCCCACCGGAAGGTGCACCAACCTTTATGGCAATTTCCCTTGTATTTTCCGTGATTTTCTTTGTCATGTTCACGGCAATATCATTCCGCCACCTGATGGGCAAAGCTGGTGCTATTTGGGAAAAACCCATGGTGCAGCGTGTCTCCGCATGGATTGGGATCTTTGCGTTCTTAATCGGTATGCATCTACTTTGAAGTACACATTGCTGGCGCTGATCTGTGTTTCTAGGTCTCGGATCTACTCTCATCATTTTTATGTGGTTTGGGAAGGCCGCCGATGACTTCAATCAAAGTATCCAGGGTCAGGGAAGTAATGGTCCCCAACTGATTGCCGCTATTGGTAATGCATTCACGAGTGAGTGACCTTACATTCGATTCTGAAGTTCAATTCTAATCAAGTCTGGCAGTGATTTGGATCGCATATGCATTCTTTGCCATCCCTGTCGTTGTTTCACTGGCTAAATTTCACGTTCTTGCTACGAAGTGATGACAATTACACTTACATGGACATAGACATCTTCCTTTCCGCCCTCCATCCAAGATGTATACTTATTCATAGTTGTTTACTATTGCTGTATCCATGCCCTTGGTGAACTCATCAGCAGCTTGCATTATAGATCAGGTGAAGTACGTATATGTACTAATTAACAATCAGTGAAACGGTTGACTGCGTATGGATTCTTGTATCGATCCGGCATGACCGGGTTGCTTCTAGTCTCCCGTGCACCATAAAAGGTCTGGTCAATTCTAATATGTCAACTTCTCACTTGGGCTCTATACATGGTCACCAAGGACAGTCACAAGGTGCCGAACATAAGATTGTGGTGGCCAAATCAGGTCCGCGTAAGTAAGTTACGAGAGGACTGTCGTAAGGTCAAGTCGACATTGATATTGGCAGCGACCAGACCTATATAGAATGGAGACTCATCGCTTCGAACTCTACCGAGTCAACCAACCAACTCGAATTTTCGCTGCAGCTTAGTAACTGTGTCGGGCCATGGTCGCCATACTCACGTTCCTTTTACTAGTGCTCTTTCGTGTAGTCTGCGTTTACGCGACGAACCTTCATATTCCGGACCACATCAACATTGCTGTTGCTCACCACCTGAGTAGTGGTCCATGTGGCGGGATTTTGAGGTACGGTTGAACCCCAGATATGTTGTTGCCAGTACATGTTCATCCATTGTCATGTCCTCCTCTTCCAGTACTAGCACATCACCAGTATCTCCCACACTGGCTGTTGACCCTACCATCACACAAGACATAAACAGCATTCATCAACGCAGGCTGGTAACAATCACAGAGGGAATCACTACAGACCCTAAGGAAATCACATCCTGGTTAGTCGCTATTTTGTATGTAGCACTCGACTACAATCGCATTGCAGGATTGCAGACCTGGGAGCCAATGGTCAGTGGCCTAGTTCTGAAGTGAATTACACTAGCGGATGCGACGCACAAAGGTCCAACTGGCCTGCTCAAGAGCACTGGCAACGTATCAGTGAGGATATACGTTGGACCAAGAATTGACACATTGACTGGCTCTTGACAGGTACCATGGCTGCTGCTTGGCACGGCGGTCTTAGCGGGGGGCAGCAATACGTTAACGATTCCAAGACCTTAGCCGCCACATCACTTGCTATGGACTATTGGTTCGCTAATGATTTCACTAATCCCGCATGTCTAGACTATGGAGGCACTCCAACCTGCCCTTGTGGCACGCCTGGATTTTGGAACACGAATTGGTTTTCTAATGTAGGATCGCAGCTAATTTTCAATTGTATCGATTTCTTCTGACACCTGGTTTAGGTTATCTTGATCCCCGAACTGGTGTCACAATCCTGCCTACTGCTGAACGATACACTGTCATCTACTCAACTTGGCAATTGTACTCACATCACCCTCCGTGCATATGGCACGTTCGACCACTATGTCAATGGTATAGGTTACATCACTGGTGCGAATGCGTTAGACGTTGCAAAAATTGGGATCGATCAAGGTCTTCTGGTTGTCAATGTCTCCTTGATCACAGATGCCTTCATGAGAGTTCATGAGACTGTGGTTATTGAACAGCCCGTTGGATCTGATGGGGTGAACCAATCATTGTCCTGAAGTTGGCGAACTAATGATTAGTTGGCAATCAGATTCGTCCTGACGGATCTTTCGGTCAACACCTTGGGATCATCTATAATGGCAATTATGGGAAAGATTTGTACGTCATCTCTGCACTTTAGAAGCATCCATCTGAGTCATGCCAGCTCAAATGACGTTCTCAACCTGGAAATTGAGGCTGCAGGAACACAATTTGCTGCTAATGCAACTTCCAAGACTGCATTTGAAACTTTATTTGACGGAAATCGATGGATGATCTTCCGTAACGTCCAGACCAATGTTTGTCAACGGTTTACTTTCATATTATTTGTGACCGACTATCTTGCAGGTATCGCATTGGGATTTTGTGAGTTAGCAGCCCTCCGTTTCAATGTTATCTGACACTGCCCCAGAGCGTTTTAGGTCGTTTCATCAGTTTCCCTGTGATTGACGACCAGTGAGGTTATTTTGATACTTGTTTACTATGTTCTTGTTGACGCTGTTTCAGGGCTACCGGTAGCATCAATATGAACCTTTCAGAAGTTCAGCAACTGGGGGAGGAATGGAACTCTACTGTTCTCCTCGAATTCTCTTCGACCCTATCTGCCAACACAACTGATGCAAATGTGGGTGAGCTCCACGGGAATCGTATGTTCTTTGCCAATGACTACATGGTCAGTTTTTTTTCTTCTTCGCCCGTCCCGTCCTGTTGACCTGCGCCCCCAAGGTAACTCGCGGTCCAGGCTATGTGACCACAGTGAGAATGTATTCTAATAGGACAATCAACACAGAGTGTCTCAACTTTCAAAATGTATGGTATCGCCTCCTACGTCATGTGAGCAGTACTAACGACATATCAGCCTTTGGGTTTCCACCTCTCTGATGGCACTGTTTACACTTACCTTCAAGGCAATGAATATGAAGACATCGCTGCTGCCTGGGACTGGAACCTTATCCCTGGAATTACTGTGGACTATAACGCTACAGTACTCGATTGTAACAATACTTCATACACCGGTCAAGAAGCCTTTGTCGGTGGCGTCTCGGATGGTCGAATTGGCGCCGCAGCAATGCGCTACACCAACCCTGAGAGTGGATCGATATCCTGGCAAAAGACATGGTTTTTCCTGGAAACCGACATTCAACATGTCATGATCGCCAACATTTCGTCTACCACTGCAGCCCCTGTGTTTTCGGTTCTTGACCAACGACGCTTCGGAGGCGGTGTTTGGGTCAATGGAGTAGGGACTTATGGTGGCAACTACACAGATCCACAGACCATGTGGCATGGCGACGTTGGCTATGAGTTTCTAGCTGCTCATGGGACATATGAACTCTCCGTTGAATGGGGCAACCGCACGGGTGCTTGGTCAAACATTGGATCCTCCACGCAGCCTCCTGAGACGGTCGAACTCTTTGCCGCATGGCTCCATCACAACAACCTATCTGCCCCTGTCTCTTATACATCTTATCCTGCGGTTGATTACGGTACCTTCACGCTCAAGCGAGCAGCCACTCAGCTGCAGGAAATTGAGAATAGCGCGAGTATCAGCGCGTTGCTCGATAAAGTCCATCGAACGGTAACAGCAGTAATTTGGAGTCCCACTGGTGGTTCTTTCACCTTCCAGCTGGATGGAAGCTACGCACCAATCACCGTCACAACCAGTGCGAACGCCGCCGTTCTCTATCGGGTAGAATCTGGCACTGTGACAGTCTCAGATCCATCGCAGACACTTTCTGAACTCACTGTAGAAATGACTGCTGGAGATGGAGTTAAACCAAAAGGATGGGGTTCTCAAAACACCCTTATTATTTATTTTACACTACCTAGCAGTGGTTCAGCAGGAAGCAGCGTGACCCGCGTATTAGGGCAGTAGCACATCATTCATCATATGGAATCTTACAGTACTAGCCATGCAAATCCTAATGTATTGCAACGGTGGAGTACATATTTTGTGGATGAGAGATAAACAAAGATAAGATCAAAATGCAGGCTGCTCGCCGTACGCATCCTGTTGGTAAGCTGGCTCCTGTGCATATGCAGCTGGTTCCTCTGCAGCTGGGGGTGGAGCGGAAACAATGGCAGGCTCTCTTGACTCTGAGGAAGGTTCCGAGACAGTCTTGTCGAGAGGGGGCTCGAGAATCTGGACGGAGTCGGAAGGGGCTTGCGAGGGCCCAATTGACCTTCGGGGTCATAGCCCTTCATGCTGTCGTATGGTGAGCCATATGTCTTTGAATGCGTTGATCAGCTTACATTTTAACCTTGATACCAAGGACACCCTGGCGGAGTAGGACGTGTCTCACGGCATAGTCAACGAAGTCTCGCGAGGGCTGACCAGAGTGGATCATGAATCCATCGGTGAACTTCATCGACTTGGCACGAGCAGCACGAAGCTTGCCGGAAACAACCACCTCGCAACCCTTTGCACCAGACTCCATGACGAAGCGAAGGACACCGTAGCATGCCCTGGAGACATCATCAAAAATAACCCATGTGATCAGTAGAAACACGGACCTGCGGACAGCAAGACCACCAAGGAGCTTGTATCTCAAGCTCTCACATTGAGCAATAGCAGAAAGACCGCGGTATTGTACTTTCTCCGCGTAAAGCTCAAGAGAGTTTTCGGGGAACTTGAAACGCTTCTGGACGAGTGCAGTCAACTCCCTGATGCGGCGGCCCTTCTCACCAAGGACCTCTTGGGTGTGTGTAGCACGGATAATAATCTGAAAGTAATGCATTTGCAAGATGGCAAGGTCGTTCAGCTCACACTAGCGTACCTCGGTGCGGGCGTGGGTGACACGGACATCACATCCAGAGTAACCCTCCTCGGCGAGTTCGCGAGTGAAGAATTCGTTGAGTTCGGCGCGGAATACACCGTCAGCTACGAACTTGCGCTTTTTGCTGATTTGAGCGGACATATTGGAGACGAGAGAATGTCTGCAAAGACTGATAGATAAGACACTGTCATCATCCAAATCCCAGAGCTGTCATCCATCTCATCAGTGCCATAGCCAACCCCGATCTTCTGCGATACCATGCAAACAGGCTCTGGACACATTGACTATAAGAAATTGGACGAACCTTGATGAAATGTAGCCTTCGGCGCCGTATGCGTTGTCGAGCTGCTTGTTGCGGCGGGTACTGCTTGCCGAATAATATTCAATCGCCGCCTAAAACGCATTTGATAAATTGTGCTGAAAATACACCTACAATTTTTAAACCTTCCTGGGACAGTGCAGCTGGCGGTGAGTGATCTTTTAACGTTTCTTACCCTTTTTCAATGACGAGCGTTGTATATCAACCACCACTGGCACCTCTTAGTCGACTTGATGCACGCGAGCCTGTAACACGGCGGACGCGTATCACTGACATCAATGACTTTCTGATCATGATTCCTTTGTTTTGGTTTCGTCGATTCGAGCTCAGCTGACAATTCTTCTGTTAGGCCGGGTATCACCTATTAGACAGAACCACACGCGTATTCATCGATTGTCCGTAGTTACGTGAATCCGCATGATCAAAATTCTCTTTCGTTTATACGCCTGACCTTCAAGCCAAGCATAATCACCGCTTATCTCGCTGTTAATATTAGCTACGGACTTCCTTTATCCGTCAGCTGTATATCTTATCTACTGTGAAGTATTCTTTTAGGTCTAAGCTTCATCATTCTCTTGTCCAATTCTATCCGTAACACTATCGATATGCCGCATTGGACTGCTCTAGTCGCAGAGAAGAAACAGAGGCAGCTCAAGTCCATTCCACAGGAATGGCTTGTGACTCCACCTCCACCCTCTACTCTGGATGTGACTGGTTTTCCGGAGTCGTGTGGCCTGCTGAATGCCCGAGAAATTGAGATCACCAATACTTCAGTGGATGTTTTATTGAAGAAACTCGCAAGTGCGGAATGGACAGCTGTAGACGTGACCACCGCGTTCTCCAAGAGAGCCATTGTTGCCCATCAGCTTGTAAGCCAAGTCACCAGGCATTTACTTGATGATGTGGTATTAACTGGCCGACAAGGTCAATTGCTTGACGGAAATCTTTATTGATCGCGCGTTGGCCCGAGCAGCTGAACTCGATGATCACTTGAGAAAGACAGGGAAGGTCATTGGCCCCCTTCACGGGCTGCCCATCTCTCTAAAGGACCAACTATGTATCAAAGGATTAGAAACCACTATGGGTAAGTCATAATTCTAGCCTAGACCTAACACATTGTGATTCACTGGGTTAAAGGTTATGTCTCGTGGATTGGGCAGTATGCAGAGAACAACGCGGTGTTGGTCGACATTCTGATCGAGTGCGGAGCCGTGCCATTCGTCCGCACCAACATTCCGCAGACACTCATGGTGAGCGTACCCCGAAGATGAATCCTACTCGTGTGCTAAAAGTATCCTCAGTGGCCAGAATCCTTCAATAATGTCTTCGGCCGGACAACTAACCCACACAACGTCTCTCTGACCTCAGGTGGGTCATCAGGAGGAGAGGGTGCATTAATTGCCCTAAAAGGAAGCCCATTGGGAGTCGGTTCTGATATCGGAGGGTATGTCAAGAATTTGGAAGTATCATCGGTAGTAGCGTTCTGACGGCCCCCTAACAGCTCTGTTCGTATTCCCTCTGCATTCTGCGGTATATATGGGCTGAGGCCGTCATACGGGCGTGTACCATACTGTGGTGCCCGCAACTCACTTGAGGGCCAAGACTCGATTCTCTCCGTGTTCGGTCCTATGACAAGCAGTCTCGGCGGGCTCAAAGTCTTCATGAAAGCTGTCGTTAACTCTAAACCGTGGCTCAAGGACCCTCTTGCGGTTCGGAAGAAATGGGACGAAGATGAGTACGATCTCGCGGACCACGGGTCTGGCAAGGATTTGTGCTTTGCGATCATGTGGGATGATGGCGTTGTTGTTCCCCATCCACCTATCAGGAGGTCTCTGGAAATCACCAAAGCGGCTCTCCAGAAAGCTGGCCACAAAGGTTTTTCTCGTCTAATTCCCCTGCTGAAATGTACTCATTGAGTCGCAGTTGTTGACTGGAAACCCATCAAGCACAGATTGCTCGGAGATGTTGCGGTAAGTGGTTGTCTTTCACTTTGCCAATCTATTGGCCTCATAGCACCATGCAGCGGGACATCTGGAACGCCGCTTCTGCCGAGGACTTCATGATTACGACCTCTAGTACAGGGGAGCCAATAATTTCAACGATGGAGCTGGACGACGCAGATGTTGTAGCAGCAGCTTTCCGTCCGAAAAATGGCGGTTTCACTGCATACCAACTCTGGCAAGCGCAGAAGCTGCGTCAGAATATCCGGAAAGAATATATAGACCACTGGAACGCAACTGCCTCTGAGACTGGGACAGGACGGCCTGTCGATGCTATCATTTGTCCAGCTGCACCATTTGCTGCAACTCCCCATGGGAAGAACAGGTAAGTTTTCGTAATTTCGGAGTCCCGAACTTTCAATGAGACGATGCACAGGTACGCCAACTATACTACCGTTTGGAACGCGCTCGACTATCCCGCTGCGGTTTTCCCTGTGACTACTGTCGACTCCACTCTGGATGGGAAGGAACCTCCTCACAGTTTCTATGATGACTTCGATAAGGTCGTGTACGAAATGTGTGAGTAGTACTGGCACATTCAGCTGTTCAGTGAATTTCTGATGCCAACGATTGACTCAGATGATCCGGAGAAATTCAAGAACGCTCCTGTTTGTCTGCAACTTGTCGGTCGGACTTTGGAGGAAGAGGCGGTTATAAAAATGACAGAAATTGTGGATGCGGCGCTGGCAGCCGCGAAATAAGTTCGAGACATACATTTTGAGACTTATGCGAGACAGCAGTCATGAATATGTACAATACACCCATACCTCGGTCAAATACAAACAATTCGAAACCTATAACTTCGCCTCACAGGATGGTTGTGCCTCGTTCACGAAGATGCCTGCTGCACCCATGCCACTGCCGACGCACATACTTGTGCACAACAACTTTTTGTCTCTCCTGCGGAGTTCCGTGAGGCCGGTGACAACTTGACGAACACCAGCTAATTAATTGGTAGATGAGTTATTAAAGCTTCAAGACGACAATGATACTCACTCATCCCCAAAGGGTGTGTCACGGCTATTGCCCCACCGCTGCCAACAAAGTATCAGAACAGAAGTACTCCAGCTGGAATAACTTACTTCGGATTGATTTTGTCCATGGAAATGCCAAGTTCTTCGACACAATATGCAAATTGCGAAGCGAATGCTTCATTTATCTACGTGAGAGACCTTAAGCCATGAACAGAAAGAAAACAGAAGACAATGGTTGACCTCGTAGATGTCAATGTCATCCTTAGTGAGACCAACTTGTGTAAGGATCTTAGGAATAGCGGCGATGGGGCCAATGCCCATGTAACGGGGCTCGACACCTTCACCACAGACGGTTCAACACACCCTCAAACAGAAGAAACAAATAACAGACCGACGACTGCGCATCCAACCCATTTCCCGAGAATTTCCATGTTTTCTTTCTCCGCACGCTCTCTTGTCGTGAGAATGCATAACGCGGCACCATCGCCAATGCCACTAGCGTTTCCAGCAGTGGTAGCTGCATCGCCCCAATCTTGGAACACAGGTTTTAGCCCAGATAGCATCTCCATTGTCACGCCAGGCCGGATTGTGTCGTCAACAGATACCACAGTCCCGCGGATTTCGACTGGGATGATCTCCTCAGAGAAGATGCCGGTGGCCATCGCCTGTTCCCGTGATTAAGATGCAACACAGAGAAATTTGGACGTACAGACCTTGGTTGCGCGAGTATGTGATATGAGGGCATATTCATCTTGCTTCTGTCTTGAGACTTTATAGGTTTGAGCGACCATTTCAGACGTCCAACCCATAGGCTACAAATACATTAGTATTTGACCGACATAGCTCACCCAGACACACTTGGATGCAATCGTGAGCCCGGGGAAATTTGTCCACAGACTCAGAAATAACAGGCGTAGGACGGGGGCTGCGCAAAGATCAACATTTGTGTACCAGTGTGTTGGAGACTTACTTCAGTGTCATATTCTCCACTCCGATTGCCATGCCCATGGATATCTCGCCTGACTGAATAGCGTGGGCAATGTTGCGGATGGCCATAAGGCCGGATGAACACAGCCTGTTCACTGTCGAGATGGGAACATCGTGAGGAATGCCGGATGCGAGAGCAGCGGCACGCGAGGAGTACATTGGAGAAGGAGGATGACATGTGCCTGCAGAAAGTTAATGCAGAAACACATAGCAAGGTACGACTTCCACTCACCAACGCAAATGTCGTCAAGTTTTGCGGGGTCCAGCTTTGTCTTCTCGAAGGTCGCCTATGATTCAAAAGGTTGTATAAGTTACTGTAGATAGTCCACAAACAGGCCGCATCAACCTTGAGCAGAGCTTGCATCATTTCATCCACTGGGATATCCTTGAATTGACCTTTTCTATTCCTCCCCATTGGGGTACGCTTTGCAAAGGTAATGACCACATCATCTGGGTTCTTCTGTAGCACCACAGAGATGCCCTTGCCGCTATGTGTAGAGACATTGCGCGTCATAGATGAGATCCTAGTACGTATGACTGTAGCGCTAGCGAACATGAAGAAAACCGGGGTCCTCAAAAGGCATCGAGTGTGAGATTTAAGTATGGATCGTATGAATGATTATGAGTGTCCCCGCGGCAGCTGACCGGATCATGATAGCATCATGGATACAGAGAAGTTCGGAACAACGGTCTTCCTTCAACTTGTATATGAGAAGTACTCAGCCGCGATACTCAATAGTGCAAATGCATAATTAGCAGAGGATCACAATAATATGATGAGTAACTGAATCGCATGCTATACATACTTGTATGTGCAGTAAGTATCTATAGTTTCACGTCACAGAACATTTCCGCAATCGACTCTCTAGACTTATCGTCGCAACCTCGCTGCTCTCGAGTTGATCTAAATCATCATCCTCTAGCAACCCTCCTGGCAGCCACTGCCTCGGGAAACTGGGAGCATGGAGGACGTCCGCCTCTTCAACTTCATCAGAGCTAGAGTCGGACTCGGAATCCTAGAAGTACTAGTATAAACGAAGACCCAGAACACCAAGAGCGTGCACACCCACGAGATCACCCCGCTCATCATCGGTACCATCCGCGAAGTTTGGATATGGGACCCAAGCTTGATTGCAATCAATCAGCCAGGACAGCAGCAACGAACAAGCACGGCTCACCCTCGACATGTAGATAAAAGAAACGATCCTCTCCTGAAATGCAAGGGATGATGGCGGCTGATCCATTGCTCTCAACCTCTGCACAAGGGGCATCCCCATGCAGTGTGTTAAATAACCTGAAACTAGACGGACTGAAGACACTGCCAAGAATCCAGGTGCCAACGAAGCGAAGCCACATTACCGTGCGGTTAGGTAGTTCATTGTATGCCATATGATCCATGATAGTGAACTGGCGCTGGTCGGGCCAGACCGCAACGAGAGAGATATCGCAGCTAGACATGTCATGGGCTAGTACGAGAGAAGAAATAAAAAGGAGACTAGATTGTGGATTGCTAACAAGACCAACGGTTGTCTCACATCTACTCCGTTTCTTCTCGACGTCATGCAAGTACTATTGCATCAGGACGACAGTTCTAGCATTGTCACAAATGTGGCGTACACGCATGGAGATCTGCTATATATCCAAGTCCTCATCCGGATCATCGTCATCGATATCATCGGCAGAATCAGGGTCATATAGAATCGCCCCAGCTGTTGTAACAGGGTTGCCTGAAGTCAAGATTAAAATGACGTAAAACATAGAGACATGGAGCATCACCTTCGTGTGCATAAGGTAAGGGGACTTGGGCTCGCAATTTTTCCTGCAACGGCGTGAGACTTAGATTGAACGATACGTTCTGCGTTGGATCCGGTCGAGCCTATAGTTGGGTCAGGTGTAAAATTTCATGTCAAGGTGGCATTCGCGCTCACCTCCTCCGGTTTTCTCCTGGTCCAAATACTTTTCAGGCTTTCAAGAGCCTGCAGCTCGCACGAGACATCTCCTTTCCAGCCCTCGACAGTCCTTTCTACACCGCGCTTACCCCCACCCCTTATAAGGATTTCCACGACGAATTCCCTCGTGCCTTTGCTCACCCACGCACCGGCACTCGTCCCATTACCGTCAAAGCCATAAACCAGGCGCTCACTTTCATGTGTACGCTCAGAGAAGGGGATGAAGACACTCCAGAATTTCTCTGCCGGGCCAGCTGGTGGAGGATGTGTAAGATATGCAGAGGCGATGTGCGTGATGATGGCTGGGGGATGCGCAGTCAGATGCATAAGTGTCGGTGATAGGGAAGTTTGAGTCAGTAGTTTGAGAAGAGGGCTGGGCTGAAGGTGTAATGCGAGGATCGAAGGTTCTTGAGGAAGATAAGTAGGCACATGGAGATCAGTCGTGCTGAAAACACACCGGAACGCGTTGTAACTAGCCCAAGGAGTGTCCGAATGAACTTGTAAGCTTTTGGTGTAGACCCGAGGTCAGATGTCAATGTATCCACCGAGTCAATGATCACATTCAGTGATCCCGGAGGTACTACAACATTTTATTAGTCTGATAAGTATGCTCATCAAACGCGCTGATACTAACCAGAATTGATGTGAGCCAGTATCTCGTCCTGAGGACCACACCACATATCGTCATAGCCGGGAATTCGCCCAGTAAAGTCGAACGCAAGGATATTTGAAGCCTCATCAACATTTATCAAGTTCGATGGTGAATGCAAGAAACAAAACAGCAAAGTCTGGGTGGTCGGTCTGAAATTTGAGATCAGATTCCTCAAGATAGGATAACATGTCTGTGCGGAAGATGACTGAAGGATGATCAGTGGTTGATGTGGTTTTAATCCTGTTGGGTTGTTGATGATGGAAGAGAGTAAGGACATCTTCTCTTTGTGGTGAGCCCAAGTTGCTTCAACATGATTTGGTTCAAGTCACTGGAACTACGAGTCCAGTCCTACGACATAATCTTCCCTAGACAGACCTTTTATAGAGGAAGGAATAATTTCCTTCTGACTACGACATTACACAATTGGCTTTACAAAACAGCATCTTGTTTTTCCCACTGTGCCCTCCGGAGAACGAGTAGGTCAAATTTCCACCCATAAATACCAAACTTCCCAATAGGCTTCTCCAAAGTAAACCCGGCGTCGCGGATGCACTTCTGAGCATACAGTATCAGGGAAGTAGTGGTCACCTTGATCTCTTTGACTGCATTGTCCGCTTTGAATGCATGCTGTATGGTATGTGCGAGCAAGTCATTTTGAATCCCTGCTTTCCTATACGGCTCCTCGATATAGAAATGACGGATTGTAGCGACGGATGATGTTCCCTGAGGTATTGTGTGCTTCGACTTTAGGGAGGAAGATGACTTTCCCTTGTCCATGAGCGTGTCTTGCGACTGAGAGTCCTTGGATGCGTCAATAGCTATGAGACCGACGAACTTTCCGGAATATTCAAGGATGAAAAAGCCCGAGGAGGGAGACCGCCGGTAATAGTTTGCAATGTCCGCGACATCTGGTCGTCGCAACAAGTCAAGAGACGCATCTTCGAAGTATGGGCGGTTGAACCTGTCGAGTTAAATTATTGAACGGTCCGCAATGTGTGCGTATCAACACACCAATCCATAAGGTAGAGGATAACAGCACCCCAACACCCAAAGGCTGGAAGAGGTGGCAAATAACCAAGAAGCCCGTACTCTGGTTTAGGCCACCAGTTGAGATATTGGATCATGATACATGACAGGGCCACCCAGGTACTAAGCGTGAATGGGTGGAAAAAGGCTACATGATTATTTGGTCAACATCGCGAGAAAGCTAAGGGCAACACGCACCACTTCGATTTGCGACTGCGAGACCCTCCATCGAAGCCTTTCCGATGCTGAACCTGACCAGTTTGTCATCGGAAGCCTGATACAACCGGATGCGCGCATCAGCTTCTGTCATGATTGTAATTGTACCGTGCAAATGGATGGGGCGTGAGGATGAAACAGCTTCTACTCTCACTGTCACGATTTGTAGTAACTTTTCATCGCACGTTCGTCCAGGCCAAGTCCAGGCACAATACTAGTACGATTCACAGCTATGCTGCCTCGGGATTTGGAAGTCTAGCCAAGTGCAAACATATACATGTGTAGTGGATAGTGCTCGAGGCAAACAAGTTCCAATGATGATCGATATCGATGAAGACTATTCTTAAAGACGCTGAAAAATCTTCGAACTCGCTATCACTAGACTTACTTCACACACCTTCATCGAACGTGGGTTGAACTGTTTTCCCGACCTGCCTGAAGCTACATCGAACACTTCTATACCGTGACGGCCATGCTCATCGCCAAAACATCTCATGACGTGCCCAGCAAGCTCGACAACGGGCGTCCAATCCATATATTTGTGATCTCTCCTGTTGTCCCAAACTATCCGCAAGCAAAGTTTCCCGGTAAGTCGCATGCTATGATCATCGCTCGTATTCTCTTGAAGCTGATTCAGTACTCGTGGACGACAACAGGTGTGGTATGCTTCAGGTGAGCCTAAATTCGGTGGGCTGAACTCTTGCACAATTGTTTACATCTATCAGTGAAATCTATCAAGTGACAGGGCCAGTGGAAAGATTCGCTGGTCAGATCGCGAGCCAGGGATATGTGGTTGCTTGTCCATCGAGCTACCATGAGTTTGAGGGACCAGAGGCCATTCCGTACGATACCGAAGGTATCTCTCGTTCTCGTCATCTTTCCATTCGTTGTTCATCACTGTCGATATTAGGAACTGATAAGGGGAACAGGTACAAGGCAAGTAACTTCATATCGTGACGGTTTGTATTCACTTTATGTCAGATCGAGAAAGACATAGCTGCGTACGACGAGGTCAGCTCCGTAGCCCTGTTATCGATATACTTTTAAGTATTAGGTGTGATCTAGGATGCTACGCTCTCCGTCGATCTTCTGGTTTCTTTGCCAAACTGCAACGGTCACATTGCAGGTATGTCAATAAGCCTTTCGTTAGCATGCTAGACAATGCTCCTCAGCGACAGGAATGTGCTTAGGAGGGCACTTGGTGCGTCTGTCAGTTCTGCTTGTAGTGCCACATCTTTGAATACGCATACCATAGGCATTTCGGGTAAGCGACAGGGCGATGATGCTACTAGCAGTTTTTCGCTGACCCTTGTGAAGGCTGCTTTTGATCACCGCGTACTGTCCTCTGTCTGCTTCTTTGCGACTGATGTTCACAGCGCAACCCTTGGCAAAGGCAAGAGCGACGACTCTCTTGCACGTGTTCACAAGGGGGATATGACTGGCAAAGGTGAACTTGTGGTATGTTTGTTTGCGATCGAGAAGGGCAGTAACATCATGCTGAAATTTTTTGTAGATGATCTTCGGGAAACAGGTACGTGAAGACGTTTAGGAGAAGAGGCGCATTTGAACTTGGTGCCGCTAGGACACACATGTTCCTCGCGAAGGTCGTGATCTCATCCGCAAGACTCTTGAGGATGCCGAGGTGCCTTGCTCTGTAGGTCACATGGTTTAGCGTGCATCTTTGAAATGTTCACCACAGATGCAGTTTCTGGAAGTGCAGGCACAGCACGCGTTTATCAGAGATGAATCTTCCAAAGGTCGATGGGACGCTGCTCTCACGCGGTCCTTGTTTACATTCATGATGGAGGTGTTTGACAGAACCATCGGGAGAGATCTCGGGCCCAAAATCGTCAAAGGAGAGAAAGTTGAACACGTGTGCTAGATCCGTGATAAATATTATAGGTCACAACGAATGAATTCAATGTCGACTCGTCGGAGTCTAGGAAGCTTTGATACACGTCGATTGCAGTGGAAGAGGGGACGATGAATAAGAATATGGATACAATTAAGTCCCTTCGTTCTTATTCGAGACAACATCTCCGCGACATTAATAAACAAGCAAGCGAGGCCACTGGTCATGACCTCGCTGCCAGCTTCGTTAATCGTGCATACAAATGATGATAGTAAACACATTGCAGGTATGAATACCGTATGGGTGGCACCAGATAGACAGCGAACAGCAGAAAGCCGGAAAGAAAAGAATGACACGGCAGTTCTACATCTATTACTTCTTCTTGGTAGCCTTCTCCGCAGACTTCGTCACTGAAGAAAGCACCAATCAGCAAGTTTATTCGCAGATGGATTAGCTGGAGACTCACCTTTTCCGCCAGACTTGTCAGTCTTGTCGACCGATTTGATGACACCGACAGCAACAGTCTGCCTCATGTCACGGACGGCGAAGCGACCCAGAGGTGGGTATTCATTGTAGGACTCGACACACATAGGCTTAGAGGGAACAAGCTTGACAATGCAAGCATCACCGGACTTGACAAACTTGGGAGATGCCTCGAGGGACTTTCCGCTCCGACGGTCGATCTTCTCAATCAACTCGGCGAACTTGCAAGCAATGTGGGCGGTGTGACAGTCGAGCACTGGAGCGTAGCCAGCACCGATCTGACCAGGGTGGTTGAGGACGATGACCTGAGCATTGAAGGAAGCAGCTTCCTTGGCGGGGTCGTTCTTGGAGTCAGAAGCAACATTACCACGACGGATATCCTTGACCGAAACGTTTCTGAAGATATATATAAGCGTGAAGATTAGGGAAACGAATGACAAATGCGAACTTGACGTTGAAACCGACGTTGTCTCCGGGAAGACCCTCAACAAGCTGCTCGTGGTGCATTTCAACGGACTTGACTTCAGTGGTCACGTTCGAAGGAGCGAAAGTAACGACCATGCCAGCCTTGATGACACCAGTCTCGACACGGCCGACGGGCACAGTGCCAATACCACCGATCTTGTAGACATCCTGGAGGGGAAGACGGAGGGGCTTGTCAGAAGGACGGACAGGAGGTTCGATGGCATCGATAGCATCGAGGAGGGTCTTGCCCTTAACAACACCACCCTTGGTCTCCTTGGTCCAGCCCTTGTACCATGGCATGCTGTGAGACGTGAGAATGCGATCAATCAGGGGCACAAATAAAACTGACTTGGGGGACTCCTCCAACATGTTGTCACCGTGCCAGCCAGAAATGGGGACGAATGCAACAGCCTTGGGGTTGTAGCCTACTTTCTTGATGAAGGTGGAAGTTTCCTTGATAATTTCGTTGAAACGGTCCTCGCTCCACTGAGGTCAAGTGTTAATGCATAAAATGTCAGAAGTCAACAAATATTACCTTAGTCGTGTCCATCTTGTTGACGGCAACGATGAGCTGACGGACACCGAGGGTGAACGCCAAGAGGGCGTGCTCACGGGTCTGACCGTCCTTGGAGATACCAGCTTCGAACTCACCAGTACCACCAGCAATAATAAGGACAGCACAGTCAGCCTGGGAGGTACCAGTAATCATGTTCTTGATGAAATCACGGTGTCCTGGGGCATCAATGACCTGGAAAATGCATAAGCGGATGTTACCCGAAAAGTCATCAATAGAACATACAGTGACCATGTACTTGGGGGTCTCGAACTTCCACAGAGCAATGTCAATCGTGATACCACGCTCACGCTCAGCCTTTAGCTTGTCGAGCACCCATGCTGAAGATCGTTGTCAGTGACGTTACTGATATGTAGATTATCGAGTTGCCCACCATATTTGAAGGAACCCTTGCCAAGCTCAGCAGCTTCCTTTTCGAACTTTTCAATGGTACGCTTGTCGATACCACCGCACTTGTAGATCAAGTGACCAGTGGTGGTAGATTTACCAGAATCGACGTGACCGATGACTGCGATGGATCAGATCAAAGGGGTAACTGTAGGTGATCAGATACGCACCGACAACGTTAACGTGAATCTTTTCCTTTCCCATTTTGAAGGATTTCTGTCCGATGGTGCGATCGTTAGTGATTTATACTTCAGAAAGGTGGATTGGTAGTGATCATAGTAATCGGAGACCAGATGATGTAAAATCGCAGAATGGCATCGTGCGATGATGATAAGGACATCGGTGCATGCATCGCGCCAGTAGACAGGATCTTTTGGAAGATCGGAAAAGAAAAAAGACTCACTTAAGTGTACAGAAAGAGAGAGAAAAACAGAGAGGAATGGGATGTGGTGGTATGGAAGAAAGAGAGAGCCTGTTGATTTCGCTGATAGTTATACCTTCCCAAAGGAAATTTTTTATCGATCTGGTGATTTGATATGCCGCCGTGACTCCGCTCGGCACCGGCCGCGTGGCGCCGGACTGGCCGAGTCATCTTACACTGCCGCTGACTCCTGAGAGACTCGAACGTCCCGGATCATCAATTTGATATAAAGCTAGAGCATACGCTGGTCACGTTGGTGGTCCGCAGATATGATTAATCTATAAGAAGAGGATTCGATGTACTACAGCCTATCGATAACAATGCGCGCTAGCTGGTTGAAACAGATTAATATTGTGGGGCCTCATGGCAGATCGATGCTGATACGGTGAGATTTGATGGTTTGAGATAAAAAGAAATGACATAAAAGGAGAGATGTCGGAGAGCAAATATAGGCTGAACAAATCCTCACGAGGATCAGTGAGAGTCTGAAAGACAGGATACCTGCCTCATTGCCTTCGATCAAGTGACACGCGCTGGAAACGCGCTCGGTTGTGGAGATAGGTGTTGATAATTACCGAAGGGTAGCTCCATCCCCCAACCCTTTCCCCCGTTCAAAAATCTGCACTGGAGAATGTTCTCGAACGTAGGTCTTGCGCCCACGTCCACTTGTAAGCAAGCCCTGACAAGGGCTGCAGCATCTCCTGCCGCTCCACCACCATCCACCTCTTCTCCTTCTTTCTCCTTATCATCGCCACACCGCTCATCCAGCGCAATAGATGCGTTCGCAAAAGGCGAGGTCAACCCCTCTTGCGCTTCAGCTGCCGTAACGAAAGGGCATTCTCCTACGAGAAGGACGTACGCCACAACACCAAACGCCCATACATCTTGCTCCTTCCCGTGATATCGCTCCCCACGCAGTATTTCAGGGCCTGCATAGTCCAATCTTGATCGGGTAAGCAACTACATCGACGAGTGGAAAGCACGAGTACGAAGAAAACTTACGTCCCACTGAATGTATCCCATCCGTTCTTCTTCACAAGTCCGGAACTTCCAAAGTCTATTAAAACGCATTTGCCATTTGGTCCGAGGACGACATTCTCATCCTTTATGTCTCGATGAACTGACGATGAATCAGTATGTCACCAAGAGATTCTGGAAACGAACTACCAACCTATCCCATGAGAGTGCAAGAAACATAGAGCATCTGCAAGCTGTCCGAGATAGCTGCGAACATCAAAGGGCGAAAGTCCCTGGGGGTAGGCCTCGACGAGATCAAATAGATCTGTTGGAGGAGGCTCATCCGTCTTCTTTTCAGGCGTGGAAGACGGTAGGACAAGATAGTAATAATGGTTGTCTTCGAAGAAATCCACCAGAGGGCAGATATTTGGATGTCCCTTGATTTCTTTTCCTTCTTCCCACCTTTCATCGTGGTCCATGCGAGCACAATCAGGCTGTAAACGTGTAGTGTCCCCGTCGGTTCCAGCGGGAGGCCGACGTCGTGATGGATCCCATGGCCGTACTGCGGGCAAGGTGTACGATGTTGATGATATGACGGACATGACGAAGATTTCTATTGGTATCGTACCAAACCGTGGATGTCGTTTCCAACAGTCAGCAAGGATGCGAGACTTGATTATTTGTTTCAAAACCAATGGTGGCTTGTCCCATTGTCAGACCGCAAGAATCAAAGAGAATGTCTGGTGGATAAAACCTCACCCCAAGAGATCCATCTGCTTTGTATTCGCGTGCTCTTTTGACAAGGCCGTACGCGCCTCGGCCGATCTCACATTCGATAAAAAAGTCTGATATGGTCTTTACATCGGGTAACGAGGAGGCTTCACGAGCGGGGGTTGGAGGACAGGTACTGGCAATGGCGGACAACATACTTCCAGTGCTTCCTGACCGATGCAGAATTTTTGGCATCGTAGGAGGCGGTGAAGGCGGCTCTATCGGGGCTATCATAACGCGTCCTGCGATGAGTGACACCCGCTGCTGTGAAGACCTCCTGCGAGCTCGTGACATGGTAGGAGAACGGGGAAGTGGGGGACGATGTGCTTCAGACACATTCGACTGAAGTGGAGTTGTCGAATGCAATGACAAGCGTGATAACGAACGAGACGGAGAGTCAGAGATCGGAGAGTCCGTTAGGTTGGAAGTGGATGCAGATGGAGATATCGTCAATGGTTCATGGCCAGGAGATGTCGTTTGAGTTTCGGAAAGCAATCGAACAGAGACTGGAGAAACCAGTAGAGACGGTCGGGTAGCTATTGCGGGCTTAGAGTCTTCGTGCTTTGGAAGATCTTGTGAGTTGATTGGTGGCTTTTTCTCCAATGGACATTCAGGTTGCGATATGACTTGGACTTCTTCATCATCTTTTGTAGACCAATCAAAGCCGCGACCCATCGATGTGACTCCCCAGCTACTTCCGACACTTGTCGACCTGTACAGCAAAGGGGGAGCAGAGGATAGCCAATGATCATCTTCGTCGAAGGCAAAATCGATGGGGGTTGCGGCGAGCATGAAATTATGCACCAGTGATCGATTGATCCCTTGCAAGACACAAAGCGGAAACGGAATGTGCAAGGATGAGAAACAAAGTGAGCGCCGGAATCACTTGATCAAGCTCCTTAAGTGTGGCACGGAGGGCTTGTCATCCGCCACTAAGACATTAGACCGGCATTGTTCTCACGGCCCAATGATCCAAGCTACCCCACACACGTTTTGTCACTTACGTCCATTGTACTTGTACTAGTACATTTATTGACCGAAGTTCATAAACAGGTACTTGACGTGACTGAGGCTGTTAGGATGTCGCCACACGGATCTCCATTCAGCAGTTCCGTGCATCCCAACATGGAAATGACAAATTGCCAGCAGCTTATCATACTGCATCAACGACGTGGTGGGCACTTGCGCACTCCATCACGACGACCTTCGACTTCCGCTTCTGCAGTGGGTTCATCGACAATCAGTAACTGGGATCCATTGCGGCTGCGCCTCATCTTGAAAATCGATGCAAGTATTGATTTCCTCCATCGCGGCGCACAGGATATGTCCCGGCGCTCGCGCTGCGGTCTCAGAGCCGCTTTCCTTTTCAAGTTGTCTGCATAGAATGGACCCACCCGTACACGAAGATTATAAGATTATGAAGGTTTATTCAGACTTTCAGAAACTAATTATTTAGGTAAACCGAACTGCTTCGTAAGCCTTCGTTTCTCTTCGGTTTATGATTCTAAATAAACTTTTCAGTCTCGCTCAAAGGCACATTATTCTTGCACGGTTAGCAAATCAACTACTACTACTAGTGCATGGGACCCTGTTAGCACGTGCCACCGACTCGTCTGCAATCTTGGAACATCATCTGCGGTACCGCTGATGGGAGGTGCGCGCTATCATTGAATATGTGAGAAGAGCATAGCTATACTGAAGGGACGAGGGAAGATTCGACCTCTCACACACGGCGGCACTGAATCTGGCGGGAAAGTTGCAAGCAGCCTGCTTCATGTGACATGTCGGCGTGTACATCCACGGATAACTGACACCGTAGAGAAAGAGCATAGTCCTTCTATTTGGTCTGGCTGAGGGAAATTAGGAAAACGTAGTCTCCCTAGTCAGACGTGACAGAAGTAAGACAATCGTTCCTTTTCTATATTACGCGGAGACGGTGTGATCTGAAATCGTTAATCGCAGCTGAGAGGGTACGGGTAATGGACAAGTACAGGCAATAATGTTATGTAGTAGTGAGTACTAGTGCGTGTAATACCATGCCTTGTCAATTCATGCCCGGTAAAGGGGAAGTTTAGCACAGCCACCGAACTATTTGGTTCTATTTGGAGCCCACACCCGCCACCGAGTAGAAACTAGTGAACAAGTAAGCCGTCGTTTCCAAAATCCAAAACTCGCGGGTGAGTCTCTTTATGCTAGTGTCGAACAGGTCCACAGCACAGTCCGATGTCAATAATATTCGATTCTGGAGAGTCTGAGCCCAAACAAGTCGATGGATGGATGGATTCATACTCGGATGTGTTGATGTGGTCACCCTGGAATCCGGCATCTCCGCTGAAAGTCAACCACTAACCACCCCTTTCAGATCGCCATGGCCATCAAGATCCCCATCGTCAAGAAGCGCACCAAGCATTTCAAGTGCGTACGAAGCAGCAGTACCTCTTCATAAATCAGGACTCATTTTCTCCAACACAGGCGCCACCAGTCCGACCGTTACCACAGCGTCAAGGAAGCATGGCGGAAACCCAAGGGCATTGACAACAGAGTGAGGCGTCGGTTCAAGGGGCAGCTCCCTATGCCTAAGATTGGCTACGGGAGCAACAAGAAGGTAGAGATACTCCTCCGCTGCTAGATGCTCATGCTTATGTTTTATACCAGACTCGCCACCTTCTCCCCAACGGCCTCAAGAAGTTCCTCATCAGCAACGTTAAGGAAGTTGACCTCCTCTTGATGCACAACAAAAGCTACGCGGCTGAGATCGCACACAACGTCAGCAGCCGCAACCGCACTATCATTCTTGAGCGGTGAGTCTTGATTACTTCTGGGTCTTGTGCGCCATGAGATTCTGATGCGTTGTGGCTTTTAGAGCAAAGGTTCTCGGAGTGAAGGTGACGAATTCTGCAGCACGGCTGCGGTCAGAGGAGTGATTTGTTGTTGTCGTTTCTCGTTCACGCCATTCCCATGTATTCATTTCATATGCTGGAGATAATCGACATGCAAGCATGCTTCAGGCTGAATGATGTATTGTCACATGAGGATATCGTGTAATTCCTGTCTCCAGACTCCTGCTGCGTGATAACCTGAGATTGCCTAATGAGGCACACGATCACATCACAAAGAGGTTCACTTTATCACCTTCACCTTCACCACCTAGCATGTCCCTCAAATCCAGGCATGAAAGCGCTCGCCGCAATGTTATGCTCGTAGCTGACCGGCATGTCCAACAGACCAGCTGTATTTTCCGCCAAGTTTTGGTATTCAGCAGATGGTTCGTTACTTTGCCAGATCATCCACTTAAGCACTGCATGTCTTCTCTCAAACAACAGGCGACACTCTTGATGCGGAGCTCTCAGGCTGGTTGACTGACGTTAAGCCTACTAACGAGGACAATTTTGCGCTGCCCGTCGCAGGGTGCAAAGCGATCATCGCACCGTACGTTATCACTCCTGTCTCTTCTTTGTTCCTGAGTTAGATCTACTAGCCACGCTGGGTACTCATACTCTGGCCCTGCAGCTGCTTGGGCGTACAAGAGCATATCCACTGCTGGAATGTGAGTGTCTCTCTCCCACACAATATCCTTGATGAGATGCACCGCCGTGCAGCTCCCGAGTATTCATCCTAGGTCCATCGCACGCTTTCTATCTCGGTGGATGCGCACTCTCGAAATGCGAGACATACGAGACCCCACTAGGAAACCTCACATTAGACAGAGAGGGTACGTCCCACACCAACAAACAGCCACCCAGATCTAACCCCACACCCAAGTCGTCGAAGAACTCTACAAGACCAACCGATTCGAGTACCTCCAACCACGCAGGGAGCAAGGCGAGCACAGTATCGAGATGCAGCTGCCCTACGTGTACAAAGTCTTCGAGGGGTAAGCTGTGCCCCATCCCTCCCTCCCCTCGTCCGAATCGAGCCTGGTTTGTAGGTGCATCGATAATATCAAGATCGTGCCGATCATGGTCGGTGCCATCGATCAGGAGCAGGAAGAAGAGTATGGAAAGATCTTAGCGCCGTACCTTGAGAGGGACGATACATTGTTTGTTATCTCTTCTGATTTTTGTCATTGGTGCGTTCGTCTTGGTGGTGCATTGTTTGATGGCTGATGCATTGATGGTGCATAGGGGTCACTCGAATTATGGATACACGTTCTATTATCCAAAGACGCTCCCTAGTGATGTCCCGGGTATTAATCTCCGCCGTAGCGGTCCGCGCCCGTCACCTTCTCGACCCATCCACACGTCCATTTCAGATCTCGACCACGAAGCGATGGATATCCTCATCCAACAGCCTGCGTCTACCGCACACGCCAAATTTGTTGCATACTTGGAACGCACGCATAATACGATTTGCGGACGACATCCCATAGGGGTGTTGATGGGTGCGCTTAGTGCGCTGGAGAAGAAAGGTAAACAGGCGAGAATGAAATGGGTGCGATATGAACAGAGCAATCGGTGTGTATCGTATGATGATTGGAGCGTGAGTTATGCGAGTGCGTATGTTACTTTTTAGAGGGGACGGGCACAACACGATGATCGATGCATAACAATGAATAATATATTGATTACTCATGTCGAGCGCTGGATCCAGACTGATGACCCATAGTCTACCTGAGGACAGGACAACACAGGTAAGCACGATACGCTACGAGTCGCTTTTAGCCCTGAGGAAGTTCTCCCAGACGGCCATAATGCGTCTGTGAGACTAGAATGGGGCGTGAGGTGTGAATGAATGAGTGGGAGGCTTTATAGCCATAGCTCATCGGTTGATTTCGGGTGGAAATTGATTGTGTGCGGTGAGACACCGTGAGAGCTGATTTTGTTATTGGACACGGTGTCTTTCTTGACGTGCGGGACCGAGATTGCGCGCGGGGAAATTCCAGATCACATCAGACGCTTTTGTGTTTGCATCATGGCAAAATAATTGCATGAACCTCGAGAAAGACAGAGCGAAAAAAAAAGACAACAGACAAAACGAATCAGAGAAAATGATATGTGATGTAATCAGCATCGGCGTCAATCCCAGTCAGTATACATTAAATCAAGCCATCGCATTCTGCAGCCTTGGGGGCGCCTATTATGCGCGTGCAACTCCCCTATGAGAGTGAGGGAAATGCAGTCTCGTCGTCCACGTTGACGGCAGATGAGGCAGGAGCGGAATAACCGTTCGCGCCACCACGTCCGCGTCCCCCACGTCCGCGACCCCTCTCGCCACGGCCCCGCTCTCCGCCACCCCTGTCTCCACCACGACCGCCACGACCACCGCGATTTGGGCGATCGAAGCGAGCTTCGATCTCGATGAAGACCTTTTCTTCTTTCTTGGTGCGAGCCTTTGGGGCCGATTTGGCCTGGAGATGTGTGAGTTACGATCAACAGATATAGTAAGAGACGTACCTTCGGAGCGAAATACTCCGATTCGTCCTTCTGCAAGGGTGCAGCACCCTTGAAGACATCATCATCTGCACCATCATTGGGCTTTCTGACGTCCAACTTGGGGACGAGTGCGTTTTCCTTCTCGCGCTGTTGTGCGAGGTACTGGTCGAGAGTGAGAGTGTTATCTTCTTCTTCCTCTCTATCACCGCGCCTTTCACGCTTTTCGCCGGATTGAGGCTTTTCGGCACCTTCTGCTGCGGGAGGAGCAGCCCAGTCATCTTTAGGAGCGTCTGTGGAGGGAGCCCAGTCGTCTGCAGGGGCATCAGCTGCTGCTCCGCCAGCCCAGTCATTTAGACCGCTAGCAGCATTTGCGTTCTCTGCAAAAGCATCGTTTGTAGCGGCTTCCTCCACTTTTCGCTCCGTTTCGCCATCGTCGCCACCCCAAGAGTTGTGGACTTTTTTGTCAGAGTCGCTAGGTGAAAGGGTGAGGGGGGGGTGTAAGTATGAGGGAGGGGGGACTTACGTTTTACCGGTTTGACTGTGTTTGTCAAATGGACGGCCACGACCACCACGATCGCCACGATCGCCACGATCGCCACGGTCGCCACCACGACCGCGACCTCTTCCACGGCCTTCTTTGCGCTCGCCATCGACTTGTATTTATGAGATATGGAACCGAAAGAAGGAAAGTACTCACATCGCCTTGGTTTTGGCTCTGCAGCTGGTTGGTCATCGGTTGGAGGGGTAGCAGGGGCTGCAGCGCCTCCACGCTGGTAGTATCTACCACCACGAGATGCAGGGCCTCCACGTCCACGAGCACGAGTTTGTTGTGGTTGTGAAGCGGGTGCTGCTGGTGCAGCAGGCTCAGCTGGAGGTGGAGGAGTGGATGGCCTGTCCTCTGTAGTTATGTGAAAGTAAGTGACAGAACCATTTGAGAAACTAAAAACCTGCCGTCCAAGAGTGCAAACGGGTTTCTTGTGGCCACCGACATGACTTGACGGGGCCGTTTTTATGGATCAATCAGTTTAAGTGAGGGATGCGATCTAGTTGTGATGACCCCGTAAACACGAATCGGGGTCCATTCAAGCCACAAAGAATCGGCTGTACAGTTCCTAACACGTGCTACCTATAAAAACAAGGCTAATTCCAAGCTTGAAGTCTTACGCTTATAACAAAACAGGTGAGTTTCATATTATTCCAAGACGACGAGGACGACATTCTAATAAAATTTTTATAGCCTTGAAAAGCATCTCGACGAGTTTTACCCGCCTTTTTGGATGGTTGTAGAACAAGGACCTTGAGACCGTCATAAATGGGCTGAAGAGTGATTTAAATGATGGGACTTGGGTGCGGTGCGTTCGTAGTGGAGACTTTTCATGGTCGCCGTTTGGATGAAATTCGCAATGTCTCGTTGTACAATGCTATGGAAGAGCTTCTTTGATTCTAATTCTTGAGTTCGAATGCTTCGGATACTCTCGGTTACAAAATTAAGCAAGCGTGATCATTCAGTCTCTCACGAGTTCTTTTCTTTCTTTCAATGTCATGGCCGCAAGACGAATGGACATTTCATCGCTACTTTGCGACAACAACGACGACGACGACAACAACAATAACAACGACGACGACGAGCAACAGTCCTCACCATTAATCTATCAACCTGTCATTCTAGCTCCACATCTTCGTGGTAAACACGCACGACAGCAGCCTCATAATTACATACCACAACCACGCGAACTAACTTCACCCAACATGCCACCAAGAACTATCGACGCCCTCCTACACCATCCAAGACAACAAATTCAATCTTCACCGCGTCCAGATTCATCTCATTCTCATTCTTCGGTGAACGCTCTCTTAAATCCAGTTCGTTCGCCTTTCGTCAGTATTCCTCTTTTATCATCGCCTTTATCTCTTAATCCTACATATACAGTCAATGTCGCATCCTCGAACAGGTCTTGACGCTCTCGTTCATGCTGCATCAGAAGAACGAAGGCGCATCAGCGCAGGCTCATCAACAAGCGAATCAAGCAGCAGTCCAGTCAACTTACCCCCTCCTCGCCCTTATCCATTCTACATCACAGACGACTCACCTCGTCCACACAAGAGAATACGAGAATCTCGCTCTCCAACACCACCCCAACGCTCACTCCCAAACCCAAGTCCAACAGCAAGCGCTCTCAGCTCAAGTCTCACAGGCCCCGCAATCCCACATCTATCTTCCCCCTCCAACATACCCCTGTCAGGCCCAGGAATAACACCTCCGTATTATCAGCCTCCTCTACATCGTTCCCCCACACGACATTCCCCTGTCGTTCCTACCCGAATGTCACCTATCGTATACGCCGCAATGCGCTCTGACGTCCCCCGTCTCGGCAGGGCGGTATGGGATGAAGAGGAAGTCGACGATCATAGAAGGCGTGAGGAATCCCTCGGGCATACGGAGTCGAGGGAACATCTAGAGGATTACGAGCTTCGGCACAGACAAGAGCTCGACCTCCGCCAGCGCCAGGAACTAGACTTCCGCCAACCCGAGATCCGTCAGCGCCAGGAACTCGAGCTCCATCAGCGCCATCCAAACGATATCATTTCCAGACAGCGCGAAGAGATTCTTCGACATCAAGAGTTTGAGCGCTCGCAGGGTGAGGACCTTCTCCGCGCACAGGAAGAAGCAGCTGCATGGAGAGTAGAAGATATGCGCGGGCGGCGAGAGGGGTTACATCAATCCCCGCCGCGGGAAGACTCCCAACGTCAGAAACGGGACAGATCCCTACATCGCCAGCCATCTCTACATCACCTCAAACGTGAAACCTCTCTCCATCCCGCGCGCGATCCCCTCCTCCACCCAGATGATAGGGATCCTCGATATCAACAGCTATTGAGACAACGCGATCAGGAGCTGTTGCATCGACAAGAGATTCAAAGGAGGCAGGAGATCGAGCGGGAGTTGCAGCGTCAAGAGCTTGAGCGCCGGCAGGGCGAGGAGCTCCTTCGACAGCGAGAAGAGGCTGCTGCTCGAGAGGTAGAGGAACTCAAATTGCGCCAAGAGCAGCGCCGTCGGGAAGAGATGGCTTTGAGGCAGAGGGAGGCAGAGGCGAGGAGGCGCGAAGAGGAAGAGGCGCTGAAGGCCAAGGCTGAAATCGAACGCATTCGTGCGGAGGCCGAGCAGCGTCAGCGGGAAGAACTTATTCGCAAACGGCAAGAGGAGGAGATAGAGAAGCGACGCCGTCAAGAAGAGCTCGAGAAACAGAGGGTAGAAGAGGAGCTCGAGCGCAGACGACAAGAAGAAGAACTTGAGCGCAGACGGCTGGAAGAGGAGACTGAGCGCAGACGCCAAGAAGAGGAAGCTGAGCGCCGACGTAGGGAGGAAGATGCCCAGCGACGACGTGTTGCAGAAGCTGAGCGACAACGTATAGAGGCTGAGCTACGCCAACGTGCAGAAACCGAACGCGCAGAAGCCGTGCGTGCTGAGCTTGAGCACCGTCAACGCATCGAGCGCGAACAGCGCCGCCGAGACGAAGAACAGAAGCGCCAAGAAGAGCTCGAGCGGATGCAGCGTGAGATGACGTTGTATCAGCAGCGAGAGGAAGCTTTGCTCAAGCAGAGAGAAGAAGCACGCAAGCTTCGGGAGGAGGAGGAACGTGCGCGCAAGCTGCGTGAACAAGCCGAGAGGAAAGAGCGGGAAGACCTTGAGCGCAAGCGTCTCGAGGAGCTCGAACTACAGGCTCAGCGAGAAGAGGCTGAACGCAGGCAGAAGGAGGCCGAACGCAAGCAGTCGGAGGAAATTGAACGCCAACAGCGAGAAGCAGCCGAACGATTGCGACTGGCTGAAGAGGCTGAACGCAAGGAACGGGAAGCCCTCGAACGTGAGCAGCGGGAAGAACTTGAGCGCCAACGATTGGCTGAGGAGCAGCGTCAACGAGAAGAGCAGCGTCAACGAGAGGAGCAGCGTCAACAGGAGAAACAACGTCAACGGGAGGAACAGGAACAGCGCCAACGAGAGGAACTCCAGTGGAAACAGCGCTCAGAAGCCCTGCGACGACAGCAAGAAGAACTCGCACTTCAACAACAGCAGGAGCTCGAGCGCCGACAGCAGCTTGAGCAGATGCAATTGGACGAACTCCAGCAGGCTGAAGATGAAGACATGAGTCCAGACACTGTGGAAGGCGAGGACGAGCAGCCACAACCATTTACATCTGGCTCCCCGGCAATACAAGCTTCGTCCCCGGCTGACGATAGCGCTGAACGCAATTTACCTCCAATGTATCGTGGTAAGATAAAGGTACATTCTCCATCGCTCCCGCTCCCCCAACCAAGTAAGGTGGAGGAGCAGGAGATGCGCCTTCCTTCTCCCCTCCACGCCACTGCACCCTCCACGGCGGAAGGCCCACAATCCCCTTTATATTCATCCTCCACTCGCGTGTCTCCTGCTCGTCCCTCCCACTCTCCCAAACACAAGTCCGACCCCTCTGCTATGGATGTGGACGAGGAACTCTTGAGTCTCATCGAAGATCGCCCATCATCATATCACAAAGCTTCACGTCCAAAACCCAAACCATCGCCTTCTCCACAACGCCCATCTCCTCCAGATGACGAGCTCATGCCCCCTCCCCTTGCTGCGCCTACCAAAAAGAAGGCGGAGCTAGCAAAAGCCGGAAAGAAGAAAGGGATGACTGCTCCCAAGGTGACATTTTATTTTATTTTGCGGCTTTCCGGTGACTCATTTTCATGCCATAGCCCCCTCCGAAACCCAAACCTCCGCCAAAAGCGCGCGCAAAACCTCCTCCGAAGACAAAAGCCAAGGAACCTACCCCCAAAGATGTTCTCAAGAATAGTCTCTTTGCGAAGCATGCTGCTGCCTCACGGTCACGCTCTGCGTCTGTGATGCCTGTCGACACAAAAGAAGAGCCGGAAGACGAGGACAGTGAGAGGGAGGACGATAAGCTCTACTGTGTTTGCAAAACACGATACGACGAAGATCGAGTCATGATTGCATGCGATCGGTGAGTGTTTTTTATTTCTCTTTTTCAAGAGTGGAGCTAATGGAGTTGTGTAGCTGTGACGAGTGGTATCATACGCAGTGCGTCAACATGCCCGATCTAGAGGTAGATCTTGTGGATCAATTCATCTGCCCGGTGTGCATACAAAGTACGTCATTAGTATCATGCAGAGATCCAACTTGCTTATTTTTTTGGATGTATTTACAGGTAACCCCCACTTGCACCTCCAGACGACGTACAAGCTCCGCTGCTTTTTCGGGTTGAAGCATACGGACCCATCGTCGTCGAATGCGTGCCACAAACCCTCTCGAGGCGCTTTTTCCAAATATTGCTCTGACGAATGCGGCATCAAGTACATGCAGATGCGTATTTCGCAATGGGAGCGCAGCGGTGGCAAACGCGACAAGCTCTGGGAAAGCGTCAAGAACGCAGAAAAGCGCGAGGGTGTCGTCGTCTGTGCGGACGTAAAGATGGAGATCGACAGAAAGCCATTAACTGCGCCTGTTTCTGCACAGAAGCGCAAGGCGGACCGTGAAATTGCATGCTTGAATACGCGCCTCGAGATTGTGGTGAGGGAGCGGGAGATGATGAAGCGTGAGATGGATATGGTGCTGTGGAGGGAAAAACTGGTGAAGCTTGCGTCTGAGCGCGCAGAAAGTGTGGATGAGTGTGGGTGGGATCAGAGGCTTTGTTTTGGTGAGGAGGAATGGGATGATTTTGGTGCGGAGGTGTTGGACAGTTATGAGGAGAAGGCAAAGGAGGAAGCGTCAGATGATATCATGCAGGTGGATGGCGTCACGACGAGTCATGGGGAGTGGTGGTGTACGGGGAAGAAAAAATGCGAGCGGCATGCAGGGTGAGCCTTGATTTCATGGATCCTAGCGTGCCGGACCTGACGGTGATTTAGGTGGCAAAAGCTACGCGTTGCTGAGGTTGCTTTCGATAAAGAAACGAAGGAAACGATCCTCTCCACTCTCACCACTCGTGAACGCGAAATAAGAAAAGGAATCGAAGACATATTATACCCACCATCAACGAATCCCTCTCAGACACCGTCCAAGCCCTCACTTGCAAGTCCGCCAATTAATGGCACTGGCAAACCTCGGATTAACGGGGAGGCTGTAGAAAAGGGGAAGAAGAAGAAATCTTAATTCACGCCACTGTATTTCTAAGACATTTTTCTTGTTTGTTGTCAGAGTATTTGACGTCCTATTTCGTTTTTTTGCAGTTCTTGATAATGGTGTTTTCGTATTTTCTTGTAGCCCTTGCCTTTACCTGGTGATACCGCACATATATGCTAGATGGACACAATAAACCAATACGCCCATAGGCGATATGCATGAGGAATGAATAAACAGTACTAGTACGATAGTCCATCAATAACCATCGCCTTCGCCACCCTCCTTGCAGAACCCTTTTTGCTCATATAAGACCTTGGATTTGAAATCTTCGCGTGCCTTCTTATGTGCGATATCCCTCTTATGATATGGATCAAGAACGGAATAATCTACTTGTTGTAATGGAACATCGTCCTCCTGATCGAGATCCTGCGAAGAAACATCAACAACGTAAATGCACCTGCTGCGCGGCGCTCGAATACGTACAATTTCGCCGAGCAAAACGACATTCTCCCCGCGTATGAGAAAGAGGCCGTGCCAGTGTTCTGCGAATGCTTTACCGTGGTATATCCGCTCGACGGTGTCTTCGAGGACGAGGTTAGCTGAAAAAGCGGGTGAGTTGGGGGAGTCAGCGGACCATCGTATGGTTGACGAAAATGAACCCACCGAATTGATCATAAGAGCGTAGTACACCGTGTAATTTTCGCCCGTCTCTGAGGACGACCAACATCTTTCCTGGGACGGGCGAAAGAGCGCATATTATAATTGGGGGGTAAAGTGATCATGGAGGCTTCAGGTCGAATGGTTGCCGTGCAGTTGACTGGGTAGACGTACTGTCCACGCAATCTACCAGTGATCCCGATGTTGTGAATGGGATTAAAGAATCCATGGAAGGTAGCTAATGCCGCTCCCGAGCAGCGAATAAGTACTACAAGATGTAAGGAGAGACCAAAGACGTGAAATTCAAGATTTGTGTTCTTGATATCTTGGTGGTAGTGAGGTTATTATGTCGGGTTTACGAGCGGAATACAAGCTGATATGGCCGAGTCGTTAAGGCGAGTGATTTGAATTCACATCATCACTTGGGCATTGCCCGCGTAGGTTCAAATCCTGCTGTCAGCGAATTTTTTCGATCTTTGACCTTTTGTTCCGGTTCCGGTTCGGCTTACATGCACACCGAAGACGATCAATGTACTAGTACTCCCAGCCCTCTAGTATACCTACTAGAATATGATTGAGACGATCTACATCGCTAGACATGGTCAGTGCATCTCTTAATTGTTTCATCTGGTCTTTAACAAGTCTTAGGGTTCAGATTGAACTGGATCAACACCAACTGGTGAGTGGATGAAGATTAGGTCAAACTACCATCTAACACGTGGATACTACAGGAAGAGTCCTACAGGTCTTCCAAGAGATCCTCCCTTGGCCGCTTATGGAGAGGTAATATCCGACCGTTGGCAGGCATCATTATGATCAACTTATGCATGATTCTTAGACTCAAGCGCAGGAACTTGCAGCCTACTTTCTAACTATTCCTGAAGAGAAACGCCCCACCGTCATACTATCTTCCCCTTACTGTGAGCATATCACTTCTTGGCCCTCTCAAGGCTAAGACTACCTTAGATCGGTGTTTGCAAACATCCATGCCGACCTCCCAAGCTCTTGAAGTGCCCATCTATGTCGAGCACGGTGGGCAAATCCAAGTAGCAATATACATCAGCTTATAGTCGATCAGGATTATCCGAATGGTATTCCCCTGTCGCTCCTGGCACTGGTTTGCACCCTAGGCCATCGTCAGCTGCAGTCATGCAAACATACTTCTCAGAGATCGACCCCTCATGGTCCTCAATCTGGTATCCCACGCGAAGAGGCGAAGACGTCGAAGCCTTGCATGAGCGCGCTAACGGCGTATTAGATCTGCTCGTTACGGAGATAGAAGAGCGTTTTGGCGTCAAGCATAAGAATATTCTTCTAGTCAGTCACGCTGCGACTGTCATCGTGCTGTGCCGGGCCTTGCTAGCACAACCAGATCTCCCCTTGAGAGTTGGCTGCTGCTCAATCTCCGAGTTTGCTCGTAAATCAGACGCTTCGGGTGTAATGGGAGCTTGGGAGGCCAAGACTTTGGCTTCAGGGAGTCACTTGAAGGAAGGTGCGTCCAGGGATTGGGGCTTGGAGGACATCCAGATTGCAGATGGCAAGGTAAGTGTGTGAGCAGTGGAAGTCTGAGTAATACCTTGACGAAGTGAATCAGGTTATATCAGACCAAGGCGTTCCCGGGACGCAAGAAGAAGAAGACAATTGTGGGCCACAGATACATCGCAGCAGTTTGTGATAGTTCTTAGAGCGATATGCAGTGGTGTTTCGGAAAGCTTTAACAAGTTAGACCAGACAGAAGAACCGGTAGAGTCACGCAGTGGCATGTTTGGATGGGTGTCATCAATCTATTTTGCGAAAGCTCCCTCCACGACTAGTATTAGCGCGTCGCGCTGGACATGGTCCAGCAGTGTGATATTACCCCCGACAAATCCCGAGCTATTGGATGACACTACGAAGATGTCGGGCTCGCTGTATTGCCAAAGTACTCCCATTGACCAGGTGATGGCTTCTCTTCCAGAGGCTCCCAACTGAAGAATAAAGTCAATAAGCGCAGAAAGATATGCTAAATCTCAAAACGCACGCTTTCCATTCAAGCATATTCTCAGCCAACTTCAGCTCATCATTAGCAATATCCAACGACTCCTCGATTTGCCCCTCATCCAACTGCTTCTCTACACTTGCAATGTCTCCATTTGCGCCTTGTACAATGTTGAGTTTGTGTTTGGTGAGTGCCTCGACGCCCTGTCTATAGACGGAGGTCGGCGGTATTGAAGCAAGGACGCTGAGCGTCGAATTATAAGTGTTGGAGAGTTCTGGGAGCGGGTTTGGGTGGACGGCAAGACCCACAATACCAGTCGTCTTCTTAGTGACTTGTTGCAGCAACGGACGCGTGAATCTGAACATGACGGTTGCTGTTTAGCAAGAGTGTTTGATTCAGTCACTGACTGAATTCGGAGTACAAATCAAGTCATCAAAAGTTACAAAAGTCCTCCTACACCGTCATGGCCTCATTAGCTCTACACCAGACGCGCTCGTTTATCTCTACGTTCAGGTCGTCTTGGGCGCAGCTGCCAGTTTCTGTTTTCTTAGCTGCAAATTTGGAGCTCCGGCAAAAGTCGTTCAGTTGGGCTTTGCCGGGCTTGCAGTCCCTACTCGAACTACTCCCTCCCATTGTCCTCGCGGTTCCAAAAAGTAAAATTTCTCACTCGCGCAAGTCCATGCGCAGTGCAAACAAAGGACTTAAAGACAAGCGGAGTATGATCTCAGTTTTTTGTTCATATCCTGTCACTAACTGTCCTAAAGATATCGTGAACTGTCCAGCCTGCGGAGAGCCTAAGCTCGCACATCATGCGTGCAGAACATGCTACTCTTCAATAATGGCGCGTTTTAAAGCGGAGACTAAGAGGTTGGCAACAGAGACGACGAAACGCGTGAGCGGAGGGAGCTGGTCGAGGAGAGAGGTGCCGCTCATGATTGAGGGCCCTAAGGACCCGTGATCTCTATTGTACGTCCTCTCCTGACCTTCATGTCACCATTATCTGATTCACTAGGCAGGATTTGCGCATTCCATGCACTAGAGTGGTCTGGCTGTTCTTGCCGTTATGACACGGCCCCAACGCCAGTTGGGTAGATCATATTCACTGTATTTACTCGATGACAAGCTCGTAATCATCATATTATAGCTGTTCGCTTTCTTCTTATCTTAAACGGAGCCTGATTACATGGATATATGCTTTTGCGATTTTCTGTCGCATTGTCCGTTCAGGAAACGCAATGATTAACACCATGTAGGTGATTAATCGCAGCCCCGGTACAAGAGCGAAGCCAAAGTTGAGTTCAGTTTTCTTATCAACAACAGAAGCCATACAAAGGGTGTTGAATCTCGTCCCGCAGTATCTAATGTTTGTCGGCAGAGCGCATATTACCAGGGCTTGGTCTGCATCTTCCTTGACCAAATTTCATGACAACGTACTCCTTGACGTAACTACTCTTCTGAAAGAGCACAGAGAGTCGAAGGCGGTGTTGGAAGCAAATGGCAAGAACCATTTGGTAGTGCATTGGTAAAGGGTAATAAGTGTGCACCTGCTCATGTATTTGCCTAATTTTTAGCGCGTCTCGTCGACCGCTGCATGTCTTAGCCGACGTCGACGTACGTGTCATGTGTTTTCATACACAGGTTCCCGCTAAGAATCTTGTGGAAGAGAGTTTCTCTGGGGCAGCGCAGCGATTTCGAAGACCATCTCGGGGAGAGGATAGCAATACCATTTCCAGCTCGTTGACGCCTCTCACATTGTTTAGGATAACGATCGCAGTGAATCCCTTCGCCATGACCCTGATTCTAAGTCCCCGTAACTCTTGTGTAATAAGAAACGTTGGCACTGATCCCTGGTCTGGTGTTGATGTACTCTTCGTCCAACCGAGTAGTCCGACACCTCAACTTGGAGGGTGCCAGTCTCGTGCACTTGGAGCTGACCACGGCGGATTTCATCGCGGCCGAAATATGATCAGCAAGAATCCGGATGAAAGTTCTGACCCTAATTTCGCTGCAGAGTAGGGTTGCGAGAATTTTTATCCGTTATGTATGTTTCTTCTTTTTGCATTGATTCGATGTTCTTGATCACTCATGGAGTCAGCGTGAGTAATGCTAACCTTTAGCTCTTTCCGGTCTTCGCAAGAGATAACGCATGAACCAAAAACCGGGTTGTCAGTGACTGGGCAAACACGCCCCTTCGAGACCACGTTCAGATGTGCCGTCGACATCGGGTATATGAACATTGAAAATCACTGTAATCTGGTCATTAATGTCATGAACTACAGGCATGTCCATGTTATCTATTCGAGTATGCAATACGAAATCAAGAAGCCATTCCAAGACGGGGGGTGGTACTGCCACTAGTCAAGAGCCATGATACAGAAAAGGGATACGATCCAGAAGAAATGTTTGCCGATAGGAAAGCGCGAACATGGACATGCAATGCATCTAACCTCAAATACGATGGAATAAAAATATTGGACGAGTCCCACTCATGGTCGTTTGAGCGATGCGAGACTTGAGAACGCTGCGAGAGAAAAACGGCGAGTAGGAACCCTCGAGACAATGGACCCTGGAAGTCCCCTTGCGTCTGCGGGAGGCGCCGTACGAGGTACCTCAACGGCTCCCTCAGCGATGGCTGAGACACGCTCTCTAACGAGGACATAATGCGGAGAGACCATAGGCATAGATCTCCTGTACTGCTGAGGATTTTGTGGAGAGATGGGCGGAGAAAGGCGCGTGTCGTATGACGGAGAACGCGCGGAAATGACTACAATGCTCCCGTCATCGCTTCCCGTATGAGTGGTACCATCAAAAGTTCCCGCTTCGATGGCGGCATTCCATTTACTTCTTTTGCCGCGCGTTACGAAGCGTTTGACGCGTCCGCCAATTTTCTTCGCCTTCTGCATGAATGTTTTTGACTTTATTGCAGGCGGTGCATGTGGATTCACCACCCTCTGATCTAAGCCAGGCGGAGGCTGGCTCGTGCGTTCGGTGTGCTCTGCACTAGAGCCAGTGTCATCATATACAGAAGGAGTCTCTGGCATGGTCTCTTGTCTATTCGTCTGGATTGTAACATCTTCGCGCCATCGCTCAAAACTATCAATGCTAGAGGGAAAGGCTGGAGTCGAGGTCGGTGACAATGCCAGGCGTGCTGTAGTTGGCGAATAGGCTGAAGACATACAATTGAGAGAAGACGGTGCAGAGGGAGATGAAATTGGAGTACTGTTGAGGGATGTGGACATGCTCGGTAAGAGTGCTGCGGGAAAAGAGGAAGCGGGGGATGCAATACTCGAGGTGAGTGGGCTACTTTGGGGGCTTAGGGAGGGAATTGGACCGAAGAGAGCGTTGCGGAATATGCGATCTGTCTCTGTGTTTCCACCAAGGTCGCTGAGCCAGTTGGTTCCAGTAGACACCCATAGATTATCTGGTAGTTTCGGTGGTTTGTCCGTCATCAGCGTCATGCTGGCTTGGGGTTTAACTATATGAGAGATTTTCGAAGGAGACGTATTTATGGTGGCAATGTCGCGATTATCATGTGCCTCGGGGGTAACGGGCATGGTTGCGAAATGGCTAGGTGTTGGAGATGTCATGGTGTTTGGATCGGATGAGAAGGGACTCGAAGATGGGGTATGATCAAGACCAGGTGTAGATGGCATACTAGAGCTTGCATGCTCATCTGACAAGATTTTCTTTCCAATGTACGAGGCTGGCAGGGGGGGAAGTGAAAAATCTGTGCTGAAGGGGCAATATGCCAATGGTGGTATAAACACTGGTGTTGGCACGATGATGCTTAGGGGACGGTCGCCCGCTGTACTCGCCGTGGGCATTTCAGGGGTTCTTTGCCCGGGCGAGGCAGTAATTACCTGGTCAACGTTTCGTATGATGGTCTGACCCTGCTTAGAACTTCAATTGAACGGAAATTACTTTCCGATTACAAGAATCACGTACCGAGGAGGAACTAGAGATGGCTTGGTCTAGCCAAGCACCTGGTATAAATTTTGTAGGAGTTGAAGGACTGGACATGAGAGTCAACTGCAGAAAGAGTTACAAACCGCACCTCGAAAAAAATATGTAATTGAATTCCGTTGGACTGCATCCTCGGACTTTGTAACAAGGAAGCACGCGACGTACGAGGGGATCAACACAACCCAAAAAAGGAACTTCTATTTCTCGACAGTCTACAAGTCACCTCTAACTGCTGCATCCACACTCTTAGCGAAGTACTCGATGTTCCTACCATTCAATCCTGCCATAGAAATACGTCCGTCCATCGTCATATAAACGTGCGCCTTCTCCGCAAGGACTTTGCATTGCTCCTTATTAAGTCCGGTGAAGCTGAAAATGAAAACCAGTCTGTACCAGCAAGGGTAATTTATAGTAGTACACTAACCTGAACATGCCAATCTGGCTCTTTACGTGACTCCATTCCCCAGGTGTCCGGAAATCATTGCTCAACAGCTGGTACAAGCGTTCACGCATGTTGATAATGCGGTCCGCCATGCCCTTTACTTCACCCTCCCATTCTTGGTAGAGTTCAGGGTCCGACAAAATCGTGTTGGCAATGTGTGCACCATGCAAAGGAGGGTTCGAGTACATCGGGCGCACAATGATCTTCAATTGACTGTCTACCCGCTTTCTCTCCTCTTCACTGGCGGTTGTAAGAGAGAACGCTCCAACGCGCTCTCCATACAAACCCATGTTCTTTGCGAACGATTGTGAGAGGGCGATCTGGTGACCTTGCGAGACAAAGTATCGCACAGCGAATGCGTCACGATCAGTTGAGCCCGAAGCAAAGCCCTGGTATGCCATGTCGAAGAAAGGGAAAAGTTTCTTCTCGGCAATGATATCCGAAATATCTTTCCACTGCGACTGAGTGGGGTCAACTCCAGTAGGGTTGTGTGCGCAAGCATGTAGCAACACAATGGAGCCTTCTGGGGCATTCTAGAAACCACGTCAACGTGTATACCACATTACACGAATCAAATTGTCATACTTGTAAGTCCTCTTTCAAGCCCTCAAAGTCCAGACCGACAGTTTTCTTGTCAAAGTACCTGTAATATTTAACCTCCAGGCCAGAATCTTTAAAAAGAGGTATGTGGTTGCCCCATGTGGGCGTAGGGACGTAAATGGTTTTGGAGTGCGGGTAGTGTCTTGCCAAGAAAGTACCACCGATTCTGAGAGCACCAGTTCCAGAGATAGACTGGGTCACAGCAATCTAGGAATTGCGGTGTTAGCGCCCAACCAGGAGGATGCTTTCGGAATTGAACCACAGCTCGCTCACCGCATTTTGGTTTCGTGGCACACTATCAGCACCATACGCTAGTTTAGCTGCGTTACTCGTGAAGCCAGGCAACCCGGTAATTGGGAGGTACTCCTTGTCGAGCTTGGCAGCAGCAATCTTCTCTTCAGCCTTCCGAAGAAGAGACGGTCAGCGGCTACAGAGAAACGGCACTTAACCTTATCCCCATACCTTCTTGACTGCGTTCAAAACGTACGGCTTGCCATGCTCATCTCTGTATGCACCAACCCCAAGGTTGATTCTACGAGGGTCCTTGTCGGCTTTGAATGCCTCAGTGATACCTGTACGAGTGGACCAGGTCAGTCAACTCTGTCAGCTTTCAGGCAACACAGTCTTCACCGAGGATCGGGTCAGGAGGGCCGGCTGGAACAGCTGACCAAGTCGAAAGAGGTGCAGCATTGCGCAAAATGACAGGCGCACGGCGGACAGCGTTAATGGCCAGCATTAGTGTAAGGTTTGAAATTGAAACAGAGAGAGAGAGAGAGAGTCAAGAAAAAAGATTGAGCGGTTATTAGCAGATGGAGGAAAGGAAACTTTTAAGTGATGGCAAGGGCGGTGAGTTTGCCGATTTCGGCGGTAGAGCGCCGATTAGAGCGTGGGTTTAACCCGAAACATGATGCTCAAGCACTGCTGTTGATCAATTGGAGCCTCTAGCAGCACCTGGCGGAAACGAGACTAATACGCATCCGTTGGTAGGAACCCGCTAAGAGTCCGTCACCAGCTAAATTCTCGCATGTAGACATTCTGTCATTAATGCACACGGCCGGGACCCAGTAGTAATATGAAACCTAACCTTATGCTAGGGTTACAGTTGGAGCGTCACAACAATTGCATACAAATCACGTAGGAGATAAGATTGACTCGACTCGACTCGTAACAGTAGACTTTCATTCATATTCCATCATGCCCGAAGTTGTTGACGAAGTAAAGGAACACGCCATCGAAAACATAGCGCCGCACAAAGGCGACGATGCGAGGTACTGTGTTTGGTCTAGGGAATGAATAGGCTGATCGTTCTTAATTCCATTGGCAGAGAGGAATCGGCTCCAACGCTGTAAGCCAATGGAATTTATGGCATTACATATGTACTCACAGATCCTGGCAGAAATGGCCCAAATGAATCCGAGTATGTCGGTACTATTGGGTTCGTTCCGATCCATGATTTTCTTACTATGCAGGTTCAGGACAAAGCCCAAGCCGTCAGCAGACATACCTAAACAAGAAGAGCAAGGCGAGGAAGGTCCGACCAAAAGTGCTCTGAAAAAGAAAGCAAAAGAGGAGGAGAAAGCTCGAAAGAAGGCAGAGAAAGCTGCGAAGGCCAAGGAGGCTGAGCAGGTCAGAGAAGCCGCAGAAGGGCCCGTAAGTCAGCTACCATGTTCTCGTTTCATGTGTTGATATTACCATTATCGACAATCGCAGGACTACGCAGCAGCGCACTATGGAAAGCTTCCTATGCACCAATCCCAGTCGCGCCCCAATCGCAAGCGCACTGACATCGCAACTCTCAGTGCCAAGAATGATTCCGAACACGTTCTTCTTCGTGCTCGGATTCAAACTTCACGTCTTCAGTCAAACAAGATGGCGTTTCTTAGTCTTCGTCAGAGGACCGACACAATCCAGGCCATGCTTGCTGTTAACGATAAACAAGTTAGCAAACAAATGGTCAAGTGGGCTGCCAGTCTCTCCGACGAGAGCATCGTCCTCGTTCATGGGACAGTAGTAAAGTCGCCGGAATCCATTAAAAGCTGCTCGATCGATGACGTTGAAATACATCTCAGCGAGGTATGCGCCTCGAGTATTCCCTCCTTGAACCACCTGACCTTCTTATCCTCCATCAGCTCTGGTTGGTTGCAGGCGTTGAAGGTCGATTGCCATTTTCTCTTGATGATGCATCCAGATCAGAAACTGCCCCTGAAATCGAGGGGCAGTTCAATAGAGTTTTATTGGATACCCGCTTGAACAACCGTATCATCGATCTTCGGGTTTGTTCTTCTATTTTATTCGATCATCGTTTGCTCATTCGATCTGTAGACGCAAACAAATCAAGCAATTTTCAAGCTTCAACACGCCATTGGAGACCTATTCCGTGACTACCTCAACAAAAACGGTTTTACCGAGATCCACAGCCCGAAATTGCAGGGAGCAGCTACAGAATCAGGGGCATCCGTCTTCAAGGTTGGGTACTTCAAAGGTCTGCTACTTGCGTTGACATCTTCGTATCATTATCTTGACCATATCCCAGGCAACGCGTTTCTCGCGCAGTCCCCTCAGCTGGCCAAGCAGATGGCTATCGCTGCTGACTTTGAACGAGTCTACGAGATCGGACCCGTCTTCCGTGCTGAGGACTCAAATACCCACCGACACCTCACCGAGTTCATCGGCCTTGATCTGGAGATGACGATCGAGGAGCACTACCACGAGGTGAAAGATCTCCTTGATGGAATGTTCAAGACCATCTTCAAGGGTCTGAAAGAGAGGTATGCAAAAGAGATCGCAGTGGTTGGCAAGCAATTCGAGGCGGAGGAGTTCAAATGGAGAGAGGAGACTCTAACTCTGACATTTAGAGAAGCAGTGGACCTTCTCGTCGAGGATGGCGTTGACCGCGAAATTTTGGATGATATCAAGTGGGTACTCTGGAATCTCAATGATAAATACGCTGACATCTGTGGGTTAGCACGGAGAACGAGAAGAGGCTTGGCCGGCTCGTAAAGGCCAAGTATGATACCGACTATTTCATCATTGACAAATTCCCCCTCGAGCTTCGTCCGTTCTACACCATGCCTGACCCAAGTGACCCAGTACGTAAATGTGTTATTTATCTTGGCGTGGCGCTTACTCTTTTCATCCAGACCCTCACCAACTCTTATGATTTCTTCATGCGTGGCGAGGAAATTCTTTCCGGGGCACAACGTATCCACGACCCTGAGTTCCTCTGCCAGCAAATGCAAGCAAAAGGTGTTGATCCTGAGAGTATGAAGGGCTATGTCGACGGATTCCGTATGGGATGCCCTCCCCATGGCGGAGGAGGCATCGGTCTCGAGCGGGTGCTTATGTTGTTCTTGAAGCTGAACAACATCAGACGCGCCTCCCTCTTCCCAAGAGACCCCAAGCGCCTTGAGCCTTAGAGCATCCATGAATGATACATACATAGATTGACACAAATAAATGATATCTAGTGTTTGCCACATTTGTAACGCGAGTAGCCCACCCCAGATGCTGAGTGTTGTGTCGAATTAAATTGTAAGGTGGAAGCGAGATGTCCATGTGTAATACATGAAATATGTGGGTAGTAAATGTAGAGCAAAGATTGACAATTCGCAACGAATTCACAGAGCATTACACAGCACAAATGATACTGAAATATTCCCGTTCAGGTAAATTTCGGAGTCAAAGCCCTTGGGACTCACCATCATAATCCAGTCATATACAAGTGTCACCGTCTGGCTCGTCTACTACGACGCCTCTCCGACCGGTCGCTATTCCCTTGACCAATTGCACTCGGAGGAATACTATCCCCTTCCAGAGCTGCAGCGATCACATCGGCCGGTAAGTCGATATGAACACCCTCCGCATACGTGAATGCATCCAACGGTGAATATGCTGGGGGATCACGTCTCATAAATGTCGGAGATCTTGCTTCTGATGCATCATCTGATCCTTCTGCTGATGAGCTAGTGAAAGCCTCCAGATGAATATCACGTGGTTGGGGAGTGGGCGGATTCGGCGAACGAGGAGAATCAGGCGGTGGATGCACCTGGATGGCCAAGTCTGAACCTGCATGTTGCATCGCGGCCAGGAAGTGAGTAAAAGAATCGCGCCGGAAGCGAGGGATGCTAAAAAGGCTGCTCGCACCTGCGGCACCTTCGCTTTCTGGCGATTGTGAACGCGATGAGGTTGGTGAGTGTGAGGGAGTGCCATCTCCGTCCTCCTGTTCGCTCTCGCCTTCTGTCGTAGGGTACAATGGAAGGGCATGGTTTGGTGGTGTGTGGAAAGGTAAGTCTGTTGGAGACAGATATCCTTGGCCAATTGAGGGGTCCGTACTGTCGGGCTCTTCAATGATGGGTGTAATTGGTGGGGGAGGAGTACTAGCCTCCCCAGTATGTGATGATATAGGAGCGCCTCTAAGTGGCGAAGAAGCGACAGGACAGATGACGCTGAGAGTGGATTGCTCGGTCTTCGAGAGCGGTGAGAGCGTCTGCGGGGCGTGGAAGAAGTGCTAGGCGTAGAAATAATTGGAGCGCCGGGTCGTACGCCACCTCCCACATCCAATAAAATACTGCCTCGTTCACTCCCATAGGCAGGTGGGGGTGCCAGTGTTCCCACGGTCGGAGCCAGACCCCACTTCTTTACGTTCGCCTCAATAAAGACGAAGCCAGCTTGGCCAAGGTTGACATGAACACTGCATGGACCGTCTGCTCCGATCGTGGGAAATAGATTGTAGCGATTGAGGCCGATGAAAGCGTCTTCCATCTTGCGACCGTTTCTAGTGAAGAACACGGTTCCTGTACGTGGACGATAACCAATGCCAAGAATATCGCCTTCTTTGAGTAGTGGCCCAAATGGCGATGCAGTGAAGGGATAATTGTAACACTTGTCACCGCTGGAGTGGTAAGCGACAGAGAAAAGGTTCAGCCCTGGAAGTCGGAAAGGTGGGTAGGGTTTGGTGGCCAGTCCAACGGCAACTGTAGTAGTTTCAGGAAGATCAAACATCTTGACTTCCCAGTAGTAGACCTCGTTCAATTTGGGGAGGGGTAAATTTGATTGCACGCACGAGGCGGATGCAGGATCGGGAAGGAAGGTGATTTCCGTGCGAGCATGAACCAGAAGTGAATTAATAGTTTCATAGTCGGGCTCGAAGGACCATGCAGAAACGCCCTTCTCCTGAATAGAAAGGAATTGAGATAACGTGATATCTGTAGGCTCCGAGTTTGGGGCATATTGCAATTGGTAATCTGTGCGATGGTCGCATGAGCACGGGATCGGGAAGTTTGAGAAATGGAAGCGACCTTTTGCTCTGAGATATGAGCGCCGAACATGTTCAGAAACACTCTCGAGCCAGCGAGACTCCACGCCTTCAAGGCCTCCTTCTCCGTTCATAAGTTCCTCTCGACTCATGTCGGTAGGACCATCACTGTCTCGTAGGACGATACCACGTCGTCTACGAACGAATATGACACATACTAAGAAGATGAGGAGGATGAAAAGGAAAGTCGAGAGCACGATAAGCAAAGGTAATATGAAGAGAAGGGCGTCGGGTGCAGGTTGATTGTTGAGGTGTGAATTGTACTGTAACAAGTTGTCTCTGGAGGTCTGCAAGCCAGTCAGGGAGTGGTCGACGATGTGATTGACGTTGATGACGACCTGTGTGGCCATATCGACCAAAGAATTGAATTGAAGGTTTATTGAATGTTTATTTTATATAGAAAGAAGAACTTGAATCAAGGCTTGAATGGCGAAGTGTGCAGGTAAACTACGGGCGATGCACCAGACTGGACAGGAACGTAATCCGGCGTAAGCCGAACCACTCCGGTTAATTATTATTAAGTATTATTAATATTAATAATCCCATCGAAGCGTGGGAAATACACCTCCTTGTAATTACCAGGTTACAGAAGATCCGGTAAAAGAAAGAGCTTGAAAGAAAGTTGCTGCGATGAACACGACGCTCGCAGCTCCCTCTCCGAAGCCATTCAAAAGAAGGGGATCAACGAGAAAACGCGCCCCCTCTTACATATCTCCACCTCAATCTCAGGAAACTCACGACGCTGCCCTACATGCCATTCGTAACCTCCTCAAAGGAAGAACATCTTACGATGCATTCCCTGTCAGCTTCAGGCTGATAGTCCTTGACACTAAATTGAATGTCAAGAAGGCTTTACAATGCTTGCTTCTTAATGGTAATCCTTTAATAGCACCCATTCACCTTTCCTCACTGTCACGACAGGTGTAGTCTCTGCACCGTTATGGAACAGCGAAAAATCAAAGTTCGCTGGGATGCTTACAGTCTTAGATATAATTCATCTCATCCAATACTATTATGACACAGCAAATTACGAAGCTGCAGCAGCAGACGTGGAGACCTTCCGGCTAGAATCAATACGAGGTACATATGCCGGCTGCCCAGGATCATATCGTCAAATTGATCAGCTTCTGCTCTTAACTTAGATATCGAGAAGAGCCTTGGTGTGGCCACACCTCCAATGCTAGCAGAACATCCAAATAGCACCCTTTACAAGGCCGCCAGGGTCTTAATTCAAACACATGCCCGCCGATTACCTCTCCTCGATTATGACACAGAGACAGGCCACGAGGTCATCGTTTCTGTCCTAACACAGTACAGACTTCTCAAATTTATCTCTATAAATGTAACATGATGCCTTCCCCCTCACGTAAGATCTTCGCTCACGTTACCTTTCCAGTGCACTAGAGAAATTCAGCAACTGCATCTCTCGCTCCGGAAACTCAAGATCGGTACCTATGTTTCATCAAATCCACCGCCCCCAAACCCTGAAAACCCGGAAACTCAGAATCCATATTATCCGATCGCAACCGCCACGCTCGACACCCCTGTATTTGACGTCGTTCATATGTTCTCTGAGCGTGCCATATCTGCAGTCCCCATTATCGACCAGGACGGCGTTGTTGTGAATCTGTATGAAACAGTAGATGTCATCGTACGCTACGTCCTATTATGTAGATGCCAAATCTTACCCCTTTTGCAGACTCTTGTGCGTTTAGGAGCATATCAATCCCTTGACCTAACGGTATCGGAGGCCCTTAACCAACGTTCTCCGGACTTCCCAGGCGTTGTCATTTGTACAGCCGGGGACTCGCTTGGAACACTATTGCAGTTGATCAAGAAGCGTAGAGTCCACCGGCTTGTCGTAGTGGAAGGAGATGTAAGTCTTTGTTCTGACATGCATTCGCCATATCAATCATGATCTTACAGGAGGAAGAGAAAAAAGGCGGAAAGAAAGGGCGTCTGCTTGGCATAATCACACTGAGCGACGTTCTTCGGTATGTTATCGGTGAGGTGGGCATCGGCGAGTCAGTCGAAGAGATTGCGGGCCTGTCCGCCGGCACGGGCACACCGCTCTCTACAGATATTATATCATGGTAATGGCGCACAGAGTCATTGGAACGAGGGGTTTGTCGCAGGCTTTCGGGGTTTCGTTATTTTATATGCTTTCAAAATCTTAGTTAGCTGGATCTGACTAGCAGTTGTATGTTTTGCATGATCTGTACCCGTAGATGACATAGGTTATACGATAATGTTGCCGTCTTTGTGCACATGGGGAGTAGCTGTGAGTAATGGCGGGTGGCATGTGGAAGGCGTGTGGTGTGTAAGCTTGTGGCACGCGACGGCCTCATTGCGGGCCGCAAAGAAGGCGAAGGCACTATACTACTGACTACCATGACCGCCATACAAGCCGTCTACGTACGCGGGCATGAGGAACGCCCCGATCCTAAGCTTCATATTGTTTACCGCATCGAAATTCAAGCCCATGTCCGCTCATGGCAAATGTGGAGACGCTACTCTGAGTTCGTGGAATTACACACAGAACTTACAAAGTCCACAGGCTCTTCACCCCCGGCACCTCTACCACCCAAAAACTCCCTCGCCATCCTCCGCGGACCTTTCAGAGACAGCAGTAGCATGACCGAGGAGCGCCGGGTTGGCCTCGAGACATACTTGCGCGCCATAATCAGCGCAAAGGATGACAAATGGCGAGAATGCTATGCCTTCCGCGACTTCCTTGGTGTGCCAGTCGGCCGCCAGGGCACCACGGCTGAAGGCGGCACCTCCTCCAAACAGTTCTCTTCTTCCTCCTGGCTCGACGAGCACCTCGAGCTGCAGGCCAAGATCCGCGACATCCGCGCAGACATCAACAAGCGGGATGCGCTTTCTGATCGGGGAGACGTCAGTGCATCGCATACTGCGAATGTTCAGGCGAAGAAGAAGCTCGCGGAGACCCTTTCCCGGGTGCGTACGCTCAAGCAGGGCCTGCAGGAACTCGGCATGGCAGCTATGGCGCAGGGAGAGCTGCAACGCCGTACAGATATGGTCGCACGCTTGCAGGATGACTGCGAGAAGCTGGGAAAGATGGTCACCGTCACTCGACAGGCGTCTCGTCTTGCGGCCGCCCCTTCCTCACAGGGCTTCACGAATGTTGCCATCGCTCCCGAATCAGATCGGGCTGCGCTGCTGAGCCTTAGCAGACCAGTCACGCGAGTGTTTGGTGCTAAAAAACCTCAAGAGACGGAGATGACGAGACCACTTGACGATCAGGGTCTTGTCCAGTTGCAGAACACTCAGTTGGATCAGCAAGATAGTCAACTTGCTACACTCACGCACATACTACAACGGCAGAGGCACCTTGGGGAGGCAATCGGTGCTGAGCTTGCGGTGCACAACGAGTTGTTGGATGAACTGAATAACGACGTCGATCGTGTTGGGGGTAAACTCATCAGCGCAAAGAAGCAGCTCAACCGCCTTGGATGAGTGAGATCAAGACAGTTTTCCAATTTTGAGTAGGGATGTACGAGGTGCTACACATATACCAATAGTTAACGTTTTGACATCTAGAAAACATTGAATTAATGTAGATAATGCTGATGTTGATGATGTTGACGATGCTCCATGTAAATATAATATAGGTCTAGCTAGTCTTGGTCCTTCTTCTCCAAAAACTTACCAACTCCCTGAGATAGATTGGTAAGCTACACGTTTCAACAGCATAGAGTAACCATACCTCAAAACATGCAATCATAATCCCGCAAGCTGGGGCAATCTTGGCTGTACGAGGAAGAATGCCAGTAAACAAGGCGGCGGTGCCTTCAGTGCGAATGATATGAGCCAACAGTGGTATCGTAGCTGTAGTTTGTGATGACATGGTTCCAGTCATGAGGAGCGCTTGCCGTCGGGTTTTCAGGACATCGAAGGGTGAAGTTATCAATGACGCGGTTGTCCCACTGATAGCACCGCATGAAAAGGCAACGTATGCCCCCTTCTTCCCTCGGCTCTCGAAAAATCTTTTCCAGGCCTCGTAGCCCGCCCAATATATGCCACTAAAGGGTACATCACGCCACAAGGTAGGGCCAAGGCCACGCCAAAGAAAGGTTACGCCTTGTTTCCGGACGATTGTACGCACGGAAGCGAGGACAGATGGAAGTGTATGTGGTTTGTCGGGGGATATTGGAGTTGATTGCAGGTTAGTTCGAATGAGCTCCAGTGGTGAGAGTAAGGAAGTAAGAGAAGCGCGAGCGGTAATACCGGCTACCAGAGGGACGAACGTAGGGGAGGGAATAAAGGGAGGGAGTACATTTCGTAGGAGATGGTCATAAGTGAGGATGTATATCGATGATGAGGGGACGCCGATGAGTCTGTCACACAATGAGAACTGTGACCAAGAGGTGAATCGAGTTAGCTTACAGTGTCGTGCCAACACCTTTCCATAATCCTCTCATACCTTCTGCTCGCCACACATGACGGACAGCATCCAAGAACCCATTCACGCGCTCAGTGCGGTATACACCATGATCGAAAATGCAGACGACCTCTTCTGCAGCCAGCGGGCGTGCATATGAGGACATGTTGCGTACGCAAGGTATATGTGCTGGCTGACAGCAACTATTAAGTGGTGGTCGTGAAACGAGAGGCACCCTGGGTTGAGTCTGAAGACGGGTCTTCACGACGTCAAAAGGAGTCACTGAATATAATAAATATTAATGAATTAAAAAATGATTGAAACATACTTGTAAGTGCGGTCATCGTTGACCCCGTCGCTGCAGCTACGAGTTTAGCCTGGAACGGATCCATGACGGAGAGGGAAGGAGTAACAGAATTATTTCTTAACACGGCCCCCGGTATGTCGGCGGAATGATTATCAGAATCGGCACGGAATACCGGCAATGACCGGGAAATTAATTTTGCGGACGATTGTGGATTTAATACTTAAACTTGTTGATCACACACAACAACCGACCCGGAAGCTTCACCAACCGAAACGACTGATTTCAAACTTCATTCGATCTTTCGATCAATATTCCTCCAATCTGAACAGACTTTGATAGTCTTATAACTCAAAAGCAACAGGATTGCAAGTCTCGCTTACTTCACCATTAATCATGACTACCCTGCCCGCATCCTTTCAGCATGCTAACAAGGCTGCTATCGCCGCAGCTCTTGCTGAGAACTCAGAATCTATCGGGGCAGACGTAGAACCTGGTGAAATCCAGGAGGTCGATATGCAAGCACAGGCAGACGACATTCGCACTGTTTTCAGTCACCCTACCAGCTTCAATGTAAAGGTGCGCAACCGAATTGACTCGCCGCTCTAGAGTATTCATTTTTCTCCTATACAGCATCCTCTATACTCACCCTGGACCCTTTGGTTCGATTCCCCTGCTACTAAAGGCCGTAACCTCCCCCAAACCCCCGTTTCTTCCTTCCCTCAAACTCCCGTTCCTCAGACCCCCAGTGCTGCTGCTGCACAGGGATGGATGGAGGATATCAAAAGAGTCGTCAGTTTTGACAGCGTCGAAGAGTTTTGGGGGTAAGTCCTTTCCCCCTATTTCGAAGACTGAAAACTCACCAAGGCATAGCCTCTACAATCATATTGTACCTCCCTCACAGCTCCCTCAAAAAGCAAATTACTACCTCTTCAAGGTACGTGTTTCCGTAGGATCGCATTATTGTTAATCTAATGGCAGTTTCAGGAGGGTATCATACCTGCATGGGAGGATGAAGCAAACAAGCATGGTGGCAAGTGGAGTATACAGCTACCCAAAGAGAAGAATCGCAGTCAAGTTGATAAAATGTGGCTTTACACTGTATGTCTCCCTTTCATCTCTTGATTTTCCTATTTTGAATGCTCCATAAAGATGCTTGCTGCTATTGGTGAAACCTTCGATCCCCATCTTACAGGCGGGGAGGCATCTGAGCCCAATTCTCAATCGCTTATCACCGGAGTGATCGTATCTACCCGACCGCAGTTCTACCGTTTATCGATTTGGACGCGACTTGCGCCTTCTGGAGATGAAGACAAGTTGCGTGAACGCATCGAGACAGTTGGACGGCACTTCAAGATTAATGTACTAGGCTATCCCGAGACTCAAAAACTGGCCGGTCCTCTCGCAACCGAGGTTGAGTTCCTTTCACACAAAGATTCTGAGAAGAAGGGCAAGGCAGCGAAGAAGCTCGTCATTTGAGTGGGTACACCAGTTGCTATTATATCGATTGAGCAGAGTTCTAGATAGATTGTGCTGGATGTGCCTGATTTATTCGTATGGTGTCCGGACGAATATTCTCATTCTAAGCTCATGCTGATGTTGCGATGCATATTGACACTCAAAATCATGCTGTCCGGTCCTTGACATTTTTACCTGAAGCTGTGCACTGCCGTGCAGGCTTGGCAGTGCAACTACGCCGGGTGTGGAGACAGTGTGACGCTGCGCGTGACGCAGTTGATGTGGCTGCGCATTGGACCCCTGTATAAAGACCCTATGACAACCGCTTCAAACTCAATCAACTTATCTCTTCTCCCTGACCACTCATTTTAACAACCTTAGGCTAGTATCCCACTCAATGTCAGTGTCAAGTTTTTTATCGTCGTTCGCCGATAAGGCTCAGAGTGCCATCAATCAAACCCCTCTTGCCGGCCATGTCCCCGGCATTACCAACGCCACCGACCAACCATCTGCCAATCAATCCGCAGCTCAGGGCGGCCATCGCTCAGTGACATTGGAGGCATTGCAGCATCAAATTCGCTCAATTGGACAACAATATACTACCACCACTCCAGTGCAAAGAATCATCACGTCTGAAAAGGGTGTTGCAATCGATTGCGATGCCCTCGCTAGGGATGCGAAGGTGCAAAGCAAGGAATTGTACACGTGGGGTCAGACACAGCCAGAGGATCTCAAGGACGGTAAGCCGCCTTTTCCGCAACAACGCGACCTAAGCTGATGAAGTTTGGTATCTAGTAACGGACAGATTGGCCTACTTGAACTTTGTTCAGGGATCTCTTGCATCATCGGTTGCGATCAAGCTCAATAATGCACGAGCGCCTTTTAAAGCTCTTCGCGATGCTGAGGCTGTCCTCGCCCCAAAGCGCAACTTTCGTGCTGGATTGCGTACCCAGATTTCTCGTATCGAGCATAGTCAGGACAAGGCTATGGAGCGGAAGCTTCCTGAACTTAAACAGACACTCGCCAAGGCTGAACTTGTCGACGAGCCCCTTGAAAAGGAGCTTGAGATTTTGAAGCGGAAGGCAGTTCGTGAGAGCGAAGCGCAGAAGTGGGACGCTATGCGAGAGGTAAATCACTTCGTGCTGCTATGATGAAAGTTATTCTAATACAATCATTTGTAGTTTGGGGAAAAACTGGTCCTATTGTCGCAGGCTTCCAAGCCTATCATTGCTGCCCTGCCACCTATTCCCCCTTCACCTTCGAGCCCTTACACAGGAGCTCAGGAAACAGGTACTGCTCGTGCTGCGCTTCAGCACGCACTGGATAATTATACTCCCGGGAGCACATACTTCGTCGCACAGTCTGGCGCAAATCTCTCACGGGCTGACACCCAATCATTTGGGGAGAGTCACGCTTCGGAACTGAACAGTCTCGCCAATCCTGGAGCAAACGCTGGTCATCCAGGTGTGCCTATCACACCTCCACCTCAAGCCTCCTATGCGTCAGACGCAGAAAAGTCAAGAGACGCGTCGCACTCTCCTCCTATTGACCCAAGGACACTCAATTTATCTCCTACACCAATTCCGGAAGATCAAGCTCCACCCATCGCTACGGTTGCGGACAGGGGCTCGCTTTCTCCTGTCGTAATCCCGGCAGCTGCACCTACGGTGGCTGAAACCGGTGTTCCCGTACCTGCGAGTGCAACTGGTCCAGGCCCTGCTAGCGGCTCTCTTCGTGACATACGCCGTGCCTCAGATGCTGCGGGGCCACGAAGTGGCGGTCTTCCGGGCAACTCGCCATCTGACGATCTATATGGACAGTCACACGAGACTGCAGCAGAAGAAAAGAGTCGCCTTGAGCGTGAGGAGCGCGAGCGGGTATCCGCGGCGGGGACATCTGGACCCGCTACTTCTGAACACGAGTCTGCCGAGGAGGAGAAGCGCAGACTTGAGCGGGAAGAGAGGGAGCGTGTTCTTGCTAGCGCTGGCACTGACAGCGGAAATGCACACAGTGAGGTCAAAGAGGGTGACGAGCTTCCCCCATACAAGGACTTTGAATAAATAGGGTCTGATATTCTCTATCATCATTATCTCAATTGTTTCGTGGATTTTTTGTATACATCTTCTATAGTTTGTGATTCCATGTACATACCCAAAATCAAGCAACTCATAAGTTATCGCCAAGATTAATGGGGATCGGAAATCGACCATATTTTGCCAGCTTCGTGTCTTCGCGATATAAATCCGCAGGGAAATTACTTTTTCAGATAATCAGTGATTATCAGTCAGGCTCGACTTGTTGATTTTGGTGAAGAACTTTAATTCGGAAGCCGATGTGACCTTAACCCTAATATTAACTCCAGATAACTTAAGGTATACGCACGGTCCCCTTCCTCAAGTTGTTACTCCTTGAACATGGACACTACGGAACTCGAGACATATCAAGTTCAGCTCTCTCAGGTCGAGCTCGCACTCCAAACAGATCCTGAAAGCGCCGGACTTCTCTCCCTCCGCTCGGAGTTACAGGAACTTATCTCTCTCACCCAACAGTCGCTTGCCCAAGCCGCTTCCTCATCGCGCGCAGATTCTGTGCGTAAAACAGCAAACTCGACACCTTCACACACATGGACTGCAGGGAGCGACTGTCTTGCCAAATACTCGGGTGATGGCAGTTGGTATCCTGCACGCATCACCAGCGTTGGCGGCTCTGCAGAGAACCCTGTATACAGCATCATGTTCAAAGGGTACAATACGACGGAATTGGTCAAAGGAGCAGAAATAAAGCCACTACCGCCAAATCACCAGGAGAAAGTATCAGCGCCGAGTAAAAGAAAGCTAACTAAAGCTGAGGACGAGGAGAGGGATCGGAAGAAGAAGCGCAATGAGAAGAAACTCGAGGTCAAAGCTGCAAAAGCTAAGGAGCAACTCGCAAAACAAGCGACGTGGCAGAAGTTTGCTAAGAAGTCTGAGAAGAAGGGCGTCCATATTGCCGGTGTGGCAGGGACCAGCATCTTCAAGACGCCCGACAACCCATTAGGCCGTGGTGCGTATCGTTCTAGTTGGTTATAACACAAACTTCTTGATTTCTGATAACGGCCTTGTAGTCGGCGTTACCGGTAGCGGAAAAGGAATGACGGAAGTCGCGATTCGAGGCAAGCATAAATTTGCGCCAACCGACGAACCAAATGCGTAGATGGCACGGTTGGAGTCCTCTCCTCCATAAGTATGTATGTATGTATCGTACTCATCGCCTCGGAAGCGAGGGGTGTCATGATTCGTGTCATGCTAATTCTCCGTCAACAGCTCGAACTTCACGTCGTCTTATCAAATTATACTAGATGCCCGTTGATGATTCTGTGTTTCCCGTCAATGGCAGGTTTCGCAGGCAAAGACTGGTGTCAATGACGCTTGCAAGTATTGATACCGATAATCTATATGTGATGCATTTCCCCTCTTCTACTTGTCATCAGGATCTCATCACCGCTTTTCTTCTTTCTCGCCTTATTTATCAGAGACTTCGTTGCTGTCGGCACTTGCGAAGCCGATGTCCGTTGGTGTAATCGTACGTTTGTTATGCGTTATTTTGTGCAGAATACGTTTAGACTCACAATTTGTGATGCGTGAAACGGTCCTTGATGGTGCATATGCAGAATATTTGCACCATATAACGACAACATGATGCGATACACAAGAAGGGTCTAGAAGGGATGGCTGTTAATGGTGTATCTCCTGTCCATTTGATGATTACTTACTGATGGGTGCTCGTATGAATACCGTTTTTCATCGTCACGAATACGTATCGCAAACAGCAATCGGTGGGCCATTAATATTTTAATTTTTATTGCACAAAGAAGTCGCAGTGATTTGTGCAGATTGCGTTTTGATTTGAATGACGATCTGGGTGAGCTGTGCTTCTTTGCCGCCTTCCACTTTAAATTGAACCATATTTGCTTCTCGTGACACCGTCTCGCTGGCATGTACCTGACCACCTGCATCGAAGGTGTGATATCCCACTACAGCGCGCTTAACCAGTATCAAGTAAGTATTTTGCGAGACTGGCAGCGCAAATTGATTTCGCCGATGTTACTAGCAAGCTGCCATATCAAAATAACCTGTCATTTTATTCGGCTAGGCGCTTCTATCTGCGAAGCTGGACAGGTCCCGTCTAGCATTCAAGGCCACCACCGATTCGAAACAGTGGTGGACAACTATGTCAACTCTAGTGTTGTGGTATAAAGAGGGTCAACTTGTCATTGATTCCTCAAATTTCGCGTACTGCGCGCAGCTCTGTTTCCAGGGGATCCCTCAGCTGGAAGGTCAGACAGTCCGGCTGAGAGATAAGCGGACACTGGCTCCTCAATATTTACGATTAATGGACACAGGGCTGGTTTTGGGAGTGTGCACCGCTTGACGCATTTACCGCTTTTAGAAATATTGAGACCAAACTTGTCTACGACGTAAAAGCGGGTCCCCCGCTGACAACTCGAAGATGGATGAAATCTGGTCCGAGTCTGTCGATATGAAGGTTGCTGTCAGACTCATCTTCCTCGGAAATAAGCCCTTGGAGAGAAGGCCGCTCGCTGAACATTGTACGCAAAACTATCTCTTCACGCGCTCATCGTCGGTCGCGGAGGGTCGTGGACTTGAGCGTGATGTTGGGGTTTCTTCCTCAAATATGTGTGCTCGACCCTCGAGATGATATTTCACTGATCCATTCTTTGAAATGATGACAAAGGTCAGTCGTCTGTAATACAAAATACCGGTTTTATCAATAATCAGATCTTCAGATCACGATACCACCGCTTCTCGATCACACTGGTTAACATGCATCTGTCCTTTGACACTTGTAGTTCCCTTTCTCCGACGGGCTGTGCATCCAGAACTTGACCAGGCGTGGCGTTGCCCCGGTTGCTGATTGATTGATGTCTACCGAGTCCGAGGGGGAGGATGACAGGACTAGTTAGGCATTCCGGGAGACCAGATTCTGAATGATTGATGCTCCTCGACAGTCCTTCTGGCGATTAATTGTTGACGGGGTACGTGCATTCGGAATTTGGGAAGTAGGAAGGGAAGGGAAGGTGAGTCTGCGTTCTGTGCCTGACTTCGGATGATTGGCATGTACGTGTAACCATGATCCTACCGACGCCAGTTTGCTCGATACTGCACATATCTGGACCGCAGCTTTCAATGCGCTTGTGATATCACTGTCAAGTGAGGAGTAATATTGGGGACCGAGGAACGCCACTGTCGAGTGTACGCTACACGTTTCCCTAATGCCTACCGACCATAAACGGTAATGGTCCCCTACTGTGAAATTCAATCTGTCGGCTTGCCTTCGGCGGCCTTGAGAAGATTCGCAAGTGGATTGCGGCTTTTGGAACGCTTTAGTATCGGCGTCGTAGACATGGGTTCTGTGATTTATCTGCTTCTATTAATTGCTCAATGTCTATAGCAGATGAATATCATTAATATTGTAGTGGGAGATGTCTTGCTCGTTTGTATATCTAGAAATGAGTACTCGCTGTACCATCTTCAGTCAAAATTTAGTCACATGGACCTCGAATATTGGCGCCGGCCCCTGCCCCTGCCCATCAAGATGACGAAGCCGCCTACGCGCCAGATTGATTAAAACGCCTGATAGCTCTTCAAAGGTCTGCAACTATAGGGTAGCTGGAACTCCTTGCTCAAGATCTGGACGTCATTAATTAGGCAGACTTTGGTAGGAGCGGCATTTGGTTGGATCCAGTGATTTGGGTCTGTTGTACTGTTCTCGGCGTTCTTGCGCGTGTGGGTAGTTTGCCAGCCTGTCCAGGCCCAGAACTCGTTCCATATTGCTCGTTAGAGTTATTTGCATGGTCGCTCGATCGTCTCGTCTTGTATTGGCCCGGATGTGAACGCTTCAGCCACCGTTAATTAGTACGGTACCAGGTTGCTGCAATTGCAAGTAGCACGGCTCGTTTGTATAATCAGCTCCATGAGGCGTAACCGCCGGTGTCGGAGAACGCCTATTAATGTCATCCCCTTGCACAATTTAGTTACATCGTATCAGTCGTTCAGATTTCCTCGACGGGTGGGGTTGCCCGCAAAGTTCATATCTAAATACATCTGAGGGTCTCCTAGTAAACAGCCACATGGAAACTGTCGAAGGAACCAGAAAAAAAACTGTAACTGCTGAATCATAAGTGAACGATGCGGTTAAGGAAATACAAAAGAAATCAATGCGAGGGAAGTCTCGCAAGAGCAGGGGGGATTTTATGAGGTGGGAACTTGACCGGAAAAATATGCTATGGAGAAGGCTGAACGGCAATCTGTTATCTGTATTACTCTGAGGTGAGCTGACGTTGGTCAACACCGCTCAACGATATGCCGGTTCCCAAAAATACACGATCACCATCTCTGGTACCAGTAGTAGTAGCACCGATATTTGCGGAGTCAGATGGGTAGCTGATAGCTGTATGGTCGATGACATCAACCGAATGTCGTCGCATGGGAAAGCCTGCTCCGTGCGCCGCCATTACTTCGGTGGAGAGATTCAAAAACTGTGGTAGAGTGGTCGTAAGTACTCCGCCGAAGAATGGAAAGAGGGATTAGCTTACCACCTGCTCTTCTTCCAGCGTATTTTCATGAAGACGGCGGTTTGTGTTCTGCATGTGCACGAGCAACGTTCTGATGCTGCGAGAGCTCAGACCCCGGTAGGTAGAAACGCGCTCGAGGTCAAGCGGAGCTGTGTTGACGAGACGCAGCTGCTCGTGTAAATACAGAACATAATGCTCGAGACATTCTAGATAGTGGCGTTTTTTCTCGTGTGACGAAATAGTATCTCTGTAAAATATCGCTCAAGGTCTGGAGGTGAATTCCTTGAACAAGGTAACTTACGGATCGGTAGGAATAAAACCTATCTCTTCAGCAACGGCACGTTGCCGGGCCTTGCGTTGACTCTCTGTCTTACTTGTGTTAGGTGCAGCGGAGGCAGGAGCCTGATTGCCTACGTTCACTGCTTTGAGACTGCTCGCGCTGTGTCGGGTGAGACAATGACGAGGAGAGAGTTGCGGAGATTGGAGCAGACGGCGTTGAAAGGTCTGTAAGAAGTTCCGAGGGGGTTGGGAAAAGAAGTTGGGGCGCATTTGCATAATAATCGAGGATATCGGTATTGGTGGTTGTAGCTGGCGGGGGGGCTTGATTCAAAGAAGGGGGGTATGGGACGTGGTGATCATAGTACGTTTGCTCCAGGTACGGTGGAGTAATCTGACGAGTGGAGCTTGCCACGTGAGGTGGGCCGTAGGGGACTGGGACTGGGACTGGAGCATGTAAATGGATTTGTGCCTGAATCTCTGAGTAGTCGTATGATTGAATAGGTGGGTAGGAATAATTCAACGGGATTGAAGCATCTTCAGCTAGGCCGTAGGTGTCTACGGAGTGTCGTCTAGTACTATTGTTGTAGTCTGAACTTGGAGGAAGATGCAAGGTAATAGCGTCGGTAAAATATTGAGAATCAAAGTCGGCAGATTGCTGTTGAGAGATGGGATACATGTTTGCTGGGATGAGGAGTGAGTGAAGGGTGGGGCTAAATATGGAGGAATAATAAATTAGAAATGGCGATGATATGGAGATGCAGACCTGTATAATATAATTGATTAGATTCGTTAGATGGAAATTGGGTGGCAAGGTGAACTGGATCGGGCCAAGACAGGCGAGGCAAATGAATGGACGCCGATGAAGGCCAAGGTTCAGGATGACTGAGGACTCGAGATACGTTTATGGATCCTCGCAGATCATCATTAGATGGGTCACGTCAAATGAGCCGTAATACCGCAAGGCTGGCCTAAGGGTTTTGGAGTAAAGGTTAATTCAGTTGTGATCCAGGTTGTCATCACTCAAACATAAGCAATTGAATGGAGACTTGGATGATCAACCATGTGGCAACGAGATGGTCGGCTTTCGCGTAACTAGTAACATAACGAAAACATATAGTAATGTTCGGTTCAAAGTTAAAAACAACGAGGTTCAAAGAGAGATAGGACAAGTTGGAAGCTTGAATAAATTGTCAGGAACTGATGTTGAGTTCGGATTCCGAGGGCAAGCGTAGGTCGTCACGGAGAGTCGCGGACTTGAATTTGGGCTTTCGCGGTTATCAAGCCTCATATATGGGCCGCGGGCCCGGATCGTGGCGCCAGAAGCCACCATCACTCGCCGCAAAATCTGCGGTTATACCAAGATCGCCGATCTTAATTTATACCAGTTGGGTTGGTACTCCTCCCCTCTCGATCGCCGTCTCTCCGATCCGAACGTTGTCATATCCCATATATATATTCACTACTCCAGCCATGTTTCTCCTCCATTCCAATGAATTCTACAATATCCATCCATCCCTCTCTCAGCTATCAGTCTCCGAGTCCTACTATAACCGGCTTTCCATCATATGACTCGCCACCCCCTTATCATTATCCAACTCACCAGGGTCCTTCTCCATATGTCTTCCCCCAACAGAAAGACGACTCTTCCTTCATAAAGTCTAGATTATCCGAGAGTCCCGTATCTACTACTTTTACGGACCAATCTTCCGATACCTCGTCCGTCGAACACCCATCCCGTGATAATTCACACAGAGCATCTCGTTTCACTATCGCCCACCCATACGCACGCCTTTACGCAAAGAAGGATGGTTCAAAGCGACGAAAAATCTGGAACCACGTCCTCGAGAAACAACTCTTCTCTCCTCAGGAGTTGTCCGTCCTTTATTCACTTCAACTCACTTACAATTAATTTCGTTTTTAGGTCAACTATGGGCGCACCACATAGACGTACCATTTATATCGCCTCTCTCGAGGCTCACATCGATCGGCTACACAATCAGCTGCTCGGAATCGGCCTTTACCCAATCCCATTTCAGCGTCTCGAACCATACCGGGGCCTCAATTCAAAGACGGCCAAGGTAACAAAACAATTTCTATTTACGTTTTCAACCGTTCATTTTATCTCATAGAGTATGGTAGGCGGGCTTGCAACACGATGCTACCCATACAAAGCTTAAGTTGCTAGAGCTAGAACGTTCGGTACATTTTTCGTCCACTTACCTCCACATATTAAACTAATTTGCTCCAGAACAATAATCTCCACAAGCTCCTCGGCACCCAAGCAACTTCAACCTCCTCCATTTCTCTTGAAGCAGATGTCCGCCGTCACTCTATGGATTCATCCGGAATAGCCGTAAACTCAAGGACCGCCATCAATTCTGCAGGCCCGATGATCATGGATTCCCTTGCTTATTCGGCAAGGTCATAGTCCCCTATTTTCGCTACTTTCCAGCCCTCGACCTGCCATGTGCTCAGAACTGTCATTCATAAAACCAACTTATGTATTTCCTTAATCGCTTGTTTATCGCACCTGTATCGTACATAACCGAAGCATGGTATTTCCCATTACTTATGCTACTGCTTACGAGGCCCATCCCCCAGTATATAATAGACCTTTCATTTGCAAGGTTGAACAAGTGTGTACATTAGATAACATTCCCAAATGTGATTACCTCGGGAAATCCCTATAATGTCTCCTTGCCTTCTTGTTCTATCTCAATCTGGTCCATGTACGTTCCCTCCAGCGAAACTAGTCGTAATCGGCAACCGCTGCTGGCCCGTACTTATCGGCAATCAATTGCTCAGATCGAACTTTTTGTTCAATATCAATGCTAACACACCAAGGGATAAGTACATAACCGTCTTCGGTCTATCGCGGTCCCGGCACTGCGTTCATCTGAACTCGTTTGAATTTCCCCAAAAAATGCCCACCGAATAATCTATAGAAAGTTCAAGGATTGCGAGCGAATAAATATTCATGCGTCCTCGAGCTGCGTTCAACGATCAGCCCGTCGTTGAACGTCTTTTATTGCATGCCCCCCCTGGAACGACTGGCATTCCCAGGCAGAACATGTCTAGGCCCCAAAATGTTAGACTTTCGACTTGGCGATAATGACTGCATGCCCCAAACGTTTCCATGGACGTACGAAGGGTACCCATCATCATTAATATTCATTTCCCAAGTTCCGAGTAGAAAATTTTCAACGCCAAGATCACTAGGTAAGTCCTTACAGCAGTATCGCCTCCCTCGTGTCACTGTCCTAGGGGGTAAGGGGCCTTTTTCCAATTATCAGCTGCGACGATCCGGAATTTCGAAAGTGAACGACCCTAATATGACAGGCATCCGAACAGGTTTAGATCTTGCGTTTAAACTCGGAACTACTCCCATATTCCGCTTTTGTCAACTTTGACCCGTGTGTCCTGCTTTGCTTTGCTGCCTTGCGGCCGTCCAGCTCTCTGTGCACCACGTTTTGTGTGATACTTTCTTTGCTGACGCGAGCGCTTTGCAAGGTCAGATGCAACCCTGTCCCGGAAAGCAGCGTCCTGTAGGCTTAGAGAAGCAGCCATTTTTGCCAAGGTATCAGGCGAAGGAGAGCGGGAGCGTGGAGGTGATCTTGACAACTGAGATAAGCGGCTACTGGGCCGGGAAATTGGGTCAGGGGAGCCGAGTGAGTCGGCGCTTGGCCCAGGTTGTGAACACGATGGCACTTCAGTGTTCAAAGAGTTTTGCAGGTCTTTATGCTCTTGCATCTCCGATTCACTGTGCCCATCACCAGTTTCAACCTGGACGCTGTCCTCGTGGTCGTCCAGAATGTTGCCACCTTCGCTTTCGTCATTTTCTTCTCTTCTTCCTCCTCCTCCTCCTCTTCATCGGAGCTGTTCTGATCTGCGCCATCCTGAAGCTGATTTGCTTGGACAGCTTCCATATACTACAGCGTTATTCATAAGAGCTTGAAAGGTGTTGGATGCAAAGGACCTCACCTCTTCTAATGTCTTTTGGTCCTTCTTCGCAAAGCCGCTAGCTGCAACCATTACATCCAATCGGAAACTATCATGTTCACCATTTGATTCGGCTTTAACAGTCTTGAACCTGGGGTACAATGCACTTTCGTACTTGAAACGTCGGCGGAAGAAGGTACGTATACACTCCACATCGCGATTGAAGTACCTTGATGAATGTCATCAAGCTGTATCAAACAAGTTCGAGTACTGCGCACCATTCAGCATTCTCGTGTGACGTGCTGACCATCTGCGGAAAATCAATGACTACCGGTTCGCCACTCTCTCGTCGAATCAGAATATTGAATTCGTTATAATCGCCATGAATGAGCCCCGCCCATGCAAATCGTACAATGATATCCATTAACGTCGAGTATAACTTGCCCGGTGACGGAACATCAGCGATTTGTCGTCTGGATCTACCATGAGAAACAAGGAAAGTGCCAGATGCAACCGTGTGCTTACAGCGGATATGCATCGATTGCTTCCATAAGAATGCAATGCCTAGCTTGATCAACAGGCCTGGGGACAGGGAAATCATGTTCGTGAAGGATCTGAGGTCATTCCGTCAGCGCCACGCTCTCAGTAGATTGCATCGCGAGTCCTGCAGAAACCAAAACTAGCTGACTTTCATAAAAGCCCATTCTTTCTGCGCCGCTAGTCGCGACATGTACATCCACGATGCCGACTTGCGCTTTCCCATATAATCTCTTTTTTCCTTGATGGCACGAAATGAAATGCGACCTAGCCTAATTCCATGAGTGCAAAGTTCATGAAACCTGGCATTGTCAGCAGCTTACCTGTGGAGTTTAAGAACCAATTCGTTGCCCTCCGCGTCTGCGACTATATATACGTCTGTGTCGTGTGATCAGTCACTCCATAGGTGAATATATTGAGAATCGTTAAAGTGAGCACCCACCAGCCTCCTTCCCGACACCAATCTGGTTTCCAACAGAGTACATCGAGTCTCGCTTGGATAATGCACGCATAGCCAAATAATCATACCCGCCATACGTTAGCCTGTAGCCATCATCTGTCCAGAAAGTCAGGGTTACAAGAAAGAACGAACAAAAGGACATGTGCTAACACTTGGAGTTCTGTACTTTCGCAACTAAATTGCGTTTCGCCAAACTCCCGATAAGCTTGTTAACGCCTCCATTCCGAAGGCCGGAGATTTGTACGATGAGTGGAGTTGGGACGACTTCGTGGTTCTTCGATCCAATTTCCACCTGTGTTCAGGTGTTTGAGATAGGGCCATCAGCTTGACGAGGACCCCCTTACTTACTGAAGTCAGTACCCGAAATTCATCCGAGGTGATGTATCGCAGATCTGTTGCGTCGAGCTTCATGATTTGCTTGGTATGCTGCTAGCTGTGAGTATGGCACAAAGTGAAGTGAGACTCGGTACACGAGCTGCAGTGCGATGATATGAGCTGGGTAGAACAAACTTGCATTCAAAAATCTCCGCGAACTCATATTGCCAAATTGGAAATTACCATCGCACAATAGCTACTAAGATCAACGTAAGTACTTACTTTAACTTATACCTTCATCAACGCCTGGTCAAGTAAATTATTGTTGGTTCCCGGAGAGCCCGTACGTGAAGACTACTCGTGGTATGTTTTTGAGATGTTGATGTGATGATATTTTACATAAATCGTCACAGACTACGGCCATTCGATCATTCGTGACCTCACATGACATGCGGTCCAGTGCAATAAACAAAGCCAATAAGGTCTTCCGCGTTCTTAATAGACAGAAAGCCTCACTCGAACCATAGCTTAGGCGACTTCGACGCAGCTGGAAGCCTGCATTTTGACGTCTAGAGAGTTGAATGGTGCCAGGTGTGTCTCATGCGGGCTGCCTTTGTAAATTGCGACATATAACCATACGATTAGACTGCATTTCGTCGTCAAGACCTCTTCAGAGCTGTCTGACGTTGAACGCGAGCGAATATGGAATATTTTCGAGTCCAATATGCACCTGTTGTGAGCTCACGCGATGCTTCATCTTGTACCTCGACTCTCATGATTTGCCCGCTCAGTTATACGACCTCTTCATTTGGCTGGAATCCTCGTTCAAAAAAAGAAGAGATGTTTCACTCACACGCTCGGCTCGTCCTATGTGAGCGATGTGATGATACACCCTCAGGTAGTGAATCAATTCCGTCAGAATTTCGGATAGTTGCATATACTATTTTCCGCTTCGAACGTGAAGCCAAACAAGACGTGGTGTATTGGTAGGTACAATGCCGAAGGCTACAGGTTGGAGACTCCTAGCTCATCAATTGAGAAAAGCTATGAGCTCCAGGTGACCGAAGAATCTCGAGGACTTGGGGTTGGAAAGCTCTTGATGGGTTCTTTGTTCGACATTGGCTCGCGGTGGAGGATGAAGAATGTTATGTTGACCGTCTTTAAAGGTAAGCCTCCGATACATAGCCTCGACTTGCCCTGTCCTCATAAATAGTAGCCAATAGTGCTGCGTCTGCCTTCTACAGATCTTTGGGGTGTGTTTACCCGATCCACATCCCTTGCACTTCCTTGACCAATGAATTCAGCTTTGATCTCGACTCTAGTTCGCCTGGATATGCGGAGGAGGGTGACTGGCAAGATGAGGAATTAGACTGCGACTACGTCATTTTGTCTAAATCTATACCGTGATTTTTGATAATATCACTCTTGATTACAGGTAATCTACTTAATCTAAGGACGGAACTTGATTCTGCGGAAGCAATCCACGTGACCCTCATGTGCGAACTCGGATCTCAAGCCATTGTGTTCTGCACTCTACCGCTACCTTTCTCATTGCGACTCGGAGCCCGCTTGCTTGGGGACACGTATACAACGTCCGCGTCAGAATACCCTTCTACTCTACCATGACACATGTGGCACGCACGCCGCCATTAGATGGGTGACTAGGTCCTGTGGCACACTGTGTGTGTGTGCCTGTGCCTCTGGCGACGGGTTACCCTCCACTATGGCTAGCGCTGACCTTCCGAATCCTATCTCAATTTTCGCTGTTGGTAGCAGAACGGGTTGTGGCCAGCATACGCGACAACTATCAACGACTACCGCCTTCTTACTCTCTTATACAACTCATCCTAACATCTGAAGGTGAGCGAATTGTCCGATATCTCATGTATAGACTTGAGTTCGTGTGCCTCTAGATCTTCCTCATGATCGCTAGTTCCACCCGGTTGGCAGTCTAGAATGGCACCGTGGCATCACATCTGCAATGCCACCAGTGTAATCATGGAGGAGCTGGATGCTTTACGCCTAGCGTTCACATGACAGTCAATTATTGGATAGGGTTAACATGCATGAGGTCGGGACGAGAATGTTCTGTTGGAAATCAATCCGTCAACATAGTAGTATAGATATTTCTTTTTGTTTGGTGTCGCGTTCACTACCTTCAACGTACTTACTAATACATGGTAACTCCGCTCCAGGTACATTCGCTCGTCTCGTTTTCCCCTTCTTCCCCAGTCTGTTCATACTCGACTGGGGTAAGTCTCACTATATGATACTCACATTCCTTACTGACGTAGTACAGGACTTACGAAGTCCTTGTCTCTTTAGGTACATACTATATGAGTCTGTTCATACTCGACTGGGGACTTACGAAGTCCTTGTCTCTTTAGACGTGTGACGTCTCTTAGGTTATGAGCCCTGCTTGACGCAGGCACTGATATTGCTACCGAGACCCATCGGACACTCTCGCACATCGTGAACTCCTGAAATATACCATACCCATTGCATATCACCAAGATCAATATAACACGTGTTTTGAACCATGACTGAAGACCCTCGAGGGTGTGTTGGAATGCTCGGACCCGCTATGTTTGACCAACCAACACATTCACCCGCAAACCTTGGAATCCCAACTATGAACAACTCACGTTCGCCCTCGCGTTCGTGATCTGCCACACCTCACCGTCCAAACATCATTGACGAAAACACATCTGACGAAGATGAGACTCACTTCACACTGAAGAAGTCCATTGACCCATCAAAATTCACCCATCTCCTTCGTCTACGTCCCAAGCTCACATCTACCAACTACTCAACCTGGACAAGCACTGTATACCATGCACTTGAGACCGTTGGGCTACACGTTTATGTAGACCCAGACTTCACGCAGCCACTACACAGCTTACTCAATGAAAGACACCACCCTGTCCATTGGAGCAAGTGAACACGTTCGTCTGCTCAGTCCTCACCTCATGCATGATGGAGGAAGTTATGGCCCAATTAGCACACCTTCAGCATGCCTCCAAAATCTGGACAGATGCGAAACGGCTATACTCGGGTACCACAGCGACAGATTGGACACTCATCATGGCTTCTCTTGTCACCACCAAATATAATGACGGGGAAGACATCAATGCCCATATAGCAAAGATGAAGGGCTATCGCCGTGATCTCATCCTAATGCAATGGGACATCAATGATGAGTTATTCACGTGTTTCCTACATATATCCATGCCGGCAGCTTGGAACTATGTGTTTGCAGCTCTCCCTGACCATTACAAATCTGTCAAAGTTAAATGGCAAATCAGGGACAAGTTCGGCGTCCATACAAGCCAATCAGGCGCATCCAGTACCACATACCAAGCCTTGCGTGGAAACAAAGGCTGAAGCAAACTCAGCCGTACACCCATACCAGGCCAACCTTTCTGTGAGAACTGCAATATCTCTGGTCATTGGACCAAAGAATGCTACTCAAAAGGTGGTGCGAAGCAAGGTCAGGGACCCCATCATGACAAGCAGAAGTTGAAGAGAGATAGTAATAAGGGGGACTGAGAAGGATGACAAATCCCACAAGGGGAAATACAGGTTGAAGTCAGGCAAGAAAGCCAACCAAGCCAGTTGCGGATAAAGATGATGTCAGCGACACTGACAAAGATTCCTCAGACACTGAACACTCATCCTATATCACCAGTCCTCCCTCTCGCTCCCGTTTTGGCTGGATCCTTGATGGGGGATCAACCACTCACATATGCACCGAACAAACAGCCTTTGCTACCTTCACCCCATCAGAGGAGCATATCCAAGGGATCGTGAAAGACGGACCTGTACTCCAAGTCCTTGGACATGGATCAGTACTAGTTAATGTCTCTGTGAAGGGACATTCTGACTGTATTGTCAAATTGATGAATGTCCGATACTGTCCCAATGCCCGTGACAACCTGATGTCAGAAAGCCATATGGACCGAAAAGGGATGGAGATCACGAAGTGAAATGGGCGACTCACCATTAAGAAACCCAATGGCGAGATTGTGATGGAGGGAAGACTAACCAACAACCTATACGAGATCCATAGTGTCATTGCACCACCCACTGTGAGACATGATATTGCCCTCTCTACCTGTTCAGCACCCAACCTCGAATTATGGCATGCTCGCTTTGCCCATATCAGCCTCGATAACCTCCGCTACCTCACCTGACATAACCTCGTGACAGGTATGGACCTCTGAGGCAATGGTGACCTCCCACCATGCAATGGATGTGCGAAAGGGAAACACCCCCAGGCCCCCTTCCCATCTACTGCAACTCGAGCAAAGAAAACTCTTGATCACATCCATATGGATCTCCAAGGTCCATTCGACAAATCCATTCAAGGCTATCTCTACACCCTTGCCATTGTCGATGACCATAGTCGAAAAGGGTGGAAGGAATACTTGAAGTCGAAGGACCAAGCCCCAGCCTTCATCAAGGCACTCATCAAACTGACTCGAGACATACACTGAACATCATGTCAAGATAGTACACTCCGACCGCGGGGGTGAATTCATCAACTCGACACTGGGAAGTTATTTTGAGCAGAAGGGCATCACACATGAATTTTCAGCCCCTTGTACACCTCAGCAAAATGGAGTTGCAGAGCACTTCAACCGAACCACACATGAACATGCTCTTGCAATGCTCGAAGATGCCAGCATGTCAAAATGCTTCTGGCCTGAAGCACATGAGTATGCAAGCTATGTCCAGAACCGAAGCCCAACCAAAGCACTCTCAAAAATTACCCCCAATGAAGTTTTCCATGGTTATAAACCAGATGTATCTACCCTCCGCATTTTCGGCTCTCGCTGTCATGTCCAAGTCTCTCCCAAGTTTCGGAAGAAGCTCGAGGCTCATTCCATCGACTGGTATCCTCTGCGGTTTTGAACAAGGCTCTAAAGCTTACAAGGTCTGGATTCCCTCTAAACACAAATTCATCTCGTCTCGTGATATCATAGTCTATGAGAAAATCTTCAGCCAACTCGACGATGAACCTGTCCCTACTCCTAATATCTCCACTCCGAGTGAGGGGGTGCCAAAATCGACTACCATTGTTGACTCCCCTACTTGGACCAAGGGGGTGATGGATGGAGATGCCAATCCAACCACGAATGAGACACCAACACTCGTCAAAGAACCCCCAACACTCACCAAAGAACCCCCAATGCTCGTCAAAGAACCCCCAATGCCTACACCAGCTACTCCACCAGCTCAACCTCGACGTTCAGAGCGCGTCACATGACCATCGTGGAAGAAACAAGCAGTGGACACCCAGAAAGCCAAGTCTGAGAGGGAAAAGAATGATCAGAAGGCAAGACGAGAAATTTGAGCCCAAAGGCAACGTAAAAACAACACCAACACACAACTGTCGGCGAGGTTGCCCAGCTTGCTTATCTTGCAGCCTATGGCAACGAACCCCAGAACACTTTCGGGCAGCTTCTACCTGCACAGAGGCAGACCAATGGTGGAAGGCAATGCATGAGGAGATCGAGATGTTGCAGAGAAGAGGTACATGGGGGCTAGTCGAGAAGCCAAAGGATCGAAAAGTCATAGGGTGCTGATGGACATATACCCTCAAGCTTGGCCCAGATGGCGAAATCACATGGTACAAGGCACGGCTTGTCGCACAAGGATATTCACAGATCCCAGGTGTTGACTATAGTGACACATTCTTGCCAACTGTCCAACTTGACTTGCTTCGCGTGATACTGCACTTTGCAGCTTCACATGGCTGGTACCGAGGACAAGACGACGTCACTGGGGCATTCCTCCACAGTAAGATTGACCACGAAATCTATATGTAACAACCTGAAGGTTTCAGTAATGGCACCGACAGAGTCACGAAACTCTTACTTAGCCTCTATGGGATCAAACAAGGCTCACACCTGTGGAACAAACATATGCACTGGGCACTAATCTCCCGCAACTTTGTCCACTGTGCCTCTGACCATGCAGTGTATACCCGCCATACAAAGACAGGCACAGTCAATCATAGCATGGCACATGGACAATGCCATTACTGTCTCTAGCAGTATTGAGACACTCATGAGACTTGTGCCGAGCTACACAAACTGTTTGAGATGAAGGAAGAAGACCCAGATTGGCTCATGGGATTCACGCTCACTGATGATCGCAAGAATCACTCTATCGCTATCTCACAAGCCCAGTACATCAACACGATCCTCAAACGTTTTAGAATGGACGGATGCAACCCCAGTACAGACGCCAGTTGATCCAAATACCAGTCCTATTGAGGGCAGATGGCCCTAAAACAGATGAAGAAGCTGCAGAGATGAAGAAGCTACCATACCATGAACTCATCAGAGCAATCACTTGGATTGCAATGGTCTCACGCCCAGATCTCGCATTCGCCAGCAGCCACCTCGGACAATTCAGTGCAAATCCAGGGCAGGCACATTGGAGAGCTGCACTGCGCGTTTTACGTTACCTTGCAGGCACACACAGCTTCTGCCTCATGCTCGGGGAGAACAGCAAGAATGCAGATGTCCTCACCGGATACAGTGACTCGGACTGGGCACAAGATATTGACAACCGCTGGTCAATTTCAGGATACATCTTCACCCTTGGCGATCGCATCATATCATGGAATAGCAAGAAACAAACCACCGTCGCAGCCTCATCAACTGAGGGAGAGTACATGGCCCTCTCACATGCATCCAAACAGGCAATATGGCTGGGATATCTGTTGCATGATATCAGAATGTATGACAAAGATCCTGGCACAGAGATATTCATCAATAACACTGGATGCATTAGCCTTGCAAAGGAAGCGCGTTTCCACACACGCATGAAACACATTGACGTTCATTACCATTTCGTCCGCAAATGCGTCGAAGATGGTACTCTCGAGCTCATACATATCCCATCAGCCGAAATGCTCGCTGACGGCCTCACGAAACCACTCGCACGTCTCGCGTTCCAGAAAATGATTGACGAGATAGGTCTGTTGCCAGATTGAGGGGGTGTGTTGGAAATCAATCCGTCAACATAGTAGTATAGACATTTCTTTTTGTTTGGTGTCGCGTTCACTACCTTCAACGTACTTACTAAATACGGTAGCTCCGCTCCAGGTACATTCGCTCGTCTCGTTTTCCCCTTCTTCCCCAGTCTGTTCATACTCGACTGGGGTAAGTCTCACTATATGATACTCACATTCCTTACTGACGTAGTACAAGACTTACGAAGTCCTTGTCTCTTTAGGTACATACTATATGAGTCTGTTCATACTCGACTGGGGACTTACGAAGTCCTTGTCTCTTTAGACGTGTGACGTCTCTTATGTTCACTTGGCTTGACCTAGCCCGGCGCGATATCAAGTACCCTCCTCTTGTAAGTACCTCTTCCGTTGAACGATATCTGAAGATCTTACAGACGCTAGGACACTTCTCGACTGAGAATACGATCCAAGAGATCCATGCCGTACAGGTTCGGTTTTATCTGGCTGATTTTGCTAGGACATCATTTGCGGCATTTGTACGAGGACGAAGCCAAGTTGGGCGATCTGCAGCGCAGCCCTCGAAAGCTGTCAGATATTGTCCTTCTGTTCTTGATGGAATTTCCAGAACTCAAATACCGCAATGTACCTTGGCCACATTGGCCGAAGGCGAACCCTGCTAATTCTAAGCTCCTTCAAAGTTCCTTCGCTAATGAATACTATTGTTGCTCTGTAAATCTACGTGCCTTAGATCTACGACAGTCATTGCCGCCCGTTCTGCTCTTTCACGCCATAACAAAGATAATCCTGACATAAAATCACGAGCACCGATATGCAGAGGAACTCTTCGTAGCGTGGACTTTGCGGCTCCCCTGGGCAGTTCATGTTTCAGCTCACTTAATCGGTTAGTAGACTTCCAAGTCTTTGACATCCTGGATCAAATCGATTGTTTGGCTCAGTTGAGCCCAGTGCGATATATACTTCAAGTTGACCTAGACTTGAATGCCTCCTCCTTTGAGTACCCATTGGACAACAAGTCTTATCTAACGATACTTGACAATGGACCCGGACTTTACTTGGCAATATCAGGCTTGGTGGTAGCTGTGTTAAGCTACTGTCGAAAATATTCGCTCAATCATTCACGTCCCCCACTGCCACCTGGTCCTACCCCCCTTCCAGTACTGGGAAATGTTCTCAGTCTTGATTCTGCTCGGCCTTGGCTGACCTTTAATGCCTGGAGATCCGCATATGGTTTGTGCATTGTGACGGGGATCTGTTCATGACAGCTCATTTTGTTCCTTAGGTGACATTATTTATGCTCGTGTCCTCAGCAAGCCTGTTCTTGTCGTTAATTCTAAGGAGGTCGCAAAAGACCTCTTTGATCGGCGTTCCAGCATATATTCAGATAGACCCCAGTCAATTGTTTACGAAGCGTGAGTTGCATCTTGAAGTGTTAGTCCGCATTGACCACTAAAATGTTGTCATAGCTTCGCTTCAGATTTTAACATGGGGTTCATGCCATATGGAAACAGGTACATAATGGGTTATTCTATGCTATGTTGATGGGTGTCTGATAAAAAGTAGGTGGCGCCTCCACCGACGAATTTTTCATCAGGCATTCCATCAAGCTGCTACACCTGCTCATCACGCTGTGCGACTTCGTTCCGCCCACAAAATGCTGTTCAGTCTTCTACAGGACCCTGGCAATTATCCGAACCATTTTCAGATGTCGGTCGCGACCATTCGTTCGGTCTCGCGCTGAAGCTGATTTTTATCAGGTTTACTTTGACATTCATGCTGTCTATAATATATGACTGCGAAGCGAAAGCTAAGGACGCCCACGTTGCTCACGTCATTACAAGATATGGCGATCTCATAGTCGATGGTTTCGCACCAGCTGCCATGATGTTAATGGAAACATTCCCTTTCCGTATGTTCGCACACGCAATGATTGCATGTAAGTAACTCAACAATCCTTCTAGTTCTGCAGCTACCTAGCTGATTTCCTGGTGCCACGTTTAAGCGAGCATCACTCAAATGTATCCAGGCAGCCCATGATGTGAAGGAGATTCCTTTTCAATATGTCAAAGAGAGGATGGTGAAGTATCCCGCCAGTGGGGGTACATCCAACTAACGAACCACCGACAGTCTGCCAACGACATGGGACCGTGCCTGGTGGCTGATGCTTTGAACAGGACCAGTCAAGAGGATGACGTTAATACAACTGCAGTTAAGGAGGCTGCCTCCGTTGCATTCACAGGTATGCAAGTTGAAAATTTCTTTCCTCTTGATGCTCATTTTTTGTCTTCAGCGGCAACTGAAACGGCAAGTTTCTCCTGGTCTTCGTTTGCCAATCATAATCAGTTTGCCCTTAACTCAGACCACTGCCACTTTACTTGTGTTTTTCCTTGCTATGGTGCTCAACCCAGAAGTACAAGCCAAAGCGCAGGCGGAGATCGATCGAGTCGTTGGCAAAAATAGACTCCCTGATTTCGACGATAGACCAGCGTTGCCTTACCTAGAAGCTGTTTTGCGTGAAACGCTCAGGTGGCACCCAGTGATTCCAATGAGTTTGTCTACAATACAAATCATCTCTAAATGTCCTCTGACAATCTTTGCAGGCGTCCCACACGCAACAACAACCAGTGATATCTACAATGGCTATTTCATCCCTAAAGGTTTGTATCATGCTGATCTAACGACGGCCCCTAACAACCTTTGCTAGGTATTGTTGTATTTCCAAATGCATGGAAAGTCCCCACTACCCTTGTTCTTAATATACCCAAATAACGAACCTTTTAGGGCAATGACGCACGATGCAACGAAATACCCCAGTCCTGACGAATTCAAACCTAAAAGATTTTTCCAAGATGACGGGTCTCTCAACAGCGATACAATGCGTTTAGGCTTCGGCTGGGGTCCCCGGATTTGGTGAGCATCTATTCGCACTTCTTCGCTCTCCGTTGAAAGTAGTTGATCAGTGTGGGACGGCATGTCGTGGACGCGTCACTCTGGATCGCAATCGCGAATTTCCTGGCGTTTTTCTCGGCCCACAAAGCTCTTGATGAACACGGCATGGAGATCCCGATCGTTCCGAAGTTCACCACTGGTTTCGCAGTGTTCGCGGGTTTCCATCTGTCCCAGTGAGTAGTCTGACCTCTTGTTATTCAGTCATCCGGAGACATTTCCCTGTCGCATTCTCCCGCGATTCCCTAGCGTGTCTCTAAAGACACTGACATGTTCGACCAACTTGGGTCCGTTCTATCGACCACACCTGGCATTCTCAAATACTAACATACAGTGGCAGGGAAATTATGATTGCGGTGTGGTAAGCAGTGTGCAGCCCGATAGCTTTCTGCCTTGACTTTTTTGTCTATGTAATATGAGATTGCGACTACGTTGTTTTGACCAAGTCTATACCGCGATGTCTATTGGATTTGTTGAGTATAACTACAACTTGTATGTACTATGCATTCTGAACATGGGCGACTATCTTCCTTCTGTTGTCTGACTCCAAGTGAGAGAAGTGCTAGTAGCGGCATAACCATGTATGGAGCCGTGTTTGCATCTATTTAGACCAATCCACCTCGAAATTACCCGAGGGACACTGGTGGAGTCGGTCAACTTCAATATTCCTCATGCTACCGACCTCATCTTTGCGTGCGCTTCAAGCGAGAGTACCGCGCCGCATAACAGGCAGACGATTTGCTTCCCATGGCCCACCACAATTCAATGAGCCTAGTGGTTGGCTTTTTGGCGAAAAGGTGATGTTTATAACGCTTGTTCAGGACTTCCGGGGAGCTGACGGGATGAGTGCTTTAGCCCCCTGCACCAGGACAAAAGCGTGTGAAAGAGGAGTGGGAGAACATCTGGTATGTAGGGATGTTCGGGTCCATGGCAATGGCTGCAGTATTATTGTACTATAAGCCCGACACGAGGTGGGTGGCACGTTCTCTTCCGCCGAGCCAGCTCGTTCATCAGTCAATTTGGTCTATACAGCATACAAACGTGGGCCCTTAGAGAAGCCAAGGAACGTATGGAAGCCCGCGGAGAGAAATATAAATACGAGCCATCATCATGAATTTCATCAACTACCTTACCACTTCATTCTGACAATTCATACTGGCTCTTGAGATAGAATGCATTGCAAGAGCTGATGATTTCCAAACATCTATGATAATATAAGTAATAACAAAGGTATGGCAGTTGAGGCCAGGGGTTATGTTGCTAGTCAAACTTAGTCTCCCGCAGGCAGACCAAATAGTCGTCCCTTCAGTATTATGATTCACGCCTCCCAAGTTGCTTTGTAACTCTCAAGCGTGAGCAGCTCGTTCATCTGTTACAATAAGCCGCTGTTAGAATTCTCAGAGAAATGTGTGAATCACTCACTTCGTCGGGTGCAGAGAGTTTGATTTTACACAGCCAACCTGCAAGTCTCATGTTGATGCTGCTGTGACTCAATCAGAATAAAGCTTACCTTTTTCCTCGGGAGAGCGGTTTAAGAGTCCAGGTTCAGAATTCAGGACCTCGTTCACCTCAGTGACTATGCCAGATACTGGCGCATACTGTATAAACGAACATTCATGAGCTGTGGTTAGAACGCAATGGATGGTCTCTCAACAATATCCGAGGCCGCCTTAACGCTCTCAACTGCACCAATCTGGTCTACAATGGATATTAGCGCGTTGTTCACCTGTTTGACACTTTTCACAGGAGACAGGTACCTACCGCCTTTTAAAACTTTCGAGCCTACGGCAGGAAGCTCCACGAACACAACATCTCCAAGGCTCTCTTGCGCATGATCCGTTATGGACACAGCGCCCAATCCAGTCTCGTCGTCAAAAGCAACGACTTCGTGCTCCTCGGTGTACTTTTTTGCTAGTCGAGACTGTCAGATGAGGGTCCAATCGGAGAGTGGTGGGTTTCACTCACTAACGATAGTCCGACAACCGGGCATGCGCATGGTATTCGAGGGACTTGTCCTCGCAGCCGTCAAGGGCATCGTCCGCACACGAGCAGCTTGTCTGATTGCAGAGAACATAATTAAGTCACTGAGGCTGAGCGACCGTAAGGTAGTTGATGCAAGTGGGGGTGTCAGGTGTGAGACAAACAATCTTCGTTTTGCACTTCAGAACCTTCGAACAACCGACGTCAAACCAACGTTTACTTCAGGGGTGGCCATCCGCAAAATCTCAAATTATTAGCGGCTACAAGGCGGCCATGTAGATAAACGACAATGCAGCGCATAATGAGTTTGTGTCTACTCTTGAACATCATGCTGAGGGGGGATGTAACAACAATGCAAGTGAAGACAAGCCAGAATTACGACAGGGTAGTATATAATAATGTAGTATTTTTTCATGCGTAATCCAGGATCTTCGTAACAATGCCAGTGCCGACTGTATTATGGTTGTTTAGCTGGGACCGAGTGAAGCATATGAACTCAGAACTCACTTGTCTTGCCACCTTCACGAAGAGTGAAGCGGGAACCAGCCTCGGCTGCAACATCGTGAACCAACTCACAAACCATCTCGACGTTATCTCCGGGCATTACCTAGAAAAAAGGTGTAAGCAATACAGGAGAAAATGGCTAGTACATACCATTTTCTCCTCGGCGTCAGGAGTACCCTCCGCGAAAGTGAGAGCGACGGTGATGTCAGCAGTCCGGAGGAAGAGTTGAGGACGATAGTTGCTCATAAATGGGGTGTAACGGCCACCTTCATCCTTGGTGAGGACGTAAATTTGAGCCTGGAACTTCTTGACGGCCTTCATCGAGCCTGGAGCAATGATGACCTGGCCACGGCGGACTTGTTCTCGCTTGACACCACGTAGCAGGCAACCCATGTTGTCACCAGCTTCACCCTGAAAAAAGGATAAAAATAAACATGACGCGTATCGCAAGATACAGTGTTTCATACTCGGTCAAGTTCCTTGTGGAACATCTCTGCGAGTTCATTAGAAATCCAAGATCTAATGATACTTTGATATTGATCGTACCGATACCAGTCAACGTGGTTTTGAAAGTGTTGCCAAGGCCAACGATCTCGACCTCAGCACCCTTAGTTGCAATACCACGCTCAACCTGTACAACAGGTGAGCTCATAGGTACACGTTCCTAATGCGAAACTCACTCGTCCAGTAGCAACAGTCCCACGACCAGAAATCGAAAACACATCTTTGAGAGAAGTAATTTGAATGTGTCAAAGCTGGTCCCTGAAGACAATAATTTTGATATTACCTTCGATAGGCATTAAGAAGGGCTTCTCCAGGTCACCTATGAGAAAATTTCAACTCTCCTAATCAAAATCCACATATAAAAAAACTGACGAGGGGGAACGTCAAGCCACTCATCACAGGCCTGGACAAGACTAAGGATCTTCTCCTTCCCTAAGTTGTCATCCCGACCTTCCAAAGCGGCCAATGCTGAACCCATGATGATGGGAGTGTTCTCACCGTCGAAGTTGTAAGTCGACAGCAGATCGCGCATCTCCATGTCCACAAGCTCGAGCATCTCTGGGTCTTGAATCATGTCAACTTTATTTATAAAGACGACCAGTTTCTTGATGCCGACTTGGCGAGCAAGAAGTAAATGTTCACGGGTCTGAGGCATCTGACCATCCGTTGCCGACACGACAATGATAGCTCCGTCCATTTGCGCAGCACCAGTAATCATGTTCTTGATGTCTATGAAGGGTAGCTGCGTAAAACTGGGGACGTATGTGGGTAAGGAAGGAAGGACAAACAGTCAGCGTGACCAGGACAGTCAATGTGCCCATAGTGGCGCCCATCAGATTCATACTCGACATGGGCAGAGTTGATAGTGATACCACGAGCTTTCTCTTCAGGCGCCTTGTCGATCTGCGAGTAGTCCGTAAATTTTGCTGCGCCTTTATCAGAGAGAACTTTTGTGATAGCTGCAGTCAACGTTGTTTTGCCATGGTCAACGTGACCTAAAGATCAGATTGAGTTAAAGCGCATCAAAGTGCAAAAAAGGCGTGGCCTTACCAATGGTGCCAATGTTCATGTGAGGCTTTACGCGGGAGAATTTGCTAGCGGCTTCAGCATAGCCGCGTCGGTTGCCTGTTAGAATATCTCAGACACGAATTTTTTTGCTCCAACAAGCATGATCATACCCCAACTGGTAGCCGAAGACAGAGAAGGGCCAGACGTTGGCTCCCATGTTGAGCACCGGCAACGAGCATACAGTGAAGAAGCTCTCAGAGCTTGATAAACCAAAAATGTCAGACATATAGAGAACAAGATACAGAGTATAAGATACCTCTTGAAGAGCCAGCAAATTTGTTCGCTATTCCCCGCTGAGCTGCCAACCTAAACATACTTGTTGCAAAAGATACTGGGTCCAACGTCCTGCCACAAAATTGGAGACGATCGGAGAATGAATTCGGAGCGTAAGGAGTAGACTTTACATAATTTCTTAATCGGCTATTCGGCATAGTACTCAAGTTACCGCACTTATAAGTTACCACTAGCACCATGTCAGACGCAGACAGACGAGAGCTAGTTCGTAATGCAGTTTCGTTCCTCTCCGACTTTACGGTGTGCAAGTCATAAATTTCTTGAAGTGTACGACGCTCATCGTGTGTATTAGACCCAACAAGCGCCTATCGCCCAACGTGTGCAATTCCTTGAAGCAAAAGGTCTCAGTGGACCAGAGATCGAGGAGGCAATGAAGCAGGCGGCGAATCAGACTGCGCGCTCGCAGCCTGCGGCACAGCCTCAGAATCATTTCCAATCACCATATCCAACATATGGGCCAGCTCCTTATCCCAGCTATCCTTCCCAGCAATGGGACTGGCGCGATTATTTCGTGCGTCGTGTGGCTCTCCTTTTTGTGGCGTGAGTTGTGATATATTCCCTGTAGATAACTGCTGTGATATCAGGGTCAGTGGTGTATGGTGCCGTCTCGCTGTTCAAGGTGAACGACTTGAATCACTCCGTATTTCTTGCTCTTACCTCAGCTCTAGAAATATCTTCAACCACACCTCATTCCTCCAGCAGCGACTGCATATGAGCAAGACCGCGATGGCTTGACAGCACAGTTTGATGCTGCAGAGGCCCTCTTGAAGGAAATTCAGGCAGAGACTGAAGCCGTCAAGTCTGCGGTGTATGAACAAAATGAACGGGTGAACAAAGTCACCAAGGATGTTGAATCTGTAGTAGTTGAAATGAGAGAAGGCGAGTCAAAGACGCGGGACGAGATGCGCGAAATTCGTGACGAAGTGGAAAACATCCGAGAGATGCTACCTAAGGTAGAGCTAGCGATGTCGGTCATCTTTGCTTCTCTTATTTTTCAACACAGATGATTGAGAAGAACAAAGAGACTCAGAAGGAGTCTCTTTCTGAGCTACAACAAGAACTCAAATCCCTCAAGGCTCTACTGCTCAGTCGCGGGTCTGCTCCACTGACGAGCTCTCCTTCAACACCAATACCCTCGTTAGCCGGTAGACCGTCGATACCTTCATGGCAGTTGGCTAGCTCAGCGCCAGTCCCATCTGCTACAGAGTCACTACCGAGCTCAACTTCACTAAATGGGTCGTTTACATCTGTCGCCCAGTTGAATGGAAAGGGCAAGGAAACAGAGACACCATCGAATGAATCTTCATCATAAAATCATGTATTATATTTGTTCTATGGCATATTGTCCTTTCAAATTTAAACTTAAAATATGCTGCTGGTACTTTCATCCAAAGGAGTTTCCTACATAGTGGCACGCTCACGTGGGAGACTTGTCCGAGCGCCGATTATTGTTCAGGACCAAGTGCAACGACCACTGCTACCTCCGCAGTTTGGTTTGAGTACTTCTGGTATCTCTAATGTTTTCACAATTTCGGCAGGCAGTAGAAGGCTTTGCACAGCCGCAGCCCCGTCGGTCTCAAGACTTCAACAGTGATGACAGTGACCGTTTCACAAGCGGCCCACCTGACGTGCAGTCTGCGCGACAGTCGCAATCCACAAATCAACTTGCGGACGCTGCACTGAATAACTTACGCAGATCATTTGTATCACAGCGCTCTGGGAGTCCGCTGTCGCGATCTTCTAGCCCTGTCTCTTCGTCTGTCCCAAAGAGTAACAGTACGCCCGATCCTGGACTACGCAAATTTACTCTCGAAGAACGCCTACGCGCGTCGTTCTCAGTCGGAGATGCATCTAATATTACATCACCTGCTATTTCTTCAAGAGCTTCGCCAGCGTCGAGTGCAGTTGTGGTCACGCAACATCCACTCTCCCCCACATCGATTCCCCTGCCAGCCTCCCCTGTAATACTTCCAGTAGCAACTTCTCCACCGCAAGTGTCTGACACCCAGCCCAGCGGCCTTCCGTCGTATCCTTCGCCATTTTCCCTCGCTGCAAATTACCTCCAAGATGCTAGCGAAGAAGGCCCTCATGCTACTTCAACAACAGAGGTCCCCCAAGCTCTGGCTCAAGTTCCTCTGCCACTGAGCTCAGAAAAGGCACCTGCAGCAGAATATTCTGATAGTCTCCCCAAACCCGCATCAGTATCCACCGGAATAGAAGAAAATCCCCAGCTGCCCAATGATCTTCCCGCAGACACGGCACTTCCGTCAGAAGTTCACGGCTCGGATTCTGGAGATATTGATGGCAATGCCGGTGTTATTATTCATACAGACGTATCTGCTTCCCATGTGCCAGAAGTTCACGTCTCGAATTCTGGAGACATCGATGGCAACGCCGACATTCCTATCCATACAGACGTATCTGCTGTCCATGTATCAGAAGTTTACGGCTCGGATTCTGGAGACATCGATAACACCGCCGACATTCCCATCCATACATACGCATCTACTTCCCATGTGCCAGAAGTTCACGGCTTGGATTCTGGAGACATCGATGGCAACGCCGATGTTCCCATTCAAATAGAATTACTTACTTCAGACGGCAGTGGCGAAAAGACGGAACAGCCTCCAGAAGACCCTTCTACTATGCCTTCATCAAAATACAGCGAAGCTGACGTAGAAGCTCTTCAAGAACGCCTAAAACTCGTGGAACAACGGTTTTCAAGTACGTTCTTGGTTGGACTATATGTTGGGTGCATGCTTACTCTTTCAAAAGATGTGTCGACGTCATTTAAAAAACTTCAGGCAGAACGGTCGGCTGTAGATGTTATCATTCGGGAATTGACTCCTTTGGAGGATGCGCATGATGCAACTGTATTACATGACTACCTGTCTAACATGAACATGAAGACTGAGGTGACGCGCCACAATGCTTGCCCGCTTCTAGCTTCTCATCCATCTGAGTAGCTTACACAGGATGAACTGCAGCGTCTCAACGGAAAACTGACACGTAATGAATCGTTCGTATCGCTATAAGAGAATGCTGACTTTTGTTCCAACAGGTCAAGAGGAGCGTATCGAGGAACTCAGAGATACTCACAAGCTTGAAACCAGATCTCAGTTGGACCAGATCCACAAGCTTCGTCAACAGCTCGACGAAGCAGAAGCCCTCGTTGCAGCCTCCCAAGCTTCAGCTTCTCATACGGAAGAAGAAGCAGCGAAGCGAAATGCCGAGATTGAGCGACTTGCAGTTGAGGTTGCCAAAGCAAAAGAAGTGGCAAAAGAAGAGGAAGAGAAACGTGTCAAGGCAATCAGCCTCCTCAAGACTGTGCGTCAGAAGCTTGTCAAAGCCGAGAAAGATAGAGACGATGCGCTGAAGGAAATCGGAGAATCTAAGGAAAAGGACAGGTTGGAACGGGACAAAGAGAGGGCTGAACGAGCAAGGTTACAGTCGGAAATCGATGCGGTCAATGCAGAGCGAGAGAAAGCGGTAACCGGCTTAAAGGCCCAGTTCGACAAAGAGGTAGCTGCTGTCAGGGACCGCAGCGAGAAGGAGCTTTCTGCTTCCCGCGCACAATTTGAAGTTGAAATTGCAGCGCTGAAGGTTCGTATAGATGGTCGCAACTTTGCCACTGATCTAAGAAATTGCAATACAGATGTCGCATTCAACGGAATCGACTCTTAAGAGGTCACAGATCACTACATTGGAAGCATCTGTCAACAATCTTTCCAGGGAGAACAGGTCATCCTTTGAGCAACTCCAGATTCGGCAGGCCGAGTTAGAATCCTCTCAGCACCACGTCGGGATCCTCCAGAGTCAATACACTGAAGTGCAGTTCCAACTTCGGGAGGCACAGGATCGCCTTACTCTTCTCACCGAGGAAATTTCAGATCTTCGAGGTGAACAAGAAACGCGACTGCACGGGCCAGGCGCTCCCCAGGAAGACGTGTCGCAGCTCATCTCTATGATGGAAGCCAAGTACGAGGCCAGATTGGCGGAAATCAAGAGGAACTTGGTCCTCGCAGAGAAGGAGCGCACAGAGAGTGAAGCGGACTGGAGTCGCAAACTCTGTGATAAAGGTAGAGAAACAGACGAGCTGAAGATGATTTTGCAGTCTTCTGCAAAATTACGGGAAGAGAAGGAGAGCATAACAGGGGTGCTGAAAAGTGAGATCGAGAGGCTAGAAGCTGAGGTGCAGAATCACCAGCGTCATGCGTTGGAACTTCAGTTACAGGTTGACCGTATGAACGATGCTGAGGTATGGCTCGTGTACTATGCGCCAGGACACTCTTATGACAGGTGCCATACAGACGTCGTTCCAGCTTCGTATCTCAGACACTCAAGCAGAAGCCGAAGGTTACAAGAGCCAGATTGAGAGCCTGAAGGCTCATGAAGTACAGCTCCGTGGTCACATCAAGGTGATGACTATCCAAGCTTTCACTCCCCTCTTGTCTCACAGCACTCGCAGACGCTCCGAGAAGAACTCCGCAAGGTACAAAACTCAGCTGCTCTGCTCGAGCGTCAGCGCAATCCAGGAGTGGGTTATTGGACCTCGCGAATCGAGAACACCGATTCTCGCGCGTCGATATCATCAGCCTCTGATCTTCCATCGCGAGCCACATCTCCTGGGCCAACATCTCCCACCCCATCCAAAGGCGATGAAGACATTAACCTGGAGTACCTTCGAAACGTGATATTGCAGTTTTTAGAGCATAAGGAGATGAGGGTGAGTGCAGAACACTGAAAAAGATGCTTGTACTAATGATCCATTCTTTCAGCCCAATCTCGTTCGTGTTTTGTCCATCATCTTGCGTTTTACACCACAAGAGACTCGGAGGCTGATAGCAAAAGTCTAGTGAGCAATTATTTCAGTTATTCGATAAAGCTTCGATAGATACCCCTACACGCCTCTGCTTTTTCTACATTATCCGAGTTGCGCTAGTGCGCCCTCCTGAACTTCTGTGTAGCTGGTGGCACCGTGGCATAAGAAACTATCACAGCAGGCTGCAGAATCACAGAAAGCCAGTGGAGGACTCTGATCAAATTTTGGAACGAAGTGTCTGACAGGCATACGCACGACGTCAGTTAGATAATGAAGGTCTTCTTCGCAAAGTCTTTGAGTGCGAGAAAACGCTGAAAAGCAACGCGCCTGGTGTCTCCATGCCTTCACTGATTCGACGGTCGTGCCCTAATGAGGTGATACACCTCGAGACCGTTGTTCGAGCTTCAGGGTACTGACCAGTTGCAACCGCAACGCTGAGCGCTTCAGTTACAGGAACGAGGTAGAAGATGGGTCGCATGACCATAGTTGTACTCAGGTATACATGTGTCGGCGACCCGTCGCGCGGTGTTACCAAAACAGGAAGTTGCGCAAGTTCCAAAGCATACTTCAAAACGCCCACAGCCACAAATTCCTCTTATTCTACTATTAGTCGCTCACCCTTAAGTAGTACGCTGGTTAATTTCTACATTGACGTAGTATTCCGCTGAACATCGTCGTGAAGCATCAACGCAAACCAAGCAGATACCAAAGGGCGGCAATAGTAGTTCTTACCCGTAATATGTCACTCTCTGAGTTGACGAGGAATTCGTATCAATGCGGGGTATCTCCGCAACAGGTGAGTAATTTGTGTCACGTAGCACATGCTATGATGGTGTACTGGAACTTCTCAGTGGTTAGGATTATGCAAACTGCTTGTACAGCAACAGGATGTCGGTGTCGACTTTAGCACCACTATTAGCAGTATGTGGCCTGCATATCAAGGATCTAGACTCTGCCGCATTGAATACGTGTTAAACAGACGCAATCCTTGATCTTTATCGCTTGTACCCCGCAGACCATACTCTTCGCGAATACCTTCAGCTTGCTCTGAGTGACGGATTGCTTTCGAACGCGGTCTTCGTCTCCACATTCATACGCGCTGCTCGGGACCCAGAACTTCAGAATGGGTCTACCCTGGATATGCTTTGCCGTTTAGCTCTTAATACACATTACACATCGGGGTCATCACCTGCAGGATCCATCATCTCCTTGGCGGACTCCCAGGTTTCTGTGCTTTCCAAAGTACAAGATGCACTGGCTCTTTTGCGGGTTGCCCACTCTCTTCCCCCTTCTAACTTCCACCAGCTTATTGTATCAGCTTCTGAACTTGCGATCCTGCTACTGTCTTGTGTCACTGACATGTCGCAGGTAACAGCCGCTCAAGCCATGATTTATCTCGGGGATGCGAATGATGCGCTGCAGTCATTGCGCCTTTCGCAGGAGCTCCGGCAGGTACTCGAGGGCTTCGTGTTATCCCTGAGCTTGCTTATGGGAGACGATGCGAAAGCCGTCCGAGATGCGCAAATGTTGCATACTATGCAGCTGACTATGGGAAAAAATGACGTGCTTGGCACCAATGTTGAAACTGACACCGTCACCTGCGGTCTGTTATTGCAAAGCCTTGTATGTATTTCATGGTTGTAACTCGACCATCACTCATGTTTTACAGATGGCATGCCGTACCTGTGACTTTGGAGCGGGAAGTGATTTAGAAGCTGTTGCAGTAATGACAGGTACATTGCGGTGGACGTCATGGGCCCCCAATGTCTTTTGTACACAGCTATTCGTGGCTGCTTTGACTTGCATCGCTCAAAGTTCTGCTAAGGATGATCATGAATCTTCCTTTTCTCTGTGGAGAGCATTTGTGGTTGGTCGTGTAAGCTTTAGCGCAAGCCACCGTGAGTATCAGTACAACTTACCACCAGCTCATGATCCATAGCTTCCGCGGCTTCTATTTGCCCTCGAAAAAACTCTTGAAACTCATGGAACAACAGAGGCAGATTGGGTGAGCAAAATCTTTTTCGAAATTCAGGGAGGCTCAGCACGAACTACGACTCCATCAGCGAGCTGCAATACATGCTGCATTGTTATCGTTATCTCAACGGTCTGATTTATTGGCGCAATGTGACGTTGTCGCCCAACAAGGCAAAGGACACGATTCCGGCCAGGACAACAACACATTGTATGTTTGATTGGTGTTCTGCATGCTTCGTGCTAACATCTCATTCTTAAGACATAGATCACTTATTCGCGAATTCATTCAACAACTTCTAGCCGTTGGGATTATTGAGTATACGTTTGCGGTCTCGATGGACCCCATGATGGTAAACGACCCCAGGACACGTTTACAGTCAGAAGCTTTTGATCATGGGTGTTCCATAGAAGTAAATTATCACACCATACTTTCCTTGCTGATGATGATGAGACCTGCAGACTTATCTGGATTCAAAACTCACTTTAGATTCAAGTCCAGAAGATACTTTGTTACTGCTAGAAAAAATTCGCCAAGAACCTGGCAGCCACCACTGTTTTGCTGCCGTGGTCCAGAAAGTAGTTGCGAGGCCATTCATGATTGATCCACATCTGTTAATCAGGCACTTTTTTTTCAGCGATTTACGTCACACTCTACATCCCTGGATCTTGAGCACTTGAGTCACCTAACGCGGACATTGTACCACCATGACTTCGCCTTAGACATACTATCACTGCATCTCAAGATCTCATACTTGATTTGTAATGCACTGGAGATAATCTCCGAGTATGATTGCGAAACAGTTGGTATGTTCGCCACGGAAGCTTACGACATTCGTGCTAACAACGACCCATAGGTGATCCACAGACTGCAGTGAGCCATTTGGGCGATATAGTTCTATTTGCAGAGATGGTCTTGGCGAAATTCCGGGTATGTTTTCTGTCATCGGAATGCGATTGTTCCTTGACATTCTTTGTCAAGATTTCATCGCCAATCATCAAAGACGGAAAGATGTACCGCACAGAACTTCTCCGATGCACTTCGAGGGTTTATCAGCTAGATGAATTAAGCCCAGAACACAAATCCGCATTTGCCACTTGGTACAAGGCAATTTTTGATAGCAATAGCGAAGGGATCGACGACGCCTTACTCCGGTAATGTGTTTCCGCCCCTGCGATGGAAATTGTGTCTCATTTCCCTATAGCACAACAAAACCCCAAATTCTCCTGCAAATCTCTGCCACACTATTCTCGCAGGCTGCCCTGGCTCGCCAGGAAAACCGAATTGACAATGACACGCTGCAGACCGGTATGTCATACTTCCTTGGACCGTTGCTCCAGTGGACACTCGTTGGCGTGATCCATGCCATGTTGTTTGAAATTGGGCACAGAGCGTAAGTCAAATACCAGTCTCAAGTAAATTATTCGTCAACATGTTTTTGCTGCAGGCTGGTAGCTCCCTTTCACCTCGCAATCGTACAAACTATTTTATGCTCTCCCTGTTGTCCCGTCGTTGTCCGCCGTCTTTGTAGTCCGAGCTGTCTCAGACTATTGTCTAGCAGACGGATCCAAGCTTTCCTCCAGAGTCCAGTTCTCGATATCAGCGTTATACGAGCCACGTGTTTCCAAACCCTCGGAGTCAACAAAGACCGTAAGTAACAAGTTGGAAGTAATCATTTCCTCCTACCAGCCGGATTAATCACCTGACACAGCATCTTGCAAGGCGTTGGAGGATCATCAGATCAGCCCTGCTACCAGATGGATGGACTTCCCAAAGCAGGAGATCCACGAGGCACTCGCGTTAGCTCGGCGCCACAAGGCTCCTCGCATTGACGTTACACGTTGTCTCTCCGCCACTTCACCCTCTAGATTTCTTGATCTACTTTGGTCAGAACTTAGTGTCGCTTCCAGCCTAGGAGAGATGGAAACGTGCAGGCGGCTGGCGACATTCGTTTTAGCCATGCCGCGTCAGCTATCATCGGCGCCACCCCTCCTTCCGATATTTATGTACAACGTTCTCCCCTGCCTTATTACGGTCATAGATCAACAGCAGGCGACAGAAAAGGGTGTGAACACACAGCTCCTGGTGACAATCATTTCATCCGCCCTTACCGCCGCACTACACATCGAATGGGCGGTGCAAACGGTATGCGAAGAGCAGCGCTTCGTGCTCGGCCAACCAAGTGCCGCTGTCGCGAGACGGCTTGCAGCTGATCTCCGAGCGCAGAAGCCCAGTTCGTCTACCAGTGCAACCATTTTGCAACGGCTGGGATCATCCCCTGCCTTTGTCACCAATTTTCCTGTGTTTGTTATGTAAAAAGCTGTGATGATGTAGACAACTTCATGATAATCTATCTCGCGACAATATAATTACGTCTCGCCGTGTGGCTTCCACACGGCCATGCATTACTCGCCAGAACCAATTCCGCGCACTCCAGTGCGTGTAAGATCTCAATACATACAAGGGTTCGAAACACATAAATAGTCATGGTACTGGTGTTACGCACATGGTAAACGTTTTTTAAACGCCTGGTGGGGGTGGAGCTGACAACACGGGATAAGTGGAAGCAATAATATGAAAGATAGATGGAGGACTCACGACAGCAAGCATTTTCTACCGGATCACAGTTTTGATCCGCTGGACACAATATCAGACATGATGAGTCCGTAGATGTCTTGAGAATGATCAGCCAAATGGGGATATCTGTAATCAAAACAGGGTACGCACCTTCAGGTGGTCATCTGGAAACATGCAAGTATGGTACTCGGGTTGAATAGTACTAGAATGTATGCCGTGATAATGAAGAGCTTTTCTAATTTCTGCTGCAACAGGCATGAAGTCATGGTTTCGTGAGGCCATTACGTGTACCGAGGCGACGATTTTGGATTCTGAGAGTTGCCACACATGTAATTCGTGCACGGAAAGAACCCCATCTACATTCAGAATGGATTCTCGGACCTCGTCTAGGGATATAGCCGGCGGTACGCCTTGGAGGAGAATGAAAGACGCGCTTTGGACTGAGACTGGTGAGTCGATGCCAAATATTAGGTAAGAAAATATACACACCTAATGGTAGAGCGGACGAAAAGATAATGACCGTGATCACAAGGCTGATGACAGGATCGAAGTAAAATTTGTATTTCCATTCCGTAAGCCAGATGACCAAGCCAGTAGCAATGACTCCGACATTCCCTAGGGCATCGCCTAACACATGCAATACCAGGGCGCGCATGTTCATAGAGCCATGCGCGTGCCCATGATGGCGGACCGCGTTACTCTTGGAAGGTGGCGCTTCGGTTGTTTCGGATCCGAGGAGTGGTAGGCGCTCGTCGAACACGTGGCTGGAAGTGCTCAGTCGCCTCGTATGCGGAGAAGGGGATGCAATGTCCTGAGCAGCTTGCACGACGGACGCACGCGTCGCAATGGGGTGTCCATACATCGAGGAATAGGAGTCAGAGCGCTCATGCTCATGGCTACTAGGCCGTCCAGATATTTTTCTCGGGGGACTGATATCATCATCCACAACTTGTTCTGACTGAGAGATGCTCGAAGAACGCGTTGGGGTCAAAGACGTCTTATGGTCGTGACTATGTTCTAGGTAATATCTGAGCAGGGGTAAGCATGATGATGACGTCTGAACTGACCATGGAAGAGGAAGAGGCCAACGATATTAGATGCCAGACCGAAGGACCCTACGATCACAATGAGGCGAGGATTGGAAATTTCTGCGGGAGCGAATGGTGAGATGATATTTGTGAAGTACATAGGGAGTCCGCCTACCTGGAGTGCTGAAGAAGCGCTCCAAGGCTTCCATCGTAATGGAGAAGCAAAGCGCAAGGAGGAAAACCCCATTGATAAGAGCAGCGAGAATTTCAGCTCTGTGCCACCCATACGAATATCTAGAATCGTTGGCACTTTTTTGTGACAACTCGAAGACAAAAAAGTTGTGAATTATTCAATGACCTGAAACAATTAACATCATACCTTGATCGCGTAGAGAGCAACCACGAGGCTTATCACATCACTGTTGAGAGATTTTAGCTACATGACAGTGCAAGCTGAAGGAATACAAACTTCAGCATGTGGAAGCTGTCGGCGACAAGGGCAAGTGAACCAACAGCATAACCTACGAGTTTCAGAGTCTCTTAGGAGGATCCTAGTGTAAGACTACAGAGTATTAACTTACCTGCAATGAGCTCAATGAAGAAAAATATAATGTCGATAATAAGCAACAGCGTTATTCTCCCTGAGCGAGACATCCCGAAGACGGACATCGAGTGGTAAGTTGTTGCTGGTACTAAGTAACGGGTATGTAATACCAAGCCGTTCACCGTGGCGGAATAACTTACTACTGCTGCTTACGTAAACTTATTTTACGCAGCATTTTTCGGCTGCCGTCGACTTTTACCATTTGTTTGAAGCAGAACTGCAGTGGCATCTCGGTCCAAATCGTAAACCATCAAAACCCTTTACATAGGAAACCAAAATGGCCGCTCCATCGATGGCTGCAGCTCTGGCTGCCTCACTTCCCGCCCCCCAAGCCGCACCAACACCTGCAGCACCCACATATGAAGCCATCCCTGCATCCATGTCCAAGGCGATCGACATCGAGGCTGAGATACCTCTTACATGTGTCCAGCTTGATGGCATAGTGCGTAATTTTGTGGATCGTCTCTCTTCCTTATGTCTCATCATTTGCCTATGAACGGTTCTACTACTACTACTTTTCAAAGCTACTTCTATTTATGCTATACTGACTTTCGAATCGTAGGTTATTACTAAAATTTTGAAACACAGTCGCGAGGCATTCTCGACAACCGCGCATGGACTTCTGTTAGGCCTTGATCTTGATAGCATCCTCGAGGTGTCCAACTCGTTTGCATTACCGAATCATAACAGTGACGATGATGAAAAGGCGACAAAATCTATCGGTGAGCCCCCTGTCACCATCTCCACGGATATAAGCACTGACGAAACGTTGCTGATGGTAGCCCGCTACCAGCAATCCATGCTACGATCGCTAAAAGAAGTTCAAGGAGACGACAACGTCGTAGGGTTTTACCAAGCAACCTCACTTGGTGCTTTCTTCAATCAATCACTTGTAGATACACAAGCAATCCACCAAGATAGGCTTAGACATGGCGGTGTTGTTATAGTTCATGGTAATGTCACGTGGCTCGACATGCAGACGCCACATGCTGACGGCGAGGTTTAGACATTTCACAGACGGCACGCGGAAATGCGTCATTCCGTGCATTCAAGCTGACGCCCTGCGTTCATGGATGCCTACAGAAGGGCTAATTTTAGTACAGCCGGGTATGCTTTCTCATTTTGATCATGCTCCTCGATCGATTTAACTGAGTGAGACTCATAGGTTGATTAGCCATCGATTAACTTTTGCTTCCATACTTGAAGAGATCCCGTTAAGAGTTAGGACAAACGCGCTTCTGAGTTCGTACTTGAACACGCTTGCGACTCGCTCGACTTCAACGTTTTCGGGTGCACATCCGGGAGTGGCAACGACATCAGCGTTACCTCCGTCTTATTCAGTGCTTGATATAGGCAATATGGGACTGACGAAGAATCTGGAACAAGTCGCCGAAGCGATCGATAATTACCGGACAGAAGAAGGGAATGTCGCGTATCTGTCGAGGCAAATCGCACGGGAGAAGCTTCGTGCGGAGACATATGTTGCGAAACGGAAAGAAGAGAATGCGCGGCGGGTGGCGCAGGGATTGAACGCGCTGCCTGAAGAAGATGTAGGCAGGTTGTTCAGAATCCCGCCTGAGCCGAGCCGGTTGGAGAGTATGCTCCTACTAGGACAGGTGGATGCTTACGCGAAGAGCCTTGAGAGTATCGCAAGTACGGGATTAGTGAAGATGTATGCAGCCAAAGCTAGCTCTGGTATATAAGTTTCCTTGTATTTTACAGGGGTCAGACCAATGATGGATTAGCGTTTGAGAACAATGCAAAGGTTACAAGTCATTGTTTAGGTGGGCCAAACAAGATGAGTGGGTAACCCAAGGGTGACCCTGCTTATTGTTGGTACCTGAGGTGACCGCAGTCATCGCCATGGAATAAATTAATGCAAATAAATTTTCCGAGTGCTAAATGCGGTAAGGATACACCTAGAAAATACATAGCCTTTTTGTTAAGATGATTACCTAATATACTTTGTGGGGATATAACTTGAGGGTGTTTTCTTTACCATTTTACATCGTCTTGGTGTTTGTCTTGCTCTTCATCGTTCTTTCTCTACTTCCGGTGGTCGGCTGTCTTTCCTTGTTTAAATCTTTTATTTTAACTCCACTACTATAAAGTCATCACCTGTCGATCCTTGAAGTCGAACCAGCAAGAGCCTCCTCCTACCCTCGCTCATTACAATGGCCCCCATCACGAAGTGCCTTGCTTTTCTATCCCTCGTTCTCTCGGTTGCTGCCCTCACATCCCCTCACATCTCCCACAATGTTTTCGATCACCGTCGCGCTGTTGCTCACGTCGCCGTACAGGCAGTCACCGGTGGTCAAGTTGATGCCCTGCCAGCTCCCAAACGTCAACGTTCTCTGAACAAACGTTGCACACCCAAGTCGTCTGGTAACTCCACTGCATCTTCAACCTCCGCTTCTGCTGCTGCTACAGTGGTACCGGTTAATGTTGCTCCATCGCCTGTTTTATCTTCCTCTTCCTCTTCTTCCTCCTCTTCTTCGCATTCCCATTCATCATCTGCTTCGGGGTCGATCTACCAGGCTCCTACTCCTACTCCCACGCCCACGCCCACTCCTACACCCACACCCACGCCCACATCTTCCCCAAGTACCACCAGCCAGGCTGCTCAGACTACCTCTGCATCCAGCGGTGGTGCGGCGGACGGCTTCCTTAGCGGCATTAATCCTGGGCAGGGTAATTTTTTCATCATCATCGTCTGATTCTCGGCTCATTTTTCATGGTAGGCACGTACTACGAGACTGGTCTTGGAGCGTGTGGTATCACAAATACCGACAGTGATTACATTGCTGCTGTCTCTCACTTGTTGTTCGACTCCTACCCGTAAGTATTGTACTTTCTATTCCTAGCCTCCCGCGGTCTCATTTTGGTCAACTAGTGGCTATGATGGTGTGAACCCTAACACCAACCCCGTCTGCAACCAACAAGTCACTGCTACCTGTAAGTCCCACTGTCTTCCCTTAACGATCGGGTATTGACTTTATCTCCAGACCAGGGCAAGAGTGTAACAGTCAAGATCACAGACAGGTGTACGGGCTGTGCACTTAAAGACCTTGACTTCTCGCCTTCCGCATTCTCCCAACTTGCGGATCAGTCGTTGGGTCGCATCGACATTGACTGGTCCTGGTTCTAAACATCTCGCTCTCGTTACGCCTTCATGCTTTCGCGACGAATGGGCATAAAGTCATCTATGTTTTTATTCATTATTCTTCCTGATAGGTATATATCCTTTCCGACTGCTTTCGCGCTAGACGCCTCTCTGCTAGCAGAGAGCTTGGGATCGCTGTCGATTTCTCATTCCCATATATCCACACGCACGCGTGCTACGTACTTACGATCACTGGATGATTCCTATATACCTAGTTGATGAGTTGGAATGAGCGGTTGTTGCTTGCTTGGGCCTTGCAGCGCTTTTCTTGATGGGTTTAGCTTTGGTATAAATCTTATTATTGTGCAGTTTGTAATAATACAAAGTGAAATATAGATGCCTGCTATGTAACCTATACTTCAATGTTCAAACGTTGAGTGGTCAACCGGTCATGACTCGTTGCAAGTCTTATAGTACGACATCAGAAATCAGTCTCGTTATCATCCTCGTGCGGTTAGGCTATGTTTCGGCGCTCCAAGTTAGGCGGACAGTCGTTCATTCCCGATACTTCTGCTCTCGGTCCTGGAATCGAGGAATCAGATCAATCAAGTGTGACATTTCATTTCCGCATCGTTGCCGTTGTCCAAGCATTGTGATTACCACACGAACGTAGGTAATACGATTGGTCCTTTGGGTAAAGTCTGACTGAAAAGCTGTGATTGACAGGCTCCCTCGAAAAAACGATGGAAAGACACCGAATCATGCTAACTGAAAGGCGCAGTATCCCCGCGGCCTCAAACGATGTCGTGCTTGCAACACAGGCAGGCAGTAGCCTAATCGTCATCTGATGTGAAAAACTACTGCAGGCCGAAAGCGAATATAGCCGCATCACAAGGTCTCACGACAGCCCTGTTGCTCTCACAAGTTGCTGCCAATAACCTTCCTCGAGGGTGCCTGATACTGCACTACCCACCGCGATCATAAGATTCTCTCTCTCCTCCCCCTCCGATCTCGTTGAGACTGAGAGGATCGTAACTACAAGGTCCACCGCCAACCTTCGGATAAGCAGTGAAGAAGTAGGGATTTTGGTGAACGGGCCGGGAAGCCGACCACGAACAGGATGTGTGATCATGAAAAAGGGTGTGAGGCGAGTTTGCAATCCCATGATTTCCTATAAACATACAAAGGAACGGGATCATATGTTCGTCAATTGCCTGCCGTTCCGATCAGGGACGCACCTCATGCTTGATCATGATGGAGCCACGCTGGAGGAGACGTAACAATGATCTGATGACTGTCTAGAGCCGGGACGGTCAGCTGAAAAACGGTAATAAGCTCGACTAAAAAATCACCTCGGAAGCGGCCAGGTTGTGAGGACCTATTTCCCAAAGCGTCCTTGGGAGGTGTAATATCCATTCTTGGAATTTCTTCTGCTCCCCTGTGTTGCGTACATCAAAATGTCCGCAATAGTCTGTCTCTGTTTCGAGCTTGGAGTGATGTCATTGATTCATTTCATAAACAAGCGAGGAAAAGCACACACCAAAAGAATCGAGCTACAAATTCCACAGTGAGCGCCTTGACAGCAGAGCTCGATGTCGTCCTAATTGCGTGATCGAGCATCGCGGATAATACGGTGTCTGTGGGGACCTCGCCTTGACTCCGCGTGTGGCTCTCCTTCGGCTGGTTTAGGAGAGCCCAGATCGTGGGTAGCAGCGCGATGTACATCGTCGGGATTAGCGGCCTTGAAATCTGTGCCCCAGAGCTGTCTTCCCCGAGCAGAAGACGAGTGACGTATGTTCTGACCAAGCCGGCCTGTAAGGCTAGCTTGCCCTCATGTTTGACATGAGAAGTAGAAGCATGTGATCGAGAAGTTGGAAAGCGGACTTTGCGTAAGATATCTCCTGATGGTCGGCGGAAGGATACGAGAACCAACAGTGCTGTGAGCTCGCAGTAGATTACATTCAGATCTTGGAATGCATGTTCCACCTAGTTGCAATCAGCTGGGAATCTTATCCCAGATTGACAAATCATTACCTTGATTTCTCGGCGCGCAGGCCTGAACGGAAAGTACCCTGTCATATAACCAAGCAAGGTACTTATCTCGTCGCAAAGGGTTTCCTCCTCTGCGAGGCTCAAGGAGAACCTGTCTTGCAAAATTGATCCATAGAGCGTCCTCATGATTCGCGCCGTCACGGTAAGAAGGTTGAGCTCTGCTTCAGGAGGATTCGCGCTGGGTGAAAAGACAACGGGGGCGCAATCAAGATACGAAGCAAGTAAAGTCGAGTAAAGCGTTCGGGCCAAATGCTATGGATCATGTGGCGTTGATGGAAGACTAGACGATGAGGATAATTGGTGACGCACGATGAGAGAGGAAGTATTACTATTTAGATGAGTCAATGGTTCAGTTCGAGCTAGTGATAAACCAGAAAGGTCATTTAAAGACCAAGCTGTGGCTAATGGGCCAGTCGCGAAGTCCAGCATACATATAAAATCATCGCGAGGGTGCTCGGCATCAAGCTGAAGTTGACAATCAACCGACTCAGATTGGAATAATCGTTCGTAAGCACTGAATGACCGAGCAGAGCGGAAAGAAGGAGAGAGGAACCACGTTGGTAATGGGACTGCGGCTGGGTCTAGGTTAGAAGTTGCATGATTTGACGGTCGCAGTTGTCGTGATACCGCATGAGTGAGGAATGCCGAAAGTGACTTCAGTACGACGAGCTTCGACTGCAATGCATGTCAGCATTGATCGTGTGGCATGCTTGACAGTTTAGTCATACCTGTGACGAAAGGACTACGCTAGCAGTCGATGTTGCCTTTACTTCACCTTTGTGGGATGAGAAGTTACATGAGCTCGAAAAGCGTTGTAACTCTTACCTTCGGTATCGCCATATTTGGTTCCTGCGCTCAATATCCCCAAGTATCCCTCTAAAACTCTTTTTCCGTGTCCAGGGTTTCCTTGTATCCAACCATCCACTACGCTTTCTGGAACTAATTCAAGAAACAAGTCTAAGAATCGCATGGCATCAATCCTGATTTCTGGGAAGATATGGGTCTGGGCTGATGTAGTAAAAAGAATGAGCAATGGAACATGAGGGATCAGGTCCTCCTGCATAGAAACAGCTTAAACATTTGAGTGATCATGGCAAGTCATACAACACATCACCTTCGAAACAAGAGGTAGCAGCCAACACAAAAATGAAAGCAGTGCCTTTCGAACACCTGCATCCTGTAGATGCTTAAATTTCATTTCCATGAACGAGTCACTGGACAAACCTCATCTCCAATCAAGCGGACACAGGCCCCTAGTAGTATGGTCATTGAGGATTCTACAATGTCAGGATGCAATTCAAACAACTCCCGAAAGCTCAAGATAGCATCTGTCGAATCAAATAAGCTTTTGGCGTTGTAGACATATAACACATACCTTTCCGGGTATTCGCATTGTGGTGTTTCATGAGCGAAACCAGGTCATCAAATGACTGTTTCCTCCTGGTGGTAGGAAGTGTAGCATCCTTCTCTACAGCAATACTCTGGGTGGGAAGTGCAATGCCTTCAACCATAATACATCCCGGCCTACAACTGCAACCAAATCCAATACTCACTACGAGCTTTGAACGAAGTATCCACTGCATTGCTTGGCAGCTGCTTGCCTTTGCCAAGTTTCAATTTGGCTTTCTGTTTGTCAAGTCTAACAAATAGAAAGGATCTCATGAGTAAAACTTACCGAGAAGTCGACCACCTTCTCCTTCTTCTTTTTCGAGCTCTTTGGCATGTCTCTGATACTAATAGCGACAGAGAATGAATGAAAACGCGTTAAAGATCTTTGCTCGGCAAAATTCTTCACGTGACTCATTTTACTATTTAGGAGCTTATTCTTCCAAATCAAAAACTGAACGTTGCATAGCAGACTGATAGTCCAGGTTTAAACGTATTTAGTGGTACAGGCAAAAGGATATCACTGTGAGATGAAGGTAACTGCAATTTACCACCCGAATCTTGGGAAGGGGTTCTTCATAAAATCAATCTTAAGATCCAAGCACATCAAATTCTCGTCGTCCTTAGTGTAACCATTCACAGCGACGGTGAATTTGGCTGCAAAAGATTCAGCAACTGACTTAACTATACTATACGTAGACTTGTACGCACCCTGAGGGATCTCCTTCGGCAAAGCAACCGTTTCGACCACAGTATAATCACCCTGCTCGACTGGACACTGGATGGTTGCATTTGCGTTGCGTCTATATCTGACTTCAATCAAAATCCAGGACGACACCAACTAGCTTACGCTTCTTCACAAACATCAAATGTCTTCGAGAGAAGTTTGATGAGTCCAAGTTTCACGACAACGTCGGCATAGGCTCCATTCTGCGAATAGACTTGATATTTTGCGACATATGATACTAACAAAACTAACCTCAACTCGTTGTTGAGCAGTCCCCACAACCGTGACAGTCAGGTCTTGGCCCGGCTTGGGTGGATCGGGAGAGAGGCTTATTGATTTCAACCGAACAACGTCTGTTGGGGAGCCTGAAGAAACTTAGTACATGGCTTATGCGCTTCTATCAAACAGGTCTCACCACAATCGGACCATGACCAACCCTCCATTGTGTGCACCGGCTGATTCATAACTTCTTGTGCGGGAAGAGAATTTGCAGAAGAAAGACCCGCCAACATGGCAAGTAAAGAAACAGAGAATAGACGAACCATGGCCAACGGTAATTGGAACAAGAGCTGGAAGAAGGCTAGTTGATGCAAGTGTCCGGAGCTCAACCAAAGTCGCAAGATGGCGTGGGAGAATTTTATACAAGTTGGAGCGATCTGTGGCGATGAGTGCAAGACCCTGCGCAGTGCGCACCAAGGCAACTCGCTTCCTTTCTCCTCTCAACCAAACACAAAGGTAATTAACAAGTTTGCAAAAGCAACCAGAAATACTGATAGCTTGATCTTACCGAGCAGTGTTTACCCTCAGAGTTATTTTTCATTGATCCTATCCCCGGGGTGTGCTGCTGAAAATGAAAGCTAGAGAGTATTGCTGTTGCGCAATCCCCTTGGTCAAAGCTGGCATATATGCTACGCTGATCGAACAATTCTCTCTTGGGATTATCATAGGCACCCTTTCTGTTGGAACGCCTTCCAGTGAGTCCCTCCTACTTCTGACTTCTAGTGTGTAACCCGTCTCTGCGTAGTTGTTGGAGCAGCAACTCCTTCATACGCCCCGTTGCTTCTTGCAATAGCATGCTACGTAGGTGTTGCAATTCAAGTTCTTGGATTCATAGGTGTATTCAAGGTATGATGTCCTTCTAATGTAGTTGCCGATGCTGAATTTTGTGTCGTTAGGAGAAACACATACTTTTCCGTCGCTATGCTACTCTACACTCCCTCATCACCCTTGTTGCTTTCGCAATTGCCGCGGCATGGGTCATACTCTCAGCCAGTCGTCACTCGACTGCTTTAACCAACTGCGAGAACAAATACTATCCTACAGCGCCCAACGGTAGCAATACCACCGAGGGTCAAACTGTCTGCGGCATCATCACCTGGGTAGACGTCGGGCTGATGATCGGTGCTTGGGTCTTCTTTGCTCTTGTTCAGGTAACTTGCCTATCAACCGATTATCCGGCAGACAACTGATTGTTGCTCTACAGGCATATCTGCTTTTTATTGTTTCATCTTACGGGACTGCTCAAAGACGGGATTACGAGAAGTACGAAGCTCTCAATGATACCACGAAGCCACTGACGGATAATATTCCGATGTCTGATCGTGGTGATCCTTGGGACTACAGAGCGTCTGCCGAGTACGAGGATGGCCACGGCTATATGCGAAACGCAAGTACGGCATCGACCATGAATGCTCCATTACAGAAAGAAAGATACGCTGATGGTCAATCTTATCTTACGCCGACCTATCCCCCTCAACCTCAGTCGCAATTTGAGCGGCAACAGTCGACGGCTGGGCAACCTGCACCCACTCAGGCTCACCCCGGTGTGTATTAATCCCTCGGTCGCTCATCACAATCGCCATCTGTGGTCGACTTGAATGAGCGGGTTTGTCAGTTCTCCCGAATAGCATCATCATTATAAGCTGATTCCTTTTCCTAGCTTAAGGGTCCTTCGGTCGCCCAACGCCACAGATAGTTAAAACTGCCACATTCTTGTAGCAGAAGGAAATTCTTTGATTCTATCATCGCTTCGCGGACTTCTTACGGAATGCGCAGTATTCCTCCCCCCATGGACGTTTATTTGAAATTTGTAACATACCTCTATAGCGACACATTCCTCTAGGTGACCCATCTATTTCTACGACTATCTCTTAGACGTGACATATCTTGCCCTGCAACTCGTGAAGTTATGTTTCCTCCTCGTCTTCCCAGGGTCCTATCTTTAGTGATATGTGCTGTGCAGCGGCAATGTGGCTCCACCTGTCTTCTCGGCCATGCTCGGCCATCAATTGACTATGGAATGAGACATGTTCCACTTTATGGGGCAAGTGCCGAAGCAGAATTCTCTCCTCTATCGTATCGCAAATGTTCCGCTCTTCTTCGAATAGGGGCAATGCATACCATGCATGAGTTATTTGTAGCTTGAGCACTTGGAGTGAGGGACCCAGAGCTAGAATAAAGTTTTCACGCAGTTCGTTTACAGTCACCAGCGAGAAAGCAAAGTACTCTAACGTGGGCAAACTGCGGAGGCATGAAGCGATGGTTGTACTTGAGAGCCGGCTACTGCCCAATAGGACGAGTTTACGAAGGCGTGATCCGGGCCCGCCAGGAGGGATTCCAGATGGACGTTTGTGATTTCGAAACCAAGTCGATGGCCTTGTGCATGGATGAAGGAATCGAGTTGACAGTTGGAAAAGCTGGTGTTGAAGCGAATCTGATCAAAGGCATTGCTTGTAACGCCCCGAATGGTGAGATGGCGCAGGGAAGGAAAAGGCGTTTTCCTGAAACGACAATCTCCTGATAGACGTAGCGAACGGATGTGATTCGAAGGAACCATTTGGAAGGATTCACCCTTGTGGATGGATCCAGATGAAGTTCGTATGCTTGCAAGAGGGGCATGGGACCCTTTGCAGTGGGAAACATGGCACCCTCGAAGTTCAACTGATACCTTGGATATGGCACTATATTGAGTAATGACGCCAGCAGATACATTAATAGTGTCTCACCTACTGGAGATCGTGTGGGGATAACAATGACGAACATTAAAGACTCGCACTTTCTCCAGCGATACGAACTTTGCCAATACAAGATACAACCGAGAGGCTGGGCCAGTCTAATTATCGATGACATAGCTAATTTAACGACCCCCTATCCAAGGCACAAGAAGAGAATGTTACATACCTGGTCAAGTGTACTCTCCAAGACACGTCCATCGTTGGCAACATCAGCCCAACGAACTACAGGCGCAGCTTTGGGCTCAGAATCCAGATAAGTGAGGTAGTGGTCCACCTCCCAGTCGTTTCGCAGGGAGACATACTTATGGAATATTGCGCGTGCCTCATAGAAGATCTGCCTGCAGGTATGAAGTACACGAATATGATCATTAGAGGGTTGCCGATTTTGATTCACACACAGGTGATTAGCCAAGATGGTTTCATAGACGAGGATACGAACGTCGTAAGGTAAGTCTTGTATAGAGAGACCTTTTGTCGACATACGACGAAGATTTCCAAGCGTAGGGAAGCTGAAATTGAACTGAGGCCATTACTATTGAAATATGTAGAAATTTTCAAAGGGGATTAGTGTAATTATTATAAAATGGCTGAAAAAGGCGTGAGCACAGTTAATCAGCAGTTCATCCCGAGCTTGACGTTTGGGGGGAAAACGATCCATCAATCCACAAGCCTCACCACTCAAGCATGGATCTGTCTTCCCCTGTTTCCGATCCTGGACTGGCATGTTGCATGTATTCGCAAGCTCATCGGAGGCCGCAATACCAGCGCAAATTCTCCGCACGAGGACAATAAACCAGGCAAAACGTGGCAACACACCTGAACTACTTATTTGTTCTTGAGTCACCGTTGCCTTGCTTCAGGAATGCTGCTCAAGCTACATAAAATCACCGTAACTTGCATCTCTTCATTCAGGATCGCGTTTTTGTTACCCTGATTTTTTGACAGTCCAAATTCGACGTCTAAACACTGCAGTGTGTTTGGGCACGACTATATCGCGTGCCGTAAAGCAAACAAAAAGAGGCCAACGCATCAACGCTTCTTCGAGTGAAGTGTCTTCGCGTGTCTTCCTCAAGTCAATTAATATTGCTATTCTATCTGGTCCTCCTTTCGTCTTTCTCCAATCCCCACCCTCAAAGACTTCTACTAGTACTTATCGACACTAGCTCCCGCAACTTTCCGTTTTAACGCCGTCGCAACTATGCCTGCAATTACACAACCATATGAAGTCTTACTTGACTTCACGAACGATACACATGACTGCGCAACGATCCAGTTACTGCGGGATTATGGCCGGAATACTAGCGCAGTCGTCCTGCTACATCCTGGAGAAAGCCTCACCCTCGTCCTCGAGGCAGGTTCCATGTACAAATATGCTCTCAAATCACATTCCAAGGTCGCCAACGTGAGGTGCGTATGCACGGCAAGTCCGTCGCTCGTTTCTAATATGTTTGTATACAGTGCACGGAGCTGGCGAGACATTCAGTGCGAAATATCGCATCTATTTGCTGCCAGCCCACCGTCATGGGCTTCTTCTTTACGTGGGTCCACGAGTTCGCCCGCCAGCGGCGTCACCGTTGACCGAGTATGGCGGGACTATCGGTTCAATGTTTGGAATGATGCTGTAAGTAATTACCATATCTACCGTCAACCATTCGGTCTTACCTCCGTGCTAATCAGTGAAGCGAACCCTTTTGACGAGAGACTATACCCTGAGGGGCAGAAGCCTTCATATGATACCAATCAGCATTTGCACGTAATCTTGTAACGTAAATTTATTTCTTTATTGTTGCTGGTACACACCTCATCTTGCAATTGAAATTCACGCCGTAGGATGATAAGCAATCGAGTGTTTATTGTTGTCATCCTTCCAAATCGCGCAATCGACATCGTGCTGATGACACAATCAGGTAATCAACCTACTCTGGTTCCACCTCGCGAGTGGAACTTCATCGATCTTCTAGGCAGGGATATAGATGTGAATGCTGTATCTCACGCGCTGTACTAGTCAGTGCGTGAAGTTTTTAGGTGGCTTAAGATAAAAACGGTGGGGATGTCAGCCTGATTAACGTGCCGGTGATCCAGGTGCACCGTGGCATGCAGGATGTTTGCCGGACGTGATGATCACCCCATCCAGATGTTGCGGGCTATACGTGTCCAACGTTTGGATAATACGTCACGTGAGAGTGATCATAACCAGCGTTATAAGTATGAAATCCATTGCATCATGGCCAAGGAGGTGTATCCAAACCATCTCCCGGACAAGTTGCCTTTCAATCTCCTGACACAACGTGCAAGCCGCTGCCAACATAGTGCAATCGGTAGGTCCGTATGGGATGCTCATCCACGCTTGCTAATGAATACATGCTAAGCAATTGGGGAAGTTGCCTACTGTCGTGCAGCCAGAATACATCGTGAAGATGGCTCAGCTATGGAAGCCCTTGCATGATTCGGTGCGACAGACGTTCGAGTCATCGATGCGTCTATCCCCGACATAACAGAACTGGACGACGTGATCGTTAAAGTAACAGGCACAACTATTTGTGGATCAGATCTACATCTGTACCACGGGGAGATCATGCATGGCCCTTCAGAAGGGCGAAATTTTGGGCCACGAGGTCCGCATCGCATCTTCTCCGAAGACAAATTACTCAGTGCTCACATGCTTATGGGGGTTGTCGATCGGATTGGCCCGAATGTCAAAAACCTCACCACAGGTCAACGCGTTGTCGCCTCCCTCCAAATCGCATGCGGGAACTGTCGATATTGCAAGGAGGGACACCAACAATTCAACGTTTATAATCTGCTCCTGCTTCACACTGACGTGCTGATATTCTCCTCAGTTTGCAGAATTACATGTATGGAACATGCGATGCTGGCTTCTTTGGATACTGCCACTTCACAAGCGGTTTCCCTGGTGGCCAAGCAGAATATGTCCGCGTGCCCTTGGGCGAAGTCAACCTTCCTATTTCAAATGACGTCTCAGACGAAGAAGCCCTGTACCTCTCTGACATTCTCCCGACCAGTTACCATTGCGTCGTTGACAGCGGTGTGCAGGAAGGTGACATCGTCGGAATATGGGTATCTTTCCTCTGCTGAGTTTCTAACCTAACTCAAAGCAGGGTCCTGGTCCTATTGGACAATGCTGTGCTCGCTGAGCAAAATTGAAGGTAGCATCTCGCATCATCGCTATAGACCAAATCCCAGAGCGTCTGAAGCGTGCAAGGGAGCAAGGTTGCGAAGTGATCAACCTTAGGATGGTCAAGGATGTTAGCCAGGAGGTCCATGAGATGGTTCCTGGAGGACAGGATGTCGCGCTTGACTGGTGAGTCCGCCGCAAATGCATCCAGTTACATTTTTTGAAATAGTTCTCAGGTACATTCCACGAACTGAAGACCTTACTTCACAAAGGGATGAAGATGCTCATGCTTGAGACTGATGTTCCCGAGACCGCGAACGACATGATCGTCTCTGTGAGGAAGGTGTGTCGATGCGGTCTCATTGCTGCATATGCTGGTTTTACCAACGGCTTCAACATCGGTGCGCTCATTGGAAAAGGTGAGAGACTTAGGTCAAGCGCCAGTCCACAAGTACTGGAGAGAAATTCTGTACGACCACATCATGACGGGCAAGCTTGACCCCAAATTGTGAGTTTCTTCGTCCTGCTTCAGACAGTTCACCTAGTTTTTCAGCATGATCTCTCATCGTGTACCGTTAGAAGACATGGCGAAACTGTATGCCGCTTTTGGCAAACGTATAGGAGGTGTTGAAAAAGTGTTTGTTGAAACTCGGTTCCTCGCCGCCTTCCGATGGAGCTCCGAAGCTCAGTCGAGTTGATGACTGGGCGCGTTGAGTAAAGCGTCGCGTACTCTTTTCTCTGATACGTCTCTAGTATTGTTCAGATGAGTCATATTTTTATGTGTATTATATTGAAGTCGTAGTATTTGATCAAGGAAAAAGTCAGCAGGCTGAAACCTGTGGTGTCGTCACGGTGATTATACATGAGCTTATGCTTAGCTGGTAACAATGAAGCTTTGGTACAGCTATCCATGCTTGGACGGTCGCCTACTACCATCCCCACCTCCACCACCCCTATAGCTACTTCTCCCCGACAATCCTCCGCTTCCACCACCCCTAGTACTGCTTCCTCTTTTTCAGCCACGTCTTCGTCAACTACATCCTCAAGCACTGCCACCTCCTCGAGCACTTCTACTTCGTTTACTTCCTCAACTTCAGTCCCACAAACTGTGTTGTCTACTGTCAGTATCTGACCCTTTTACACATACAGTCTATTGATCATCCGGTAGACCCCTGCAGCAGCAGGTCACTTTGTACGCTACCTCACATCACCAACTAATATCGTCATTAGTACTGGAACCATCACATTCGCAACCCCTTCGACTGCTGACTCTTCAGGCTCTGTTAACACTGCTGCAGTCGTAGGTGGTATTGATGGTTGTCTCACTGGTTTGGCTATGCTAGGTTCCCTCATCATGTGGTGCATTTTATGTCTCATTTTTGAAGATTCGTTTCGTCTTCTCACTTTAAATTCTAGCGCCGCAAACGCAAGTCTGATGAAGACGAATGGAACGCTTCAGCCTTTAAATGTCAGTCTGCTATCCTTGTGGACGATCCTGAACCATGCTTTTACCTCCGTCCACCAAACATCACGACGCACTGGCATACCCTGCCCTCAACACCCGACACAACTATCACAACTATTACAGTGGTTACAAACTGCCTATGGTGATACCTTGCATGCTCAGATGGCAATGCTACATGCCCCTCGCGAGGACCATAGTCACCTCACCAGGCGACCATCCAGTACGGCATACTTGCCTCGTCAACTATCCGCTGCAGGATACCTCATCCCTAACAATCCTCAGGCTCACTATGTTAATCTCGATCGTTCGAGCGCAACTCCACTCCAGCCGCCCAATATACCGATATATGCCGTCAGCTGGGTAGTGACTTACAATGATTACATGGCTCTACCCTAGCCATTGAATTCTTCTTTGCCTAGCCCCTTTGACGGCGAAACAGCGGAAGAAACCTATGCTGCGCATGACACTGCTACCTCGTGCACCATCACCCGTCACGTTCGATCCTTTTACTGCCGCTAGCACAACATCTGTACCTGAGCCGGTCCCAGCGGCCTGCAGGCGAGACATCGCCAATGCCCAGCAGCCTGATACCGCATACACAATGTACGAAGAAGGCGATGCCTATGGTGGCATCTAAACGCTAGCGCAATCAAATCCAATTCTATTTATCCATGTTCCTGCTTTCTACGGTCTTCGAACTGTACCGCCAGCTTGTCACTTACTTTAAATTTGTCTTATTGAGCTCTTGTACATTTCTCTCTCTGCCGCCGGCGGTGTTTATGCGATTGTCAGATCTTACCCTAAACCCGTCACATACACACCTTTACCCTTCCGCGCTGTCCAATTACCCTGCGCCACCTCCTATACCCATATTGAAAGATCATTCAATGCTTAAATGTGCTTTTACTCGCCAGTTAACGAGCCTCTCATCGTCGATACCGATTTCATCGGTACCGTTCACTAAAAGCTTCTCAGTTTTGCCGCTTGTAACATCGATTATTTTTCGGACGGCTTTTCCTTACACGTGGTCGACGCTGTAGGACGTTTAGCGTGCAATCACCTGGCCTTTTAATTCAAGATACGTTTACTGGTAGACACGTAAGTATTACACGTTGAGCCTGACGCACACCGTCCGACATCACTCTAATGGAACTTCCCAGGTCAAGCGTACGAACAAATGTTTCACACTCCTGTTCACTCCCCTCAATCTGAGCGCTGACGTAAATTTTATGCGCCTACCAAACACCTCGCACGGTTAGCCAGTCGTGACGTCTTCAGGCCGGCGATCCTCTCCAAGCATATACATCTGTAGCCCACACTGCGGAGACTGCCAGTGGTCTCAGGATCTGTGTCCGGTGGTGTGTATTCTGGACGACACCGTGGAGCACTAGTGACTGCCGTCGGTCTTGTCGCTCTCACTGCAAGGTTCTGCCATCGTTCCACCCACTCAAGTTAGGTTCAAACTTTGCTTCACCCCTACATATTTATTACGTTGGTTGCACATGTCATTACCAGTGAAAGTTGAGAGCTGGATGGCTTGTGGTTGTCTGGGTACCCTATTAAAGTGTGCCAGCTCTTAGATTTTAGTACTGGGTCTGTTGGCAGCACCCGTTTATTGTCTTTCGATTGGTCTTAACGTTGTAACTGTTTCGACCATGTCTCTATCCCCCCAGTTCATGGAAGGCCTTTGGTTGCGGAAGTATGTCTATGTACCGCGCGACATCTCTGGATTCTCACCTATTATTGTCTAGGTCATTCTCTACAGCTGGTCATACGTTACTAGTCTACGATTATCTCCTAACTTTTAGAGATGAAGTGAGTTTTTTGGGTGATATGCCTGATATTCAATTAATGCTCACAATATACCCTTGATTGAAGTTCGTCTACATCTGGGACGCTCCCTGGACAGTTGTCAAAGTTTTGTTTCTTCTCAACCGGTATGGGAACCTTATTGGACAGACTGTCATTCAGCTGGAAGAGGCTGGTCTCCTCGTACATAATTCTCAAAAGGTATGTTGCAGTTTCATGAGTAGACATCTATCGAGTGATCAATTTCGTTCCAGTTCTGTCAACACTTTGTAATTTTCACCACTTGGTTTATGTTTGTGTCCACCGAGTCAATCCACAGTGCGTCCATCTACTCTATCATTGCACGTCTTAAGGGTTTTGCTTTTTCCTCAGTCCTCGTGCTCATGCGTGCATGGGCTATCTGGGGAACTCGGAAACGCGCAACGAAGATCCTTGGCTGGAGCTACGTGGGCTATATCCTTATGCTGTTGGCCGGCTCAGCGCACAATTTAAACGCCAGAAACAGTGGGTCACATTACTCCATTTTTACTCCTATTTATCAAAATGGTTGCATTTCGATAGTGCAGTTTCCATTCCTCGACGTGATTCATGTTTGTGTGACGACAATGCCTGGTGTGTGATTGTTATTTGACTCCTGCAGCGTGTTAATTCTCTGCTCCTTCAAAGAATATGTGGTTGGTTCCTTTTACATTGTGTTTGGTATATTGACCGACGCCTCAATGACATGACTGGTATTTTAACGCTAGTGGTTGGTCTATGTCGGAAGGTTAGGACCATTCTGTCCGGAGTTGATTGTACTTGCTGAAGAGCATCAATCAAGCTTTATTCTCGATACAGTACTCTTCGTCTTGACGATGCGAAGTCTCCGGAGATACTCTAGGGAATTTCAGCAACTCTACCCATCTAGTCTCCTTCATGTACTCTTTCGAGACGGTGAGGGTGCTTTTTGGAGCGCTTCAAGGTCTGTAATTGACCACGATTATATAGCGATCATCTTTTTCATCGTGAGTGTAGAAACTCGCATGATGTATTTCGTTGCCGACAACACGAACAGGCTAGTACGTTCAGTGATGCATTGACTGTCGCCTCTTGGTAAGTCTCGCTCGTACTCTTGACTCATCCTATCGGCTTATGATGCTTAGGACTGCATTCGGGCATGTCAGTATTCTGTATCCATAGCAGTACATCATTCTTTCTAACTAATTTGCAGAATCCAAAATATTTCCTTGGTAAAGGGTGCGTTAGCCATAATGCGACCCCATCACATTCGGTTAAAATATTGCATGTAGGTTCGCGACTCCCTTACTTTCAGTAGCTGGTCAGCGTCTAGTTCTGAACCTTCGAGGTCTTAAAACGCGTACCTACACAACTCGCGATCTCAGCCATGAGGTGGACCGGCAACTTCAAGCATTTGCTGAAGTGGGTTCTCCAGACCTGGATGATGTAGTAGAGTTGGAATGTATGCAGGAGTAGGTGAGTATTGGGAATATAGTTTCAAGGTTAACTCGGTAACCATCTATTATAGGATGTTGTTCTCTACCAAAATACCTGGAAATCGATCGAACATGGCCGACCTTTGTGCTCGCTTTTGTTTCCGGAATTTCCTTGCGTTTCCCATGCCCCTTCTAAATATTCGTATAAAGCCGTCACCTCTGGTCGTCGCATATGATTTTGAGTGAAACTGTATTCATTACAAAGGGATCGCCTGTACACGACATGGGCACTATCTCGTTCTTTGTTCTTTGATGAAAATAGACAGAGTGTGTCTCCATGATCGTTCACACCATGTGCAAAATTTGGCACAGGGCGGTCATTGAGAGTCAGTCCCTGGAATCACTGCTGAACTAATCATAGCGCGAGCATTGTATGAGATAAATACCATTCTCAATACCAATCCATGGAAGGTGCAGGTTGTAGCTATGTGCTGCTGATTAATATCGGTGTGAATATGGAGACAAGGTTGGAGACCAAGGCTGACAATAGAGAATAATTAAGAGCAGAGCATGGCATCAGTACATGCGTGTCAGTCCGTTGACTGACCTGAGTTCTCATAATCAGCATAAACACTGTCCGCAATAATCAAGCATGAGCTTTGATTATCACTGCCTTTTGGCGTGACTGTTAAGGGACGACAGTCTTAACTACTTACAATGCGCTAGTGCTGCACAGCATGATGGAGTAGAGCAGAATGCTCTAAGAGGAAGAATTGCAAATATACAGCACAGGATGACGCGGGATGGAAGCGCGTGCTTAAATGTCTAGCTGATAGCAATGAGGCTTGAAGCCTCGGTGCAGCCATCCATGCTTGCGCATGGCAGCTTGCAGATTACCTGCCTCTCGGATTTTTTTCATTCGGTCCTTAACATCCCGCCGATTCCTTCATGCAGTATGGAGTACCCTGCACCCGTATTCCACGCATCCTTTGCTGTGTGAACTAGTGAGCATTTAGATACGGGGACGGGACGCTGGTCTAATACTACGCGTAGGACATGGAGAAGGATGTCATGCGAGCGAAAGGTCCCGGTCACTGGGTGCCAAAGATATAGTTAATGCGCCATGCACAGCCTTATGAATCGTGCATGACATGTCAATTGTGTAAGGCTGGCAATGAGTTGGAAGGGATATGTTGAAGAAGATAGAGGAAGCGCGTTTGAAGGCACTAAGTACGGTTTACGAAGTGAGGCAGAGGTTCCTGAAGTCATCAGGTCCGAGTCTGCTTGGAGCGAAGAAAGCACTAAGTGATGTTGCTGGAAATTACGAGGGTACATACTCAGACTATATATGTTCGTGAGTGGCTCAATAGCCAAACTGAGGATATGTGAAGGAAGGGAGTGAGGTGGACGGAGACAAAGGCATCAGAATACGCAACGCGGCATGACGTACATGAATATGTGAAAGTGTGGAATGTTATAAGAAACGTGCACAAGGGAATGTATTTGCGTGTCTCGGATGCGAAGAGATCTCCTCACACGACGATACTCGGAATGGCTTGCGCCTTTGATCAGAAGTGTTAGTTCGTCGCGTAGAGGGTGCAAAGTCCTTACAGTTGTACAAAGATCACATCATACCACGACATTCATGCCATACAAGATTAGCACACACCAGACTATCTGGAGCAGACCGAAGAGTTATACGTGACTCGAACTCGAATATTATGCATGAATCAGGACCTAAGATTGTAATCAAACATGCATGATATCATGCCAGTGCATGCCTACCCCTCCAACGAGCAGGTCGACCGAGTGCACCTTGAACGAGCCGCATAGCAGGCCGAGTCTCTCCCGGTGATGCAACACCTGCACGAGCTGGCAAAACAGGGAAGCTGCCCACGAAGTTAGGGTTCCCTCTTTTCCGAGCTTTCTCCTTCTCCTTGGAGTCAGCGCGAAGTTGCATTTTGGCTTCAGCGACTGGCTTGGCCAAAATGGTTTCCTGCGTGTTCGCGTATAATCAGGGTAAAGAACAATGACAACAATTAAGAGCTTACAATATAAGCTGAAGCCTTGGCACCTATTTCTGTTAATGCCTCTCGACCTCGATATTTCATGACTTTCTGAAGATTACGCCTCGTTGTTGGCCGTAATTCACTGCTGTCAAATCCGGCCAACTTCAGCTCTTTTGCAACAGCAGTCTCTGCATGTTGGACACCACTGTTGACGACACCACGGGGTGAGTCCCACCGAAGCTTCTCATTCAAGAGTTCCCGCCCTACTGCACGTGCAGTCATCTCCAATTTGAAGTCCCGGGGATTGTCGACCAGCTCAAGGAGAGCAATGGGTGCATTGTCTCCGAATCGATTATCGAGCCTATGAATTCGCGTATAGCCCCCTGGCCGATTTGCATAACGTTCAGCGAAGGTGGTAAAAAGTTTAGGGAGGACAGGAGGTTTCAAGATGAATGCCTGGGCCTGGCGATACGAAGTCTCGTTGTTCTTCTTTCCCAGCGTGATGATCTATTCACGCGTAAGCAGACTGCAAGAAATAACAACGTGGTCTTTGCCTTCTCTGCCAGCCTGGCGGTGTCCTTGGCCTTGGCCAATGTTGTTCTAATCTGCTCATGCTCGAAGAGGGAAGTCACAAGATTCCTATGGTATTTTCAACGCCAGCATGACCAAAATGAACCGGCTTGCCTACCGTAGCATTAAGTTCCGATGTGAGGACGTCCTCGAGAATTTTCGAAAGGCTACTCCATGTTTCATGACTGCCCAAATTCGCAACTTGCTCTTCAGAGCAAACGAAGTGACACGGGAGGAAGTGACAACCAATGTATAGTGCCGCCTAGTACGCGCCGAAAATTGCTCACACGTGATCTGATGATGACAACGATATGTATAACAGCAGGTACTTATACGTGCATAGATTTATCGTCCGTGAGTATGTGTACTACAATGTGCTGTATGTAACGCATGACAGTGGGAGCGATGACTTTTTACGAGAGGGGAAGAGGGCAAACACAAACATGAGAGCGAGGCAAGAAGGCGAAGGGAGAAGGCGAGAGAAAGATATAAACACGTATGTAAGGGTTTTGGACGGAAGGAGACGAATGCACAGGCGGGTAAGAGGACAGTATGAGCACGTTGTGCCAAATGGCGTCAGACGATGCACAAAACAGAGTACGGACGAGACAGTATGCTGACAACAGCAAGACAAGAAGTGGCGAGGTGACGGAACATGATACATATGGTACGCGTGTGCGAGTAGGGACGCAGGTTCAGATTTTGAATGCAGTCTCCAACACGAAAACAGACACCGTATGCCAAATTACTCCTCTTGCTGCTGCTGTTCTCTGCCAACCCTCCTCTCTTTCTCGCTTTCGAGCTGATTGTAGAGCAGGAAAAGAGCCTTTTCGTTGGCCTCCGGGGTACCGACAATGGTAAACATCCGTTCACCCGTCTCATCATGTGGAGCTTTGGCAATGGAAATCTTGGATCCTGACAGCCGCCGGATTTCAGTGATCTTGCTTCCGCTTCGACCGATGATACATCCAACCATATCCGACGGTATGGAGATGTTCTGCGTGCGCAGGTTGGCTGTTGACTGTGCAACAGTAGGCGAATGGGGCGAAGGTGGCGGTGAACGTCGAGCTACATCTCCATTGGACTTGCGAGCTCCAGCCGAATAGCCATTGGCTGATCGTCTCGTACCTGAGGTGGCATCACCAGCACCAGGATGGAATGGAACGGTGCCCTGACCCCTCTCCCAATCTTCCAATAAGCATTTGCCAATCTCCTCGATGGCACGACCGATCGAATCAGGTGCGCCCTGCACTTCGACAATGCGCTCAGTTGATTGTGGAAGCATCTCCTTTGACGCCACCATGCGCGCGCCCGAAGCATCTTGAATAGCCTTTATTTTGCCACCGCTACGACCTATTATCGTACCCATGAGATTGTGAGAAATTAGAAGACGGATTGAGGTATGAGGCGATGACGATGATAGGGAGATGGGTGATGGACTGGATGACACAAGTTGGGAGATTATGAGGTTGTACGCCTGAAGCAGAAGCCACAACGTGTGAGCGCTAAATCGAGCATATATTTGAGTTGACTTGCCTTTGCAACGGCTTCAACAGATCCGCCAACGGTAAGGACGCGCTCGTGCACGCCAGGGATAACCTTACTGACGCCAGCTCTGACGCCAGTCTGCTCACGAAGATCAGCGACATTTTTCCCGCCTTTGCCTATGATGACGCCAGCTTCCTTTGTGTTAACAAGAGCACGAAGAGTCAAAGTGTCATGAGCATTATTTGGAGAAGATGAACGTGATCCTGCGGGAGAAGCTGGTGACATTAAAATATGAGCTGTAGAGATCACCCCTAGATAAAAAGATGAGATTACCAGAGGTGTGTCGAACTGGAGACTCAGCAGACATTGTGAGTTGAGAGAAAGGGGGGAGGGAGAAGTGAAAGGGGATGGAGATGAGGAAGACCGAACTTAAATGATGATGGAGGTTAAGATGCAAAGAAACTTGTTAGCAAAACTTGCCTCCGTCGATACCTTTTTCGGTGCCGTCACCGTCCGATCACACAGCCACATCTTATGACGCATAAGGCCGTCTCTCCCAAACTGTTGTCCAAGTCAATTATCAATTTATATCATATGCATGCCTAGAACTACATCTCTGTTGCAAGTGTTTTCGGTGGAGGTTTATCGTCATAAAAAACGCCAGCTCAGCAGAGATCGCATAGTTACATGCATGTCTTATGGGAACGATCATAACATAAAGCAACGCAAGCACATAGAAGATGAAGTAGTCTCTCATCCAACTAGTACCCCAGCGTTGTCAGTTTCTCAAAGGATGGCGAGGCATCCGAAACTGCCTTTTGGCGCAACTTCAGTGCTGTAATCTATTGATCATGTCTCAGTCAGTCTTGTTCAATGAAGCTCGCCTAGTTCACGTGCCTTGCGCTGGTGGAAGGCCTCTGCCTTGATCTTCCTCTTCTCCTCAAGACGGTCCACAACATCCTTGTAGCCCCAGCCAACCTCGTGCGACAGACGCTAAATCACCTGTTCGTCATCCAAGTCATACGAATCAACGACTGAGCCCACCTTAACAGTACAGTATTTCCGGCCGGGCTTCAACCGCAACACACGCAAAGCCTCGGGAACAACCATCCGCTTCTTGTGGTCGTATGGTGGTGGAACACCTTCGAAGAGCTTCAAGCGCTCAAGAGCAGCAGCGCCCCGAGGAGTCTTGTGGGGAGTCATACCACGAATAGCACGGAACAAAATTTTGGAAGGAGCACGGTGATGGAAAGGCCCAGATTTTCTGGGGTTGACGATATGGCGTTTGTGGAGGAAGTTGTGGTAGCGCAGCTAGGTATTTAAGTGTATGCGTCTCGTTCATTGACTGGTTTAATGAAATGGCAAAATACCTTGTTGCGGAAGAAGCTGCCGGAGATGTTGATCTCCTCACACCTAACGACAACAATCTTCTGGCCAGAGAGAATCTGCTTGGAGATTATTGAAGCCAGTCGACCAAGGAGGTGACCCTTGCCATCAATGACGATGGGTGTCGATGAGAAGGTGGCCATTACAAAGTCTATCAAAACACGCCGGGTTAAGCTTTGAAATAAGTGACATGACCATTCCGCGCTCACCTAGGGGATAGAAATACGTGTTCAGGAGTGTTTACACGGCAGATATGATTCTTACCTTGAAGGTCTTGAGGTCGTTGTCGAATGTGGGAACTTGCCAGTCTCAGCCACTGTGACAAGAACTATGCAGTTCCTCTCGGCAATCTCCGAGCTCTCAAATGAAACTTTGTTTAAAACGTCCTCTACTTTAAAATTTAACATCGCAGACTTAAACCTTCGCTCAAAAATACTCAATGTAACTATAGTACCATTGGAACGTTATCACGCCTCTTTCTCTCTCGACTTAATACAGGATCAATCGCCGGTTGTGTTCCAGCTATAATATTAAAAATAAAATACTCCCGCTTCGGATATAAGAGGCTTGTGAGGCGTTTCGTAAACTCCATCGCGACGGGGTTATTTGCTAATTGCGCTGAGGCGGGATGCACGACAAATTTACGGCGGTCACGTCGTTGACATTTATAATGTTGGCGGGACATACATATACCATTAAGAGACATGATATGATACGTCGGTACGGTAAGTCTCCTATAAACGCGACGTGTGCGTGAACTGATCATCGAACATTATCACGTGGACTCGGGGAATCTGCATCTCATAACTTGGCCAGCAAGCTCGGCGAGTCAAACTTTGCTGCTTCTCTTGCAATCCACTCTGCTGTCCCGTACTCCGTTATTGTCCACGCCTTACCGGCAATCCTATGTTCATTCCAATAAGCAACAACCCTTGGGCGAGTCATAACTGCCATCCATAATTGCCCGCACAACGGGAAATTCCCTCCGGGCGTCAACCCCCGCTTGGCAGATGGGAACACTTGCGTTATAAACGTGATAGCTGCCGCCACTGTTGCATGAAGCGCAGTCAGTTGGCCCGTCTCTGCTGGCACTACTTTCATCTCCTTCTGCAGTTCTCTGAGTGCGGCTTCTGTGTTGCGCAGGTATCGTACAGTGATTGCTTTCCAAATCTTATCTCGTGATAGTGGTGCTAGCCAATCCTGTGGTTTTTATTTCTCAGTTCACGTTCTAATCGCAGTAACTTTGAGTACCTTTTCCACACTCAATTGCCATACCCTGTTGGTGAAGTACAAAGATGCTTCCTTGATCATCTGTATGCGCACACGGGTTTGGAGTGGGAGGTCTTTGTTCAGCTACCAGATGATCAATACTAAGTTAGTACTGGTGCAGTTTATTCAGGGATGCGCATGACTTGCCGTAGTTCCTAGCGGTGTCAGTATCTCCTCGAGGTAAGACAGGATAGCTGAGGTCTCTCCGAGCAGAAATTCGCTCCTTGGTTCAGAGCTTTTGTCTGTTACTCGGAGAACAGGTACGCCGCCGTATGGAAACATCGCGGGCGTAACCTGGCCTGTCTTCTTCATCCCCCGCCACTTCGCAAGAGGTACTTCTTCGTACTCAAACTGGATCCCCGAATCTGCTAGAATGAGTAACACCGGCTCACATCGTGCTCGCGCGGGAAAATAGGTAATGTGGTATGTGGATGTGGATACCATGGAAGTTACAAACACTTAGCCGAACTCGAGCCGTCAATAGACCAAAGCGCTTGAGGGCGTTCGTAATTTGGCTAACCGAACTTCGCGCTTATCTGGCCTAGCGTCAACCTTAATCAGAGTGTAAGCTTGAACACGTCATTCCGTATGGTATCGATAGCCAAGTTGTGATCTTTACAACTTCGAAGCTTCAAGTGTGGTCCCAACCACTTCGCTCCCTTGCAGGAGTCCAGACATTGTTGTTGTCTCACCCATTGCGCTGCAACATAGACATATAATTCACTCCAGGCTTGAAAAAGTCGGGTGTAGTCTTGAGTCTTGGAAAATACTATTGACCTCCAAAACAGAAGGGAAAACAGCTTTGCGGCAAGCCAACCAACTACCCACAAGTCATCACTGATGGATAATATGATCACGTACCGGACGCCCTAGATGTGCCACTGGCCATACATAACAGTGACAATACGTTTGACAATTGTCGATGCCTGTCCTCATCGAACATATTGATCACAGGTCAATTGGCGTGCAGTGAATGTTGCTTCACAACTTTGTCTCATATGGTTATAGTAAAAACGCGATACAATAAATTTTACCGCAGTTGTATAAATGGGTAGGGGAGCGTAAAGGACTGGTTAATGACTGTACTACCAATCCCTCAATGAGCTACAAAGGATGTCAGTAGATAAACTGCGAAGACAGATGATGTCCTGACCTTCTGGCGTCTTTGCAATATAGTCAATAGCTAAAGGACGTTCACAAAGAGTTAGTAGATGGCCTATATAAAACGGGCGGCGGAAACACACCTTGCTGGACGGTTTTTATCTCATCAGCTTCCGCATCTGGAATCTCGATAGCAAATTCCTGTTAAAGTACGTATTGATGAAGTTCTCTGTGAATAGACATAGCTACGCACCTCCTCTACGGCCATAACCACCTCAACTGCGTCTAAGCTGTCAAGACCGAGATCATCCGTGAATGAAGACGAAGTTGTTAGCTAGTGAAGAGTACTGTCAATAGAAAAGGTGTCATCGAGGAAAATATTCAGACCTTGGCTGCGTCCACTTTCTCGAAGCCCTTTAGTACGTCCAGTACGCGTGTCTGTATGGTTTCCTTTGACAACCCTGCCGCTGCCGAGTAGTTCGCACGGAACGCCCAGGTCTGTCTCGAGGACATCGCAAGCACGGGTCGTGCACGAGTCACACTGCGAAGGGCAAGGCGAGTGAAAGACATGTTTTCCAAAGGCAACGTTTTAGAACCTGGAAGGAAAAGTTAAGACGTCCGGCTTTGGCCGAAGGTGTGCTTAGACTCAGATCACGTGGGCACAAAGAAGATTCGACGCGTTTTTTGATTCTGATCATTGACAAGTCTGATTCTGTCTGAATCGATTGTCATGATTCCTCGACCGTACCAGCAATTCGAAGTTGGCCCATCTCCTCGCCCTCAGAATGCGCACCAGCTTGAGAACGCTCAGCATCCAGCGTACGCATACGCATCCTCCCAGGCTGCGATAGCAGGAAACGTCATAACAGCCGCACTGGCCAGCCCGTATGCTCAGCATGGAATGTCTCCTCATTATTATCAGGCGTATATGCAAGTCATGCAGCCCACCATGAATGCGCAGGGATATACCTTATCGTCCACTTACATGCCTCAACACACTACCGGCGGAAGTATTCGAAAGGTATCCCGTGATGCTGGCAATAATGTTCCTGTGCAGACCAACGATAGAAAGCTAGACTCTACCAGTGGCCAAGCGTATGCTAGTTGGTACCAGCCTGGCAACTGTCGCTGTACTCGTCAAGGTTGTGTGTTTATTGGCTCTAAGAAATCAGTCGAGACACATATGATGGACCGCCACTTTATCTTCCCCCCTGGATGGCAGAAAAAAGACGAATGGGATACCGATCCAAGTCTCAAAGGGTGGGCTCAGCTTAAATTCTGTTGAGTTAGTGACATTGGATTAATTTATAGCTTAGCAAACCTATTGCGATCCAGGGAACATCTCTGATCCTCGACTCCCAAGAAGCAATCGATGGTTGGATAGCAGAGCGCAAGAACCGGTTTCCCACTACACAGAAAGTGGAAGAAAAGAAAAGGAAGCTAGAGGAGGCTGTCGCGAGAGGCCAGCTGACACCTGAAGACATGGGTTTACAAGCCAGAAGGAAGCGGAGAAAGGATGATTCATCATTTCGGGGCCAGCAACCAAGGGGTCGAGGGAGGGGTAGAGGAATGGGTCGTGGCAGTCACACTAGTTTTACTGTCTCAAGGACTCAAGATACGTCATTACCGATGAAACCCCAGGCAGCACCTCTTGCCCCATCAATTCCTGCGGAGCAACAGGATAGATCTGATTTGGACTCAAGTTCGGATGACGGCGCTCCCGAAGTTGTATCTTCTAAGCCTCCTCCGGCTGCAGAGGCAGTCTTGGTCTTAGCGCCGCAGCTCAAGCAAGAACCGCAATCACAACCACCACCCAAACCTATAAAGAGGTCACCTCAACCTCAACCCAAGCCCCCGCCGCGAAATCCATTTGCATCACGACCTACATTGCTCCGGAGTGTATGTAGTGCCCATTATCTGTCAGATTGCGAGTTGATATACGTCGCCTAGTTACTTCTTCCCGAAATTCGCATCACGGTATCAAACCTGTCTCAAGCGATTCGATTTTTGGTTGACAACGACTTTCTGCGAGGAGTCGAGATGAAACCAGGCGAGGCGCAGCAAAAAATGATCCAAGTAGTGGGAAGCACCGGACCTCAACTTCAAACCGCTCCCTCAGATCCGAAATCCCAGATGACTGCACCAGAATAGTAGTAATATCATTGACTAAAAGGCAAAGCGAATAAGTAGGGATGCGGTGTAGATTCATATCCTCGTATAATTATTGTTTATCGTCCTGAGTCGCTCTCACTATCACTACCGCTCTCACTTTCACTCCCATCCTCATCGGCTTCGACCTCCAGCGTCCGTTTCTCGACTTTGAAGCCATGACCTGTCAATCCGGCCGCAATCTCGTCCGCCTTGGAAGGTGCGGTGACCACTGTAACCATAGATAACTTCGAGTCGAACACAGGCAAAATATGCTTCTTCAGGGCAGCAAGTACATCAGCCTTGGTCACTTCCTGGTACTTCTCTAGCATTTGCAGGTTGTGGTCTTGGGGAACTCCTTTAAGAGCTTGGTTGGTAAAGGAGTTAACAGCCTATGACTACTGTTAGCATGATTCGACCTTGAATGAACGCACGTACAGCTCGGCCAGCCGTTGCGACATTCTTGGTGACGCCATAGACAATGCTGCTTTTGGCTGCGTCAAGAGCGGTCTCCTCCAGCGCCACCTGCTGTTGATCAGTAAATGTTATGATCAGGAAAACATAAAACACACAGTCCCATCAACTAGTCCGCTAACGACCTCTTTTGCTTGTTTAAACGCTTCCAGGCTGTTGGAACTCTGTAAGAGTATCAGCGAGAAAATTTACCATTCACCAGAGAGCTGCATACCCGGTAGAGCGAGAATGTGAGCAAGCCAGCTTCTCTATCTACAGACATGTAGGCGCCATACGCAAGGCCAGAGCCCCGGATAGAACGCTAACACATGTAATAAGCAAGATTCGGTTCCGTCTACAATAAGTTCACCCACCCAGAGGAAGCTTTCTGCAGCATTGAGAACCTCGAGCGCTACTCGGAGAGCTGGGAATTCAGGATGATCGAAGCCTCGTATTGCTTTCGTAGTGTGGTTGACAAACGAGCTTTCGATCGTCGGCAAGCTGACCACAGTAGCCTAGGAACAAGAACTGATGAGAATACTACAGAACTGCAAAACAAAAGCTGTTCGCACCTTGGTTGCAGGATTCTTACCCAATTCGCTAAGGGTGTCGCTCGCTCGCTTCAACGGAGCAAGTTTGGATTCCTGCGTGGCCATGAAATGATGCTGTTGATGCCAGATGAAGAAACACGCACCGGTAGAAGGTCCCCGAAGTGTTTTGACCAGACACTCCGCGGCTTGGGTATGTCCAAGATGTTACCTGTGACTGATATCCGTACTCCAGTGGGATCCGTCACTGGTCATACTATAAATGAATGCCATGTCATGCTTTGATGATACGTACGGTATTTCCTCAGTTCCTCAAAGTCCGCGACCACCGCATCAGGATCTTCTTGAAGGTTCTGGATAAGCTTTGGCACAAATTCTGCTTGAGGAAGGATGGCGCCAGCAAGCGATGTCGAGCTCTTATCGTAGAGCATCTCGGCCCATACAGAGGACAGAACATTGTTTCCATCGCGCTTAAGTTCTGGAAGCGACTGCGCCAGCTTGGCAGCAGAGATTTGCAGTCTACACCGCATGAGACATAAAACTAGACGAATATCATGAGATCCTACCTTTCCTTGTCAAATATCGAATTGTATACGAGATCACGCAACCATGCAATGGCTGATTCATATTGGGATGTCTCGACCTTGAAGCTGACGCGCATTGCTTCAGAGAATTGGTCGGATATACCGAGAAGAGCCTCATATGAGACTGTCCCATCGTCAAGCTGGTTAACAACCTCTTCATGGCTGAGTACCTCTCCTGAAGCGCGTTGCACAGGGAGCGAGAAAAACACCGAGAGGTAAGTCGAAAGGTAGGGCCGTAGCCTATTAGGCAGCTTAGCCAACGAGAAGAAGGCATGGACAGCAACAAAGTCGGACTGGATAGTCTTCAGCGTCATGGTCAAAATGAGATTATGGAACCTTCACCTTGACATGGTCGTATTGTACGAACATGGAAAGTGGCGACCCATCAGACTGGATGTGCTTGGAAAGCTGAGACTGTCCAATATTCTGTACAGGTACAGTACTCGACCGCCCTTTGCCAGGCTCTTGGACGCACTGAACAGGTATCCAGGAGATGCTCTTCACATCCGGAACAGGGAACGACGTCAAAACATCAGTCGGTATTGGCTTCTCATGTTCAGCTTTTGCAGCTTCTAACTCCCGCTCTGCATTGGCAAGACCGTCTGGACCGAGTGTCTCCCGCTGAGTAGCAAGGCGAGCCTTTTCATCTTGCTCGAGCTTCTCTGCCAGAGTTGCAGAGGGTTTGCCAATGATGACAACGTAAGGGCGGTCGATGATGTACCTAAACGGCCGTTGAGTTATGTCGCAATCATTACCCATCATGACTTACTTGTGTACAAGATCCACCCATTGCGAGCTAGTCCATGTCCGCAAAGTCTTGTAATGATTGATTTCATCTAGGGCAGGGTGCATGTCCGAACCATCCGCAGCACCGTACAGGAAGTCACTTATAATGGCGCCTGAAAAGGTGTCGCCTTTAGCTGACTCCAATTTACTGCGAAGCTAGGTAATGTCAATAACTTCGATATTTGATCACGACTTGGTGATCCCAACCCACCTGGCGCTCATCCCGGTTGATGACCATGGACATTCTCGTCATATCTATACCATCAGATGCAATCCGGTTGAGACTTGCGACAAGCTTCTCGTCGAAGTTATCCAATTCTTCGACAGGGACCGAACCAATGTAGATCGGCAGGTCAACCATTGTCGCGCGAGTGTCTTCGCTAAAGTAGATGTACGAACTTGCGAGGAGCGTCGTCAGCCTGATACTGTACCGAAGATTGAACCAAGGATGCTCACCAGAGGGGCGACTCGATTTCGATGTACTCCTTGTTCAAAGGGGCAACAGGCGATGATGTAAGGTATGTAGCAAGAATGTCTAAAGCCTGCGAGAGATTGTAAGCTCCGAATGAGAAGGTTTGTAAGACCACGTACTTTTCGCTCCATGAAGTTGTTGGGCGAGGGACCAGCATAAGTGATCAAAAGTTCACCTTGGCTCTCGTCCTTCTCAGGGAACTCAACGGTTTCCTTCGTGATTTGCTTGATGGGAGAACGGTTGGCACTGGCGGTCTCCAGGAAGGGTCGTTTCCAACCGCTCGGACGGGGGCCATGGTTTTGGCCATGTGAAATAATACTAGGCTCAACCTTGTCCTGCACTACAGCCAACAGAGACTTTGTTCCGCTAGAAAGCTTTCCAGTAACGATCAAGGACAAATTATGCGGGACATAGTAAGTGGCGTGATAATCCCTGACTGAGATCAGAAGGACATTAGTAGAAGATGGATGCCAAGGGGGATCGACTCACTTTGCTCAACAGAGAGAACCCTGAGTGCTGACATGAGTCCACCAGTTTCACTACGATAGGCACTCCCAGGAGGGTACAAGAGACGCTGCGAGCTAAGATATGAACATGAGCAGCAAAAATAAACGTATAACATAATAACAGACCGAAGACCCATGAGATCGCCTGACGTATTTTCGCGGCCCTGCATTTCACTGTATACAACACCACTATTCTCACCCTTTGCATTAATGTGGTGAACCTAAGCGCGTGTCAGTATGTCCAGAAGCAACAACTTTGAGAACCTGCCGACCTCAGTCAAGAAGGCTGCCTTGGTCATCATGGGATAGAGGATATGATCGACATATATTGGTAAAAGCTGAAGGAAGCCCTGCTCTCCAGCAGTTGAGGCAGTATACGCTGGGAGTATAGGGTCGATGGAAGGAAGGAATATGGTACTGTGGAATAGACTTACCAGTATGATCGGTGTCCGTCCATGCATTGGTCCCATGAGAAAACCCGCGATTCGCAAGATGGTCTATGATGCCTTTGTATGGGTATTTTTCCGAACCCATGAAGACGAGACTCCGGAACGGCAATTTAAGCTACATTTGTAAATCAATTAGACGCTCCACTTACTGCTCTAAAGTGTGCGGGCAGCCGCTGTCATCGAAGACTGTCATTTAGTTAGCCCCCGACGTTAAGTCGCAAGATAGAGTGATACTGACTTTCGGTACCAACAACGAAGTAGCCGTTGACGATGGGTGCTGGCCAAGAAATTAATGTTGAACATGTTAAAACTATATGACACGATGCATACCTTCATAATCGAGATGGACAACAGTGAGACCAGTGACACGGCTCTGCCATCTTGATACGACAACATCAGTGTAATCTAGCTTGACACGTTTAACCAGGTCGAAATTGCCATGGGCTTCGAAGTTATCGTGCGGGAGAGCTGAGCCATTTAGAGAAGGTGACATCGATGAGATCGATGATTGGAAGAAGCGGCGAGGGGAAAGGAAGGGGAGATGGCGATTAGCGCCGGTTTGCAGTTGGACTGATAGGTTTGATAGTCCGATGCGTCTCCGAGAGAGTGTCCGTGCAGAAAGCCGGGACGCCGTCAACAGTCGCTGCATTCACTCAATCCTTGATTTTTCTGAGCGGAACGGTGCTCTTTACGTCAGCACTTACTTGGTGGTCCAATTTTATACTGCTCGCACATGTGACTACAACCGAGGACGCTGTCCCCTGCGTTCTTTCGCTCCCGTTCCTCAAGGCTGCTGATGGAGACAAAGCGTATGTTTAATTACAAGCCAACACCTGAGCAATTGGCTCTTGCGGAGGAACGACGTAGACAGCGCGAAGCAAAGAAATTGCAGCAACAGAATGCACAAAATCATACCCATCTCCCTCCAATATTTCTTTCAAGGCCATGGAAGTCTTTGCCAAGCACAAAGACTGCACCTCGGTCCACCATCAAGGTCATGTCCTGGAATGTTTGTGGATCTTCTTCTTGTATCTCGGAACCATGATGCATCAATACTTTAGCTTCTTGCTCAATGTCTGATTCGTGCGTCGTTTGGTTCACGCCCGGTGTGTGCTCAGGCTCAGCGATGTTCGAGAATAGGCTCGAACCTTTTCCCAACAAGTTCAAAAGCCCTTAAAACTTCTCACAGGGAGCCTATGATACATGCAGAGATTCTGTCCATCTGTCCCATTCTGCGGATATAATGTGCATGCAGGCTAGTCGTCAACCATCTAAGACATTCAAGTTCCCATGCTGAGTACTGCCACCCATAGGAAGTGGATCGCCTAGAAAAGCTTTCTCCTGTTCTAGAACAGGCAGGATATTCCTCCGCTTATGCTACAGGCCCTGGAAAGCAGCATGGCTGCCTTATTGCTTACAAGCAGAACAAATACAATCGACTGGGCGAACTTGTAATCGAGTACGACAAACAGGAAGTGCGTGAGGATTCTTCCCTTCCTGCTGCACGCATTGGATCAAGTCGCATTACGAAAAATATCGGTTTTATGGTCGCATTGGGTGAAGCCGGCACCGATCACCAAGGTGTCATCATTGCAACCACCCACCTGTTTTGGCATCCTGCGTTGGTGCAATCAATATGTTTCAACTAAGCCCACATTAACATTGATCTACTGTTTCAGATTCACGTACGAAAGAGCAAGGTACTCTAGCTTATTCGCCGGTCGAACAAATCGCTGAGCTGGCTCACAGGCAGGCCGGTATCCTCATTCGAGAAGTCCTTAATTTCCGACAGTCTATGAAACTTGACCATTGGCCCTGCATCATCGCTGGCGGTAAACGCGGTGAATTTGGGGTGGAGTATCGTGTATTGACGTCTGATGATTCTAGACTTCAACTTTACTCCCGATGACCCGGCATACTCCTTGCTCACCGGCGATTCGCTTACTGAGGTCCAGTCTCAACGTTTGCATATGTCTCGTGTTATTCATGTGACCATCGATTCCACTGTACCACCAACTACCAAGAAGGCGGACGATGAAGAGGGAGACGGTTCAGAGGCTGATCCAGACAGGGTCATTAATAACTCTCGAGTAGCCACTTCGTCAGACGGACTGCTATCCGACCTTGAACTGACGTCACTCTTCATCGATGGTGCCAAGCTTCGGAGCGCATATGATGAAGGTCAAAGAGCTCAAAGAGACAACGGCACCCCAGGTGATTTATACACATTTGGCGATCGAGTCTCTTCGCCCCCAACCAGACTTGGAGCTCATGAGCCAATGTGGACTAGTTACACACACTACTGGAAAACAACGCTAGGTTTCTTCGTCTCTCTCTTCGCCCTTCGCTTGCTGAGTTTGATTTCGTCAGATTACATTTTCTTCGTGGACACACCCAAACACAGCATAAATGTCGCGGGGTATCTCAATCTACATCGTACCACTGACATGGAAGCAGGTCTTCCTCAGATTGGCATTTGCGGGAGTGATCACGTCTCTCTTTGCGCGGAACTCTTTTTATCATAATAGAATACAATGTCGGGGAGGTATGTGGCATAACCTGTCTAGGGTATTTCAAATGGAATGGGGCCCAGCCAGCATTGGTAAATGAGATGGTGTAAAAAACTTGATGTGATACACGGAAGGATGAAGAAAACACAGAAACAGGCACGCATACCCTGGTTCAGCGGAACGACTACGCTACCCCGAATTACTTCGACCTGTCCGACCCTGCAAGTAATTTATCAAACAGTTCTTGAGCAGCCTGCTCGTTCCGAAGTTGAATCATATAGATGATGCCTGTCCGTGAACCTTTGGCATCGCTAAGTTCAATGGCAACACCAGTTTTTCCTACGCGTTCCACACCGTCCGTAAGCACTATTGTCGAGATGAGAATGTTCTTCTTGTCTTTTGAGCCCGCTTCGACGACAAGTTGCTTGACATTAGTTGGCTGCTGCTGATAGAGAGTCAGTCGCGCAGAGCCCAGCGACTTCCATTGTGCGTGCTGTTGTTGGTGGAAGACCCTGCACTTCATTTCCGTTATCGTGGGCCTGGTTGGGCCCAGAGGCTTTCGCTCTTCTATCGGTGAAGTTGGAGGGCTATGATCGTGGAAATTTGATTCGGTGAACGAGTTTGCTCTGGAACTGATCTGCTGCGATGGTAGGATAGGTCTCATCGAAGCATTATTGCCACTACCCGCAGAACTGATTGAATCAGTGCGTTGGCCATAAGGTCGTGATGGCATCGGCAGCCCTCCAGGTAAGGAAGGAAGTGGTGGTGCGTGACCCGGACCTGGGGCATAGTCATACTGAGAGCGGAGAGATCGCGATGATGCCGACTTATGGAGTCTCCCGGAGGACGGCTGCGGCTCAGACGGTGGCCGAGGGGGAGGAAGCCCATGAGGAGGACCTCCAAGGCCCGTAGACCGAGAAGGAAATGGCTGAGTGTGATGGTGTTGTTGTTGAGAAAAGTTCATAGATTGAGCTTGGGGAGGTGCGCTTTGTGGAGGACGAAGATGTTGATGAATCGACGGGTGTTGATGATTGAGAGACGATTGATGGTGAAGAGGCTGCATCGGGGTGTGATGTGACGAATGGACTGATGATTGATGACGCAAGGGTGGTTGTTGCGGGTAGCCTTGAACAGCAGGAGGAGAGTATACCCTGTGAGGTGCGCCACCCATGCTGGGGTCCTGATTGGGGAAGGGATGCGAAGAGCTGGTTATGCTTGCACTCCGAGCTGGCGGCATGACCTGACCCGAACCGAAGGAGGAAGGTGGCGGATGTGAGGAAGCTCCTTGACCAGCAGATGGCCTACGTATGGGGTGAGAGACTCCAGAAGGAGCATCGTGCAATGAAGGCATCCTCTGAGCACCTTGGACATTTTGCGTCTGGGGCATACCAGCACCTTCACTAGGACTCATGTTCCCATTCCCCGCTACGACTTGCCCTGGAGCAAATTGTCCCAAGCTTGTTTTTCGAGGCGCGAAACTCTGTTGTGATGTGACGCGAGGTCTCGAGAAATTAGGAGCAGAAGGGAGCTCAGGTCTTCCATTCAACACACTAGAACTGGCAACCTGCACTTGTGGAACACCCTGTTGAGTGTCGTTGACCTGTTCACGCGAAGGGAATCCCTCATTTGCAGGAGGAAAATTAGCAACTGGTGATACAGGGAGACCTTTAGGCAACGGGGGTATTGGTTCTGAAGCAGCTCCAGAAACTTATCAAAATGTCACTAGGGGATATCGCAGTCAGAGGTACGTGCACATACTGGTCCTGGCAAAAGCGATACACTCCTTGAATTCCTTGATGATCTCGTCCCGGGATTGCATTGAAATGGCCTCAAGAATCAGTGTCTCTTTCCGCATGATGGAAATCTGAAGTACGTTATCTGCCAAGATTTTGAGGTTCTATTCGGTGTGATGATCACGTTACGCACCTTGGTCAGGTATCTCGGTCACCTTCAGGACCTTTCCAGAAAGTGGAGGATAGCAAAGCCGCATATCAGGACCGTCCACGCCCGCTGCAACCCTGTCATCCAAGGACATCTTCTCGCATATTAAAAACAGATCTGATAGAATAAAGACAAAACCGTGCTGGTGAACAACATTCACGCCTGTCGAACGAGGAGTAAAACGGACGACGACATTAGCCGATAATTTAAGCTCTCGAGCATAAGGCAATGTTGGCGGAGACATTTGCAGACGAACTAGCTAAGTATTCAACGTAAAACAATCAGTGAGATATCACCACGACACCATGCGAACGAACGAACCTTAGGCTCCATGGTGAATAAGTCGAGTGTCATATCTGTCGCCAAGCGTTTCTCCAGGTTAGCGATGGATGTAGGCAGGGCTGGTGTGGAGCTACGACTGATGGATGTTGTCCCTGTTTCCCGGGAAAATCGCGCTCTAATTGCATGTCAACATCACACAGCATAACATCACTGTCCGTGCTCACCCGCTTGAGGAGCCGCTTTCACGAACGGATGTGGTTGCGCTTGTATTTCCTCCCCCAAATTGACCTGAAAGTAGCTTGTCGTGCGTTGCGTCAAATTCTGCCACCGGAGACATCGCTGGGGAAGCGATAGGCTCAGACTTCACGTCAGGGGAGACAGGCGGCAGTGCGGAAGAGGAAGCGGGAGGGCTCTGGCCAACCTTGACCTGACATCTTCCGTCCAAAGTCTCCAATAGATCATCTAACTTCTCAAGAGCACCCGTCAATAGTCGATGGTCGCTCCTGCCCGGTACCGTGCTCTTTAGCAGTCTGTTGTATAGTTTCCTGTAATATAAAAGACGACCCTTGGGCAACAGAAATAGGGCATCCAAGGTCCATAACGATAGGTCTGTTATCTGAGAGGACTGAATTGCAGCTATTGAGGGAGGGCTAGCCGTAGAGAACGTCTCGAGAACGCCTGGAAGCTTCGTATTTGACTTGACAGGCTCCCATTGATCAAAACCAGTAGAGAATTGCTGACAGTACGTCGTGTAAGGTCGGTCAAGGTCATCGATCTTTGGAGCACATTCAGGATGAGGGAAGTCTTGCCTAGTGCTGAACTCTCACCCATCGCATTAAGAGGTCGCCCAGAGCTTTTGGCGAGGACGGATTGGCTCCAATTTCTTTCAGTTTCTGTACACGTGTTAGCCGCATCGTATACATGAAAACACGTTGCCTACCGCGAGGAGTGTGCGATTTGTCTTGTAGACACTCTCGATGCTACGAAACATGACATCGAGCTCCGGTGGTGGCAAATTGGATCGTGACCATGCTGCGGCTACTCTCTACAAAAGCAATGAATCTGACATGTCCGTAATGAATTCAGGGACGCACTCGTATTATACCAGTCAAGTACTCCACATAGATCTTTTCACTCTCGATAAGATCAGTCAAAGGACTAGATTTCTTGGGCTTTTCTATTGGGGAGGTAGGGGAGGGAAAAGACATTGATGAGGCAACTGGTCCGGCTGCCATTGCGGGAGAGTTGGGCGAGTCAAATCCTTGTGGCCGGTGTGAATATGTGCCTATGAAATCAGGGCGCGAAAGATGCGTTACCTAGAGATGCCAGGCTTGGTATTGGAGGTAATTGAGGACCGTCATTAAGGTGAGTATCTATTGCAAGGCCGATATTCTTGGGAGGTAGCGGTGGTGATATAGTAAGTGAATCTGGTGGTAGAGGAGGTAGCTTCATATCACGATCCAAAGGTCTGTGTCCGATCCCAATGGAACCAGACATGATTGAAAGCGAGAGATTTCAAGTGGCTGGGATTAGAATATTAGTCCTGTAGGCATGACGCTCTGTAAATTCAGGTGACTGACAGTCGCGAGGATAACGTGCACAACAACAATTATTTCAATCAAATTTTGATGAGAACATTTCCAGTGCTGAGCAAACAACAACCTTTCATCGTGGCATGAGAGCATGCACTACCAGTGTGACAGTTTATTTTCGAATATTTTAACTAACAAAAGATTAAATCAATAATAATTACTACAAACTAACCTTGACACGATCGACAATGTCATATCCCCTGCACTGGTTCCAAGCCACTTTCCCCTCGCGGTCACGCGCCGTCGAACTCCTACAGCCAGAGTTAGAGAAAGGCGTCATCACAAAGCATGATTTTGAATTAGCAACCGGGTTCCTGCCTGGGGGGCACAGACACTGGCCTGTTCGTCTGCTGTTCCGGTATCATGTTCATATTTGACCGCGGATCCTTACGAACAGACGATATATGGAGTCGGGGCTACAGGCGTCACCCTTGGCTATGGGTACTCAGTGGCGCGTCCCAGGTGGACTCACACAAAGCTTACATGGTGCTCGGGCGCTGCCACCCTCATAGGGATGGTTTTTGGCCGGGTCAGACAAGTCCTGGCCCACAGACAGTTCACAGAGGCTCTGGAAAACCCCGCGGGCTTTATAGAAGCGTTGCGCAATGTTGACCGCAGACTTGGCGGCGATGGGCAGTTGGGCTTCACGCTGGCACGAATAGGAAAGGATGCTGCACATGTTGACACTGCTGCTAGTACCTCCGGGAGCAATCAAGAGCGTGGTCCTGAGATGGTCAGTGAGGAGAATTGGAAGAAATCCTGGCCTCATTCTAAGGCTCCCGATGGCGAGTAACCGTATTGGCTCTGCTGTATGCCGTCCTGACATTTTTCGCAGCCGCTTCACCCCAAGCAGCTCAACCAAAGAATCGCTGGGAGGAGATACGTGCAGCGAACGCGCGTTCTGCTGCTTATGTATCTTCGTGGGACACTATCCGACAACGTCATGAACAGAATAAACTGCCCAACTCGACCTCATCGCCCAGTAACGACCCACCATCATCCGGAATGGATGATCGAGCAGCAGAGCAAGCCAAATTTGATGCTATTCTGGAGGCCGAAAGAAGGAGAGGACAGTCACAGGACTCCCGCGATTTTGTATGATGCTAATGCACCAATGAGATATTTCTTTCGATAAGTAATGAATACCAGCCACCAGTGATCCAATACATTCATTATAAACAAGCGATATATGCACGGTCCAGGGTAACCAACAGTATAAATAATGGCTCGAAACCAAGTAATGTAAACTCATGTGCGGTAACTCCATCGCACTAATCCGCTCTCGGGACGGAGCGGCTGCTGTAGCTCGGGGGGAGACCAGCTGGGCTGGAGGGGAGGTAGGTTGTCAGGGGGGCGGCAGTATAAATCTAGTGAATCCGAATCTCGGATGAACATCCGGGAATCGTACTCCATTGAGTGTGATATGGAGGGATTTGGCAGAGGCGCCATCTGAGCATTTTCAGGTAATGTTGATGTCGCAAACAATGTAGTATGAGAGAATGGATATAGGGGCAGCCCCACCTCCAATGGCTGTTTCTGGCTTGTCAATCGTACTATTTCTCTCATAAGGCCTTGCAATAACTTCTCTTGGCGAGCTGCACCATGATGAATGAGGCGTCTTTAATAATAAAAAAGACATACGCACTACCTATGGGAGATTTTGCTCCGTAGTTGAGCATTGCTTGTCTGTCATACCAGTCAATGGAGATGCCACGAGCTTTCAACGAGGGCGTACCGCAAGACGTTAATTTCTCCCCATACCTGATCTTCTCTCGTCTCATCCCCTATTTCTATGAAGTGCTTACAGACCTGGACTTGAACAACTGCTGCAAGGTACCAACAGATCTGGGGATAGACAATGAATGACCTCTGATTGGGATAACTCAGGAACTCACTGTGACGAATGGGTGCAATCGTGATATATCCAAAGAGGTCTCGGATAACTTGAAGTAGGCTGAAAGAATGGCTCTTGCTGCGTTGATACATCGGCTCGTGGATATGCGATTCAAGTCGGTTAGGTCAAGATAAGGATTGTGGAGTGTGATGGTTGCTCTTAAAGTCGATCTGTGAGAATCGACGAGAGGAAAGTAAGGTAAGACACTCACGCGTACGGTATAATATGGACCATATATAAATCTGTGTCCACTGAGCCATGATTACCAGGCAGTTCATTAGCGCTTGTCATCTTGAACATAGTCGGAAGGTTCTCTAGGAAGTCATTGTAGACAAGTCGGTCGAGATCCGCAAAGCCAGGTAATTCGAAAGGGTCTTGAAACTTGCTAGGTGCAGTCGGAGCACGCAAGTTTCCTCGGACATTGAAGTCTGTGACGCGACCAAACATCATGATGGCCTTGATTAGAAGTAGAAAAGAATCGGTATATTTCGGTAAATGTGTGGTAAAGACGTCTTCCGTACACATGTCTTGAGGATTGCTAGGCATTAATTGCTAAGAAGGGTGAGGTCAACCTGGAGCCATCATAAGCTCTCAAATAAACGATAAGTAATGCTCACCTCTGAGTCGAAGTCTTCCCCTCGGAGAGGAAGCTCAGTTCCGACGTCCCTCTCATCAATTGCATGGATCCATCCACCGACCGATACTATACGGTCAAAGATGATTGTTGTCCACCAGGTGCGACGACGTGACTCCAGATCTCTGAGATCCTTTGGGGGAGGGAGGTACCCGTCCGGTGATGTAGTGTTGTGAGTCGAGAAAGTTCCTGGATAATTTAACCGCAGTGGTATGGCAACACGAGTCTGGAATCCTGCGAAAATCCAAATTTCGACCCAGCGCCCTTCTTGATAGAAATACCAAGCAAGCAGGATGCACGCCTGAACGACAGGAAAGATATCTTGGCCAGTAGCCATTGTTTTGTCGATATACTGTCGAGTTTTACTTGCGTGGAACTCCGCAAATTCGTCACGTCTCGTGCCGTCGGGTAAAGTTGCCACATTGCGGGAGGACCACCTGGAAGCTGACGCACACTACCATTGCTGTCAGTAAGATCCAAAATTAAAATTAGTGGCAGATTCACTATTGCATGGAGTATGGCCGAGTGTGGAAAGGAAGGATCCCTGGGATCCAGACGTACGGCTGCAAGAAAGGATGGGCGATGAAAGATGCGAGGACCACAAGGATCGCACTTGAAAAACACATCTATACTATGGAAACCTTAGTGGACGCGATGGACGGAACGTCAAACCTCACTAGTGCTCCAAAACACTGCGCTCAGGGAGATCGGGATTCCAGCCGGAGTATATTATTTCGAGAATGGTGTCAGTGGAACTCTTGTGCCGAACCTCGTAAAGCTCTGGACTGCTGCTGTTGTCACGGTGATCTGAGTCGTGCATGTGGCCTGGAATTATACGGTCTTTTGGGTAAAGAAACGACGGTGTTTGGACAGAACTAGTCGCCTGACTTCCAGAATCAAGATTCGAGGAAGACGATGCGGACCCAGGGCGCAGCTGATTGAGACGGCGTAGTGGTTGCTGAGATGGTCCTGAAAGTCCGTTGGTTCGTTGCTCTTGAAGTTGGGTCTTCAATTTTGCTACAAGCGATTTAGCCAACGGATAGTTAAAATGGTTATGCAACATACAAACTTCTTCCTCCAGAAGCCGAATTTTGTCGAGAGGATTTGTATCTGGCGCCAAAGCGAGACCGTCTACTGGATCATAAACACACTGCGGTTCTGTTGGGTGCCTGAGATCTGGATGTGAAAATCACCAGCCACATGCATTCTTAGAGAACTTACGCGTAGTCGGGCGGTGCAGGGACACTTATGAGAGACTGCCATTGCCTTGTGTGCGGCGTGTCAGGCAATCTAGTTACCGAACGCCGAGAATTATTGTACGCACTTTACACATGTGCCACAGTGGGGACGGGCAGCATCACACTTCTAGAGGTCTGAATTCAACCTTTGCCGGGCGAAGGCGGCCGATCGCAAACTCACAAGTTTTCTCTTTCGACATGGGCGGCAAGCCTTTGAAGGATAGTAAAGATTCCACTTTAAGTCCGGAAAGATTGGTATGTACTTACCTGGTTCCTACGAAGTGCAGGACGGTTGGTAGCGCTAGCGGTTGGGGTTGCCTTTGGCATTAGTTGATGTAAGTTAGTGTTTGATGGTATTACTACTAGTGTTCGAATGCTAGTGATACCCGGACCTGTGGTTCTGTGAAGGCGTAGCGGATAGGGAGAAGAAGACCTGGTTTATCAGTGGTCGCAGGAACTGGTCGCAGGGAGCATTCAACTGTGGTATAGTCGACGAGGAGTTCGCACTTGCATCATGGGGATACCATCATTCAAATGTTCGTGTACGTATTTGGGTGAGCGGCCTCGCGGACCTTTAATAATCGATCTCAGGTACAAGGAGGTACGAGAAGGGTACGAGGCTGAAACGTTCTTAGTCAATTGTATCGGTCACCAACAATGGCAGGCATACACAACTCAAAATGTCTAGCACACCTATCAGCTCCTGCGGGCATGAACGTTACATTAACATACTTAATGTTACTATAAGGATCCTGCGTACAGGCCGCCGACATTTGTAAGTAGACACACACAGCATGAGTGTCAGGTCTTTCAAGGAAGCCGGCGCCTTTCCAAAAGGAATGACTTGCCTACCAAGTTACTTACGGCTGTTCCCTTCGGTCCATCCCAGACGGAAGTTCCCAGTTAATATTAAATCGTTTTCCAATTGCCCTCTAGTTCTAGTGAGTCATCCAAGTTTATAAATTATTTCCTTTCAACTCGGAGCGTCCATGGGAATACATTATTGGTGGTGTCATATTGAAGCGGATTTAAAGCTCGGTGAAACAACCAAGAGGCAACTCAACGTGAGCCTATCAATACCGAAGAAAACAATCATATCGCCAAGGGGACATTTGATGATGAACGTGATGGCAGACCATGATCAAGACCGGAGGACACGGCATAATAGTACCAATGGTGCACTAGCAGAAAGGAAACAGTACGAGGGAATGAAAGCAACAAGAACATGCGTGCCACAAGGCAAGCAAGGAAGCAAGTCCGTTGATACGCTGGGACCACCGTCTTTAAATTGGGTAGCCTTGGAAGAATCGGCAACAATATGTACTTATTATTGTCTTGCGTCGGGTCTGCTAATCAATATGTACGACAGGGGTTACGCGTTTTGGGGCACTCATTTCTTTGACAGGCTAGGACTCGCGTGAAGCTTGAAGCATACATAACGGCACTTCTGTGGCTAGCCTCCGTTACCCTAGAGCATTTTTGGCTGGGTGCCACTGCAAGAAGTGGCACTTCGAAGAACTTCTTGGCCGGCCGGCATCGGTTAAATGATAAACGATAACTGAAATGATTGTAATTGGCCGCCCTGGCACGGGTGTTACATGATGTGTGCCGAAAGATGATTAACTTGGTCGCTGAAGGGAAATTCATCACGAGAACAACGGGATGCACGATCTTCTGTTGTTTTCAACTAGAACATTGAATGGTTTGAAATCATGACCACGCAAGTTCCCGCGTGACGCGAGGTGCACCTACCTCATGCCCAACGGAACTGCCGCTGTGTCAACTTTCTTTGAGTATGTAAATCATAATAGATCCCGATCGATTTAGGTAGTCTTTCAATTTGAACGATCGATGTTAGCCTAAATCATCCACAGGGGGTAAAGCACTATAGCACGTAACCATAAACATTCATGATAGTGCAACAGGTCTTCATGATCACTGTGTAACATCTGTAATTGCTCCATACGTGTGTTGCCGACAATCTATGACCTGCTCTCTAAGTCAGCCGATAGCTAACAATACCCGGAGAATATATAAATCACTTACAAAACTGTGGCGACAATCCGCCTAGAATGTGCTGCGTGTCTGAATTCGGTTAAGTAGATCCCTAGAACATGAACGGATGTGAATAATTAGGTGAGCTCTACAGGAGCAAGAGTCTTGACCTTGCCAGGTACCGAGGTTCAGACGACCATCGGTAATTGGTATCGAGATAGTAGCACCGATCAAGGATGTCTTTGTGTGAGATACACTGAAAGAACACACTTTATGAAAACGGCGCTTTTGAAATTCGACAAAGCGACATACGAGTCATTGTAGGCCATACGCACGTGAGTTTACTTATCAGCAAGCAGTGAATGTAGAATAATCACTCTGGGCCTTCGTCCGTGTGCATCCAGTTAAGACTCTCGGGGACGATATTATCCAGAGCCATGTCCATATCTGCTGAATTGTTCAGTCAGCATGGTCGCCTCCTATTGGTTCATGATGTCTTTCCTTTCCGAACGTCTGAAGCACCGAACATGATGAGCACAGGCCTAATACTTCACAGAGAACCGACCTCGATCATAATTCTCATTGATTGTTAGCGCGGCTGACGTGTGTTGACTGGCAGTGTTTGAAAATATCCGAAATACAGGCTACACTACGCTCACATGAAGAGGAAGAGCATCCCAACCTGTGCAAGATGTGATCTGAGCAATGTTGGAGAAACCGCCGAATGAGGTGAATAGTACTAGTCGTACCTTCACGTCCTTGATACCTGGTGTGATCTGGGCGTATACCTCATCCGTGACAAGATGACACCCTTTGGATCTTTGTGAAAGCGTAAAGGTTTTCTGCCAGCCCATCGTACGGAAACAACAAAAGAAAGATCGAGATTCACGCTCTCGGACTCCGATACCAATTGGGAGCAGCGCTTATCTCATCGTAGCGGCGGCTCGCCGCTAGTTCCCGACTCTCTTGACCGGTCAATTCCTTTATCTGATTATTCCTTCTGTCGAAGGCTTATACACAACATTCGTACAGTACATGTCTCCACTCGGTTGTGGTGTCCAGCCGGCGATTCCCAAAGTCATGTTCAGCACCCTTCACAGTAACCCAGACTCGAGCTTCTCCCAAGTTCCTTCAGACATACGCGGGGATGGCCTTCCGGTCAACACCATCCATTCAGTCCTGTTCATGTGGAATATCGTTGGCTTTAGTCCGCTCTGTCGGTCCGCCCAACACCTTTTGTATTCGCAAGTCATTGAAGTTGCCCTAAGTTATATGTAGTATCTTACATTTGACCAGCTCATTCCACATACCGTAATATCAGTTGTCAGTCTCTCCGATGCGTACAGAGGATCAGTGGCAGCCAAGGCGCTGGACAGTAATGCGGAGAGTGGGATTCGACAACGCACTTAGATCATTCGCATGACACGAAGGTGTGTGAGAAAACCAGACAAGAACGCTGAGCATTTAATGTGGCTACAAGAGATGAATGCATGTCCGAAAGAACCGAGGACTGGAACCCACTCTCTGCCACAGTATAGTGCATTTATGATGGCATCTCGAGGCGAGCACGTGAAAAATAAGATGTTATACTGTCCCAGGTGTATCAGAACGTCGGGTGTGGCAATCTCGACAGATATAACATCAGCGGGAGGGAGGCAGCTCATCAATATTAATATTGAAGGTGTGAATTGCAAGGGTCCGCTGTTATGCCCGTTGCTGTGTCGAAAATATCAGTGATACATTGAGTAATGCGCGCGAGGGATGATAAAAAACTGGGCATGAGGGAATTTCGTGTGCAACATCATGGGGTGGACAGTCATCAAGATTAAGCACGCGCGCACGGGTGCAAGGACTCTTGCACAAAAATAGCGACATGATTGCGACAGATCTGAGGAAACAATGAGCAGAAACGTGGCAGCTACAGGATACGACTTACAGTAGGGAGGGACGGAGACGAAGAGCGACAAGATATGACTTACAAAAATGCAACGAGAATGTTCCCAACAAGGCCTGAACTTTATCAGAAAAAGGAAATCATTCCAGGCACACTGATCAGCATACAGGTGCCTGGACGTTTGGAGCCGACAGAACTCTCCACTTCGTGGAGTCGGGGACACCATTAAATGCTTGCATGCTATTCCATACGCATGTGTCGTTCTTCTCAAGGTGTGTAGATGATAGATTCATTCCAAGGCACGACAAAGTACATTCACGAGGTAAATGGGTGCCCAGCAGGAGGCATCAATCGTCCATGCCGAACCTCTTGGCACGATCTAAACCACCACGATTGCCTGGTACATTACGATTCCTACAGTGGTTAGCATAATGGCCCTTTTCTCCGCACTGGGTATGATGAGTATTTTCCTCAACAAATAAACACGCAGAAACAAACCTTGAAACACAGCACTTCATCGAGGTTTCTACGAGGTGGTCCACTACTGTTCGGTCCTCCACTGTGGGACATCACCTGCGGACCCATGGCTCCCCGATCGAAATCAGCATATCGACCATATCCTGGTGGCGGCGGGCCAAGATCACGATTTGAAGGCGGTGATGGAGGTTCATATGATTTAGGTAATGGTAAGGTAGGTTTAGGACTGCGAACAACAAATAAGTCAAGTAAGAAGAGCGAGTATGGATTACACGCACTGGCCGCGAGGGCATTCTGGACCTAGGGGGCACAAGCCGGTTAGGTAGAGTTGACAGGCGACACGGCGAACATGCTTGCGAGGGCACGTTGGTCCTATATGCAATATCAATACAATTAATAGGTTCGACGTGACAAGTAACTTGACCGAGGCGCACCTAGTTTGCAGAACCCGCGTTTGTAATCAGGACACTCAACACGGCGTTCCTTGGGATGAGCATAGAGGCATTCATCTCCTGCTGAGCAATAACCGTACTTTGCATACCACCAACACTCTGGCATGCGCCTGAGATTGTATTCATGCAAGAACTCGCACGCATCGCCCTTTTTACACAAACCACGTAGCCAATGTTTACAGACTGTAGCTAAACGTTCTCGTTCGCGAGGATGTGTGGGTAACTGCTTTGGAGGCTGAAAGTTCTGTGAAGAGGGTGTTGTATGGCGCAAAGGACAGTGAAGTGGTCCTAATGGACATCCAGTTGGGGTCAATGACAGACGACATATTTGATCGTCTTCAGGACATGTCAGCAAAAGAGTCGGTATTGAAAAAAACAAGAAATTTACCTTTATCGAGCTTGAGACCAAGTTCATTTTTTATATACAGTTCTTCAGGAAAGTTGTTCTGGTGAAACTGAGGATGTACGATGTCCTTAAGGGCTGATGGACCAGCTAACGGGTTGGTGGCCATTATTGACAACTTGAAAGCGGAACCTTTGGGAAGAAGCGAGTTCAGAACACGTCACGGGGCTTATTACATAAAAAGGGGTACTTGGCACCAGTAATCTGTACGTAGTTATTAAGGGTTGGATAGTTATATGAATCCTAATGAACACCGAGATAAAAGTGCCAGCCGACAGGGTATCCGTATCCTCACGTTTACTTCGTCAGGCTATCTTCCCTTCTATCATAGAACATGATGAAGCCGCCGTCAGTCAGCGTGTCCCTCACTGATATTTCGACTTTTTTTCTTGCTCTCTTCGCATTGGCATGGTTCCTGCCACGCACATTTCTTGCCAGTGTTGCCGGGAAAAGACCTCTACCGCCTGGTCCTCCTACAGGTTGGTTTGGGAATTTTAGTTTGCCATCAAGCTATCAATGGCTCCATTATGCGAAGTGGAAAGAATTATATGGTAAGGCGTAGGGAACACTAAGGGTAATAAGCTTATCTACCCATAATGTTTATAGGGGACATCATCTACGTCTACGTTCTAGGCAACCCCATCATTGTCGTCAATTCGGCACAGGTAGCAGAGGAACTTTTCGAGAGGCGGAGCAGAAAATATTCTTCGAGGTAAGTCCGTTTCGCGACTTGATCTGTCTCTTGAGTAATCATGAAAAAACAGGCCCATCAGAACTATGGTGGTCGAACTGTAAGTACTGCTGTGAATCGATTGCTGATACGTGGCTGAGAGCCGCAGAATGGGATGGGATTGGCTCTTTTCGTCAATGCCGTACGGGAGGAGGTGGAAACAACGTGCGTGGTCTATTACAGCAGACATGTAAAAATGGATCTTCGCCCCTCAGACAGATCGCTCTTCCATCGTCACTTTCACAGGCTGCTGACGCCCGAGTATCACTCAGTCTTAACAAAAGAGACTCATACAACTCTTCGAAATTTGGCCCATACACCGGACGATTTTGCTCACCACTTGCGCCGAACAGCCGCAGCTATCGTTATGAGAATCTCGTACGGACATGAAGTTTCAGACAAAGGCGATATTTACGTAACGTTGGCGGACGAAGCAATGCAAGGTCTCGGTATGGCAGGTATCTTTGGCTCATTCTTGGTAGATTATCTACCATTTTGTAAGTTGGCTACACGAGCCATGATCAACAGTACTAACCAGTGTTCACGCTTGCAGTGAAATACGTTCCTGCCTGCATGCCCGGCGCAAATTTCAAGCGCCAAGCGCTGATATGGCGCAAAAAGACCAGGGCCATGATCGACCAACCGTTCCAGGCAGTGAGGGAACGCATGGCGAACGGCACTGCTATTCCATGTTTTGCGCAGAAGGAACTAGAGAAGCTGCAACAGGGCGTACATTCGGATCCCGACTATGAGACCACAATTAAAAATGTTGCAGGTATCTCCTATGCAGGTTGGTAATTTCTTTCATTGTACGTGGATATGTAGACTCTAATCTAATTTTAGCTGGTGCAGATACGGTTCGCTGCAAATATTCGTGAGTTCTTTGGTGCTCACCTATTCGATTTTGCAGACGGTGTCTACCTTGCTTTCCTTCGTCCTGGCGATGCTGGTTCATCCCGAAGTGCAGAAACAGGCGCAACAAGAACTTGATGATGTTCTTGCTATGGACCGCCTGCCAACATTTGCTGACAGATCTAAACTGCCATTTATTGACTGTATTGTTTGGGAATGTCTGCGATGGAATCCAGTGCTCCCTATAGGACCAGCTCGCTTAGTATCTTCAGATGATGAGTACAACGGTTATTTTATTCCAAACGGTACCTCAGTCTTGCCCAACGTTTGGTAAGTCAAACATCAATGAAATTAAAAGTAATGAAACTTACACGTAGTTCATAGGGCAATCCTTCATGACGCCGACGTTTACCCGGATCCATTAATTTTCAGTCCTGAGCGTTTCTCAGACCAAAAAAAGAACCACGACCTTGGTATCAACAAGCTTCCTTGGCCAGCCTTCGGGTTTGGAAGACGGTTTGTTACAAAAATGCACTCATTCGGCAGAAATTATTAACTCCGTTCAGGATATGTCCTGGACGCTGGCTAGCCTACGAATCTGTTTGGTTTTCCATTGCGTGCATTTTATCCGTGTACTCGATCGAGAGGGGCATTGATGAGAATGGCCTCGAGATTGTGCCTGAAGTTGCATACACTTCCTCCATGATTAGGTGTGTCATATCATTGCTTTCAGAAGATAAGCTATTGATAGATACGAATAAGCCGACCCAAGCCCTTCAAATGTCGCTTTATACCTCGTTCGGAAAGAGCTGATCAGTTGATCAAGGGTACTGCCCCCTGAACTATGCTCATCGTGAGAGTCTAGAGCGTAAACTTCAGGCTCTTTCCTACTTATTGATGATGGATGAAATTTTATTATGACAAAGTAGCCCTGCACAAGTAGAGCTTGCACGAAACGAATATATTTGTAATTTTGGCCCGCACGAATGTCTATACTACCATATGCCTAGAACTGTGGATTCCAAACCTGCTTGCCTTAATCTTTCGACAGCTTGGTTCACACAATCAAACCAGGTAACATCACTTTCTTTTCCCCCTTCGGCATACACTTCAAGAAAGTATGCATCATGAAAGGTGGCTGAATATAGAGATGGTCTTCGGTCTATGCGGGAGATGGGTATGTTGAGTGCCTTGATCGCCTGTGAAAAATCCCATGCCACAGAGTCTCTGTCAGGCAAGAAACGGATTAGAGCACGCTTCCGGTGGGTGGGTGGTGTTTGCCATGGGACCCGAACGTCCACGCCATGGGATACGATATAAAAGCGCGTCACATTCGCTGCAGAATTTTAGCTCGTTTCCGTGAGGCATCATCTAATATCACATACATTCTCCATCTTGGATGCCAGTATGCAACACTTCCAGGCCGGGAAACAACGAAGTGACAATCGCTGAACAAATCGCTGCACTCTTCAAGGGGTCAAAACTGTCGGACAGCGGATTGAGCAATGCACGAGCAGCACTCGCAGTTGAGTCTGTCGGCACAAGCGATGCTCTTGGAAGGAGTTCCTTCAGAAACGCCTTACACTGGCCTAAGGCCTGCAGTGATGAGTCAGAAAGTGCCATATGCATGAAGGGGGATGTATATTCACTTGTTCGTGGCTGAAAACGTGCTCGATATCCTCGATTTTAACATTTTGGCGAACGACCAGGGAATGTTTGATCGGCAAGTTTGTCTCCCCTCTCACAAAGCTATCTCGACCAACGAATTCGCATCGGAGTAGGTTGTAGGTCTCGATCACCGACCCGTTGGTGCTATTTTCTTGGGGTATGATACCAAAGGGTAGCTCAGACGATAGTGACTCGAAGACGCCTAGAAGATCCGATGGATCACAGATCTGAGTGACAAGGAGAAGACCGACTTACCAGCGATGGTCTGCTTTGCGACATAATGAACAGAATCACCAAAAGCGTCAAATGCCGCTTGATGGGAATATGTTCCGGGCGGACCTAAGAAAGTCAGAGCAGGCAACTCCTGCACTTCATCGGAGCTCGACGCCAATGTGGAAAGGGTGTTTGACATCGATAGTCTGTATCGTTCTTCCAGCTGTCCAGGGCGCCCAAAAGTTATTAAATGAATTTACACACAGTCAAACGCATGATTGCTGTGTCATACTCGTAGCACATCAAGATTCCAAAAAAAACAAGAGAGTACACGAAGCTGTGGCTGCTAAAGTACTTCATCGACAGAGACAAAACATGACGAACTTTACAGTACATTATTTATTGCGATAACTTATTAACGAGACAGACTGATGCTTGGCAAAAAAACCTGGAAAAAAAGTCAAGGCTGGGGATCTAGGTTATTTATCTTAAGGAAGTATGCCATGTCGGGCTGATTTGTACTTGTCTGCGAGACACTAGCAAGCAGTTGCTGATTGGTGACAGTAGAAACTGGTCTCCCGTCCGCAGGACTCGAATGAACAACTACCGGACCACAGACTTCAGGAATGCAAGCATCCAACATTCGATGATACCGGTCTGAAATTATAGAATTGAGTACTGGAAGCAAAAGCCACCCGGACAACGTACAGGAAAGGGGGACTCGTTCGGCCATCTTGCTCAATGCCATCCTGAACCAAGAGTTTGTTATTCCGAGAATCACTCTGTGTCACGCACCACTAACCTTACAAAGTCAAGCTCTGCTCGTAGGGTGTCTATTTGTTGGATACAAGCAGCATCTTGAGCAGCGCGGAGGAAACGGCCAAAACATTGACCGGCAAGATACCAGCAAAACTAGCAAAGCGGATAAGATATAGGCGAACCCAGGTTAACTAGCACATACCGGGCAGAAATAATCCAAAAGCCCGATATCATAATTCGTGGACCACACTGCATATATGAGTTCAAGAATTGCACGGGCACTCTCGAGTATCTTGGCAGCCGAGGTGCAATTGGCCCTATCTATATTGGCGTGAGGTTCATGAAGTAAAATCCTTGTTCTAGAAATATGCCAATAAGCTTGCACGCGTAATCATAAAACTTCAACAACTCACACATGTGCAGTGAGGAAAGTCGTGTATAAGTGCGTGTCCACCAGTCCATTTCTGAATGGGTCTTTCAGATTACTTGGAAACGATGACCGGAACGACACGAGCAACTGATCCAATTCTAGGAAGGCGGGAGACAACCGAATATCCGGCTGATCACCGTATCCCTGGGCTGTAAAGTTCCTCACTGGAAGGAATCTCGTGTCTCCTAGATTCGATTTGATCTTGTATCGGTTGTTGAAGTTCTTGATGAAAGAAAGAAGCATAGTGCTCTTGATATACAACGTGAAGGAATCCGTGATATCGGGGGGATGATAGAGTACCGCTTCTCTGACGTGGCACCACTGCCGCACGTTATAGTTCACAGGTATCTAAGTAGATTGTCAGCTAGCAGGAAGAAAAGTAAGTGTTTGTACTGACCCCCAACTCAAACTGTTCCATCGTGACTGGGAAAACTTGGGCGATATCATCATCATCAAGAGAGAGCGCCCAACCAGTGCCAGATCCATGTTGGCGATCAACCGCGTACGCTAGCCAGAAGGTATTTCTCCGTGTTTCGTCCTCAATTGGAGTGCGAGGCGACGGGATTATCGACATTGTTGGGGAACTCCCATGTAACGAACGAAAAGGAGGGCAAATGTTGAGTCCCAACGGTATTGCAACGCGCAAAGATTGGCCACTGCAAGTGAATAACTGTGCATCAAGGGCAGTTAGCGATATTCTATGATGTACATGTAAATCGTAGCAACCTCAACCCATCTACCACAAGCTGGTGAGTGAGAGAACATTCGATAGAAGATAAGCTTACTTCGAGTGACACCAATAGTACCACGTCAGTAGAACGTACGCTGGAAGACCGTTAGTTACCACGCAGCCGCTCACATAGACTCACTGACTTTGCACGCATTGAACTAAATGTTGACCTTTGTTCAAGTACTTCTCGACCGTTTCTTTAGCGTGGGTTGCTTGTTGCTCTGCAAATGTATCAGGCAGATCCGGCTGTGCAAATTGTCCTTCGTCTGCCACAAGGCGATTGTTAGCCAAATAGGCGTTACAGCAATGAAAAGATAAAGCCGTTACATAGGAAGTCTGCAGCATTCGTCCGAGGTCCTCCAGCTGCAGTATAGATGGCACTGACGGCGCATATGGCATGTAGAACGGGTGCAATGGGAAAATCTGGATGGTCTGGTGGGTATGATAGCGAAGCTATGAAGGTTCCCCTATGGAAAAGGCGGGATGCGTGCGGGTGAAACAAAAAGAACATATCGACCCTGGTACAAACAATAAGCCGAAGAAATTGATCGGGGAAACAACTTACAAATGACGAATGAGTTCTGGGTGAGGGAGGTTGGCAGGCCAATGTGACCAGATGACGTCTGGCGAGAAGTGGAGTCAAGATTACAAGAAAGAAAGAGGGGTCGCCGCACGTACCCGTGCTAGACGAAAGCAAGGGAGTATCATTCCTAATGCTTTCGCTTTCAATGACATGTGAATTGTCATTCCAAAAGTACGGGTGAACCGCTTGAGCATTCACGTCCAAATTAGATGGTGACAATAGGGATTCCAGGTCACTTGGGAAGCTCATTGTGGATGCCGATCCGGGACGTGAATTCGGTGGCACAGATTGAATAGAAGCAGGTGAATTCTGGATGGACGAGGGGGGCAAACTGCTAGGTGGATTAGCACCCGGGGATGTTGCCTGCTCCTTTTGATTTAAAAGTGCCTCGAGCTCCTCTGAGGACAGGAATTTGGTGATGAGTCTCCACGAACTTAGCAAGCCATATACGTACTTATCCGAGTCTCCAACCGCTCAAACCTATTCTTGGGACTATCTGATGGGGCAGATGGGGTCTCCGTTGTTGCAACTGATCTGATATTTGAACACAGGACCAAGCTACGAGCGATGACGCGTACCTTCGTCGAATGTGCATTCCGGCCTTTCTGGCAGGTTTGCCCCAGGCTGTGCATGGTCGCGAGCATGCTTGTGTGAGCGAACACACGTCGAGCAGGGTCGCCTGGCATCACTGGTGGAGCATTATCTGAGCAAGGTAGCTCTCATCTAGACATGACTTTACCATTTCTTGTAATGGTATAGGTCAGAATCCTGCATCAAATATCGTATTAAAACTCACCAATTTGCGCCTTCTGCACTGATGGCAGGCCTAAAACATGGTTTGAGTGTCTTGGGAGTGAAAGAGAAAAAGTCCTGGACCTGATTTCTTTTGAGTACGGTAGCGCCGCCTGTTCCCGAACCAACTGAACCTGGTGCTTTAGGCATCGATAAAGATTGGAAAGGTCTTGATAAAGAGTATGACAACAAGTGATTACAGCATGCAATCTTGGACCAACTAAGTTAGGTCAGCTAGAGTGAATAGTGGAAGAAGTGCAGGTTCAAAGGCGTTGAGACGTCGAAGAACCACCCACAACGGCCATTCTAAAACGACCCTAAAAGTAACTTGCTCAGCCATATCCGTCCGGGATCATAATATTTATGGCACTCGACATCAAAACCGCAGTCACTTAAACTCGCACTAAACACGCTACCGCTCGATAACTAAGAACCCATCATTGACGGGAAAATGCAACATATAGGTCGTAACGGAAGCAACAACATAAATGGGCGTGATATGATAAAACAAGGAAAATCCATCTATATGAGCATGGGAATAACAAGTCCACTCTCATACGATAACACAACCACGGCCACTGCGCTTCTTTTCCTTCGGGGGAGGGTTCACTATAAGTCTGGTTAAACACGTCTCATGATGAGGATGAAGAAATATGCGTACAAACAGCACGGATAACCTCATCGAACACGGTCTTCAGGCCCTTCTGCGATAGCGCAGAACATTCGAGATACTTGACAGCACCAATGTCCCTCGCCATCGAGACTCCTTGCGTGTACTGGATGGGCTGCATGCGCCTAGGTATATTGGTATTAAGAAAAATCTCAAGTGGCATGCCAGACTCACCGGTCACGCAGTTTCTCGATGGTAGCAGGGTCTTCGCGCAAATCCAGTTTAGTTCCAACCAAGACCACCGAGGTTGATGGCGCATGATGTGAAATCTCGGGCCACCACTGGATTGCAGGGGTCAACACAAACAGCGAGTGTATTTGCCCGAAGAGTGACACACCTTGGTTCTAACGTTCTCGTAGCTAGGTGGACTGACGAGCGAGAAACAGATCAAAAAGACATCTGTCTGAGGGTAAGAGAGTGGACGGAGACGATCGTAATCTTCTTGTCCAGCGGTATCCCATAGGCCGAGAGAAATGGTTTTCCCGTCGACCATCACATTTGCAGAGTAGTTGTCGAATACTGATGCTGAGTGAGACGGTAGTACTTTCAGGTCACCCACCGATCATACCTGTTGGCACGTATTCTCCCTATGAGATAACTTAAATGTTGCTCCAATATGATCGCGTATAAAACTCACTGGAAAGGCATTTGTGGTATAAGAGATGAGAAGACACGTCTGGACCACCCATAAATCTCTCAACGCCAGGGCCGCGATGTGAAGAGGGACTTGCCTTGCCAACAGCACCATCACCAACTACAACGCCTGAATCTCGTGTCAGCTGATATCAACAGTAGGCGAGTAAGACACACATTTGATGTTGTGCATTCTGATTGAATCCTACTTGGTTGCCTGAAAGAGAAGCCCTCAAGGAGCAATGCGTCCGCAGAATAAGCGAGTGCTTGTATAAACCTGCCAATTTCACAAGGAGATAAGCCCAAGTGGTTTGTGGCTGTCAGTAAACTGAAACAGAACGTTACAACTGGAGAAACGGTTTAAAACGTACCTTTAACTTTGAAAGATGGTAGAAGACGGCTGACGACGAATAGACGAAAGAATGGTTTGCGCTTAGAATCAGTGCGACTAGGCTGTCCTTGCCTTGATGGGCCTCTCCGCAAACGTACAATAAATGTATCAACAATACCTTAAATTAGGAATATTTCGTTCATATCTCCGCTTTTTTCTCACATATCTTCATGCGCCAGTGAAATACCGGATGTAACTGCATTCTATTCGTTCGTCACAATGGCGTAATAAATACACAGCTGTACAGGGGCAGTTCACGACATATTTTTGAAGTAAAATCTTGGCGTTGAAATGGTACATTTGAGGTCCCACTTCGGGGGAAATCCGGACACTGGGAAACCCTAACCTTGGGTTACCCAAACATTGATGGCCGTAGGAACAAATACATGTCAAGGCAAGATAGTATACAAGTAATGTAGGTTGGGCATGAAGGTGTACATGTACAAGTCTGAAAGCTGAAACAGTTGCCAAAGCCAAATGAGAAATTCTGGAGCTGATAAATAGTAAAAACCATTCAGATAACGACATACAAATGCAAAGCGAATCGAAAACTGGTAGAACAAACGAACAAGATCACTCAGGCTAACCAAATATCACCCTGCGTTTCTTTGATGGCGGTGCCAAATCATCAGCAACATCCATCAACACTCCCTCGACTTCTGCTTCATCCTTCTCCTCTGCTTCGCGATGAGAAACATGGGAAGTAGAAAGATCGAACGGTGCCATCAAGCCAATGCCTAGGCCGATGAGACCGTCACCATTGGATTCTGGCGTTTCATTGTCCGGTAGACGGAAATGTCTTATAACTGGGCTTTCCGCCTCTGGACTAGACTGAGGCGGCGATACAACCCTCTTTTCGGGCGGCTGTCGCAAAGTAGATTCAAGCTGCTTGAATGGGCTCCCGAAGGGATCATCGCTGGTTAGGCGGGCAGGGCTTGGTATCGCTGCACTGCTCAAGCTGCTCACCGAAGATGAGAGCGAGTTATCAGAAAGCCAACCGCCCTGTATGTCAAAGGAGTTGTTCATGGCAGTTCTTTTCCGGTCATGACCGAGCTTGCGACGTAGACCGCCACCAAGTGGGGAGTCATTCAAGCGTTTGCGGAAGTCAAGGCGAGTAAAAACTGGCACTGGCGAACGACTATCAGAAAATAAGTGGCGTGGAGAAGGTCTGAAGATGATGGGAGAGCTTCCTTCGGTGAATATGCTGCTAAGGTCGCCGAACGTCTTTCCGCGAAATGTGGTACTGCAGGGAGTATTCATAACACTCGTCGTACCAGTGCTTGGGGAGCTCGAATCAATAACAGAGCAACCTTTCGTTGCAGGAGTCGCACGTGCGAGCATGGACAAACAAAATTCCCTAGCCCCAGAATGGAGAGGGTGGCTTGGACTTGGGAAGCGCCAGGGCTGGTCTGAAGGAAGACGCGGTGGAGAGTGGCGGAACGATGGTGTCAACGTTGGGTCGTAAGGAGACATTGGAACAGTAAATCTTGATGTTTTTGGGGACGCACTCGAGTCATCATCAGCTTGACTTGCCCGCAAATTATAGGAATCTGTCAGCGTGACTCCTTCGTCCAACGACCTTGGGTGTTTGAGGACGGGAGGAGACGAAAGTGCAGGAAACTCATTTTGTTTAATGACAGGTGCAGAGGGCACGGGTAAATCATCGTCGTCTGCATCATCTGCATCATCATCATCATCATCATCCTCTGGGGTAGGTGTTATGCTATTCCTTGAGGACGAGGTTCTTGACTTCCGGGATTTGTTGTCTGGTCCCCTGGAACCCCGACGATCATCTGCATAGTTTTCCTTATCGTGGTGGTTTCGTTCCCCTGAAATGAGAATTAGTTATTAGAAGATGTCAACTCTCGAGCATAAGCTTACTGCCAGATCCGCGGCCACCACGAGTGCGATCATGTCCCTCACGACGATTCGACATGGCAATTTTGTGTTTCTCATACACGTGTCGCCTCCACATGCTTTTTGCATTAACCCCTGCATATGTTCTCCTGCAGAATGTGCAACGCAGCCTGGGCTCTTCCCCTTCGGGCCAGCCATCAGGGCCCAAAGCCTTGAGATCCTTTTTCTTGGCTGGACACCATCCTCTAGGCGGTTCAAGCTGCGGAGGATAAGGAATTGCATCTGGATTGGTAGATGAACCGTTGACAAAATCGTTCTGATCTAAGAACCAATCTGGGTTCGCAGCCATCAACGAGTAGGAGAGGCCTTCCGGGTACAGATGAGCATTTGGAAAGGCAACGAACGGTGGATGAATAAAAACGATATTCGGGTCAGACAGGGAGGGATCCATCATGGGCATATGTTGAACTAAGGATGACGTAGAATGCGTCCGCATAGTAGGTTGTAATTTGGGCGGCGGCGGGACGGGAACCGAAGAGCCGTTTGGTGTATATGGCTTTGGTTTAAATGATGCGGCGGCAGGCGTGAAAAAGGGGAGGTCCGAAGCAGACGTCAAACGTCGCTTCAGAGCGCGGTTTGCGTTCGTGGATGACGTGGTAGTAAATGAAAGCGAGGTGCTCAGAGTGGATCGTGTGTCTGACATGGCAGGTGACTGCTAGGCTATGTGTACCAATGATTTAAGATTACTACCCTTAAGCGCCATAGATTTTCTGCCCAACACAACGAGTACTCACGCATAAAAAAGACTTTTGATGGTGTCTCAAACCAAACTGATTAGATATCGATGTATGTGACGGTGGGCGGGCTGGTAGGGAATATCACGGGAGGGGTCGCTACAAAAACTGTCGACCAGGTGATGCTACTCACTACGATTATTTCTCACATTTTAAGCGGAGTTGACACGTCTCCCTCTGTCTTCAACGCGTCCATCACGTGACACTGAATTTCGTGTTATCTCAGCTATTAACGCAAGACCCCGTCAGAGCAGGCGTGCAAACAGGATCAATTAATTAAGTACTGAGGGGACATGGAAACAAAACCCTGGTGCCCCTTTTCGATACTGTTGATGAGGCGTGTGTCAACATGATCACACGACTAGCTGTCCTGGAGTTTCCGCCGCAAAGGAGGGGATCGATTGAACTATCGCCCGGTGCGCACCAGCACACGATGGGTAGCAAGGCTAGAGCAAAAGGAACCCTGGCCAGTGATTTGAATGGTGCACTGAATCAAACCTGCTAGCAGCCCACACTCAAAAGGCAATTTTCGACGCTTATAACTGGTCACTGCAACTGGATCCGAGTGTGATATATGTCGATATTTGTTCAACTGTTGACAGAAGGAAAAATACGTCCTACGCCACGAGAATGAGAAAAAGTAGTATACAATGCACATGTTTCCAAAGTGCCATGTATTGACGTACAACCAGGATGGGACGATGGCCCACAACAAGGCCAAGGCTCGGGAACACCCTGATCTAGAGTACCAGAGAAATGTACCTAGTCAATACAACAACATGAGTGTGTGCTGGAAGTATTACTACTATTATTCGGCTTACCCAGCAATCATAGCTATACCCCCCAAGGGAGTAATAGGTCCAAGGAACTTTAATCTGGATAGCATGGTATGACATTATTAGAGCACAGACATTAATTATAAGAGAGGTGCCGCACTTCCACAGAACAAGCGCTATGATGGAGCCAGAGAAGACAAAGCCTCCTCCTGCAATCGCAGGGCCAGCGAACTTGTGCGTCGAAAATCGAGGATGCATCGAGAGCACAAACAAGGTCAGGCCATTAAATATCTTGGCGCTCGAGATTAGAAAAGAGTCATGATACACGAGGAGCAGTTACAAACCGCGTAATGAGACGCTGTCCCCCAGGCGGACAAGCCTTCAGGCGTGATGCCTGGTCTGCGCTTCAATGCATGGGAACCAAATGCACCAGCAATCATTCCTGTAGTAGCTGAGCACCAAGCGCCGCATGACAGACGTTATTCAGACCATGTCAACAAGCTGTGCCAAAATAGCTAACCAAGGATAGCCCCCAACTTCCAAAGGAGCGAGGGCGTTACAAAAGTCGAACCTCGCGAGAGAAGTGGCGTAGACGAGTTGGGAAGCGCCATCTCCAAGAGTACCACTGCAGTAGAGTGTCAACGTTTCAACCAGGCTTTAGTTGGTGATGTAATGTGTTGTATTGTTGCCGAACGTTTAGTGTAAAAAAAAGTTATCAGGATCTGCTTATAAGTACTTGCTTGCAGCCAGCCATGGGCAAAGCACAAAAAAAGACAGGAAAGGGTCGGCTTGACAAGTATTACAAGCTCGCAAAGTACGCATTTCCTAGATCATCAGATATATCACATTATCCAACCCATTGCATCTAGAGAACAAGGTTACCGTGCGCGGTCAGCTTTCAAGCTAATTCAATTGAACAAAAAATACACATTCCTCGAATCAGCCCGATGCTGCATCGATCTGTGCGCGGCACCTGGAGGTTGGCTACAGGTGGCTAGCAAGTACATGCCGACAAATAGTGTTATCGTTGGTGAGTGTTTTCTGGACACTTCAAATTCACTCTCTTGATTCGTTCATTTCACTCTGCAGGCGTGGATCTTGTACCAATAAAACCTATACCTCGTGTGGTCACGTTCGCTGCAGACATTACCACTACGCAGTGTCGCAACCTCATTCGTAGCGAAATCAAGGATTGGAAGGCGGATGTTGTTCTTCATGATGGTGCACCGAATGTCGGTACTGCATGGGTACAGGACGCATACAGCCAATCAGAGCTCGTACTCATGAGTTTCAAACTCGCTGTGGATTTTCTCGTCAAAGGCGGGACATTTGTCACTAAAGTTTTCCGAAGTGTCGACTACAACAATCTCATTTGGGTCTTCAACCAGCTTTTTGGAAAGGTAGAAGCTACAAAGCCTCCGTCATCTAGGTACGTCTTGTTATCTTGGTAATAATATCTAATATTTACGTGGAGATAGAAATGTGTCTGCTGAGATTTTCGTTGTCTGCCGAGACTTCCTTGCTCCCAAACACATCGATCCCAAGTTTCTGGACCCCAAACATGTTTTTAAAGATCTTTCGACTACTATTGCGTCCGGTACAGACAAGGGTACCTCTGCAAACAACGCACAGGCAAATGTGTTTCAACCTGAAAAGAAGCGTCGGAAACGTGATGGTTACGATGACGGGGACTATCTTTTGTTTAAAAAGGCTTCTGCAGCTGACTTTATTCGGAGTGTTGATCCAATAGCTGTGCTCGGACTGGTCAACAAAATAACCTTTGAGTTGCCAGAGGAAAAAGAGTATGACCGTTAATCCTCTGACGTGCCGTTTTGACGTGTTCTTCAGGTGGTTACAGCTTGATATCACTACTCCCGAAGTTCAGGCAAGTTGTGAGGATTTGAAGGTACTTGGCAAGGGTGATTTTAAGAATCTGCTCAGGTGGCGGACTGCGCTTCGTCAAGAAGTCAGTGGCGCCGTTTTATCTCACTTGTTTACGGTCGCTCACATTTGCCCATAGATCGGATTAGATGTGAAGGCGGAGGACACTCAAGACGTTACAGAGACCGTCGAGATCACTGATGACGTTGACGAAGAGCAGCAAATTCGAAATGAGGTCTGTCCTGGACCTATGGTTTTTCATCGTTCTGACTCGTGTATTAGCTCGAAAGATTGAACGCTGAGGCAGCTGCGCGTACTAAACGCGAACGTCGTCGTGCAAATGAGATCAAGACCAAGACAATCCAGCGAATGCAACTTCAAATGACCGCTCCGTTAGATATCGGTCTCGAACAAAACGATGCTTCACTAGGAATGGGCCAAGAAGATATGTTCGATTTGACGGGCACTGAAAGGCAGTTGAGAAATAAAGGCGGGATTGGGATCATACGGGTGGATGACGATACACCGGAGGATGAAGACGAAGATGAGGTGGCGGCAAGGGACGATGAAGAGGATGAAGTCCTTGATTCTGATGAAGAAAGGGATCGAAAGGCGTCACGGCTTGAGGCAGAAATGGATGGCCTATATGATGCCTACCAAGAGAAGCTGAAGGAGCGCGACTCAAAATTCCAGGCTAGGGAAGCAAGACAGAGGAACGGAATGCTGGAAGAATGGGGCGGAATTCAGGATGGAGATAATAGTGAAAGCGACGAGGAAGGTGGATGGGATCAAATGGAGGCCGCAAAGGGGGACAATGACGATTCCTCAGATGAAAGTGATGATGAGGAACACGAAACGCCAAGCCGAAAGAGGAGAAGACCTCAAGCAATAGAAATCAAATCAAATAAGAAGGTCAAGCTCGTGACGAAGCTAGAGGAGTCAGCTGTAGTGGGTCGTGCTTCCCAGGTATGGTTCAGCCAAGACGTTTTTGGCGGTGTAGAGGGTCTTGATGATATAGAGGGTGAAGAAGAAGGGGAGGAGGATGTAGACATGGCATCAGCGCAGCACGATGGTAGCGAGGAAGAATGGCAGGATGATGTACGTCCCAAATCACTCATTTTAAGTTTTGTACTTATGAGATCACCTAGCCTGCTGCTTCATCTGACGGTGACTTTGAAGTTGTGCCCCAGCGGGCCGACGATGACGATATTGAAATGTGGGACGCTGAGGATGAAAACCAAGATGAGGCTAAGAAGGAACATATCAAAAGTTCGTACGATGGGCTCACCTGGTATTTTTGATGAACACTGACCAATGTTCTAGAGTATGGCCTAACTACAGCGGAATCTGTGTCCATTGCTCAGCGATTAGTAAATCGCCAAACTACTAAAACACATCTTCTTAATGACGGATTCAACCGCTATTCCCTCAACGCAAAAGACGGCTTACCGTCGTGGTTCTTGGATGATGAGGGAAAGCACTACAAGCCGAATATCCCCGTGACCAAGGAGGCTATTGCTGCTCTGCGAACGCGTCAACGCGCTCTGGATGCACGTCCAATCAAGAAGGTCGCAGAGGCCAAGGGGAGGAAGAAACTACGAGCAACACAACGGCTGGAGAAGGCGATGAAGAAGGCAGAGGGTGTGAACGAAACATCAGACATGAGCGAGCGCGAGAAGGCAAAGCAGATAGAGAAGCTGATGCGCAAAGGAACTGCAAAGGCCAACCAGAAGAAGGAAACGAAAGTGGTAGTTGCGAAGGGTGCTCACAAAGGAGTCCAAGGCAGACCAAAAGGCGTCAAGGGGCGTTATGTTATGGTCGATGCAAGGATGAGAAAAGAGGTAAATCCTCCGTGCGCATTGGTCTTGCAGAAACTGACTGTTGAACAGACACGCGCCAAAAAACGGAGAGACAAGGCAAACAAAAAGCGAAGATGAGCACGATCAGCTTACTACCATACTACAATCAGTTTCATGCAATGTCCATACCATTCATCGTATTCATGATTTGAAAGCATCAATTATTAGTTTAGTGTATACAATTGATGGTAAGTTAAGGGACTGGGAGATCTATTTCGAGACCCTGAGCAGGCATTGAAATAGTGCTGATAAGGTCACACGATGCGAGGAACTGAGTCCAAGCTTCACGATCCGTAGAGTTATCAAGAGTAACCTAGTTCATGAATGAGCCCACCATAAACCCAAATCTCGTGGTCACACACCTGACAAGTTGTAAACTTTTGGTTGCTCTCCAAGTCCAACACACTTTCTGTTATGACTCGCGCAGAAATAGACTGCTTCGTATTCCCGCCAGCACCCGTTGACAGTTGAGGTGTCTCGGTAACCTTGCGCACACTTAAACTAGTCTGAAGGAAGTAGGTCCGACCGCGAAAGTTGAGTGCAGCAGGTGGCTGTGGTTGAATTGCTTCACGGTCTTGAGACGTTAAGCTGCCAATGATGGGATGAGTGGGACTAAGTACGAAAAGTGTGCTTGAAAGAAACATACAAATGTCGAAGCTGCTTCGTGTAATCAACAAGGAGCGGAGGCTGGTCACCTGCGCAAACATCTGCATGTTCAAAGACAGTGAATTGGACATCCATTGGACTGCCCCAAAATTAGTCGATATCACGCTGAGCTAGATAATTAACGAACCGATCAGGCATCATGATATCCAACGTGGATTCAACGCCTTCGAGGCACGTCGCTTCGGAAACGTTGACAACCGCCTCTTGGGAGTTCCGTTCTGCGAACTTTAAAGGACCTTCTGAAGTGGCCGAGTCCTGGAATGACTCCAGAGAATATGAAGGGTCATGATCGGCATCGAGTTCCAAAGTCAAGTCACCAGCCAATTCGTGATCTGAGTCACTGTGCTCAAGTCGTGCCACCTTGGTCTCCGCCATATTTGACGTCGAGAACTCCAATTCTAGCTTGATTAATTGCTGATGAAGACTATTCTCAAGCTGGGACTCTGGAATCGTGCGATATAAGACGCGGTGAATGACTTTTTGGTTGGAAGGTGGCGAATTCAATAATGAAGCAGGAAGACTGGAAGCCCATATTAACACATGGTTGAAACTACTGTAGCACCAATAAACACACCTGGGAACGAATGTGAGCGGGGTATTTGAAGTGTGCAACCATTTGAGAATTTTTGATAATGTCCAATTTCCCTTTAAGGGAGGGCTGAGGACGCTATGTCCGGTTGGTGATTCAGACCCAAGAACAATGTGTCCAAAGCTTGGGTGATGTCAGAAAAAACGTCCTTGATCTAGTGAGCACTTACGAGGCAGAGACAAGTCTCTCGTGACCAGGGGTCTTTGAGGCACTCAAGAGCAATGCCTCAAGGTCTGTAGATTCCCTTCAAGAAGATGTCAGTAGAAATCCCAAGCTAGCTTAGGGGAGAAGCTAACTCAGTTTTTGTTACCACCTTTCCTTGTCCACCCGCCAAGCCACCAGTCTTCGTCATGTCTTCGATGGCTTTAGCACCGAGCCAATCTGCAACTCTGCGAACCCGGAAAGATCCGCCTTTCATCATCGTCCAAGGTAAAGACCGAGGAGAGAGGAAAGGATAGATAGAGTACGTGTGCGGCATGAAGGAAGGCGCTGCGGAATGCTCGGGCTTTTCCTTTGTTGGCACATAGCAAAGGAGGGGTAAAGAATGGCCACCTTGAATCTAAGCCGTCTATCAGTCCAGCAGGATGGCCGCCATTCATATAATGACGCAGCTAAC